TAAGATTTATAATAGTCCATTCCTAAAGTCGCTGGGGTGATTTTAGTGACAGGCACTGTGACAAAAAACCCCGATTTTTGTCGGAAAAGCTTTACGAATTTCGTGTAATTAGACTGTCGGAAAATAATGAACACACTGTTGCGATGAGATTTTTTATGCAACAGAGCGCTAACTACAGTGGAGGAGCAGATCCAGTAGCAAAAAACGCACCTTTTTGCATCCTGGAAGTATCAAAAAATGTAGCAAGATACCTCCTTCTCCAAGTGAAAGAACTCCGATTCTAAAAACGCACCCTTCAAAAAGGAGTTTTTTTTTAGTTGGAGAGGGAGGCATTTTGGCACATTTTTTGATACTTCCCGGATGCAAAATGATGCGTTTTTGCCATTGGATCAGCTCCGTCACTGTAGTGAGCGTTCTGTTGCATAAAAAATCTCATCGCCACCGAGAAAATGAAGTGGGATCAGGTCAGCCACTGGATTTTCCAGACGAACCGACAGGACGAGGTCAATCAGAGCTCATGTTTTTAGCTCTATACTATGTACATTAGTGACTCTGTCATGTCCAATTTGCCCCACGGCAAACAGCTTTTTGCCTATCAGTCGTTCCGTAAACCGCAAGAGTGATTTGTGGCGTTTACACTGTGCAGAAAAAAGCCAGCGTACGAGCGATAGCCCAAGCTTATTAAACATTGCAAAAAGTAAGAAATTGCGCCGTGTGAACCTTTGTTTAATCACTCCAGCGACTTTGCGAACGGTCTAGTACAAACGGTTGTCCAAAGCACTCGAGTAGAAGCAAGGGCGTCAAAGGAGTGGCGAAAAAAAACTCGCCGTCCAGACGAATAACTATATTTATAAAGTGCAGCCAGACAGCGAATGCTCCTTCTGATTTGCACTTTTATAATTCATTCCGTCTTGCCCTTTACAGACATTCGAAAAGTATTAGAAAAAAGGTCGAGAAGAAAAGAGAGAATGGTCATCGCAAATACCGTCTAAAAATAAATATTCAGGAGGAACCAAATTTTCGGTAGCAGTAATGAAATTGCGAAACGCGGGTGTTGCGTTAAATATAGTCTTATGAAATTGACAGTGTAAGGAGATTTGAAGGGATGGATGGTAAATGTTTTTCAGAATCAAATAAAGACAAGGGAGGCGTTGCGTCTCTTACGTGTAACCACTTTGCGGGCAGTCGACATTTACCGTTGGGAATTACGTTTTTTCAAACGTAATCTACGTAATATGATATAAAGTTTGCATTGGCAACTCCCGGGCACTGATAAGCACACGAATCTATTGAATTGATCCGCTTTCAAAGTTATGGGAGTTTCTTTTCGAAAAAATGAATTCTGATCATTTGAAAATGTCTGGTTAACCTTACGGTAACTATTCAAACCACTTATACGCCTGGAAATTTAACTGTAACATCTAACCGCCAAAAAAGGGGTAAATGTTGACTGATTCCGCAGAATCTCTGTGGTTCCTCTAGCTTTCCACAAGTGGTTGCCTGTGGGCCTGCTACAAGGAAACTTCCCAAAATTCGACGTTCAGATTTCCTTCATAATTTGCCCATACATTGTGCGTTGACCACGTAACAACCCTCGAAAACGTTGGCTTTCGCTTTGCAACGGAAGCCGAGGTATTCAACAACGCTTGTCGATGAGAGACTACGCCAAAATGCAGAGCGCGGTGAGAGGCAAAAAAAGTGTTTTAGCTTTAATTAACGATAAGCTAAATCGTGTGTCTCACAATGCTCACGGACGTTTCACACCCTTGGCAGAGAAAACTAATCTAAATTTGGTCCAAACTCCACTACAATCTGAGCGTCGCACTTTGAGAATTTTCCGTATTGTATAATAGGATACAGGATATAATATCGTCTAGTTTACAGACGAAATGGTCATGCCACAACTTCGCGTGCGAATTTGCATATTCCGCGGAATGACCGACGAATTGGTATAAAAGGAATGGAACGCTTCCAACCGGTCAGTGTGGATTATTCTGTCTGTTTTCCCCTTGTGGAGGTTGTGATTTGGTCAGTAAAGTGTATTTCTGTTTGTCCATTGTGTCTATTGTATCGTATGGTCAAGCTGAGCGCTGTACGTTGCATTCTGAGCATAAGATTTTGGGCTGATCATTGACGTTGTCGCCTAGGGTCTGTTTACTTGTTTGTCATTGTTTGTGTAGTCGCTTGGGAAGTTACAACACAGAGGCCAATGAGCTATATGAAAGTTTGCTGAAAATGATAGGGCGCAGTTCGGAAAAAAAAACGGAAAACAAGCTTTCGCAGCTCGCCGGGGCTAAGTTTCAGCTTGTTTTCGAGCTGCGCCATATCGTTTTCAGCAAAATTTCAGATAGCGCATTGGCCCCAGCCTGGAATAGGGGCCCTAAATCCAAGTGCAACTTTTGACGATCAGTCAAAATACGACTACCAAATCTTCTTGCAAACTGCACCATTTGCATTATCTTCACTTTTATTCATTACTTTTAAAACTTCTACCTCTTTCACCTAAATAAATACGAGTAAAAAGGTCAGCCCCTTCGGAACCTCTCGCTTCCGTTCGGCGTCATAAACCAGCTTCCGAACTTATTACCGACAAATGAGTGAAATCGGCGCGAAAATATTATAAATCATCAGCTTTCGCCCACTCGGATCCAGGCTTCCGTCTGGAAGCCCATTTTTTATTGAGGAAGGAGGTTTCTGCGGTTGTTTTGTAGACATCGGCAAGCTTGTTTCGGTTTAATACGCCTGATTTCTCATCATTTCTCGAAATTGCAAGTTCGGCTTTCAAGAAAATGCCCCAGTTCAGTTCTTTGGAATTTGAATTTCCTTTAGCTTTTACCGGAATATTCTTCACAGTCTCATGCAATCATCTCACCACGTTTTTCCCAACCTCCCCATCAAACTGTTTCATCACAAATCCCACAAATCCGAACCGTTCCTGAGCGTTTGCTCGATCAACTTGACACCCGACGAGTTTGTTCAAAACTTGACGTTCAAACAGTCTCATCTCCAATTACCCGACCGTTTAACCTGTAACCCCGCCGGCTTGTAGGCCGTCTTTTTGTCTCAAACGATTACGCAAATACCCATCGGAAACAAGAGAGCCCTATAAAAGTTTCCAAATCCTTCAATCTTTCCGGATTTTGTCATCGTTTTTAGAATTCAAGCGTCGTCATCGGCTTGTTGTATTTTCTTTTATAATCTTTTATGATGACTTTTTTGCAACTTGGTGGTATTGTTTACCTTGGGTAAAAGAAATTATAAATTATGGGGTCAAAGACCGGCCAGTTATAAACATAATCGGATTTGAAGAGGGGAAAGGTTAAACTATGACGTTGCAAGATATTTAAAGGGTGGCTAATGAATTGTGAGGTCATTAGGGACGAAATAACGTGGATTACCAGCGTTTTGAACCCCATACAGCACTAACGTCGGTGTTTGTAGTGATTTTGTGCCGACCTGCCACTATTTTCCCGTCAGACTGATAAGTGAAGTCTTTTTTAAGTTTTGCACACCTTTTTGTGCATTCACGGTGTTTCAGTTCCATAAAATTTAGCCTCGCGCTTTGCTGTGACGGCCGGGATATTCAACGGCCTTTTGCGGCGTTAGTGGCCACGGAGAAGACACTTTTTAGTCATGTCTTGCCAGTTTTGTGAGGAATTGATTTTTTTGCAAACACTGGACTGTACGGCAGAAATAGGTGCGGAAATTTGCAAAAAAGGATCAAATTTTCCTCAACTTTCGGCTTAAAAAGATTCTCAGTCGAAGAGACAAAAAGCGTATTTTACAAATTTCTAGTAGTTGATTCTTATTTTCAGTTGCATTTTTCTTCATCTTCTGCAAATATTTGATCGTTCATAAACCAACTCTTTCCTTTTTTCATGCCGTAACTTCCAGTTATATCATCAGGATCCGAGGAACGTCGGCGATAAAGCCGGTTCGCTGATCGGGAAACGGGGAGGAAACGAAGATGAGTGCCGATGATGACGGAGGGTGATGGGGTGACTACGGGTTGTCGTTTAGAGAATCATCATGGCGTATATGGCATTTTGATAGGGTTATCAGCACGCCATGTAAAATTGATTTCACAGATACGGGGTTATTTTGTGATAATTGGTTTTTTGTAATGCCGTTAGCCTAACAAGTTATGAGAGTCGTTTTATTTTACATGGTGTTCCAAGAAATGCTACAGCAAGTTTTTGCGAATATCTTTGTGCTCCTTGCAGCTATCCAAGAAGTTTATAGTGTGGGACGTGATCCAGTGACAAAAAACGTACAGTTTTGCTTCCGGGAAGTATCAAAAATGTGGCAAAATGCTTCCCTCTCCAAAAAAACTCCGATGTCAAAAGCGTTCCCGCTCTTTCTATGAGGGAAAGGGCGCGCCCTTCATAACAAAGTTTTTCACTCGGAGAAGAAAGAATTTTGCCACATTTTTGATGCTTCCCGGATACAAAATGGTACGTTTTTTGCCACCGGTTCGTCACTGTAAATTGGTTTTAAAATTCAAAGTCGTGCGGCTTTAGGATATGAAAAAGATTTTTCCTCGCCTGGGCGGAGAGACCTTTTTTCGGCGGAGACATTTGACACATTTATTGAAAATTAGATCTTGTTAGAAAGCCAGACAGCTTAACCTTGGACGAAAATCAGTTTGTTATGTTTCTCACATTGGCGAAAGCTCGGCGGAGACATTTTTTATGAGCGAAGGCCTTTTTGGACCCTTGGATTTTGTAAATCGGATGAGAAATCATCTAAATTCGTGTCAAGTCTTGACCTTGAACTCTCGGGGTGAAAAATTTGGTTGTTTTTTGCGAATCCCGAGCCATGAATTTGGCATATGTCTTGGAAGAAAATTGCTCATATTTGTGCCGACTCTTGTAAAAGTATAAGCACCGCAATTCCAACGCCTTCACTTTTGGGCCCGCTGAACTGTCTATTATAACTTTGAGCGCGAAAAAAACAATGGCAAGATACAAAATCACTTATTATAGGACTTTCCCGCAAAAATGGCCCCGACAGCAGGTCTGTTGGCCATTTTTCCGTTAATATTATTAACAACGCTCTGCACGGCAGACGAACGAATATCGCTTGGCCGAAGAAACGACGTTTCGGATGTCCTTCGGACCCGTCGAAGCAATTTCCCATGCGGCAAAAGTTTTTTGCCCTGTGATGGTAGGTAAAATACGGTTTAGTTGATTTCATTTAATTGTAGATGAAAACTCAATCTTGTTTGACGACCCACAATCAGTGGAGACGCCGAATGTGGAAGAGCAAAGTGTCCAGTTCGCCGCAATAAGAGCGAAAAATGAAATGGACATTTTATACAACAGGACGGAACAGGCGTTGTTCAACGACTTCAGAGGTGCGTTAAACTTTCACAACCTTGATTTTAAATGGAGTTTTATTGAATAGACAAGGAGTCTTGTTGATTTTCAGGCACAAATTTCCTTTTTTCAACTTACGCTTGGGCCGACTTGATGAATGAAGATCGTTATTCAAAGGACTTGTCTTACAGTGCGCTGGTGTCGTTGAAGGCCACAGCGAATTTGAAAAAGTAAGAAAATAAATGAAAAAATTATAGGGTACGTTTATGGCTAGGTATCAGCTAAAATTTTGAAAAGATAGATATATGTACATGGCAATGTACAACAAGATCTCATCGAACGAAAAGGCTCTTTGACCCAAACCGTCGTTGGCCCGAAAAGCCGTAACGTCTAGCGCTGGGGATGTCAAAAATTAGAAGATGTCAAATTAGAAGAAGACTTTAGTCTGTTGTGGAGCGTCAAAAGTCTCCACAATTCCCATAGAAATTAGCATAAACCAACTCATATAAAAGCAACGTCTCGTCACCAATTATCAGAACATTGTCTCACTTCTCCTTTTTCGGTGTGGTCTAAATAAATCTTATTCCAAAACCTGTGTCTGTTCTCGATACCTATCTACGTTTGATCCACCATTACATGAGGGCTGATTGTGAGCCGGGGACATAACTCGCTCGTTTTGGGGCTTTTATTAGAACAATTCGAAAAAACGATTCTATCGCCTCTAAATCGACCTTTAATAGTGACGTTGTCTAGCGATCGTCAAATTTCAGTTTCACCTCCAAACTGTCAACTACCGACCTAACACAGGGAATGCCCTTCTTCCCCGTGAACAACACCATCATCCATCAGATTTGTCCGATTAACGCTATTGCCGAATGCATTCCCGGGAAATACCGGACCTACTCCGGACATTGCAACAATGTCGACCATCCGTTGTGGGGAGCCGGCTATGAGCCAATGCAGCGACTGCAGGCCCCAAGTTATGCGGACGGTAGGCTCTACAGACTTTATTTATCTATTCTTTCGTATCTCTCCTTGGTTGGTCAATATTTTCTCCTCATTTTCTAGGAGTTTCAACCCTTCGAACCTCCAAAAATGGCCGTCCTTTGGCGTCGCCCAGACTGATTACCAAGACTTTACTCATTGACAACGCTAACGCTACGAACCCAAAGCCCCACAAGTTTTGCACGCTGATGCTAGCGCAATGGTCGCAATTCATCTTTTCGGATGTCGCCCAAGTCGCATCAACGATGCTGTTCAAAGGCGAGGAGAGCCTGCCGTTGCCGTGTTGTGCTACAACACACGACGAGTGCCTGCCGATTATTGCGGGTGCAGACGATGAGCAGTACAAGAGTAAGGGATGGATAAAAAATTGAGTTGGGCCGAGAGAACTGATGGGGAAACAGGATATGTCGTACTAAATATATTTTCCTCACAATGTTCCTCAGGATCTGTATCTCTCTTTCAAAAAATCCTCTACAAAAAGTCATCTTTTCAGCACGCGGCCAATGTCTTCAGTACAGTCGTTCCTTCACTGCGCCTCGAGAAAATTGCAACCTCGGCCCTCGAGAGCAGGCCAATCTGGCCACCTCGTTCTTGGACGCCTCTCAACTTTATGGCCGCACCGCTGAAGAAGTGAAAAAGCTGAGAGAACATTCGGACGGCCGTCTCAAGTCGGTAAAGCCTTCGGAGCGCTTCAGAGAGATCCCACCGCCGGCGGCGAAGAGTTCGAGAAGTTGCGCCGCTCCGAATGATCAGCCTTGCTTCGAGAGCGCCAATCCGTGGACAAATGTGTTGCCGACGAATGCGGCGATGCAGACGCTGTTCATTCGGCATCACAATACGTTGGCACGCGAACTCCACAAGCGCAACTCTCACTGGGACGATGAGAGGACTTTCCAGGAGGCAAGAAGGATCCTGATTGCTCAGGTCCAACATATCACCTACTCGGAATACTTGCCGATTGTTGTTGGAAAGGAGAAGTTGAAGAAGAAGGGACTGCAGTTGCGGAGAAGGTCGTTCGATGCGGATTATAATATGGTAGGGTGTGAATTTAACACATTATACCTTACAGGAGTTTTAGCACTGCTCTTATTCTTATTTTTTCAGAAAACCAATCCTTCTCTTCTCAACGAATACGCTGCGGCTGTGGGCCACTTCTACCTGTCCCTTCTGCCCGACAGTATTGCGCAAGTCACCGAGAGCGGGCAAAACCTCAACAAGCAGCCGTTGAGCAACTTCTTCAACAACCCGTCAGTGATCTACCATCGAGACAAGGTGGAGTCACTGCTCCGATTCATGATCAGAGAGCCCATCCGAGCGCCTGGGCTGCATATCTCCCGCGAATTCACCCAGAAATTCCTCAGGGGCCAAGAACAATTCGGCCTCGATTATGCCGCATTACTCATCCAAATGGGACGAGATCACGGACTGAACTCGTATACGGAATGGAGAAATTATTGTGGGCTGGAGAAGGTCGAACGATTCGAGGATTTGGAGGGAATCCTATATGACAACGTGGATATAGAGCTGTTAAAGAGCGTTTATTTGAATGTGGAGGATGTCGACTTGTTTATCGGCGGATTGGCGGAGAAACCGGAGAGGGGCGCGCTGATTGGCCCAACGTTTGGATGCATCTTGAGCGATCAGTTTGAAAAGGTAATGCTTGCACTTTGAACACACTTTTTATAGTAAAATATCAGTAATATTGACGGATCATTCAGTATTACTTTTTTATGATTGCTTCCTACTTTCAGATTCGCCATGGTGATCGGTTCTGGTATGAGAACTTCTTCCAGCCCTCCGGTTTCACCGAAGAACAGCTAATGGAGTTAAGGAAGACGACGTTGGCCACAATTATTTGCGAAAACACCGATAACTTGGGACTGATTCAACAGAGCGTCTTTGAGTTGCCAGATGAGTACACGTAGGTTATCTACAGTCTCAATAGCATCAGAAACTCAAGAAATTTTTATTTTTTTAAACACTTTTTGATTTTAGCAACTGTCCAATGGCCTGTAACACCACGGCCGCCGTAAAACCAAATCTGGACATGTGGATTGATCAAGAACCCAAGCGAAGACTCCCAATTACCAAGGAGACCCTGGAAAAGGCCCTGCGAATGGGTGCCGAGCAATATCGAAGGCTGAAAGAGGCCGAGAAGAAGCGTCTGCAACAACAGAACAGAGGCGCAAGTGATCGAGGGTCTGCTGTCGCCGCTCATGCCAGTTTGATGGCGCCGAAGAAGGAGAGTTTGGATCGCGCTGAAGCCGCGGGCATTCTCAGGGCCACAACGAACGTGCTGCTGAGAGGGTGAGGAATTGGGGGAATGCGGCCGAAAAAGTATTGCAATGCGGCGAAACAGGCGGTTTACTTTGCAAACAATGAATGTTATCATCTCATAAAATGCTGGAATCTCGATGAAACATTGCCCAACAGCAGCGGGACAAAAACGATTTTTTTTCGTCTTTGAATGCAGATTGAATATCAGTCCGTCGGGAAAATAATGCCACTATTTTCCCGACAGACTGATGTGAAAACTGTTTACCAAAGTATTTTACCCTCAAATTCCAGTGACGGCCTCTCCGAAAACGAACGTCTTCCCCATGATCTTGACGTTGCCACCCTTCAAGAGCTCCTGCCTCAAGTCGACGTCAGCCGAGTCATTGGGAACTTTTCCGATTTCCTTGGTGAAACTCCAAATGCGGCCAAGGAATGTCTGCCAAAGCCACTTCCATGCGACCACACGGCAAAATACAGGACCATTTCCGGATGGTGCAACAACTTGCGATTCCCTCAATACGGAAATGCGTTTGAGCCGTTGAGGTAGGGGTTTTTATAAAATACGAAGGTAGTTATCGACTGCTTTTGTTCGGAATTCTATCCGCTGATAACTGTCGGTTAATAGCTCCTTTGAAGATATGATATTTTCCTTCCAAAAAAATGCATTATGTTCTGCCATTTCAGACGCCTCCGCGACCCCGCCTACGACGACGGATTCGACTCGCCGAGGACGCGTGCTGTCAGTGGGAAGGAGCTTCCGTCCGCGCGCAAGATCTCCGTCACGGTCCACAACGACGACGAACGAGAATCCGTCCATTTCAGCCACATGCTAATGCAAATGGGGCAGATTGTGGACCATGATTTCACACATTCGCCGATCACTCGCGGGCCCTTCAATTCGATTCTGAACTGCTCGACCTGCGACAGTTACAACACTCTGTCGATTCATTGCTTCCCGATTAAAATCGACCAAGGGGATCCGTATTTCCCGGCCACTCACAACGATGGAAGTCCGAGATGCATTCCGTTTGCGAGAAGTTTGATTGGGCAGGTCACGCTGGGATATCGGAATCAGGTAAGAAGGAGATTTTTTGAAGGTTTTGTGATGGCAAATCTTGGTGGAGACATGGATGAAACTGAAAAAAGCTACATTGGGGACCTGATCACGTGGCAAAAAACTTACCATTTCTATCCAGGAAGTATCAAAAATGTGGCAAAATACTCCAAGTGAAAAAACTCCGATTTCAAAAGCGCGCCCGCTCTTTTGGTGAGGGAACGGGCGCGCCCTTCAAAATCGAGTTTTTTCACTTGGAGAGGGAAGCATTTTGCCACATTTTTGATACTTCCCGGATGCAAAATGGTACGTTTTTTGCCACTGGATCAGGTCCCCACTGTAACACGGTCCGGTGAATGGATTGTCAACTCACCGAAAATACCCCCGAAACAACTTCTTGTCGGGGAAGAAATGGGGAATTTTTGGGGTGAGAGAGTGCGCTTTGTGCGTCTTTTCTCTGTATTCTCTGTGACGTCAAGACGTCACTTGTAATATTGTAAAAGCCTTTAGCGAAGAGTCTATGCATGGCGAGCACCGGGGTCGTCAGTTTGACATGGACGTACCTTCATTTATGAATTACAGTGGTTGGACCTGATCCAGTGGCAAAAAACATACCATTTTGCGTCCGGGAGGTATCAAAAAATGTGGCAAAATGCTTCCCTCTCCAAGTGAAAAAGCTTCGTTTTGAAGGACGCGCCCTTTCCGTATACAAAAAGATCGGGCGTGCTTTTGAAATTGGAGTTTTTTCACTTGGAGAGGGAAGCATTTTGCCACATTTTTGATACTTCCCGGATGCAAAATCGTACCGGTTTTGCCATTGGATCAGTTCCCCCGCTGTATAGATTTCTTGGATTTGATAGAAGTTGAGGAAAGTCTTGGACACTACCTACCGTTAGCAAAGTCGCTAGAATGATTTTTAGCGCTTGTACTGTGAGAAAAATCACGGTGCCAGGAACACCCGAAAAAGCCTTGTTGCACGGTGCAAAAGGAGAGCTTTTTTTGCACAATTCATTTCGTCGAAATCATACCAGCGACTTTTCGGACGGACATCTTGGAGTCAGCGTATTTTACTCTTTTTTATAATACTTTTACTTTTTTATATTTTTTCAGCTAAACCAGCTGACTTCTTTTCTGGACGCCTCTCACGTCTATGGTTCAACGCAATGCGAGGCCGACCATCTCCGTCTCTTCTCGCAGGGAATGCTCAATTTTACAGATCTCGGCTTCAACAAAGAAGCGCTCCCTCAGGGCACCCAAGAGCGGGATTGTCGGAGTGGACCGAACCGGCCCTGTTTTGTTGCCGGCGACGAGCGCAACAACATCCAGCCCGGTCTGGCAACTCTTCACACCATCATGATGCGAGAACACAACCGGTTAGCGAAAGAACTGCATCGTCTGAACCCGCATTGGACTGATGAGCAGCTGTTCCAGGAGGCACGGCGAATTTTCACGGCCAAATACAACCATATCATGTACAATGAGTGGCTTCCGATCGTGATTGGCTGCGAAACCATGGCCAGATACGATCTACAGCCGAAGAAATCGGGCTATTACGAAGGCTACGATCCGACGTGCGATGCGGCCGTTAGTCAGGAGTTCTCTTCGGCCGCGTTTCGTTTCGGGCACACGTTGATTCGCAATGTCTTCCCACGGATGGATGGGAATTACAGCGAAACGTTGGGGCCCGGGTTCCAGTTGAGGGAGCACTTCAATAATGCGTCAACGATGTATGACAAGAAGATTGGGCATATGGAGAGCATTCTCATGGGATTGTTGGGAGCACCAACGTAGGTTTAATCAGTATAATGTTGGGCAAGTCATCCGGGAAGATTGACAATCTCAGGCGCTAACGGAATGTCCCGACACTTGCGGGCAACGTCCCATAATCGTGTATTATAATGGAAATTTTGGCAATTCCCTGGTACTGATAAGTACACCAATCTATTTTTAAATAATGAAAATTTATCCACCGCTTTCAAAGTTATGGGAGGTTGTCTTCCAAAAAGTGGCTTCTGAACCTTTTGTAAGCAAATGTTGGCTGATTTCAAAACATGAACGCAGAATTTCCGTGGTTCTTCTACAATAGGGGACCTGATCCAGTGGCAAAAAATGTGCCATTTTGCATCCAGGAGGCATCAACAAATGTTGCAAAATAGCTCCGTCTCCAAGTGAAAAAACTCCGATTTTAAAAGCGCGCCCAAAAAAGGCGCCCCCTTCAAAACGAAGTTTAGCCACATTTTTGATACTTCCCGGATCAGAAACGGTACGTTTTTTGCCACTGGATCAGGTCCCCCATTGTAGCTGCACACAAAGTGGTTGCCCGCAAGTGTGGGCCGCCATTCCGGGGCTTCGAAAATCGTTCGTTATAGATACAGTTTGTTGTACAGAAGCGTTACTGCCTTCCGATCTGTATAGATTTTTTCGGTGTATCTTTTGCTTCCTTCCAGCATGGTGAATGACCGTCACATTGCGAACGCCGTCCGAAACCACCTCTTCCAACGAGCCGGCGGCCCTTACACCGGCCTCGATCTGGTCGCCGTCAACATTCAGCGCGCTCGCGATCACGGTGTGCCCGGCTACAACAGCTACCGCGACCTCTGTGGGGTCCCCAAAGCCCGCTCCTTCAACGACCTCCGCGACACGCACGATGAGTCGGCAATTGTGGACCTACGAAGGGTGTACGAACACGTTGACGACATTGATCTTTTCACCGGAGCAATGTCCGAGAAACCGCTGAAGGGAGCCATTATTGGCCCAACAATTGCATGCTTGATTGCCGAGCAATATCAACGGGCGAAGCGATGCGATCGGTTTTATTATGAGACCAACGATCCGAATCTGAGATTCACACCGGGTAAGTGGAAGGTAAGGTACGTATAATGTTGGGAATTGCAGCTCAATTGGCCGAGATCCGAAAAGCCACCATGTCGAAGATGATCTGCGCCAACAGCGAGTACGCCGAGAAGATTCAGCCAAACGCGTTTTTGATGCCGAACGACTTGACGTAAGTCACAAATTCTAAGCCACAGTTTTGGTCGACTATACTTTGGATTGCCTCTGTTTTCCTTTGTATGCATGGCGAAGGCCAGTAAAGGGCGTAATGAATAGAAATATAAGATTGATCGGGTCTTAGGACAGTTTATCGCCTATTTTTGGTATTTTACATGCATTAATGCAATAATATGTTGGTTAAACTTACGGATCGTCATTTTTTGAAGCAGCCTTTCATATTCTGTATGTTACAATAGCTGTGGGCCAAGAAAGGTTGGCAATAGCTAAAATTGGAAGAACGAGCCGCATTGTAAGTCTTTGCCAAGTCTCCGCCAAGGCTTCGCCATGGATCCAACGGCTTTTCCAGGTCTCATATCTTCTACGAAGCATCTTCTACAGTATGCTTTTGGGTCTCCACCTGCCCTACACCTCATGTCGTTCGATTTTTGTTGACCCGAACTGTCTTTAACCCGGAAAGTCGGATCAACGACAGCTCGTCAAATTTTTGTGGCCTTCTAAATTCTGCCTACTTTCAGAAATGCTCCGATCCACTGCGATGAAATGTTGGACACGGATTTGAGCGAATGGGTGGATCGACGTAAGCTTAACTAAAAATTTTTTACTGTTTAAAACCTCAGTCTGTCGGGAAAATAATGAGCATTCTGTCGCATCGGAAATTGCATAGCCGCCGAGAAAATGAATCGTATCACAGAAAAATCAAATTCTTTTTACTTCAGCGACGCGATCGGCACAGCGATATTGCACTCATTATTTTCCCGACAGTCTAGTTCTTATATTCACTGACATTTCAGAATTCTGTGTGATGGACCACCGAGTCATCCAGTTGGGCAAAACGAAGCGAGTGATGCCCTGCATTAGTTGCACATGCACAGCGGAGGGAACGGAATGTCATTCGATAACGGTCGATTCTTGCGACGCGTTGTTGAAGGAGTTCCCCATTGAAGAGATCCGGAAGGATACTGTGTGTATGATACAGTGCTCTGGCGCAATGAAGAAGAGGAAGTCGTTGTAAAGGACGACTTTTTCGTCAAGTATACTTTCTATTTTCCAAAGAAACTGGTCGTAAATTTCTTATATATTATAGTCATACGAGCAGAGGTGAGCTGCTGCAAGTGCGACGCTCGGATCTCAGTGAGACTTGTCACAAGTTGAGGCCGATTTTGACTAAGTAATATGCGAGTCGTTCAGCTGATGTTTCGCAGAAGCAACCGACATTTTCAGCCTGGAAGGTGACCGAATTTTAACCATCTCTAGTCATTGAAAAAATGAGTACCACAGGGAATAAAATTCAGCCCTTGTTCTAGAGGAAAATCCGCAAAATCTTTCATAAAGTTTGCAGTAGTCATAGACTAGTTCAAGCCGTGTTCAGAAAATTTGTCACGATGACCGTTTAGATAATTTCAGTGTAATGAAAAACGAGTTTAAGCGATAGGATTACACTGTACAGTGGGTGAACCTGATCCCGTGACAAAAAACGTACCATTTTGCATCCGGGACGTATCAAAAATATGGCAAAATGTTTCCTCTCCACGTGAAAAAACCCGTTTTGAAAGGCGCACCCTTATTCCTCTCAAAAAGAGCGGGCGCGCTTTTGAATTCCGAGTTTCTTTTTACTTGGAGAGGGAGGTATTTTGCCACATTTTTTGATACTTCCTGGATGCAAAGTGGTACATTTTTAGCCACTGGATCAGGTCTTCTACTGCATAGTGTCCATAAAAAAGACTAGTTTCATGTTTTGGATGACGGCAAGGACGTAGATGACCTAAAATTCTGGATGGTAGGTCTCCTGGTAGCTACGCCTTTGGATAACGGATTTTCTGGATTTTTTCGCAGCGAGAACTGTTGCAATGCTCAAAAATTTCTTAACGTTTTCGCGGTTTTTTGGTCGACTAAGAACGTCGAAAATCCCGGCTGTCGCTGAGCAGAATGATCTACAATTTCTAGTTATTGGAATGTAGCCAAGACCCAACATGTGCTCAAAATTTATGCAGAATCCAAAAATTTACAGAGAACCCGAACGTCGCACTTGGGGAAACCTCCACTGTCATTGCTTAAGATTACAGTAATCAGACTTTTAAAAAAATCACCTGCGTCTCTACTTACCTTGTTTTTTCTCAATTTACCAACCCTCCTTTTATTTTATTTCTTCCCTCCTTCAATGTGCCTTCACCCTCTTCATAATACTCCTTGTAAATACGCCGAACAGTAAGTGTAACGCGCCTTACACATCATATGCTACGAAGTGCAGCGCTCTCCGTTTCCTCGTGTCATGTTTTGGTCTATTCTTGGTGCCTGCGTCACACCAGGTTTGTACTCTAACTTTCTTCTCAAACTTTTCTCTATTCTCGCGGAAAGAGGTTGTCGTCACAATTACAATTATGTTCTAATTAATGTGGTTGACGGTAGTTGTATATAGTTTTACTCGTGGAATAAAGGAAAACAATAGTGCCTCTGTTGTTGAAGAATGCTATGTCATTATTTTCGCGGAAACGGTGATGTAATGGGCCAAGCAATTGCATAGTATTTTTCGAAAGACTTGATGAACACTTGTTCTGGTCATATCTCGGAAAAGGTGGGGATTTTAACGGTAAACAGGCTTAAATTTAGATGCATAATTAGCAGCTAGGACCTACTTCTTGCTGAAAAGTAGGTCCTTTAATTTTGGGTATTGCAGGAGTCTGCATTGACTCAAAAATTAAGAAATGTACTAGTCCGTTTGTAAAGTCGCCGGAGTGAATTTTCGTTTGCATTATGCAGAAAAAGCCCGGCTGCGAGCGACAGCCCAAAAAAGCCTATTGCTTAGTGCAAAAAGCAAGAAATTACAAAGTTCAAGGTGAACTTTTGTATTCTCACAGTGCATAGGATGAAAATCACTTCATTGACTTTACCGACAAGCTAGCTTATCCCATCAGGCTTTCGAGGAGCTCTTTACGTAAACTATGGCAATATTTTAGAGATAAGTTTTAGCAAAAAGCCTTTGATGGGGCTAGCGATGGCAATAGGGCCGGTCGGGCCGATTTACGCGGTTGTTGGGGCGGCCCTGCGCTTTTTGAAAGTGGCTGGGTCGGCTCTGGCTTCTTGAGAGTTGCTCAGGCCCGGCCCAACCTAGCAGTGGCAACCGGGCTGTGCTGGATGTGAGAAAATTTGAAAATGAACAAATTTTGAAAAGTAGAGCTCGGAAAAAGTCTTTGCGCTTTCTTTGGGGGAAGAAATCTTAATCAATTTACTGTAATTTGTAAAGCGATGTAAAAGAAGACTGCGTTTTGTCAGTACACGAATGATATTAGAACTTTAGCTTTTTATGCTATATACATATGGTAAAAAGAATCAGCTTTGTCAATTTTGCGCTTGGCATAATGATGGGAATGGCTAGGCCTTCAAAACTATTTTTTTTACATTTATTTTTACTTTCACTTATCGACGATATTACATACAATAATTGCGTGGTTTGTTGATTACTTCCTAATGTAAAAATAATTAAAAACACTTGATGAATTATTCGTTATTTTCGCTTGCTTTTCGCGGCAACAAGTCCCAGTTGTGAGTGAATAAGTCTTGGCGCTGGAATCGACCGTTTCCCTTTGATTTTGTATTCGCTTGGCTGACAGTTGGGGTCCCGTTCGTCACGACAGTAACAGTAGTAGATGTCTTGTAGGCCGCTGTCCGGGTCGGGCCCACACAGGAAGGTCTTGAGCTGTTCTGGACAATCGTCGTGGCAGCCGTAATGGGTGCCGTTCAGGGAACCTGGAAAAGAGGTTTACAGTGGTGAGGGGTAATGGAAGTGTCATATGCTGACCTTAATAAAAAAATGGTGTATTTTTCTTTTTTTCTGAAGCCGTCAAAATGCAATTCAAACTAGCTACACTGCCCGTCTAAAACGAGATTTTGTGTATGGCAAGTTTCAACCTTTTTTTGAAAAAGCCAGTTTTCTTTTTTGCCTTTCGGTCTGTCGGGGAAATAGTGACCGCAATGTCGCTGCGCCGATCGTGCCGCTGAAGTGAAAAGCATTTTGATTTTGTCGGGACACATTTTTCTCAGCAGCAATGCGATTTTCGTTACGGCATTATTTTTCCGACACTGGAGTGATTTTTGGGGCTTACACGGTGCAAAAAGTCAACGCGCGAGATAAACGAAGGTCTATCCAAAAAATCTTCGCTCTCTGACTGCGCTCCGCATTTTCCGTGATTTTTGATAACAACGATCTCTAAAAATCCATAAATCTTAGCCCGCCTGGAACTGCAAGGCGTGAGCTACAACTGTTAAGGCTTAATTCAGCCTGTATTCCCAACACGCAAAGATTTAACAATAAGATAATTTGAGCGTCGCATTTTGAGCACTTCTCTTGTAATTTATGCTAATAAATGCGATGTAGAAGTGTGATGTTTTCAAGCTGCGGCGCCCAGGGGCGTAGCTATATAATAGACATGGTTGGGGACCGGCCGGGCCGAAAATCGCGGCCCTGCCCCCTCAAATCTCTTCAAATTTTCTCAACCTCGGAGCCATGCCTAGGCGTAGCTGAGCAAAAATTCTGGGGCGTCATGACGCGTCACGATGTAAAAAATTTCGCGAAAATTACCTTGGCCCCCTTATCACTTTATTCATTGGCCCCATTGATTAGTCTTTAAGCTAGTCATGCCCCTGACGACGCTACAAAATCCAAAAATAAAAATAAAACTCACTCATCATATAGCAGCAATTCTCATTGGCCCTGCACGGCGCTATGGTCACATTATCAAAGGGGAATTGGTTCTCAAAGTTCTGAACTCCAGTGTAACATTTGACCCCAACATCCTTGACCTTGGGCCGTTTATATTCGGCCAAAAGTTGGTTCAGATCCGGGTTGTCGTATTGACAATGACATAGTTGCGAGGTATGAATAAAAAGGACAGTAATCAGGATATATTTTAGTGCCATGTTTAGCAATAACTCTGTTTGTTAAGTTTTAAAAATAAAAAGAATCAAAAATAAATTCAAAAAATTTATTAATTTTGATTATTTATTATTAACAATGAGGAAGAGCAGGCGAAGAACCTTTGGCCAGAACAGCGAGCCAAAAAACGTATAGCCGCCCAATAAACAAACAGTGTTTATTGTTATTATATTTACTGCGCACCGCTCGGGTCTCCCGTTCCTTCTAAACAAATAGAGGATCCACGCCCACCCCAATGTTGTCACCCCCCACCCGTTACATCACGTACATTTACGGTGGGGAAGTGTAGCAAACAAACAAGTGCAGTGAGAGCAAAATGTATCGAGGCCGATATCAGGCTGTCGGGAAAATATTTAGCTTTCTGTAGAAGAGAAAATCGCGTCACCGCAGAGAGAATGAATCGTGTTGCAAAAAAATCAAATTTCTTTTTACTTCAGCAACGCGATCGGCTGAATCGAAAAGCAAAATTGCGGTCATTATTTTCCCTACAGACTAATAATAAGAAGAGACTTGTGGCACAACGGTAAGGCAGATTTGCAAGCTCTGTAGCAATAAAGAACTTCAAGTGGATGACAAATAAAATATGAAAGAGGGTTACTGTTAGTCATGCTGACCAATATATATATATATATATATATATGAGCTTGAGAAGAAGCAAATGATAAAAAAATATGCCTTCTCAGCGGTTTTGCTCTAAAAAAGCCGCTTGGACTTTTAACAGACGTATACTGGCGGACAACCACTTTACGGGCAGATGCGTATGAGAAGCGGAGATTCTGCGAGCATGCTTAGAAATCAGCTAACATTTGCTTACAACAGGAAATTCAAACGATAGATTTAGCAATTAAATGTAGCAGATTGAATTTTCAGGTGCATAAATGGTTTGAATAGCTATCATAACGTCAACCAACAATTTTTATAAGCTCAGAAGCCATTTTTTCATAACAAACTTTTCTAGCTTTGGAAGCGGCGGATGAATTCAAGTGAAATTTCTCAGTCGTCCACTTATCTGTACCAGGGAGTTGCCAATGAAAAATTTCTATCATACAACGTAGAATACGGTAGAAAAGGCGTAATTCCCATCGGTAAATGTTGAGCGACCTTCTGGTTAGGCGTTTCGCTCTGAAAAACTACTCGGGTGATCTATATTTCATTACTGCTGCTTTTCTCGATAATCCAAAAGAAAACAACTACCGCAGACTTAATTATAATACCTTGAATGCCATTAGGGCAAATGCTCAACCCCACCGGAAGAAAACAACCCGTTAAAGCATGGCCATTTGTAAGCATTTTTCGGGACAGGTGCGGCATTTTCAGTTCTCACCCTAGTGAATTTAAAGACCGTGTCAGGCATTTCAATAGTTCATAAACTTACATTTAGCTTGAAATACGCCCAACGACACTCTGTAATTCGCAGCATTTACGTTTCTGGCACTCTCAAGTGCCCCACTTGAAAGGGACCACTCGGAAAACTCCAATGCTAATTAGTGACCTCCATAGAAACGTTATAAACGCTAATCTGAGGGACCGGCGACAAGGTTTTTGGGTATTGTTTTGAAATTTATATACAAGGGGATGTGTCAAAGGCATGACGCACGGATTTAGCATGATACTAGGGCTATTTCAAGGTGCTTTCTACATTATTTTTTTTGAGTTGGCTTTTGCGGGTTCTATCAGTCTGTCGGGAAAATAATGTGGGCTGATCGCGCCGTCGAATCACCCATTCCAACGGCTAACCGCGGCTGGAGGCTTGGTACGATCAGGCCAGACACTTTGCTGCGACAGGAGCACATTATTTTCCCGACAGATCAATAGTCAATAAAAATTGATAAAGGGGATCTTTAGTCATCATAATTTCCGTTGACGTCCTTTTGTTTTTTAGGCTATGTGCAACCCAGGATTTTTTTCTTGATGGTAATTGGAAGTTGTTTTGTTTTAGTCAAACTTTCAAAACCTTACACTTTTCTGAATCAATTTACCGCCTATAAATTGTCTATACGTCTTATAGAAAAAGATTTTATTCAAGTGCTCTCTGAATTTCGTTATGACATACACCTTTTTTGAGCAGAGTGACATTTTATACGACCAAATGTGTTTTTTCGAAAATTTTTGTTTTTAACGTATAACATGTCACCTATGAGTTTTAACAATCCAATGAATCATCACAGGCCGTTTCTATCCTGTTTTGTGAATAAAATACTGTTTTATACGATCAAAAGTGTTTTTTTTTTTTGATTCTACTTTCCATCGTATAACATGGCGCCAGATTTGTCAAGAACTTCTCTGACTGTCACAAAGCGATTTTATTTTTTTTTATGTAAAGAATGTTTTTTTTGCAACCAAGTAAGTTGTTTTCATCAGGCTTTCGAGAAAATCCTTGGCTCCGCTAAAGCAGGGCCATTTAGAACATGACATTAAGATTTTTATTGTTCTAATTTCATTTCCCATGCTTTCTTGCTTCCGTCCTTTTTCAGCACGGTTACCATGCAAACCTTAAATTCCTTTTTTGTAGCTGTCATATTGCACGGGTATTTTTTTATCATCATTTAGCCCGACTTTAGTTAGGATTACATGAAATAGTCTGCCGGGATGGGATGCTAAAAAACCAACGATGAGCTTTGCGGATCAAATGTGAAAATCCCAAAAATTTGAAGCTGTAGGTTTTAGCTCGCGCTTAGCAGTAGCAGCCGAGATATCGAGCCATCATTGCCGCCGAGGGAGTACGCGAAATGCGGAGAGCGGTCAGAGAGAAAAACGTTTTTTCCCCTATCATGGCCAGTTCCGTACTGAAATTTTTTTTGTAGAAACATTAACCTGTACAGTAGAGAACGGTATGAAACTTGTCATGCCAAATTTCACAAAAAAGCGTCATATAAGAGCGAAGGAATAAGAATTTTTTGTCGAGCTCGAGAATGTTTGCTGGATTCGCTACCAATTTCAAAAAGTAGCGGAAACCTCAATTTGCAACCTCCAAAAAAGACGTCGGAAGCAAATCGGCCATTTTGCGACGGCGCAAAATTGGGAGGTAGCAAATCGGCCATTTTGCGACGGCGCAAAATTGGCAGGTAGCAAATCCATGGATTTGCGACGTCCCAAAACAAGCCCCGCCCCCTCAATTTTTCAGCCATCACGTTTTGGCTTTTTTGACGGAAATACACCGTTTAGGGTGAAAAATTTAGCTGATAAATCGTACATTTACGAAATTATGAAGAAAAAACGTCCCTCTTCATCTTTATAATATTTATATTAATAAAAGACGTACGTTTTCATGTAAAATATGCGGTTTTTCCACAATATTGTCTAAATACGGCCGGATAGTCGATGGATGAGGCTGAAGAACATTTGTTTTTTCCACAATATTGCCCAGAAATGGCCGAAAAGTCGATGGATTTGGTTGAAGAACATGACCGTTTACAGATCTTCCTGGAAATCGAAATCAATATAAATTTCCTTCTGATTAGAAAAAAAGCCTTCTGTTACCTCATAGTTCATGTGTCTAATCCAAGAATCGAAACGGACATAATGTTGAGCAAAAATACGGCCGACTGGAGTGAAACCGAATTCCAGGCAACAATTTATTACCTAAAAACAGAATAATAATACTTAAATCAAATCTTACCTCCTTTAGCAACTACCACACGGCTTTTCCCTTGTCCGATTTCGTTGTTTCTGCCTCCTGAAAACGATTTGTAAGACTCTTGCCACGAATAATATAAAAAAATTGGAAATCTCGTCTAAAGTCAAAAAATAATAACAAAACAGCTTACCATGGCCAAAAAACGGTTGATTTGATTGATAAGGCCAAAGACATCCTTGTTATTGGACCTAAAATCCGTTCTCGGACTGCGTGGCATTTCGTTTTCACGGGCCGCGAAAACATTCGCAACTTCATAAATTCTTTTTTTCCTGTTTTCTTATGTTTCTTTTTGTTGAAATTGGCCAAATAGATGCAGAGAAGCTGAATTAGAAGATAAACCGGCTCAAGGTGATCGCCATAAACATCGGGGACGAAATTGGCGGACAAACAAGGCTTTTTGACCCCATGGTAAGCTGTTTTTTTTTATTATTTTTTGATTTTAGACGAGATTTACATTTTTTTTTCTAGGCAAGAGCCTTATAAATCGTTTACAGGAGGCAGAAATAATGAAATCGAACAAGGGAATGGCCAAGTGGTAGTTGCTAACGGAGGTAAGATTGGATTTAAGTATTCTTATTCTGTTTTTAGGTAATAAATTATTACCTGGAATTCCGGTTTCACTCTCGTCGGCCGTATTTTTGCTCAAAACTGTGCCCATTTCGATTCTCGACACATGCAATATGAGGTAAATGAAGGTGTTTTTTTCTGAAAATGATAAGGAAATTTTACATTGCTTTTGATTTCCAGGAAGGTAATTTGGCGGTCATGATCCATCCCTCGACTTCGGCCATATCTGGCAAAACATGTTCTTCATGTTCTTCAGTTCCATCCATCGACTCTCCGGCAATGCTTGGACAATGTTGTAAAAAACGCATACTTTATACGAAAATGTACGTCTTTTATTAATAAATATTTTAACGAAGAATACGTTTTTCTTTCATAATTTCGTAAATGTACGATTTACAAGCAAAATTTTTCACCATAAATGGTATTTTTTGTCAAAAAAGGCCAAAACGCGGTGGTTGGCTGCAAAACTCAGGGGGCGGAGTTTATATGTATTTGGGACGTCGCAAATCCGCGGATTTGCTACCTCCCAATTCCGTGCCGTCGCAAAAACGCCGTTTTGCTACCTCCTCTCTCGCGGAGGTAGCGAAAACGCCGATTCGCGACCGACTTTTTTCGGAGGTCGCGAAAAGAAGGATTCGCTACCGAGACCACGTCGCAAATCGATCATTTCGCTACTTTTTGAAATTGGTAGCGAATCCAGCAAACATTCTCGAGCTCGAGAAAAAATTCTTATTCCTTCGCTCTTATATGTTTGCCCAATTCAAAAAATAAGTTTGGCTAGTGCCGAGGTCTAGAATAGTTTTCCCGTTTTCGAACACTTTACGATTAATTTTTGAACATTTTCGACAACAAAGGTTGTAATTCTAAATTCACAGCTGCTTGCTTCCACCTTTCTTGGCTTATGATGGCTTTTTCGGCGCTACGACTTTCCGGGTCAACAACATTCGTCGACGATGCTTTGAGAGGGCCTCAACCTGTCGTTGTATGTACTATGTGTGAGGGAGGCTTGAAGAAGGTTTACTTAACAAAATAATTAGATTGATTATGTCGTAGGATAGTTCTAAGATAGTTTATCATCTATTTTTGTCTTTTGCATGTTTTTCTAAATTAATATCCGGATAGAATTTACGGATCTTCGTTTTTTGTAGTACCTTTCAGTCTTCTTTATGTTACCGTAGCTCACGTCGTCAGGCTCAAGAAAACTAGAGTTAGCAACAGCTCAAATTAGAGAAATTGGTCTTGTTGTACGTCTCCGCCAAGTCTCCGCCGTGCCTTCGCCGAATGTCCGCCATACGTTCAACGGCTTTCACAGGCCTCGTAGGCACCTGCTGCCACATTTTTTGTCCTCTGTTTGTCATAGGCCTCGCAGTGTATAAGACCACAATAGCTGATATTAGAAGAAGTGGTCATATTGTAAGTCTTCGCCAAGTCTCCGCCAAACCTTCGCCGACTGTAAAAGAGCTTTTCCAGGCCTTGTAATAGGTACCTGCCGCATTTTTTTAGGATTCCCTGTCTTTCCGGGGCCACAGTAGGCAATTTCTGCAACTTTTTTGGGGTCTCCACCTGTCCTACGCCCCGTATAAATCGATTTTGTATTGACCCGAACTGTTGTCAACCCAAAAATTCGCTACGCAAATTTACAACTCCATTTGAAAACCCAACGCGCCAACATATTGTAGCGACCTTATTTTCAGCCCCATGGACGCTCTCCATTTACTGCTTGCCCTCACAATCTTACTCATCTTTTTCGTTTGGATTGTTCGCTTTATTGGCAATTACTACGGCCTCTCCGCACATCGGCCCGAAGAGAGTTCACTGGTTGTGAAGAAATGGGATAAAGATGTGGTGTATCTGGTCAAATACGCTGACAACAACTACTGCATAAATGCCTCGCCGTTCTGTTTGAAACTGGAGTTTTTCTTGAGGTATCATAAAATTGTATATAAGGTAGGTGCTATAGAGTCTTATGAATGGATCTGGAGGGAGAAACATTCAGATTTCGATGAATTTCTGGCGGAATTGGGGTATGATTCTTAGAAATTAAGCATCTATTCCTCGTTGTATGTATGGAGGAGGCTAGGAGAAGGCCCAGCAAATAAAAATAACAAGGTTCGTCAGGTTCCCCGAAGGCTTTTCACTGGCTTGGAGCTATTTTTCATGTATTACTCTAGTAATATCATATAGAACTTGCGGATCGCCATTTCTTTTCAGCAATTTTTGTTCTTTTCTATGTTACAATAGCTCAGGGTCAAGAAAACAAAGCTTAGCAATAGCTAAAATTAGAAAAAGTAGAGATATTGTAAGTGTTCTCCAAGTCTCTGCCGAGCTTTCATCGAGCATCCGCCGAGCATCCAACGGCTTTTCCAGGCCCTTTTAAGTATCAAAAGCGGGCAACATGTCCATACTGCTTACTATTATTACATATTTTCAGCCAATTGAAGCCAAGTTTTTGGCCCTCTCTTCCGAGGGAAAGAAGCCGTTCATCGAATACAATGGAAGGCATTACCCGGATTCGGATTTAATAATAAACTTCCTCGTCAAGGAGAAGAAAATCAAATACAACATGACCTCAGAGCAAAAAGCGATTTCACATTTGGTCCAGAGATTGTGTGATAAAAGCATGTACATGTGAGTAAACTTTGATTTTCTTTGATTTTTTATGTATTAACAACAAATTAACACACCCAGCTTTCGCAGTACAGTAATAAAAAAAAAATTTTTTTGAAATTTTCAACTTTTTAAGCCATGTACCTTCATAGCCTAGTGGTAGTGATTTAGACCTTGTGTTCGGAAGGTCGCCAGTTCGAATCCCGGTGCAAAAAATACGGAAATATGTTCAATTTACCATACGAAAATTGCAAAATACGCAGTATGATCTCTATTTGATCTCTAGTATGATCTTAGCGGTTTTTTCAGACTGAATTTATACTCAAAACTGGAGGAGAATATGCCCATGTTTGCCAAACTTATCAAAGGAAATGCCTCCACGCCAGAGTGGCATCTGCTTTTTATGAGACCTATGATCTACTATTTTGTAAGTCGAAATCTCTTTCTATCAAGACAAACGCAACATTTTATACGATAAAAGCCGTAGACCATGTTTCATCGTATAACATGTCCATTCAGCTTCTTATTCATTTCTTTGGTTGCAGAATTCAGTTTGGATCTCATGTGTATGGATTTGCCTTTGCTTACGCGATTTTTTTTAGCTATGGAACAGAGTAAACAGCGATGGAACTGGAGGCCATACCAAGTCAGAAGTTGTTGAACTTTTACAACAAGATTTGGATGCGGCGGAACGAATTTTGGGCGAAAAGAAATTCGTAGCTGGCGAAGAAGCCAGTGGGGTGAGTTGCGACATTTTATACGATGGATAATGACATTTTATACGATGAGACGTGTTTAGAAACATTTTATCGTATAAACTGTCACGTACGGGAAAAATTCTCCGCAAAACCGATGTATAACGGAGGGACTTAGAGGCATCAAAGGCAATTTTAGGCAAAAAATAATAGATTTTTTACTAGCGACATTTTATACGAAGAAACGTGTTTAGAAATCTTTCATCGTATAAGATGTCGCTTTCTTCCAAACATCGACAAAATAATGAATACAAATTTCAGGGAGATTTTGCCTTGTTTGCCCACCTAATGTGCGCTTATTACATGCCTTTTACGATTCCATTGAGGACGATTGTGGACAACCGTTGCCCGAGGCTGAAGGCCTACATGGATCGGAATCATTGGAACTTTTTCGCCGACTACCTTCTACATGACAACGAGAAGGTCGTCTAAGGCATTAATATTACATGTTTTTTGTTATCGGATAAATAAACCGGATTTTCGACATTTCGGAATTTTTGCAATTTTTTGAGATAAAAATCTCAAAATTCATTTGAAAAAATTAAGTGAAAAAGTTGTCATCATACAATATGAAGTATTTTACATTCAAAAAAACAATAAAACTTGATTTTCCTGCGTTTTAAAGTGCATTTTTTCGTTTTTTTTGCAAAATTCCCTGCAATTTCGGAGCGAAAAGTTTGCAAAAATTGGTGTCAAGAATAAGGCGCTTGGGATCGCTGAGCGTAGATTATCTTATCGCGTCGCAAAATCTCGCGCGACCCCAAAAAACCAACATTTTCATTACGTTGGATCAGTGTCCGATTCAATGCAACTGGTTTGGGGTTAAATTTAGAAATTGAATTTTTTGATTTGGGGAATCTCGCTTCATCTCCCCGATGAAGTCTTGAAAATACTGTCTTTCTGCAACGAGTAGCAGGCCGAAAAAAGTGGTGTTGTTATGGAAGAGGTTCGCTGTGCAAAGGTTTATTTTTCCTAGTTTTGGGATCTCGGTAAAAGTTCCTTTTTCTGGCCACAACTTACAGGGGAAGTACTCCAAGTGCGACGCTCAGATTTTCTTTAAATTTTGCACACACGTCGGGTGTGGACTAAATATCAGTTCCTGAAAGTTTTAGCTCGCGCTTTGCGGGCGCCGCCGAGATATCGAACGATTTTTGCCGCCGAGAGAGCACGATAAACGTGGAGAGCGGTAAAAGAGAAAAACGCTTTTTGGCCATAACTTTGGCAGTTTCGCGCGGAAAAATTTTGTTTTTTGTAGAAACATTATCCTTCACAGTAGAAGTAGGCATGAAAATTTTCGTGCCGAAATTCTGCAAAAAGTCCTAAATTTTCGCCGACTTTCGATCTAAAAAATCTCGGTTGTTTCTGCAAAGCTCGAGCTAAGATTCTCGCATATATCTTAGAAAAAATTATTCTAAATTTGTGCCAAGTTTCATCAAAATCTGAGCGTTGCAATTGGAGTACTTCCCTGATTAGTATAACTTTGCGGAAACGAGTCAGAATTAGCCCGAATTTGGCGTGTAAGGCTAAATTCATAGTTGTTAATGCCCGGACAGTGGATTTACTTAGTGAGGTACCCTCCTTTTTCGTATCACCTTACCCTTTAAAAACGGCTGCAGCTTGCGATTTACAGCTTTATATATATACGATGAAACCTGCCGGAAACTAAAACTTATTGCCTCCATGTAGAACTAAATGAGTCGTCATAGCTTTCCTATGTACCCTTAAGAATACAGAGCTGTTATACTAATTCCGTGCGAGCTAGATGGAAGTCTTTTTTCCTAGCTTTAGTTCCCAAACTTGGGCGCAGATCGCAGAGTACCTTTGTTATGGCCAGAAAAAGGAAGTTTTCCCGGGATCTCTGAAACGCTCGTAACAGTTAATTTTGGCAATTATCGATATTGGATCAATAACTGCCCTGGTAATTTCTGCAATAAGAGTAACCCCACATCTATTTCAAGTTTCGCCACAAACCCAAATTTCCCTCGAGGCGTCGTAAAATCAACCCCAATCAAAAATCTGACGCAACTCCTCGTTTCCTCACCTCTAACCCCCCGAAACTGATATGCAATGCTCGTCGGAGGCTTGTTCTTTGTACTCTAAAATTCCTCCCCGCTCTTTTTCCACGTTTCATTTTTTTCACGCTCCCCTTTTTTGGTGGCCAACGCTTTTTCGGCGGTTTGGAGCCGAGAATCTTTATTGGGGACTTTGTGGGGAAAAGTTTGGGGGTTTTCTTTGGCAAAGATTTGGAAATAGTGAAAAAATTGTCTTGTTTTTTATGTAATTTTTTTTTGAAAACTATTTTTATATTTTTTTGTAATAAAATGACAAAAAATGAGGATTTAATTTTACACTAATTTTAAAAAATTTCGAAATTTTCAATTTTTAAATTAAAAAAAAATATTTTTTTTTTAAATATTTTTATTTTTTCGCAATAAAACGGCAAAAAAGCATCTTTTTATTTTAAAATAATTTTAAAAAATTCAATTTTTTTTCTCAAAATTTTTTTTTATTTTTTTCAATTTTTGGGCGTGGCACATTTTATCAAAAAAAACCGCCAAAAATTTGATTAAAACCTCTCCAAGTACGGCTGATAATTTGGGCGTTTTGATTTAATCCACGTCACTTATTTTGTTGGCCTTTCGTTTTTTTGCTCCCTCGGAACAAGGTCAAATAAAAATTAATTCACTTTGTCGGTAATGTTTTTATTAGAATTTGTGCTTATCAGTTGCCAGCGAACTTCCGGAATTCAGTCGGAATTTTTTGATTTTATTTTCTTGGCGGAATTTTTGAAGGTTTTAGAAATTTTTTTGTTGGGAATTTTGGCTTGACGGATGTGGCTGTAAAGCGCTTGCTAAAATTTGCGATAAGCGTTTTCTGCAGAGCTTGCAAGAAACCTGAAACCGGTTTCCTGCAGGATACATATTGATATCCACATTGATCCCTTCAATTTCTTCTTGTTGCTTATTTTTTATTGTCAGCAATTCAAAACTGTCTACTAAAATTTTTAATTGTCTAACAAGGAAAGTACCCCAAGTGCGACCCTCAGATTTTCTTTAAATTTTGCACACACGTCGGGAATAGACTAAATATCAATTCCTGAAAGTCTTAGCTCGCGCTTTGCAGGCGCCGCCGAGATATCAAACGATTTTTGCCGCCGAGAGAGCACGCTAAACGTGGAGAGCGGTCAGAGAGAAAAACGCTTTTTGGCCGTAACTTTGGCAGTTTCGTGAGGAAAAATTTGATTTTTTGTAGAAACATTATCCTTTACGGTAGAAATAGGCACAAAACTTTTCATGCCAAAATTCGACAAAAAGTCCTAAATTTTCGCCGACTTTCGATCTAAAAATCTCGATTGTTTCTGCAAAGCACGAGCTAGGATTCTCGCATATATCTTCGAAAAAAATATTCTAAACTTGTACCAACTTTCATCAAAATCTGAGCGTCGCACTTGGGGTACTTCCCCTGTAAGTGCACCTCTGCAGAGAGGTGGACGAAATTCTCAAATACAATGTTACTCCCATAAACACGTTTATAACAAATAAATTTTCGGTTTCTTCCGTTGTACAGGGGTTCTACTACATTAAATTCCCGACTAAACATTGAATTATTATCACTGTTTATGATCTATGGAAAAATTCCGACAGTAATCTCTCCCAAAATTGTCAACACTAATTGCTTTTGCCGCATCATCATTTCTCCCTGTTTCTTATGTCCGTGTCGAACGTTAGGAAAGACTAGGATCCCGGAGATAATAATTGCTTGTTTTTCCCGACAACACGCTCTCTTTGAACCGGGATCTGGCCAATTCCGCCATTTAAAATTCTGGAGAAATCGCTTTTAAAAGACGTTTTATGAGCTTTAATCAAATATCCTTGCTTTTTGATTTGTCTTTATGCCAGTTTCAATCATTTCCTTTGCTTTTCAGATTATTTAAACCAGCCGTTAAAAATGTGCGGAATTTTCGCCTACCTCAACTTTTTGACGCCCAAGAGTCGGAAAGAAGTGGTCGACATTCTGATCCAAGGCCTCCGTCGTATGGAGTACAGAGGATATGATTCGGCGGGCCTGGCGATCGACTCCGGCAAGCCGGAAGAAGCTCATTCTCCAGTGGCGCTGTTCCGCAAATGCGGCAAAGTTGACAATCTTCAGGAGGCCATTAATTGTAAGTCAGCCAGATTTATAGCAGTTTTTCACCGTCACATCCCGTATTTTAAACCGTTTTTTGCTTTATTGAATAATAAGTTAAGGCTTTCAAATGCCTTCTTTTGTAGCCGTAATTCTTTAGCCGTATTTTTGCCATTTTGTGCGGAAAGAATTCGTTTTTTTTGTGGAAACGGTAGAAACAAGTGTGAAAATTTTTCTGTCAAAATTTGCCAAAAAAATGTCGCATCTTTGCCGGCTTTTAATCTAAAAATTTTAGCAATTTTTTCCCCGAGATTAATCTGCAGAGGCGAGCTAGGAATCTCACGTATGACTTACAAGGGCTCGGCAAAACCTCGTCCCCTGGTTTTTTCTTGAAACATATACCATTTGAAAGAGCGCAAAAAACTGGTCTAGAAGCGACTTTTATTAGCTGCTATTATCCACTTACGCGCTGGCTAGCGAGAATTTTTTAGTTCTAGGCTAGTCTCACCCTTCTTTTGAGAAAACAAACGCGATCGGTTTCAAAAGCAAAGCGAAGCAGTGCTTCGGTGGCCTAGTGGGGAAAGGCGCTGCTCAAGGACCTGCGAAGCGGGTTCGAATCCTGTTTTGAACTTTTTTATTTTTCTGGCTAGTATGGAACAAATAAAGTCAGAAAGTTATATTTAATTTTGGACTAGACTTTTGTGTATACTCAGGTCCATTTTAAAAGAAAAAACTACAACTTTTTCGTTTTTTTTCATTTTGGCCTCTTTGACCTTGTAGTGGGACATCCTGGGTGGTTGAAACTTTCGAAGGCTTTCATATTTTTACTAGGAATTCCCGCTAACGGAAAGTACGTAAAAATTGAGTCTGAAAACATCTTACATGCTTGGAACATCTTCGTTTGTCTTGAGTTACAAGACCTAAGACATCGCGCAATCACTCATTGAATACATCAACCTGAATGTCTCAAACTCAGAAAACCTTTTGTATTTTTTGACATGGGTTGAAGCGTTCAACCTCATTAATGACTAATATTTATATGAAAAGTGATTATTCGATCTCGTTCACGTCTCAGAAGCAAAAAGTTCCAGAATTCAACTTGGAAATTTTGAAAAATGCCCGCTAGCCAGCCCGTAAGTGGATAATAGCAGCTAATTCAAGGTGATCCTAAACCAGTTTTTTACGCGCTTTCGAATGGTATATGTTTCAAGATAAAACCAGGGGACGATATCAATTCCTGAAAGTTTTAGCTCGCGCTTTGCGGGCGCCACCGAGATATCGAACGATTTTTGCCGAGCACGCTAAACGTGGAGAGCGGTCAGAGAGAAAAACGGTTTTTGGCCATTACTTTGGCAGTTTCGCGCGGAAAAGTTTGATTTTTTGTAGAAACATTACACTTTACAATTGAAATAGGCATGGAATTTTTCGTGCCGAAATTCGACAAAAAGTCCTAAATTTTGGCCGACTTTCGATCTAAAAATCTCGGTTGTTTCGGCAAAGCGCGGGCTAGGATTCTCGCATATATCTTAGAAAAAAATATTTTAAATTTGTGCCAAGTTTCATCAAAATCTGAGCGTCGCACTTGGAGTACTTCCCCTGAAAATTGTGCCAATTTTCATCAAGATTTGAGCGTTGCACTTTTAGTACTTTCCCTGTAAACCTATCATACAGCAAAGCCCGCCTATAACGAATAATTTTTCTGTGCCTGTAACGAATTCTCCCATATTTATATCAAAAGTATGTATTACAAATCGTTTTTCAGCCGACACAAAGCTGGAATGGGACACAACCTACAACGTTCATTGCGGCATTGCCCACACTCGTTGGGCCACGCACGGCTCCCCAAACGACGTCAACTCGCATCCTCAGCGCAGCGATGAGGAGAACGAATTCGTCGTCGTCCACAATGGAATCATCACCAATTACAAGGAGATTAAGGAGTATTTGAAGAAGAAGGGCTGTCAGTTTGAGAGTGAGACGGACACTGAGGTGATTGCCAAGTTGGTCCAGTACATTCACGACAAATACCCGCAGTTCAACTTCAGACAGCTGGTGGAGACCACGATTCAACAGCTGGTGAGTTGTTGAAGAAGTGTTGTGCACGTGTTTCGACACGAGACCAATTCTAAGGGTTTTTTAAGGGAAAAAATTTTTGTGATTGGTACACTTAACAAATTTATATGTATTATATACTCGGCGCAAAAACTGGGGACCTGATCGAGTGTCAAAAAAAACTTACCATTTTGCATCAAGGGGGTATCGAAAATGTGGTAAAATGCTTCCCTCTCCAAGTGAAAAAACGTTTTGAAGGGCGCCCTTTCCCTCTAAAAAAGAGCGGGCGCGCTGTTGAAATCGGAGTTTTTTTCAATTGGAGAGGGAAGCATTTTGTCACATTTTTGATAATTCCCGGATGCAAAATGGTACGTTTTTTTGCCGTTGGATCAGGTCCACCACTGTAAAAAATGGCGCTATGACTATTCGTGTCATCGGCAGTTCGGGTCAACGTCGTCGTTGTATTGAAGCGGGAGGCTAGGAGGAGGCTTAGTTAGTAGAAATAATAAGATTAATCGGGTGCTAGGACATAAGCTTATCGTTTATTTTGAGGTATTTTAAATGCACGTACTCACATCAATAATATCTAGATAAAAGTTACGGAGCTTCATTTTTTGCCGCAAATTTTGGTCTTTTATATGTTACAGTAACTCAGAGTAAGAAAAACTAACGTTTGTAATAATCAATATAAGAAACAGTAGACACATTGCAAGTCTTCGTCAAGTGTTCGCCGAGCGTCCGCTAACCAATAATCGAACGGCTTTGCCAGGCGTTTTAAGTACCTACAAAAACTTTCTTTTGGGTATTCACCTGCCCTACGCCCTATATCAATCGATTTTGTGTTGTTACCCAAACTGTCATCGACTCGAAAAGTCCAATGCAACTATAAAAGAAGTAAATTGTAAGTCCCTAAAAACAGTGGGCAGCCCTTTCGCAATTTCCAAAGCCTTCGTATCGATCGATTTTGCGTTGTCACCCGAACTGTCGTTGTCTCGAAAAGTCATATCGCTAAAAACTTTACCCTTCTTTTTTCAGGAAGGCGCCTTCGCGTTGGCCTTTAAGTCCCGCCGTTTCCCTGGTCAACTCGTCGCCACTCGCAGAGGCTCACCGCTCGTCGTAGGGATCAAAAGTGATGCTCGTCTGAGCTCGGATCACTTCCCCGTCTACTTCAGCAAGGGTACGTAAAAATCTGCATTTTCTAGCACACGGGATATTATTGAACATTTTTTTCAAAGTTTTATTATTGAACAGGCATTTTTTCGAAATTCTAGTGTTATTGTGTTTTGCGGTTGTTGTACAGTTGAGTTGCAGAGGCAGGTTTCATTTGGCAGGACGACAAGAAGCTGAGAAATTCCTCTGGCAAAGAGAACAGTCAGTTTTTTGCGATAGCTTCATAACGCTAACCGCTAGCTTGCTGGCTTAACAAATTGACTTGCTTACTAACTACCCGCTGCGTTCTCACAATGGGTGTTGTGTTTTTGTTGAGTGTGCTCTTGGCTTTTGTTTCTTATCAAGTTTTAAGGAATTTGTGACCTTAATTCTTTTATTTTTAGGCGCTAGAATCAAGAGCGAAGAGATCTTCGATCAACTGGACAATGGGGCTGCAAGATTGGGTAAGTCGGGATGCAGTTGCAAGCCAGGGGATGTACAGTGCTGTAGGCTGGTTGTACTGGGAAAAAAAGTTAAAAATAGAGAAGAATTTGGCCAAATCTGGTTTCAAAATCATTCAGAGGACACTGAAAGACCTTGAGTTTTGTAACAACAAAACCTTGGAAAATTCATGGGGCGCAGAATGATAGAAACTTTGCACTGACAACCCCCTGGAACTGATACAGTGGAGGACCTGATCCAGTGGCAAAAACGTACCATTTTGCATCCGGGAAGTATCAAAAATGTGGCAAAATGCTTCCCTCTCCAAGTGAAAAAAACTACGATTTCAAAAGCGTGCCCGGTCTTTTTGTGAGGGAACCCTTCAAGACGAAGGTTTTTCACTTGAACAGAGAGGCATTTTGCCACATTTTTGATACTTCCCGGATGCTAAATGATACGTTTTTTGCCACTGGATCAGGTCCCCCACTGCAAGTACACGAATCTATTCGATTCATCCGTTGCTTTAAAGGTTACGGGAGTTGGTAAAAAATGCTTTCTGAACCTTTAAAAACTCCTGGTCAACTTTATGGTAACTGCTGAAGCCATTTGTACACCTAGAAACTTAATCAGCAACACCAAATTTATTGCTAGAATTTCTTGTTGAAAGTGAATTTTGGTTGATTCCCAAACGTCCCGCCTGAATCATAGAGCCTATCCTAAGCCCTAAGACCCATCAATACCACACTTTTTTCAGGCGACACCAAAGACCGTTCAATTCGTCCAGCCGATGCCAAAAACTGGGAAGCCGAGTATTTCTTCGCCTCAGACGCTAGTGCCATCGTCGAACACACCAAACAAGTTCTCTTCCTCGAGGACGACGACGTCGCGTTCGTCGAGAACGGCTCGCTGACCATTCATCGGATCAAACGCGATGGCTCCGATCCATCGGCGCAGACTCGCGAGGTCCAGCAGCTGAACCTGGAACTGAACGAGATTATGCGCGGCGACTTCAAGACGTTCATGCAGAAAGAGATTTTCGAGCAGCCGGAGAGTGTGGTGAACACAATGCGAGGCCGTGTGCTGCCGGACGGCCGAGTTCTGCTCGGTGGGATTCATGACTTCATCCCGGACATTAAGCGATGTCGCCGACTGATTTTGATTGCGTGTGGAACGTCGTACAACTCCGGAATTGCGTGCAGACAGTTGATGGAGGAGTTGACCGAATTGCCAGTGGTTTTGGAGCTGGCCAGTGACTTCTTGGATAGGGAAACTCCCATTTTTCGGGATGATGTCTGCTTCTTTATCAGTCAGAGTGGAGAAACCGCGGATACGCTAAATGCCCTGAGGTAATATAGAGATTTTAAGGGTTAGAATGAAAAATAAACCTTAAAAATACCCATGTTCTTATTTACGGAACGTTTGCTTGACGTTTTGCTCGAAAAATAATCAAAATTATATTGTACTAGGTATCAGATAAAGACCCTTGATTTCTCTAAATTCTACAGGCCGAATTGGCTTCTTTACTGCTTACTAGAAAGGAACAGCCTCCTTATCAACGGTCAATATAAAATTAGCGATCATATCGAGAGTTAACCCCAAAAATCGCCTAAAATTTATATTGTACTAGACATCAAACCTAAAATTTTTCAAACTTCAGATACTGCAAGCCCCGTGGCGCTTTGTTGATCGGAATTACAAACACTGTGGGCTCATCCATTTGTCGAGAGACCCACTGCGGAATTCACGTCAATGCCGGGCCTGAAATTGGTGTGGCGTCGACCAAAGCGTACACTTCGCAGATCTTGGCGTTGGTAATGTTTGCGCTGTCCGTCAGCGATGACCGGATTTCAATGCAAAACCGACGTGCTGAGATCATCCATGCTCTGCAGACCATGCCAGGTATTTTTTTTTAATTTTTTGCTGAATTTTGCAGCCGTGACATTTTATACGATGAAACATGTTTGGTCATGTAGAGGATGTCCTTCTACACGCAGTATTTTACGCTACGATACTTCGTATTTTGCACTAAAAACTGTCATTTAAAAAAAAATTTACTATTTTCAACTAGTGACATTTTATACGATGAAACATATCTGAGCAGGTTTCATCGTATAAAATGGTTTCACCTATTTTATCCAAAAAACTTATTTTCAGATCACATTAAGACAATTCTGACCCTGGATTCGCATATTCGATCAGCCGCTGAGACAATTTACAAAGAAAAATCGGTCTTGGTCATGGGAAGAGGCTACAACTTCGCCACATGCCTTGAGGGCGCGTTGAAAATCAAAGAATTGAGCTACATGCATTGCGAGGGAATCATGTCCGGAGAGCTGAAGCATGGCCCGCTTGCGATGGTCGACGAGAATCTGTGCATTATTATGGTGGTTTGCAGCGACAATGTTTATAAGGTAACGAGTTTGTAAGCTTCTAAACCGAATTTTGAGCTTTCAGAAGTCCATCAACGCGCTTCAACAAGTCTTGGCCCGGGGCGGTCGGCCAATTGTCATCGCCGACGAGAAGGTTCCGCTGGATGATTTGAGCGGCGCCAAGGAGATAATCAGGGTTCCAAAGACCGTCGACTGCGTTCAGAACATCTTGACCGTAATTCCATTGCAGTTGCTCAGTTATCATGTCGCCGAATTGAACGGCCTGAACGTGGATCGTCCCAGAAATTTGGCCAAATCCGTCACTGTCGAGTAAAAAAAGTTATTTATGTTTTTGTGGAGGTAATTTATTGCAAACCATATCGTCAGGAGTAATAAAGTTATTTATTTTTGCGGAAAATTTCTTTTGGTGACATTTTATACGATCAAACATGTTTGCACACAGTTAATCGTATAAAATTTCGCTTTCAAAGTCATCAAATTTTACTAAGGGGATGTTTAGATTCCACGAAAGAAAGGGTAAATTTTTATTAAAAGTGACATTTTATACGATCAAACATGTTTGCATACATTTAATCGTATAAAATGTCGCTTCCAAAGTCATCAAATTTTACTAAGCGGATGTTTAGATTCCATGAAAGAAAGGGAAAATTTTTATTAAAAGCAACATTTTATACGACCAAAGATGTCCGGACATATTTTATCGTATAAAATGTCGCTTCCAAAGTCATCAAATTTTACTAAGGGGATGTTTAGATTCCACGAAAGAAAGGGTAAATTTTTATTAAAAGTGAGATTTTATACGATCAAACATGTTTGCACACAGTTAATCGTATAAAATTTCGCTTTCAAAGTCATCAAATTTTACTAACTAGGGAAGTGTACATACGAACCCTCACCAAATGATAAGTGACATACGTCGTTGGAGAGCCCTTGAAAAATGGTAGAAAGCACCATTTTTATTTTTTGCAGAATGCCTTTCCGCGACGACATACTGTAAATTGTATTATTTTTAGGCCCTTTTGCAACAAAAATCTTTCTTTCTCTTGGGTAGGAAAAAATCCTCGAAGAGGGTTGCTTCAATAGTGTAGTGGTTGCTGAGCAGGCTGATAAGACAAAGCAAGCCGGGTTCGGTTCCCAGCTTGGGAAAAACCATTTTTGCGTTCTTACAGTTAGGAAAATATTTGCGTTAAACTTTTACAAACGCTTTAGTTTTACTGGAAGACGGTCGGTTAAGGTTAAAACCATCAAACTTACATGTTTTTCAACATTAAAAAAAGTGAAAAGTGGTTTTTCACATTATGGGTACTTAAAACCAGTAAATATCATAGGTAAAATGGTCTTACTGGCAAGCGCTAAACTTCATAATGGTCCTTATGCTAACCTAGTAGCATTCCGTACCATTTAGCGTTTTGAAATAACATTTATTATACCCCACAGCAGATATCGTAACTACTTAAGGGACAAATCAACCGTTTATAATTTTTTGCCCTGAGGCATTCTGCAAAAAATGAAAATGGTGCCTTTCACCATTTTTCAAGGGCTTTCCAATGGTGTATAACACTTGCCATTTGGTGAGGGTTCGTTTGTACACTTCCCTAGTAAGGGGACGTTTAGATTCCATGAAAGAAAGGGCAAATTTTTATTAAAAGAGACATTTTATATGATCAAAGATGTCCGGACATATTTTATCGTATAAAATGTCGCCCCCGAAGCGATCAACATTTTTAAATCGACGGTAAAAAATGCGACATAGAGACGCCAAACTTTTTCCTCAGCAAATAAAATTTATTTTTTTTTACAAAAACTACAAAATATTTACTGCGTTGCCCAATAAATCGAACAATTATTTCCACTTCATTCCGGGTACTTCTCCTTGGAACAAAGGAGTTTGGATTTGCTTCCAGTGTTGCTGATCTCAAAATTGACGGGATTTCCACGTTTCACTGGGCCGAATTTCTGACAAAGACACCTTCCGTAGACTCGGTGACATCTGAAATTGCAAGAAATAAAAAAAATCTTATAGATTTGGTTACAAAATTCTTTTTTTTGTGTGAGTTTCCTTTTACGAGAATGCAAAAAAAACGCAATCGCTATTTCAAATACAGTTGCAGCTTAATAGGCTCGGGCGCAGGTTGGAAAAATTATTTTTTTTGTAAAAAAATCAAAAAAAGTATTGCCAAAAGCGTAGGTGCAAAATATAATACTTGAAAGCCCCTACACTTTAACCAGCTTTCCCGGATCAGTAAATGGAATGATTAGTGGGGTGCAGGTGATATCGTATCTTCCTTTTGCATCAGCCTTGGTCTTGCCACACGAAGCGAGGAACTGGTCCGGTTCGATGAAAACGTTCTGAAAACATACTGGAGGTATTTCTTTTGTTAGCTTTAAAAAATTTTTCTTTTTTCCCGCAGGCTGCAGAAAAAAAATGGCAAAAATATTTCGACCTGAAATTGTCAAAAAAAATGCAATAATGCAATTTTGAGGGCAAATTAAATGTTTTTACCTTTTTTGGAATATTTTAAAGCCTCAGCGGACATAAAAGTCCTGGGGCGAACGCGCTATCTGAAAGTTTGCTGAAAGTTCGCTGAACATGGTAGGGCGCAGCGCGGAAAACTAGCACGGGCGCAGCTCGGGCAGTTCGGAAAACAAGCCTTTGTAGCTTGCCCGAGCTCACTTTTAGCCTGTTCTCGAGCTGCGCCCTGTGATTTTCAGCAAACTTCCAGTTAGCGCATTGGTCCCGATTGACACGGGAAGTACCCCAAGTGCGACGCTCAGATTTTCTTTAAATTTCGCACACACGTCGGACATCAACCAAATATCAATTCCTGAAAGTTTTAGCTCGCGCTTTGCAAGCGCCACCGAGATATAGAACCATTTTTTCCGCGGAGAGAGCACGCTAAACGTGGAGAGCGGTCAGAGAGAAAAGCCCTTTTTGACCATAACTTTGGCAGTTTCGTGCGGAAAAATTTGATTTTTTGTGGAAACATTATCCTTTACGGTAGAAATAGGCATGAAACTTTTCGTGTCGAAATTCAACAAAAAGTCCTAAATTTTCGCCGACTTTCGATCTAAAAATCTCGGTTGTTTCCGCAAAGCGCGAGCTAGGATTCTCGCATATACCTTAGAAAAAAATATTCTATATTTGTGCCAAGTTTCATCAAAATCTGAGCGTCGCACTTGGAGTACTTCCCCTGTAAGTTCATTGTTACAATGCCCCTCAAAAAACAGGGCTTACAATTTTGTAGTAGCCTCGGAAGTCCGGGTTCGCCTCGCCTCCATGGTCCTTGCTCCAAATCTTTCCGTAGGTGCGCCAATCAGCGGAAACGACGGAAAAGGCGGTCGATGAAACGAGCAAAACGAATGCGTGACCCCACTGCATCACAGAGAGCACTTCCAACCAGAATGGGGGAAATTTAGAGCAATTCCAATTTTCAATTTATTCACACATTCACATGATTCCGTACGTCATGGAGACGCAATCAAAAAATACATTTTTTGGAAAAAGTTCCTTATTTTGGCCACAACAAAGGTACTCCGCGAACTGCGCCCAAGCTTGGGCACTAAAGTGAGGAAAAAACGCTTCGACCTAGCTGGCACTGAATTACTATAATAGCTCTATAGTTTTAAGGGTACCTACGAAGGCTGTGACGACTCATTTAGTTCCATACGGAGGCAATAGGTTTACTTCCGGATATGTTTCATCGTATAAAGTGTAAAATCACAGGCTGCAGCCGTTTTTGAAGGGTAAGGTGGTACTGAAAAAAGAAGGTACCTCACTAAATGAATCCACTGTCCGGGCATTGACAACGATGAATTGAGCGTATACGCTAAATTTAGGCTAATTCCGACCAGTTTCCGCAAAGTTATAAGTTGTGGCCAAAATAAGGAACCTTTACCCATTTTTTTATTTCAAAATTACATTGATATAAATTAAAGCTTAAATAAATCTATGGATATTTCTGTTTGGAGCAGTCGTTCTTGTCGACATCATCTTTTGGGCTGATTTGAACGTCCAGCCGATTGGTGCGGACTGGCTTAATGGTCTTGCAGAGGCAGTCTCCGTAGATGCGATGGCAACTAAAAAAATGGACAGCTTTTTTGAGCAAAACAGATATACAAAAACTGTGTGCTTTTTTAGATAACTCCATCTTTGGCCCAATACAGAAAAAAAATATAAAAAAAATTTTTCCGAGTCGCGCCCGAGCTTCGGCCTATTATCTTTTTTTTATAATTTGTTTAGCCATTCTGAAACTTAATTATATTCAAAAGGGCGGGGAAAAATTCCAATTCGCCTGAAAATTTCAATTTTGCCGCTTTTTCTCCGCAGGCTGCAGAGAATTGAAAATAAAAAGATCAGACTTCAACCAAAACTTGTCGGAAAAAGGTTGTAAAATGAAATTTCAGGGATCTACAGAGCGTTTAATAGCTTTCCTACAACTCGTCTTGGACTTCGAAAGAGAAGAACCATCAAGATCTTGCCAAAAAACAAGTTCAAGTCAAAGCTCGGGCGCAGCTAGGAGAAAATTTTTATTTTTGAATGCAGCGAAAGAACGAGACTTCACCAAAACTTTCAAATAGACGATAAAAGCCGTTCAAACTTACACTCGGACGGTCTTGTACGGATCAGTGAAAGGGACAATCAAAGGGGTGCATTTGATGCTATAGTAGCCATTCACATCCGTCTTGGTCTCTCCACAAGAACCCAAAAATTGATCGGGGATGATGAAGACGTTCTGAAGATATGCAAAGTACGTCAGAATATGTTTTTTATATTTTTACACCCAAGAATTTTTCAGAAACTTTTCATCGTATACAATGTCGCCTTTGCAAAAAAATCAAAACCGCTGCAGAACATAAGTATATAGTCTATAAAAACTAGATCTCTAACGTTTTTTTATATCGAAGAAGACGTTTCTAATAGGTGACATTTTATACGACGGAACATTTGCCAAAAAAAAAAAATACGCTTACGACTTTATAGTTTCCCTTGAAATTCGGGAAATCCTTGCTTGTTACTCTTCCGTGAGTCCACCACTCAGCGTGGGTGCTGGCGAAGCATGCGGAGAGGACCAAAACGCCCAAAAATTGAGCCGACCGCATCTCGAACGAGATTTTTATTGGAGTAAATCACTTTTTTCGCATGAATTAAAACAAAAAAAGAAACAAATGACATCAAAAAAGACAATAAAAGCCTTCATTAAAAAAATCTTTTATTTATCCTACAGAAAACACAAAAAGAAATAAAAAAATGGATCTGCTCAGTGATACTTGTTTGCAAGAATTCCACAGTGTTCACTGTGGACATAAGTATGGTTTGGGGTGAGCTCAACATCCAGCCATTCGCTTTTGACAGGGTTAAAAGTGATGCAACGACAGAATTTGTACAGAAAATGGCAGCTGAAACATGGAAGGTTAAGATAAAAAAATTATATGTTTATGTTTTATGTAGGTCAAACATTGAGTCTATTATAGTGAAACCTCTGTACAACAAAATTCCGCACAACAGAACCTGGAAAAAGTTCCTTATTCTGGGGCCAATGCGCTATCTGAAAGGTTGCTGAAAGTTCGCTGAAAATGGTAGGGCGCAGCTCGGAAAACTGGGACGGATGCAACTCGCGTCTTGGGCGCAGCTCGAAAACAAGCTGAAATCTAGCTCCGGCGAGCTGCGAAAGCTTGTTCTCCGAGCTGCCCCCGAGATGCGAGTTGCGCCCGTGCCAGTTTTCCGAGCTGCGCCCGAGACGCGAGCTGCGCCCGTGTCAGTTTTCCGAGCTGCGCCCTACCACTTTCAGCAAACTTTCAGATAGCGCATTGCGCTCTGGCCACAACAAAGATACTCTGCGAACTGCGCCCAAGCTTGGGAACAAAAGTTAGGAAAAAAAGACTTCGACCTAGCTGGCACTGAATTACTATAGAAGCTGTATAGTTTTAAGGGCACCTACTAAGGCTATGGCGACTCATTTAGTTCCACACTGAGGCAATAAGTTTAGTTCCGGACAGCTTTTATCGTATAAAGTGTAAAATCGCAGGCTGCAGTCGCTTTTGAAGGGTAAGGTGGTACGTAAAAAGGAAGGTACCTGATTAACTAAATCCACCGTCTGGGCATTGACAACGATGAATTGAGCCTGCACCCCAAATTTGGGTTAGTTCTGATCAGTTTCCGTAAAGTTATGTTGTGGCCAGAAAAAGGAACTTTTACCCAGAACCTTCCTATAACGAAACAATAGAACAACCTCCCTAATGACGAGCAATTTCAGAGATCCCAAGAGTCCTTTTTATGCCTAAACTAACCTCTGTATAACGAATCCCTTCTATAGCAAAAAAAATCTCCCCTTTAGATTTGTTGCACAGAGGTTGCACTCTATTTCGCACACCAACTTACACTGTGACCTTCTTGTTGGGATCGGTGAACGGGAGGATCCTCGGGACGCAATGGACTAGATAGTTTCCATGCACATCGGCTTCAGCCGTACCACAAGCACTAAAGTAGGCGTCAGCATACACGTGGACCTTCTGAAAATTGGGAAAATGACCTTATAGGTCAAGCGCTTATAAGATAATGTGACAATATTAAATCTCACGATTTTGGTCTGTCCTGTAAAATCAGGTGCATCTTTGCCTCCAAAATCCTTACTCCACACCTTGCCGTGCGTGATCCAGTCGGCGGATCCAACGAAAGTGCAGGCCAAGAAGGCCAAGACGAGCAAAAACTGAGACGACCGCATTGAAATGTAAGCTTTGGTAAAAGGGAAACGAAACAATTTGAAAGCGAATTTTAATTTTGAAAAATGGAAAAAACATTCTTGTTTTTTTTAAGATAAAAATTAGGGTTGTTGATTTAAGAGTGAAGAAATAAGATCGCACCGGTCGTTCCGAAGCGAAACGTTAAAAACGCTTTCCTCACTTTTTTTTAAAAAAATAGAATTTAAAAAATGAGGCCGACATGAGAAAAAAAGCTCGGGAAAGCAAATTTAGCGTCTTTTTCAAAATCTGAAAACCGGTCTTATTTCTTCATTTTTATTTGACAGGAGTTCGTATAAAATAACGCCAAATTGCCCTCCTTTCCGTCATTCTGACTAACAAGGCAAGTGCCCCATGTGCGACGCTCAGATTTTGATTAAAGTTGGCATAAATTTAGAATCATTTTTTCTAAAATATATCCGAGGATTCTAGCTCGCGCTTTGCAGAAACAACCTAGAGTTTTAAAAATGGAAAGTCGGCGGGGACCAATTTGGCATCCCCAATTTCTCATACATTTAGTGCAAAATCTGCATAAAAATTGAATTTTTGCTCATTTGGGGGTCATTTTCATTCTGGGGTGAGGTTGGTGACCGCTCTCTCAGAGCTCTTAAAGATCTAAATTTTGAACGAAAAAGAATTACGAAGTTATGAAACAATTCCTGAATGGTACAATAACCGTAATAAATGTGAAAAATACGAGTTGCTTGATATTTAACACAATCGCTTTCATCCAGATTGCCTCTCTTTACAATTTAAACTTATATAAACTTCATTTATCATAGTTCGCCTTAAAAAACGCGTTGATTTTGCAAATAAAATGTCTCTAATATGCCTGTATCCTATTAATCATGAAAATGTAATCTAAACCCCAGCAGAAAACCTACTAACAAATTGTGGTACCCTTTTTTTCGTCGAATATTGTACTTCATTTATTGAAAATGTCAGAGAACCCTTAAGAGATGGTGTTAATGACCTCAGGTATGCTTAACTTTTGTTTCTTTACCTGTATTTACAACTTTTTCTGAAGGGCGAAAAAACTTCAGAGCTCTGAGAGAGCGGTCACCAACCTCACCCCAGAATGAAAATGACCCCCAAATGAGCAAAAATTCAATTTTTATGCAAACTTTGCACTAAATGTATGAGAAATTGGGGTTGTCAAATTGGTCCCGGGAGTTTGACAATTTTTGCAGAATTTCGACACGAAAAGTTTCACGCCTCCGTCAAAGTCCTTGCTCCAAATCTTGCCATAAGTGAGCCAAGACGCCAGTCCACTGAATATGCAAAGCACGTCACAAAAACATTTCATCGTATTAAATGTCGCTTTAGCAAAAAAACCGCAAAACCGCCGCAGAACACAAGTCATCTATAAAACCGAAGAGATCTTAAACTTCTTTACATCGTAGAAGATTTTTTTAACGGGTGACATTTTGTACGATGGAACATTTTCGAGAAAAAAAACGCTCAGAACGTTATAGCTTCCTCTGAAATTCGGTAAATCCTTGCTTGTAACTCTTCCGTGAGTCCACCACTTAGCGTGGGTGTCGGAGAAGCATGCGGAGAAAATATGAACGACCGAAAATTGAGGCGAGCGCATCTCGAATGAGATTTTTATTAAAGTAAATTTTTTCGTAAGAATTAAGATGAAGGATAGACCTCTCTAAAATGAATACAGTTATCACTGTGGGCATAGGTATGGTTTGGGGTGAGCTCAACATCCAACCATTCGCTTTTCACAGGGTTGATAGTGACGCAACGACAGAATTCGTAAAGATAATGGCAGCTGAAACTTGGAGGTTAAGGTAACAAAATTATTTTTTCATCTTTTATGTAGGCTACGCATAAGGTTTATTACAGTGAAGCCTCTGTAAAATCCACTTCTGGAAAACCGGATATGGCTATAACGAACAACGTAAAAAAAAGTTATAAGTTGTGGCCAGAAAAAGGAACTTTTACCCAGAACCTCCCTATAACGAGACAATCGAACAACCTCCCTAATAACGAGCAATTTCAGAGATCTCAAGAGTCCATTTTATGCCTAAACTAACCTCTGTATAACGAAGCCCTTCAATAACAAAAAAAATCTCCACTTTAGATTTGTTGTACAGAGGTTGCACTCCATTTCACAACATTCACAACACCAACTTACACTTTGACCTTCTTGTTCGGATCCGTGAACGGGAGGATCTTCGGGTTGCAATGGACGTGATAGTTTCCATGCACATCAGCTTCGACTGTATCACAATCACCAAAGTAGGCGTCAGCACGCACGTTGATCTTCTGAAAATTGCAGAAATACCCTTCGTCAAGCGCTGATAAGATAATGCATCAATATTAAAGCTCACAATTTTGATCTGCCCTGTAAAATCAGGCGCATCTTTGCCTCCGAAATCCTTGCTCCACACCTTTCCGTGCGTGATCCACTCGGCGGATACAACGGAAGCGCAGGCCAAGAAGGCCAAGACGAGCAAAAACTGAGACGACCGCATTGAAATGAAAGCTTTGGTAGAAGGGAAACGAAACAATTTGAAAGCGAGTTTTCATTTTGAAAAATGGAAAAAATATTTTTTTTTTGAAAGATAAAAATTAGGGTTGTTTATTTGAGAGGATTTCGTATAAAATAACGTCAAATTGCCGTCCTTTTCGTCATTCTGACTAACAAGGGAAGTACATGACCGATGAGAAGCCTGGCTCCGACTTTGGGCTCGTGAGCTGGAGCCGCACCTAACACTTCCGGCTCTAGCTCCTGGCTCGGAGCCGGAGCCACGAGCCGGCTCTGGAGCCGTGGCAATCTCTGGTTGTGACATAGTGCGACAACGACAGGGTCCGTAAAGTCGGTGGCATCTGAAGAAAATTGCAGTCCGACAAAAGATCAAGGGTTTTCAGTTGGAAGTTGTGAATTCGACAGGATTCGTGACAGCGTAAAAAAATCCTTTATTTACCCAACAGAGAATGAAATAATAAAAAATGTATCGGATCAGTCATAATAGTCTGACCGAACACAGTGACTACTGGTGGCATAGGGATCGTTTGGAGTGAGCTCAACGTCCAACCATTCGCTTTTGACAGGGTTAACAGTGACGCAACGACAGCGCCCATAAAGTGAATGGCAGCTGAAATTTTGAAAGTTCAGTTAACAAAATTCCTTGTTTATACTTTATGTAGGTCAAGAAGAAAAAATTATGTAGGTCAAGGAAAAAAAAAAAATGATTATGTAGAAGAAGAAAAATGTGACAGAAAATCAAGACTATTACAGTGAAACCTCTGTACAATACACCTCTGGAAAACAGGATCTGGCTATAGCCTAGCCAACTTTTCATTGTATAAAATGTCCTGCGCAGGTGGCACCCCGTCCACTTTCAATGAATTTTAAATTTTCGGCGGAACTTTGACCCCAACTTACACTGTGACCATCTTGTTCGGATCCGTGAACGGGAGGACCTTCGGGATGCAATGGACCCGATAGTTTCCATGCACATCAGCATGAACTCTACCGCAATCATTAAAGAAAGCGTCAGCATGCACGTTGATATTCTGAAAATTTGAGAAATACCCTACGTCAAACGCTTATAAGGTGATGTAATAATATTAAAGCTTACAATTTTGTAGCGCCCGCTAAAATCAGGCGCATCTTTGCCTCCGAAATCCTTGCTCCATACCTTGCCGTGCGTGATCCAGTCGGCGGATCCAACGAAAGTGCAGGCCAAGAAGGCCAAGACGAGCAAAAACTGAGACGACCGCATTGAAATCAAAGCTTTGGTAGAAGGGAAACGAAACAATTTGAAAGGGAGTTTTAATTTTGAAAAATGGAAAAAAAACATTTTTTTGAAACAGGGGAAGTACTAGTCGCGGAAAAAAGTCTTTAGAATTTTTCGCGGCCCCCAAATCTCGTCGCACCCCGAAAAGTCGATTTGTCCCGGAGAAAAACGGGAATCGCGCGCGACAATAAGGCAAAAACAACAAAATTGCACTGTGCAAAAGCACTTTTTCGGTCGGATGCACGGTGCAAAATGCTTTTTTCGGGTTTATGCACAGTGCGAAATTCTAAGGACTTTTTTCGGCCACTAGTACCCCAAGTGCAACGCTAAGATTTTGATGAAACTTGGCACAAATTTAGATTGTTTTTTTTTGAAACATGCGAGAATCCTAGCTCGCGCTTTGCAGAAACAACCGTGATTTTTAAATCGAAAGTCGGCAAAAATGTAAGACTTTTTGCCGAATTTCGGCACGAAATGTTTCATGTCTAGTTGTAACATAGAGGGTGATGTTTCCACAAAAAATCAACTTTCTCCGCGCGAAACTAGCAAAGTTATGGCCAAAAAGTGCTTTTCTCTCTGGCCGCTTTCCGTGTTTGGCGTACAGCAAAGATCGTTCAATATCTCGGCGGCGCCGGCAAAGAGCGGGCTAAAACTTTCACGAATTGATATTTAGTCTATACCCGACGTGTGTGCAAAGTTTAAAGAAAATCTGAGCGTCGCACTTGGGGTACTTCCCTTGTAAGAAAAAAAGAACAAAATGACATTAGAAAAAATAATAAACGCTTTCATTAAAAAGTCTTTTATTTATCCTACACTACTGAATATCTCGGTTCCTCACTCACTGGTTCGGACACCGTTCAGCCGGAAGAGTCTCGGATAAATCCGCCGACTTGTTCCTAAAATCCTCAACACAAACAACAATTCCCGACTATAACCAATTCACGCTTTATCCGCCTCAATCCGTCTACAATCACACAAATAAATACGTAAACAGATACACAATCACCGGCGAATATCTGGCCCGAGCGGTCCTCGACACCTCTCGGCCGTCTCGTACGTGCAATCCTCCATCGACTGTCCTGATTGTCCCCATAATTCCCATTTCCACGGCTTGCAACGGAATGCCAATGCTGTCAATCTGATCGCTTCGAGACTCGGCGGTGATCCAAATGCCTCCCGGTTGTACTCTACAGAGAACACAAAAAATGGATCTGATTAATCGTCATTGGAGTATAGGTATTCACAGTAACTACTTCTTTGATAAGGGTCGTCTGGAGTGAGCTCAACATCCAACCATTCGCTTTTGACAGGATTAATAACGACAGCGCACGTAAAGTGAATGGCAGCTGAAATTTGGAAGATTAAGATAACAAAATTATATGTTTATGTTTTATGTAGGTCAAACATTGAGTCTATTACAGTGAAAGCTCTATACAGCAAACTTCCGGACAACAGAATCTTCCTGTAACTAGACAATAGAACCTTCCTATAATGGGAAATTTCAAAACTCATAAGATTCCTTTTTAAGCCAAAGCAAGCCCCTGTATAACGAAGTCCTTCCTAATAGCCAACTTTTCATTGCATAAAATGTTCTCTGCATGTCGCGCCCCATTTGTTTTCTTTTTTTCTTTGATTTTTTTGGTAGTGGCCAACCTGCGGAACTTTTGGCGCCAGGACTTTTCGGGTCAGCGACAGTTCGGGTCAACGATACTATGGACTCTATAAAGCAGTTGATGAATTACAGTATAATGCAACGGCCAAAAATAGCTTAAATCGCTGGGACACGATTCCCAAGATGGGGCCCTGAGATAAGAAAGGAATTCCAGATGAAGGGGCATCGAAGGCTGGAGCCGGAAAGGAAAGACAGCGCGGCCGAAGGAGGCCGTCGCGGAGAAAAAGGAAGATCGGGCCGTCTTGGCCCTTTTGTATAAAAGACAGAGAGAACGCGCCTTCCAGATCGATCCGGCGACTGTTCACTCGAGTGGCAGCCGCCGTCAGGCTAGAAGCCGTTTCATTTGCTTTATTTGACTTGTTTTGGGAGTTTTCGTGAGATTCGGATGCTGGATCCACCGAGGGATCCGGGCTTAGGCCCTAAGGGCGGACCTACCAGCATCGAGAAGGGGAAGGGAGTTTTTGGGGATATTTGGACGCGCGAGGCACGCGAGATGATTATGAATATTGGGACGCGCGGGGAACGCGAAGTGATTGGGGATATTTTGACGCGCAAAGGACGCGAAGTGATTGTCAAGTATGATGTTGATGAGCGAGATATATTTGGGGGAAGATATTGTCCGGACGGGCGAATTGACTGGCGCTGGCAAAGCCAAGGGAGGGTTTTTTTGGGTTCGACGATTAAGTCTAATTCACAAGGGAAGTACTCCAAGCGCGACGCACTGCGGGTCGGGTCAAGTTTTTTTCATGTGGTGGTCAAGTCTTTCCCCTAATATTATTTTTTCCCCGAAATTCAGACTGTTATATGGGAGGTTAATCAAGGTAAATCTGGTCAGTTCTTGTTGATTATTTCAAGAACAAGTCTTATTCTATTTTTAGAAATCAAATTTGATTGAATTACGGTGTGGGTTTGCCTCAATTTTTAGCATTCTTTGGGGGTATGTATTCTATACCTAAATGATCAATTGTGAGACAGTTTCAAGTCTGATTTACGATATCGTTTCCATTTCACCTTCGGACGTACGCCACCTGTCCAATAAAGGTAAGTAACTGTGAATCTGGTAGTCCGTTTTCTAGTAATTAAAGATTTTGTATATTATACTAGGTACTTTTGAAGATTTTTGTTGAGATTTGCCAAGTTTTCGGCCTGGATTAGATTATGTAGCGTAATATTGGTCTCTAGTGCCTATAAAAAAGTAAGTGGACAGGTTTCTCCTTCTCTTTTAGACTTTTTCTTTGTGTCCAAAGTTGATGCAGATTTTAGGTAGAGATGAAATTCAACGCCCAAACTATGCGGAATTTTCATAAAAATCAAAGAAAATACTTTCGAGGATCATCAAGCGAAGCAAAAATGTGTTTGAGACCAATCTAGCGTTTTTTTCAGGCGGATGTTATACATGATCCCTGTAACGTATAACGTCTGGATCACATCTGTGAAGACCTCTGGTGATGGAAAACGTGGTTAGGACAGTAAAATTAATATGTTGGACGTGATTTTGAGGGAAAACCAGACAAATCCCGTACAAAATTTTCTGAATAACCTAGAATAATATACAAAATCTTTAATTACTAAAAAACGGACTACCAGATTCACAGTTACTTACCTTTATTGGACAGGTGGCGTACGTCCGAAGGTGAAATGGAAACGATATCGTAAATCAGACTTGAAACTGTCTCACAATTGATCATTTAGGTATAGAATACATACCCCCAAAGAATGCTAAAAATTGAGGCAAACCCACACCGTAATTCAATCAAATTTGATTTCTAAAAATAGAATAAGACTTGTTCTTGAAATAATCAACAAGAACTGACCAGATTTACCTTGATTAACCTCCGATATAACAGTCTGAATTTCGGGGAAAAAATAATATTAGGGGAAAGACTTGACCACCACATGAAAAAAACTTGACCCGACCCGCAGTGCGACGCTCATATTTTCTTTAAATTTTGCACACACGTCGGATATGGACTAAATATCAATTCCTGAAAGTTTTAGCTCGCGCTTTGCGGGCGCCGCCGAGATACCGAACGATTTTTGCCGCCGAGAGAGCACGGTAAACGTGGAGATCGGTCAGAGAGAAAAGCGTTTTTTGGCCATAACTTTGGCAGTTTCGTGTGGAAAAATTTGATTTTTTGTAGAAACATTATCCTTTACGGTAGAAATAGGCATGAAACTTTCCGTGCCGAAATTTGGCAAAAAGTCCTGAATTTTGGCCGACTTTCGATCTAAAAATCTCGGTTGTTTCTGCAAAGCGCGAGCTAGGATTCTCGCATATATCTTAGAAAAAATTATTCTAAATTTGTGCCAAGTTTCATCAAAATCTGAGCGTCGCACTTGGAGTACTTCTCCTGTCAGTCAATGTCTTATCGCCTCAACCGTTCCGAGGCCCGCGGATCCTCCGAGGACGCACGACTCACGGAGAACACCACCAGGCAAGTTTTTCGTACTCAGTCGCGCCCATCTCGTTACGCACAAAATTTGACTCCATCAATTCCAGATTGTCCGGAAGTTCCGCTAGTGCGAATCACCCTGCCGCTGCCTCTTCACGGGGAACGGACTCGGGTGACGATCGGCCCAGCTCCCGCCCAGGGCCGACCAACCCGTCGGCCGAGAAGCACCACTCAAGCACCAGCAAGACTAAGGCCACAGGCCGCTCGGTTGAACCCAAGAAGCCCCAGACCAACCAGCCCACTAGCCAGCAGACCAGCGGAGTGGAACCCTCCGACTCCTCGGTCAAGCAGGGCCAACTGCCCCCGAAGCCCAAGCAACTCTTGGAATGCGTCATCCTCCAGGAGCCTCCTCCAAGACTCTCCAAACCAAACCAGCCGAGGGAGCCGAGCGCACCGAGAGTGCACTTCCTACTCCCGAGCGACCCCACTCTCCAATGGAAACCTCCACGTCAGATCCCGCACCCGCAACGGAGATCGTAGATTGGCAACTGCCCGGCTCGCGGAAGAGGAATCCGAGCCGCCCCTGGGCGATGCCAATGCCGGTCATCACGGAGGATCCGGCAGCCCCGGCAGGACCCTCGGACTCCCAGCAACCTGGCCCCTCCACCAGCAAGGCTCTACCGGACGAAACCTCCCCGACCATGCTGCGCTCCCTGAGCCAACTCAGCATCGAGGAGCCCCTTGCCAAACAGGCTCGTAAGATCCCTACATGCATGAACCCCTTCGAGGGGATCATCATCCAAATCCGTATCGATTCGGCTATTGTTCTCTACGACCAAACGCCTGCGGTGGAAGGGGCACCGGGACCAGTTATCATCCGCAATCTCCCGCCTGAGGTCCACCTGCACAGCCGAATCAAGATCCTCGAATTCAGACTGTTATCCGAGCGACAGCCGACGTTGCGAAGTAACGAACTGGCCATCAAAAACTCCGGCTTTGTCTCCTATAGTTTTGAGGGAACGAGCTATGAAGTCTTGGAACTGGCCACCACCACAATTCAAGTTCTTGGAATGCTTGTGGAACCGGTGCAATGCCGACGCGGAGTCAGCAGACGTATGTCAAGGTCATGGTAGATGCGTTTCAGATACAGCCATTGATGGCAATCGGATTCTTCGAGCGGGTTCCCGTCGCCTTCCTCCCACCAAGGTTGTCCAGTCTGACCGCCAGTGCGGACTTCCAGATCATTCTCGACCAGGCAAGCAGAGCGGCGCCTTCGGAGCCCTGGCACCTCTTCGGGTCCGCAATGCCATCAAGACCTTGGCAGAAAAGGTGGAAATGAGCATGAAAACACCTTCCAACGACCGAACCACAACTCTCACTCATACAATGTCTCTCCTTGGTAAGTTCAACTATGATCCAGATCACGAACATTCAATGAATGGTATGGACAGAATGAGAATCCTCACAGACAATTGCACGGATGATTCGGAAAGGAGGAAAATCATAAGCCCTTGGAAAAGAGGAATACGTTCAATTAAAAGGAAGAACCTCACCCAATACACCAGAATCCATGGAATATAAGGAATTATTACGCACATTGAAGGAAATCTTTGGCCCAACCAAGTCCCTGTTTCGTCGCAGGCACGAAACGCTTTCACTTACCCTCCCGCCAGGAAAAACAGCGGGTGAGGCTCTAAATGAAGCAAACATTCGAGGAGACAAATTCGAATTCACAGAGTTGGACCTCCATCAATTCAAGATCTTCCTCACACTTCAATTCCTGAAGGACCCCTCTTACAAGAGCCTTCGATCCATGATCCTCAAAGCCGTTGATCAGAAGCCGGACATTGCCATCGATGAACTGCGCAAAGTCTTGAAAAGCTTCGAAACGCGAATGGACGACGTAAACCTGAGAAATTCACTAGATCCTAGAGCCTCGTACGAAGTAAACGAGCTCAAGAAGTACCACCGTCAGCCAGAACCCACCCATTCACACCCCCACTCTTCGAACCCTTCCAAGAAACGGAAATGTTACAGACGTAATGGCCCACATTTTGCCTATGAATGCCAAAAAGAGAACCTATCTGCTCTTTCTGCAATAGGGAAGGCCACAATGATGACGCATGTCGCAAGAAGAAGTCCTCCCACTTACGCTTCAACAACATTACGATAAACAATGTTGTATCGGAAGACACTGGAGACTACGTTACACTTCAAGTCAATTCAATCTCCACGAAGTTCAGAATCGACAGTGGAGCAGACATGACAGTCATTGGCCCTGAGACCTGGAAACACCTCAACAGACCCACTCTAACCCCATTCAAGATACCCTGCCAATCTGTTGATGGATCCTCTCTCTCAATCAAAGGAAGCTTTACCGCCACATTGTCCTAGGAAGGCCACTCATTCAAGGATAAGATCATTGTTCTTGCTTTCAGAGAGACTACCCTCCTCTCCGGCAAAGCTTCAAAGGAACTTGGCATCATTACACTGTACAATAAGGGCAAGGCCAACATCAACGTCGTCGAACCCTACGCTCAGACGATGGTTCCTCAGTACACTGAGAATTTCGAAGAAGAATTGGGGCAAACTACAAACACCCTTCAAATTGCACAGCAAGTGAAGGAAGACGAACCACAAATCCTTCAAATTGCACAGCAAGGGAAGGAAGATGAACCACAAATCCTTCAAATTGCACAGCAAGGGAAGGAAGATGAACCACAAATCCTTCAAATTGCACAGCAAGGGAAGGAAGATGAACCACAAATCCTTCAAATTGCAAGGCAAGGAAAGGAAGAAGATACAAAGATCCTTCAAATTGCAAAGCAAGGGAAGGAAGATGAAACACAGATCCTTCAAATTGCAAAGCAAGGGAAGGAAGATGAAACACAGATCCTTCAAATTGCAAAGCAAGGGAAGGAAGATGATACATAGATCCTTCAAATTGCAAGGCAAGGGAAGGAAGAAGATACAAAGATCCTACAAATTGCACAGCAAGGGAAGGAAGATGAACCACAAATCCTTCAAATTGCACAGCAAGGGAAGGAAGATGAAACACAGATCCTTCAAATTGCAAAGCAAGGGAAGGAAGAAGATACAAAGATCCTTCAAATTGCAAAGCAAGGGAAGGAAGATGATACACAGATCAAGTGTATGTTCAATTCAAGTAAAGGAAGATGCTACACAGATCCTTTACGTTTCAATCCAGAAGAAGGAAGATGTTACACAGATCCTTCTCAGTTCAATTCAATCAGGAGAAGATGCTACACAGATCTCCTGGACGACAAAGTACAATTGTCGCTTTCAATTGGCCATGATCTACAGATCATGCAATCCCAGATTCCTCCGAGAATCAAGGAACTTCCCAAGAATTCCCCTTTCAAGGACCCTGATCCATGTCCATGTTCAGAAAACCCAGTCACGGATACATCAGTTGGCCATAACTCATCCCTGAAGATCATGAAAGAACATTTCAAACCCATTCAAGGAGCCAGACCTCATTCCTTTACAAAGGGAGAGATGGTCGCTATACAACTTGTTACTGGAAAACAAGTCACTGGGAAACTCATTCAATTCATGCTACAGTCCCGCACTGTACATTCAATGGCGAAGATTCAAGATCGAGTGCACACTCGCCACCTCATTCAAGTACGGAAACGTGTACACGAAGACTACGAAGAGATGATTGATGGATTGGATACACCCCCGCAAACTTCTCCACCTATTTCCGAACAATCCAGACCGCTATCCAACTGCTCGTCGAGTACAACCCGAACGAAGTGCCAAGAAGCCAGTGGACTACAGACGCCAACTCTCCAGCCGCCGTTCCAAGCGCTGATCCTTCTTTACAGGGAGATGTCGAGTCCCGAGACGCAAACAAAGATTACTGTATTGGCATTCCGTTTCATTAGAAGATTCTCGAACCTCGGAAGAGAAATAGGCTCTCAGTGGTTATTTTATATTATTCAGTGAATGCTATATCCGTGTTTTATCTCTGTATTTTCTATCTGATAATAAATCTATATTTGTTATCCATTGTATAATACATTGGGCTGACACCAACATCCTTCACATCAACACAGTGAAGGATACAACATGCTATACCTCACAAGGCACCCCAAGCCCCTCCTGAGGTCAGAGCTGGAGACCATCAACAACCAACAGCCAGTTCAGGGGCACGAGAATTGGGAGGTATTTGAACATCAGGCTCTCCGCCAGTTTGATCTCTTCACCAGTGACGGGCGCGCGGCCAAAGGGCTGGGCTGAGCCGGCCTCGCAAAATGATACTCAAGCGCGGCCAAAAGGCTGGGCTGAGCCCGCCTCACAAAACGATGCTTTAGTGCCGCCAAAAGGCAGAGCTGGGCCCGCTTTACAGCATGGTACTCAAGCGCGACCAGAAGGTTGGGCCAAGCTCGCCTCTCAACGGGGATTTCTGGGACCGGTCTTGGTCCTAGATGACCCTAAAAGTGCACGGCCAGGTGCTAGCTCGAGCCGACCTGGTGGGTCAAGCGACAAAGCGCCTGCAGCCCGATTATAGCTTCTCACCTATTTTGAAGCATTTTATACACATGTACTCACATCAACAATAACTAGAAAAAGTTACAGATCTTTGTTTCTTGTCGCAATTTTTGGTCTTTTTATATGTTACAATAACTCAGGGGAAAGAAAAAAAACTTTAGTAATAGCCAAAGTTAGGAAAAATGGACCTATTGAAAGTCTTCGCCAAGACTTGGCCGACCGTCCCACGGCTTTGCCAAGCCCCGTAGGCACCTCCTACAACCTTTTTTTGAGCATGAACCAGACCTACGTCCCGTACCGATCATTCTGTGTTGACCCGAACTGTCGTCGGCCGAAAAGTTGGGACGCGAAGCTTTCACCCCTCTGTAAGACGAGCCCTTCTATAACAAATAAATCCCCGCATTGCGATTCGTTGCGCCGAGGTTGCACTCTATTTCACAACACCAACGTACACTATGACCTTCTTGTTGGGATCGGTGAACGGGAGGATCCTCGGGATGCAATGAACTTCATAGTTTCCATGCACATCAGCTTCAGCCGTACCACAAAAATTATAGCGGGCGTCAGCACGCACGTTGATCTGCTGAAAATTCGGAAGGTAACCTTATACGTCAAGCGCTTATAAGATAATGTAATAATATTAAAACTTGCAATTTTGGGCTGCCCGGTAAAATCAGGTGCATCTTTGCGAAATTAAAGCTTTGGTTGAAGGGAAACGAAACGATTTGCAAGCGAGTTTTCATTTTAAAAAATCTTCGAGCGGGAAAAAAAAAATCTTTGAAAGATAAAAATTAGAATTGTCAATTTGACACGATTTTTTATAAAGTAAAGTCAAATTGCCGTAATTTATAATATTTATATCACAAACATAAAACGAAAAAATATTATTCTTTATGCTGGATATTTTTCGTCATAGCAATATGGCTCCTTGATCGGATCGTCTTGACTTAATTCAAAATTGATATTCTTCACCTTTGTCACATATCCAGTGCATTTTCCTCGGCACCATTTGTCATAGAGGCGGTGGTAGCTAAATACTTTCTTTTTTCACGGGAAGTATCTCAACCGCGACGTTCAGTTTTTGAATTTTGCATGCGCTTCGGCCATAAGACAGAGAGCAATTTCTTAAAATTTTGGCTCGTGCTTTGCAGAAGCAGTCGAGATATTAAACCATCTTCGCGGCTGAGAGAGTACGCGAAATGCGGAGAGCGGTTAGAGAGAGCAGAAGACTTTTTGACCAGATCTTTGCCAGTTTTACGTGGAAAAAATTACTTTTTGTATGGAGGTCTGTACAGTAGAAATAACCCTTCTCGTCAAAAATGGCAAAAAATCGCGTTTTTTCCCAAGTCTCGATAATATTATACCATTATACCAAAGTATATTATACCAAAAAATTCCGGTTGTTTCTGCAAAGCGTGAGTTGGGAGTCTCGAATGTTCCATAAAAATGTTATTCTAAGTTTACGCCAATTTTCATCAAAATCTGAGCGTCGCACTTGAAGTACTTCCTATCGTTAGATTAGACGTGTAAATATTATACATATGTATATAAATTTGTTCTCCCGTAAGTCTACCCTACGAAAGTTACCAAACTCACACGCAAACCCGTTTCCGCTGCCGCTTTGGTCCATCGGGTTCTGGTATGCAGTCGATGTTGTAATAGCCGGTCACATCAGTCGAATCGTCTGCACAATTTTTGGAATGCCAGCCGTCGGCAAACACGCTGATGCCCTGTAAAAAAAACTGTGTTGAAGAAGTTTTTTTTTTCCGTGAAGGCCAAAGGAATATACGCCGTATTTGAAGAGTATTGGTGTTTAAATTTGGCGCTAACTCGGGGCCAGACATGGCTGATGGGCCCCAGGCCCGGAGCTGAAAAAGTCGGGCCCGGCCAGCCCCTTTTTGAAATTTCCAAAGACAGGACTAAACATGGTTGTGGGGCCAGGCCATGCGTGTTTCAAAATTTCCGGGGCCGGGCCGACTTTTTCCGGGCCAACCGAGCCAACGCACGGCAAACCGAAATAGAACAACAATGCCCCCCGCCCACTTTTGAGTTTCGTCCAAACGAAGTGTCACAACTGACAAAAGCAATAACATAATTTCGAGAAAAATATTTTTCCATCGAAAAACCACACGAAAAATTCTGTTGTAAAATTTCGTGCGAATTTGGCCGATACTGGGTGTGCAAAGTGCCGAAACGAGCAGGGAGACTCCCTGGGTTACCGTGCTCCGGCAAGACCCAAATCGGCCCTCAACAATTAAAATTCTGAGTCTCAAAGCGAAAATTGCGGTTGCCAATAAAGGTAAAACGCAAAGCCAAGACCCGATTGGGCCTTTTTGGAGTACTTTAGGCAATCGTTCTCAATTTCGCAACACTACTTTTTTCGTAAGGTGCGACAGAATTTGAGGCCACGATAATTAATTACCATGACTTTTTGTCTCAAGCAGCACTCACAATCAGATACTGTCCTCGGAAATCTTTGAATCCGGGAGCCGTCACATTTCCATACGTTATCCAGTGCTCCTGTGCCGCAGCGACATCAGCGCACGCCAAGAACAGCGCGACTGTCAATAATTGCAACATTCCACTTATGAAGCCGGCGAAAGTAACAAAGATTATAGATTATATACAAAAAACCTTGTGACATCTCCATTTGTAATCTCTGCTCTTTATGTAAAAAAACGTCGCCAATTATTTTTGCATGTATAATGAAGTTGATGTCTGCACTTTGTTATGACCCAGACACATTACAATTTTTTAACGTGTCTTCGTGTAGAGACTACAGCTTCCAATAGAAGGGAAGGTAGTTACAGTGGCGGACCAGATCAAGTGGCGAAAAACGTACCATTTTGCATCCGGGAAGTATCAAAAAATGTTGCAAAATGCCTCCCTCTCCAAATGAAAAAAATTCCGATTTCAAAAGCCGCTGTAACTAGCGCCCCCTCTTTTTGTGAGGAAAAGGGCGCGCGCTTCAAAATAAACTTTTTTACTTGGAGAAGGAGACATTTTGCTACATTTTTTTATCCTTTCTTGATGAAAAATGAGCATTTTTTGCCACTGTATCGGACCGGTCACCATAAATTTGCCAGCAAACATGTGCAAGGTCGTGGGTAACAACCAAGGGAAGGTATGTGGACTGTATCATCTTCTAATAGATATATAGTATAGACATGACCTTGAGCGGACACGGCCTTTTTCAAATTTTCTTGGGCACAGTTAGGCATGTTAGTGTAATATATAGTGTCGCAAAAACTAAGATCTATTAGGTTGTCCAACAAATAATGACCCTCTTCGAAAAATTTATTTTTTTGGTAAAATTTACCGTAATAACTGCGATCTATTTAATCAAAATAATTATCATGCGCTTTATCACGCTTGTTACAACGTGCCAAAATTTTTTTTATGTCTGTAGCTTTGCAACCCTGGCTTCTGGAGCCGATGAAACTTTTTAAGGCCTTTTCAAGGGTGTCTTGATTGTCGAATTCCCTACCACTGATGAAACGTGCTAGATTCTTGAACTGATGGTAATGTGAGTAGGCCAGCTTTGACAAATAGGCTGGACGAGGGACAGTCTCGTATCTCTATTAAATCTGCTTCTGGAGGGTCATCTTTCAAACTAGAGGTTCCGTGTAGCCGCTAAGAATTTTTGGACTTCTGCGGCGCATCGTTGAAGACAGACGCTGCCTTAAACTGTCTATCTGGATACAGTAGGGGATGGTATCTACATTTTGGCCAGCTTTCAAGAAGCTGTATTGTACTATGCCCATGCTGCACCATCAAGAACTAGTCATCACCTTGTTTTGGGGGGAGTCGGGCTTTGACAAGTGCCGCAGTGATACCCTCGGAGGACTCCGTTCAGCATATCTGGTCTGGTTGTCCCAGTAGGTCCTCTTTTCATCAGAGGCAACGTTTCGATCCAGAAAACGGAACGCAAACGCGAGAAATGTAAAGATTCCAATCTTTGCTTTGACCCAATAACATGGGAAAAAGTTGCCGAGCATTTTTTGAATTCCATCGACATCAAATGGTTAGCCGCCAATTATTTCAGCAGCCAGACAATGTCAGAGACGCGTTGAATATTGATTCTAGGATATTCGTCAACCGACGACCTCAGGGTAAATTGATAAAGTTCGGATTCCGTACTTTATCTTTGTGACCCTTGCCGTCAAATCGTAATTTTTAAATCCATCGTTTCACCGTGTTCAGACTCAGAACACACTAGTCGAACACAGCGTTGATACTTTGCATAGCTTCTGAAACTTTCGCGTCCTGTTTTTGCCCGTAAAAGATGACAGCGCGAACCGACTTTTTTTTGATAATTTTTGATTAGGGCTAAACTACTGTAATTTGGTCCCAATATGATAAACGATGCATCAAACGAAAGCCTGAAATCTCAGCTACAAAATTATATAATATTTCGAAATTCCATCATCGCTTGCCTTTTTTAGAGGCTTTAAACTTTGCCCCTCTCACAGAGGGTCATTATTTGTTGGACAACCTAATACATGCAACAAACAACGACAGGGTTCTACGGAAAGGTTTGATCTACTTTTGCAGAGTAATTTGTGGTCGTAAGTACTAGTCAGTTCGTAAAGTCGCTGTAGTGGTTTTTGCGACATACAACCCAGACTTTTTTTGCAAAGCGCAAACGCCAAAAATCACCCCAGCGACCTTTATGACGGACTAGTAACAAAAGTAGTTCTTGAAACAATTGTAACACAATATACAACTTCTTTATTCTCAGTATTTATCGTCCAAGCACCCGTAGACCGTCTTTTCATCGCTGCTGCTAATTTCTATGTCAACATGTTTCTCGTCGACGCCTTCAAGAAGCTTTATGTGGCATTTCCCATCGCCCAGCCGGTGGAAGCTGTAAAATAATTTTCAAATTTTTCTTCCAAGCCATGCCGATTATAGGTAGACCTAAACTCAGCAATCACAGTACAAAAACTTGCTTATTGGCACTTGAAAACTTACACTGCAACTCGTTTGCCTCCGAAGACATTGAATCCAGGGCTACAGGTCACATCATACGTACCATCAAGGTTCGCCAGCATTCCGCCGCAACGACCAATCCACACACCACCCGAGTCGATTTGGACATTCTAGAAAAGTGGTTGATAAATAATTTGCACGAACTGCAGTGGCGGACTTGATCCAGTGGCAGAAAACGTATCATTTTACATCAGGGAAGTATCAAAAATGTAGCAAAATGCCTCCTCTCTAAGTAAAAAGGTCCGGTCAGAAGCGCGGCCGCTCTTATTGTGAGGGATGGCGCTCTCAAGATGGTACTTCTTTGCCACTGGATCAAGTCCGTCACTGTAGCAAGGCCCAAATTTAATTTTCTTTACAAGAGCTAGCAAGGGCGGGCGGACAATTGCGAGCTATGGACAAGGTCCAGTAATTGAGATTTAGCGCTTTCTTTCTTTATCGAAATTCTTTTAGTTACAAGGCGAAACTATTAATAGCAAGAAACCGGTCCGAACCTCAAGGGCAGGAGCTGTCATAACAGCGTAGATTACCATAGAAAATCGCAATTCTAATCGATAAATCTTGGCTGTCCACAAAGGGTTGCCTGCAATTGTCGTTAAGATGCAAAATCTCTAGGCTTTACTGCCTTGTTCACCACTAATAGTCCTTTTTGAACTTCCAACTAAGTACGCGTCATACAAAGACAACATAAGACACTCACAATTTTGTATTGACCCCTCAAGTCCGGGAATTCGCGGCTGTAAACACGACCATAAGTATGCCAATCTGCGGAAGCAATATTAGCAGAGAGCAATAAGTAAATAGCCGTCAAAAAAGACCTCATCTCTTAGCCATATGCCTCTTATAGATAGAGAAAATAAATGAAAAATTGAATACGTGGTGATTGTAATTTATGCGTTGTTTTATTTCATGACTAGATTCCATCTAAAATTTGCTGATTTCAAACAAAATTGAAGCGACAGACAAGGGAAATTATGCGTAAATAAAAATCATGAATAAGCAAGAATGACTTTGTTGCTAGAAAACATTTGAAGCCAAGAATGCGGGCCCGAAATGACCTAAAAGTCATAATAAGGTCATCTCCTCTTCGAACGACCTCCATTATTTACCGTATATACACTTGCATAATTTACAGAATCCTCGATTAATCCTTGCATAAATTATCATCTTCTCTTGTCTTTTAATTGTCCCGGAAAACAGAAATTTAAATTTGGAATTCATTCTCTCTCGCAATAATCTTCTGTCTAATCCGGGATTGAGCGCTGGAGAAAAAACAGAATATTACGAGGATATTTCTCGATAAAAGTGCTTTTGGATGTGTCCTGCAACGCTCGAGTTAACCTAAAAATTGGAGGCTTCCAAGTGCGACGCTCAGATTTCTTTTTAACTTTGCGCACATGTCGGCCATAGGCCACATATCAATTGCTGGAAGTTTCAGCTTGTGCTTTACAGACGCCGCCAAGAATATTGAACGATTTTTTCTGCCGAGAGAGTATGCGAAACGCGGAGAGAGGTCAGAGGAAAAATCAAATTTTGTCCTTACAGTGAGGGATCTGATCCAGTGGCAAAAAACGTATCATTTTGCATCCGCGAAGTATCAAAAATGTGGCAAAATACCTCCCTCTCCAAGTGAAAAAACTCCAATTTCAAAACCACGCCCGCTCTTTTTGTGATGAAAAGCGCCCTTCAAAACGAAGTTTTTTTCACTTGGAGAGGGAACCATTTTGCCACATTTTTGATGCTTCCCGGCTGCAAAATGGTACGTTTTTTGCCACTGAATCGGGTCCGTCACTGTAATTTTACAATGCCTTAATTTTCAGTAAAATGTGGCAAAATGCTTCCCTCTATAACTTAAAAAAACTACGTTTTGAAGAGCTGTGTTCCTTTCCCTTCCAAAAAAACGAGCGCGCTTTTGAAAACGGAGTTTTTGCACTTGGAGATGGGCATTTTGCTGCATTTTTGAAACTTCCCGGATGCAAAATTATACGTTTTTGGCCAATGGATCAGGTGTGCCACTGTAAAGGTTTTGTGCGATAAACATTTAATTTTTTTGTGGAAAGTTACCGTCTAAATATTTATAAAGATTTTCATTCGGAAAAATCTTTTCATTTTTACAGAATTTCAATCTAAAAAACTCGGTCATTTCTGCAAAGCCCATGCTCGAAGTCTCGTATATGTCTTGCGAAAAACTATTCTAAATTCGAGTCAATTTTCATCGAAATCTGAACGTCAGACTTGGCGGACTTCCCCTGTAAAGAAGGATCTTCGATTATATATCACTACTCTTTATCTACTCGATTTGTACAGGCAGCATAAAGTCATATTAAAAGTAAAATATGATCACAATAAAATAACAACCCTTTGCATGGCATTATATCAGTCTGTCGGGAAAATAATGAGCCCTCCGTCGCATCGAAAGTCGCATCGCCGCTGAGAAAATGAATTGAGAAAATGAAAAAATCAAATTGTTTTTTTTCAACGACATGAGGCGAGCGACAAAAAAATCTCATTATTTTCCCGACAAACTCATAACTGGGCAACCGGCTCAATCAATAATCACAATCTTCTCCAGCTCCGCGCTCCACTGTTTGGTCCGTTCGGCGGCGCGTTGCTTCAAAATGTTCTTGTTTTCCATCTTCCGTCGCTCTTCGCCCTCGAACTCGTCCTCATTCTCCGAGCCGTCGCCGCTCTCAATGCTGTCGCCTTTGCGTCGGCGCTGCTCGCGGATCCGCTCGTGGTAAATGTCCTTCTCCCACGCGACACGGAACGTGTTGTGTTGGACGATGAAGGAGCGCTCGGAAGTCAGCGTTTCCTTGGAGCCGTGCACACTGGAGCGACTGGTCGGGGTGAAAGCACGGCGGGTGAGAAGAGGAGGTGTGCCAAGGCTTCCGCTGAAATTTTTAAGTCGTTAAAAAAGTAATCAATTTTCACAAATTTTACAGTTGATTTTAAAATACTAAAGATAGAACTATGCTATAAAAAATACATACATAATATGGTATGGCGTTGTAGAAATGTCTTTTCAGATTTATAAAAGGGTATTTCACACGTTTTATTATTGATGTGGGTGCATGAAATTATCCCAAAATATGTCATTGGCTACCCTAGGACCTGATCAATCTTATGATTTCCACTAATTAATCCCAATTCTTAGCTTGCGCCACGCATACAGCGACGAATCGACGCGACTCGAAGGAGTGGTCGACCCGAAAAGTCGTAGCGCCGAAAAATCTCAGCCGTGTCGCTATGTATAACTTCGCTAGTTTTATGCGGAAAAAATTGATTTTTTTGTGGAAACATTACCCTCTACGGTAGAAATAGGCATGAAACTTTTTGCGCTGAAATTTGGCAAAAAGTGTCAAATTTTCGCTGACTTTCGATATAAAAATCTCGGTTGTTTCTGCAAAGCGCGAGCTAGGATTCTCACATATGTCTTAGAAAAAAATATTCTAAATTTGTGCCAAGTGTCATCAAAATCTGAGCGTCGCACTTGGGGTACTACCCCTGTTAGAATCTTCACTAATTGATAGGTGTTTATGGCTTGACGCACGGGCAGAATTAGTAAAAGCTCGAATGCCCCACATGGCTCTTTGTAGCCACACAACTCACCAGTCATCCAGAAACTCTCTCCTCGAAATGTGTTGCACAATAGGGGCATCCACCGGCATTGTAATCGAACTCTTTTGCTTCGTCAGCACTTTTACCGTGTTGTTGTTCGCATCGGCCGCTTTGTAACCACGGATCTTAAAGAACAGATAATACAAGCACTAGAATTTGCGATACAGTGGCGGATCTGATGCAGTGGCAAAAAACGTACGATTTTGCAACCGGGAAGTATCAAAAATATGGCAAAATGCCTCCCTCTCCAAGTAAATCAACTCCGTTTTGAAGCGCGCTTTTGAAATCGGAGTTTTTTCACTTGGAGAGGGAGGTATTTTGATACATTTTTGGTACTTCCCGGGTGCAAAATGGTACGTTCTTTGCCACTGGATCAAGTCCACCGCTCTAGCGTTGCTATTCCAAATTTTTGCTCGATCGCTACATACCTCTGCCAATTTTTTATTGTAATCCAATGCACCACGGAGGAAGCTCCGTTTCATGGGCGCCGCGCGCACCGGCTTCTCCACTTCAATGTCCATTATTCTCGGCTTGAAATTCCTCGACCCACTCGAACTGGTTGAGACGGTCGTAGTTGTTGTCGAATTGGTCGCCGCATCATCAACCTCGCTGTATTCCTCTTCCTGTCGGGCCTCCGAAGTCACTCGCTGCTCGATGAACTTGCATTCAGCGTCAGTGGGATGCCTCCGACCGTATGCGGATTGGTTTTTGAGGTAGCCACACTGAAAACAAGGCGTTTTTAAGATGAAAAAACCTTTTGCTCAAAAGTTTTTGTCAAATTTTGTCTCTACAGTTTGGGGCAAAAAACGTTCCATTTTGCATCCGAGAAGTATCAAAAATGTGGCAAAATGCATCCTTCTCGAAGCGAAAAAACTCCGTCTTGAAGGGCACGCCCCCCCCCCTTTTCCTTACAAAAAGCTTTTGAAATCTGAGCTTTTTGACTTGGAGAGGGAGGTATTTTGCCACATTTTTTGATGTTGGCTTGATGCAAAATGTTACTTTTTTTGCCACTGGATCAAGCCCCAAACTGTAGAGTCTATTTTGGCTGAAAATTGGCCGTTCTCACCGCTGAAATTGTTCGTTATTTTTTCGTTAGACAGTGCTCTTTTTGCACATAGGAATAATCAATTTTTGTTGACATATAGTCCATCATCCCTGGAGAAAAAGAGCAATCGCTAATTCCATTTCTTAATATCCGGCCGTAGCCATTGCTTATCCAACTTGGTTGTACATAAGGTCAGTTCCGGCCTTCAAAAAACAAAGCTTCCTAATGCGGTTGTTTTCAGATTTTCTCGATTATGCCGAAAGCTGGCATTACATAAAAAACAAGGAAGCATGACAATTGCAAAGGCGAGAGAAACTTACAAGCAGCATACTATTCTTTGGTCTTCGCCGAATCTTCCAGAAACCCTTATCGTTCCCATTGTCGTCTCGGCTTCGCAGCACAGGCGTTCGCGTAACTGAAAAGTCAGAAATCAGATATTTAAGCCGCAGTAGCCGCTGCGGGCGCCGCGATTTTCGCGGGCAACCATTTTGCGGGCAGCAGACACTAGCCGCTTAGAACTACAATTTTTCTACCGTAAGCTACGTAGTATAAGAGAAATTCTGCATTGGCAACTTCCTGGTACAGATAAATACACGAATCAATTGAATTTATCCACCGCTTTCAAAGCTATGAGTTTGTTTTCAAAAAAATGTCTTATGAACTTTTAAAAATGCCTGGTTAACCTCATGGTAACTATCTAAGCCACTTATGCACTTGGAAATTTAATTCGCAACACATAACTGCCAAGTTCATGGTTAGGATTTCCTATTGTAAGCAAATGTTGACTGATTTCTAAACTTGCCCGCATAATATATACGGTTTTTAAAGCTGCCCAAAACCTCATCAAATCTTTAGTAAAAACATGACTTACATCCCAACGACGGATTCGTTTGTCTTCTCGGCCACATAACCTTGTCCTTTTGCTGCTCCAACACCGACCCGGATTGTATTCGCCGCAGGGGTACCCGCGAATTCTTCTGCTGAAGCATGAGGGCTCGAGAGCCAGGAACACTGGCACCGCAGCCCATTTATTGCTCTGAAAACATTATTCTTCTATATATTTCTTCAGAAAAGACAACAGAAACGCCACGGAGAAGCAGAGACAAGTAGATGGTGAAATACAAAAAGCTCAGAAAGCGTTGACGAAATGGGCAATATGATAAAAAGATACGTGCGGATAGGATGGATGAGTGCCATTTGGAGCCTAATATAATACTAGTCCGTTCGCGAAGTCGCTGGAGTGATTTCGGCGAACTACACTGCGAAAAAATATCAGTGTGACAGCCCAAAAAAACCAAGTACTCTAATACATCGTGGAAAAAGCCAAAGATTTAACAGTGCAAAGTAAATTTTTGCTTTTGCACCGTGCTCACCGCTGAAATCACTCCAGCGACTTTGTCAACGGTCCAATATGATGAGCAACGTTTCTGCAAGGGCGCGGTTCAATGGCTATAAGATATGCCAGTGAAAACTAGCAAGTTTGTCTCTCAAGAGAAGTACTCCAAGCGCTCAGATCTTGGTGGAACAAAGACGTCGTCGGGACCCCTAGAAACGACCACGATTTTTCAGTCAGCAAAGAATTGAAGGTTGGCAAAGATGTCACGCTTTTTAGCAAATGTTGGCATGAAAAGTTTTATACTGTTTTCTATTGTAAAGGACAGTGTTTCCACAAAAAAAAAGTATTTCTTCCACAGAAAACTGGCAAAGATGAGGTCAAAAAGCGAATAAACGCGTTTGCCTGACAATGCATTAATGGAAACTATGGAATATCCAGCAACTCCTAAGGGCTTGAAAACTCTGAAAACTGCACGTCCAAAAATGCCGGTTCAGGGATCAATCCGGTATTTCATTTACAAAAAAAAGGTATATTTCCTGTCGAGCTAGAGCTAAAAAAAATTGCCACCTTTTACAGGCCCACCTTGCCACCCCTGAGATCTCAAACACCGCAAACGAACATACATATAACACGTGAACTAAACAAAAGCGATTCCATGTCCCACTAATAGCATGTAGGTTCCAAAACTCGTACCGAGAAAGTCATAAACTCCGAAAATCTTCGTGGCAAAGCGAATCTTCCTCTCTACCCTTGCTTTTTCATCCGCTTCTTGCTAATTATTCCTGCAAAAACTAGCTCAAAATTCGCAAAAAAATATAAAAAACGTCTTCGTCCGGTATCAGCCCCTTTCAAGCGTTCGCCCAATTCCTGTTTCTAAATTTCATGCCCTGTGGCGTTCGTCAAAGATACCACGGAGTTCCGTGGACCCGATGTTACACAACATCTGCGCCAACGTTGTCCAGAAAACCTCCCAAAACACACCTCATTACACGCAATAACCGCCAATTACACGTCTGTTTTTCGGCCATCGCCCCGAGGGCTTTTTCCATCCAGCCCGCTCAAGGATTAATCGGAAAGGGCCGCGGAAAGTCGCTTAATAAAGAGTTTGGGCAGGGAAGAAGGGAGGGGAAGAACGGATAAAATGGCATTTATTTTACGATTTTTGGCGACATTGGAGACTATTTCAGGACATGACGAGAATAAACAAGGTGTCTGGAGGACGGGAAAGCTGTTCTTATTTTGGATGTAAAGTCGTTTGCATATGCGCGTTAATCTTTTGGATATTTTTGGAAGACTTCTGCCGGAAAAATAATGGCTCAAAGCCGCTGCTCCGATAGTGTTTCTGAAATGAAAAGCAATTTGATTTTGCCGCGACGCAATTCATTTTCTCAGTGGCGATGAGATTTTTGATGCGGCAGAGCGCTCATTATTTTCCAGGCAGACTGATATTACAGTTAAACCTTTGAAATTTATTCCATTTTCGACGTATCTTATCATACATATATCCTATATATTTTAATTACTTTAGAGACAAATTAACTCTTTATAATTTACCGCCCGAGGCATTTCGGCAAAATTGAAAGCGATTGCCAGCTTTCAGGAAACAAGACTCAGTTTTTACTACGCTTTTTTAAAAGAGTGCAGGCTTTTTTCGCGGCGCACAGTGCATTTTGCCATTTTTTGCACTGTGCAATGTCTGAGCCCAAGTTCGTGGCGACAAACTTGAAAACCCTTGCGCCGGGAAGGTTTTTCAATTGCACGGTGCAACAGGTTAACTGTACAGTGCAGAAGACTTGCAACAAAAATTCTACGCCCTTTTGAAATGGCGTAGTAAATACTAGTCGGTTTGTAAAGTCGCTGGAGTGATTTCTGAGACACGCATTGCCCGAAAACCAAAGCTTATTTTGCACTGTGGAATTTCTTTTCTTTTTGGCCCGTCGCTCGCATCCTGGCTTTTCTTGCACAGTGCATGTTACGGAAATTACTCCAGCGACTTTGTAAAGAAACTATAGTAAATGGCTTTTTTGTCAGCATTCAGAACGGCTCCAGAGCCTTCACTTAACTTTTTTACAGCAGCTCAATCGACTTCAAAGCAATGCCTACTCAAAACCCCAGACCATATATACAAATGTACATATATACATGCACATATTTCCCCGAATCACTCGCAGGAACACAACACAAATCTCTTGAAACAGGACTAATGCCGAGAGAACGACTGAGCTCCCTCTTCGTCCAACAAGTTAGTCACGGCCGTCGGCGGATTAGGGGAAAATCCCGAACATAAACTGAAAACCAAAAAATTCATTAGGGAAATTAGGCAAGAAAGGGCACCGCAAAAGGACAGAGAAGCCATTTCAAAGGCATTGAAAAGGAGAACAGTACATCGGTTAAGGCAATTATTATTAGTCCGTTCACAATGTCATTGGAGTGATCTTAGACGTTTAGACTGTGCAGAAAAGGTCAGGGTGTGAGCGACAGTCCAAAAAAACCTATTGCACAGTGGCAAAAGTCCATGCACTTTGTGAAAATATTAATTGTTCTTAAAGGACGATTCCTCCTGCTAAATGTATGACCATATTTACATAGGATGTGCATAAAGTGCAACGCTCAATTTAAACGAAACTCGTACATGCTTAAACGTTTCCGCAAGCAAAATGCAACCTCGTTTTGCAGAAACCACAGAGACCTTTTGGTTGGGGAGTTGCTTGCTATCAGTCTGTCGGGAAAATAGTTGCGGGTTGTCGCAGCAAAACGTTTCGCCTCTTCGAAAAAACGGTACAGTCGGGCACCAAATTTTCGGCTGCGGGTAGCCGTCGCTAAGCGGTGACGGACGGTCATACAGCGGGGGAGCTGATTCAGTGACCAAAAACATATCATTTTGCATCCAGGAAGTATCAAAAAATGTGGCAAATACCTTCCCCTCCATATGAAAAAACTCAGGTTTCAAAAGCGCCCTCCGCTCTTTCTGTGAGGATCACTTGGAGAGAGAGGCATTTTGCCACATTTTTGATACTTCCCGGATGCAAAATGGCACGTTTTTTGCCACTGGATCAAGTCCCCCACTGTAAGGCGCGACAACTCGCCATTATTTTCCCGACCGACTGATAAAATCATCAGCAATTTTCTGATTGTAAGATCTAACCTGTGTGCGAATTAAAAAAAAGTCTTAGCGTCGCACTTGTGACATTTCCATCGTCACTTGTGCCACGTTCCTTCAAAACAATTTCCTCACAATCTTACACCGTAAAGAAATTAAATTTGGGACGTCGTAAACAAATCTACCTCTCTTAGGGTCTCACCTTTCGTGCCTATTATAAAACGTAACACCCCGCAAACATTTGATGAAAAACATCCAAAGCCAACTGAGGATATACCACATCTCCTTCACTTGGGAAATACCTTCGAAAAAGAGATTAAAATAACATGTTACACATCAACAGGGATAAAGTTTCAAGCCCATTTCTGAGTCCAAGCTTAATCCGTCTTTAGCAGAGATCATGAAATTTGCAATTACAAAATTAAACATTTATTTACACAACATTTGCAACAATAATTTTGAGCGGTATAAAAGGCACACTATACTATTTTACCTTCCAATATCGTCCTTTATCAGCCCATCAAACCGGTCAAAGATTTGGGTAAAGTTTTTGGGCATTATAACACTTCTTTTGGCTCTTCTTCGAACGACTGCTTTCTTTTTCACATTGAAGTCTTCTCGGTCGATTTTATGCATCATCAAAATGGAGATATCAACATCTTTGGTAGAATTGATGATTTGAAAAAGGGATGGGTCTTCGTTGTAGGTCCGTGTGAAGAAATAACATAGATAATAGAGCTTGAGGAGTAGCAGAAAAAACAGGTATATTCGAGGCCGATTATTTTGGTTGAGGTGTTTAAGAAAGCTGAAAAATATACAGCATATCACAAGGCCTAGGATGAAGCATGCTTGCCTAGAAAAAGGAATTTTCTAACTAACTGAGGACGCGTCCCGACTTTTGGATCAACGACAGTTCAGGTCAACACAAGATCGATCGATTCGGGGTGTAGGGCAAGTGGATAGCCAAAAAAAGGCCTAGTAAAGCCGCTGGATGATCGGCGCACGCTCGACCAAGGCTCGGCGGAGATTTGACGAACGCATTGAAATAAAATCGATCGATAGGGGCGTAGGTCAGGTGCATGCCCAAAAAAAGGTTGTAGGAAGTGCCTACTGGGCTCGGCAAAGCCGTTGGATTATCGGCCGAGGCTCGGCGGAGACCACTGCAATATGTCCACTTTTCCTAATTTAGGCTATTGCTAACGTTAGTTTTCTTTCCCCTGAATTATTGTGACATGTAGAACACCAAAATTTGCGGCAAGAAACAATGATCCGTAACTTTTATCTATAGATATTTTTGATAAGAGTAGATGCAAAATACCTCAAAATATGCGATAAACTATCCAAAGGCCGGATCAATCTTATTATTTCTGCTAACTAAGCCTTCTGTTAGCTTCCATATGCATATAACGACGAACCGACGCGATCTCTAGTCTTTGACCCAAATTGTCGCCGCCCGAAAAGTCGTAGCGCACCAGTGGAAGTGCTACGATTGCGACATTCAGAATGTGGTAAATATTGGCTCAAATTTTAGATAACTTTTTCTAAGACATACGTGACATCTTGTGCGACTACTATAACAAATCCGATCAAACTCACCGCCGAAATTCACCACCAGCCCATCGCATCTTACAGCTCAACACTTTAAAACAAAATTAAAATCCCATCACCACCAAAAACCGTGCAGTTCGAACGAGCAGTGTTCCCGAATCCCAACTTTTTTCATGAATTTCCCAGCCGAAGCAGCGAAAGTCGAGTGCGCGCGGAGCGTAGGATCTGCTTTTCTCGCGAAAAATACGCAGACAAGGCTCGATATCATGCTCATCATCTCCAAATTGAGGAGGGAAATGTTCTTTGATTGCGATAAACCGGAATATCTATCTGATCTTCTTCCTGTCTTCCAGAGGAAATTACAAAACATAGAGGAACTGGATTTTATGCTCAAGGTTGAACATTGAACACTTGGTTTCCGTAGCCTTTAAGTTTATAGGTTTGATGTCAATTGGCATTGTAATTATTTTATTTTATATTTCAATTACTTTCTCCGCGAATTAAAAGAAACTCAAGCATTGAAAGTCAACTCAGATCCAGAGTGGCTTCGGTATCATACATCTGTATCATACAAACGACACTGTTGTCCGTCTCTACCATCCATGATGACCATGATGTCCGTCATGTCCGTCGTGATGTCCCCAGCTTCCGTGTCCAGCATGACCATGTTCATCTCCATGAGCGAATCCGGCATCATGTCCGTGATCATCTCCGGCTTCATGTCCGTAGTTGGAGTGCCATTCATCCCCGGACGCGTGGGCTTTGTTGCCTCCGTAGTCGACGCGAGCCCAGTCGGATTCATCGCCCTTGGCGAAGCCGTGCTTTCCCTCGTGATCGTGGCTGTTGTCTCCTTCCCATCCATGGGCGTCGTGGTTGTCGTGATGCCAGTCGGCGCCGTGTCCGTGATGCTCTCCGTGATGGTCGTCGTGGTGGTGGGGTTCCCAGCCGTGATGACCGTGGTGGCCGTCGAAGAAGCCTGAAAGGGAAAGAATTGGAAAACCGTCTAGTTGGATTACATGAAGCTGCTTGCAAGATAGGTAGCTGTGGTTGTCGTAAGACAAAAATGATTTAATTGCTTTTTACAAGAAGCCGAAACAAGGCCAGAAAATGCCTGTAGGGAGGTTTAAAAGTGTATGAAAAGGAAAAAGAGGCGTTCTTTTTTTATTTGAAGCCGAAGCCACTCTGGAATCAAAAAAAAATAGAACTGTACCTGAGGCCGCAGCCAAGCCAAGACCACAAACAAGGACGAAAGAAGCGGTAGAAACAGAAGAAACCATGTTGAACTGATGATCCTTCCCATCTCATTTTCGTTATTTATATTCTAAGGAGAGCACAATAAAATACATGCAATAGGTAGTTAGCTTCACCGTGGTCTTTATTATGCAATAAAACAACAAAGAGGTAGCTAATAACTACATAATATCGTTAATATTATGCAATATGGTTGTTTTCCTCCCTGTCTTTTGATGCGTATAAATACCGCTCTGCCACTGCGATATTCCCGGTTCTTACCGAAGTTGCGTGTAACACATATTTTTCAATTTTACAGCGTTGTAGCCACCAGCGCTAATTCAAAGAACATTTAATTTTGTCTCAACGCTTTGAAAAACAAATTAAAACATCTAAAGAAGAGAAAATTTCATTCGAAACAGTCGAAAATTTCATTTGAAACAGTCGACAAAAAATCTGCTACATATCGCTGGGACTTCTAAACAACGTTGTTAATTTGACGGCTTTTTTTCAGTCTGGCGTCAACGTGGCCTCAAATTGGCGCCATTTTCGTCGCTCCAGGCCAAACAAAAATTTCTGGTATAAAAAGCTTTCCAACACGAACTTAGCTAGGAGCGCTCTCTAGCGTACCCACAAAAAATGCGGATTCAAAGCTTTTGCAATGTGCAATATGGATGACGGATTTTCTGGATTCTGTGGCACAACCTTTTCAGTCCCCGAAATTTTTTCGACACAATTTTTCTCGACACCCTCTAGGAGGTAATACTAGCCATATGGTTTATACCACTGGCACAGTTTAAACGAGTTGCATCGTGACACATTTAACGGACAAATTTAGAAGCCTCGAGCGATGTATGTATGCACAGTGTTGATTTCATGGCGCCAATATCCCCGAAATACATAAATCACGCTTTGAGCATCATCCGGCAACGCGTCAATTGGACGAGACAACTGTTTGATTTGGTTTTCCGTACAAGAGGGGTACAACGGGAAATTTTACAAGACCATTTTTCACTCTGTGACATCCCGATCTTCCTGAAATTTTGCCGTGCCGTGTTGCCAAAGTCACACAACAAGCCCTCAAAAAGCTAGTCTGGCGATGCGTCATTTCAGTGGGCCAACAGATCATACAAAATTACTTAAACCACTAGCTCAACTGGTCCAACTTATTGCAAAATACTAAAAAACTACGACTACTTCGCTCTCCAAACCAAATTTTATCGAATTGGTTGGTAAGGAGTTCTTTGCAGGTATTACAGGTACTAAAAATAAATGACCAATGACTCATTAATAACTTTATTCGCGAATTAATGCAAACTCGAGCGATTGAAGTTAAATCCCTAGCGTCGTGATGACTTTTCATCAAAGTCTACCATCCATGATGACCATGGTGGCCGTCATGTCCGTCGTGATGTCCCCAGCTTCCGTGTCCAGCATGACCATGTTCATCTCCATGGGCGAATCCGGCATCATGTCCATGATCATCTCCGGCTTCATGTCCGTAGTTGGAGTGCCATTCATCTCCAGAGGCGTGGGCTTTGTGGCCTCCGTAGTCGAGGCGAGCCCAGTCGGATTCATCTCCCTTGGCGAAGCCGTGCTTTCCCTCATGATCATGGCTGTTGTCTCCTTCCCATCCATGGGCATTGTGATTGTCGTGATGCCAGTCGGCGCCGTGTCCGTGATGCTCTCCGTGATGGTCGTCGTGGTGGTGGGGTTCCCAGCCGTGATGACCGTGGTGGCCGTCGAAGAAGCCTGAAGATAAGAGAAGTCTTTTTTGATCAACTCGAATCTAATATTTATATACTAAACTCTTCTGTCTAACAAATAATATGGAATAATTCTTTTACCTGAAGCCGAAACAAGGCCAAGACCGGCAATGAGAACAAAAGAGGCAGACACTGGAGAGAACATGGCTGAACTGATGGTGATCTTGCTGAAGGACTTCCCTTATATACCAAGAAAAACAGTAAAGAGCAATTTTTGATTTATTATCGCATAAGTTTGTTGTTGCTATACTCCTTCGTTTATTGACTTCTAATAATCTTTTACGACCTTAAAAAAAATTTCATTGCGTTCCAGACTACGTTATGCAATAAAACAGCTAATAGTAAACTCCACAGACATCCTCCGTCCGATGCCATAACAATAATGAGGATGGCGTGAAACCAAACGACTTCTTGCTGAAGACGTATTGTTTGTATAAAAGAAAAAGGAAGTGTTGTTTTGTCATCAGTTCAAACCATGTTCTCTCCAGCAACTGCCTCCCTCGTTCTCTTTGCCGGCCTTGGCCTTGTTTCGGCTTCGGGTAAGAAGAAATTTAATCATTTTTGTCTTACGACAACTATAGTCGTCGTAAGACTTATGATTCAAGAGTCGCTTCGGCTTAAAATATTTAAAAAAGAAGCTTTTTTCATACACGTTTACACCTCCCTACAGGCATTTTCTGGTCTTGTTTCGGTTCTTGTAAGGAGAAATTCAATCATTTTTGTCTTACGACAACTACAGCTACCGAACTTGCAAGCAGCTGCATGTAGTCCAACTAGACGGTTTTCCAATTCTTACCCTTTCAGGCTTCTTCGACGGCCATCACGGTCATCACGGCTGGGAACCCCACCACCACGACGACCATCACGGAGAGCATCACGGACACGGCGCCGACTGGCATCACGACAACCACGACGCCCATGGATGGGAAGGAGACAACAGCCATGATCACGAGGGAAAGCACGGCTTCGCCAAGGGCGATGAATCCGACTGGGCTCGCGTCGACTACGGAGGCCACAAAGCCCACGCCTCTGGCGATGAATGGCACTCCAACTACGGACATGAGGCCGGAGATGATCATGGGCATGACGCCGGATTCGCTCATGGAGATGAACATGGTCATGCTGGACACGGAAGCTGGGGACATCACGACGGACATGACGGACACCATGGTCATCATGGATGGTAGAGACGGACAACAGTGTCGTTTGTATGATAGTAGGGATCTGAGTTGGCTTTCAATGCTTGAGTTTCTTTTAATTCGCAGAGAAAGGAATTAAAATATTATAAATAAAGTAACTGTAAACACAAAGTAATTCCATTTTATTACAAGCTCCTACAAATTTTCTACAAAACCAAAAGATTCTGTTAGATAACGGCGGCGTCGACAACGATTTCAACGCCAAGAACTGGGTCCGGCTCGCTCATGGAACTGTCGATAAATTGCACAACCGGATCATTCCCATAAACAGCAACATAAAAGTGGAGAATCAGGAAGATCCGGAGAAGAATGAAGGCCACTGGGAAGCAAAGAGGCGGCAGCTTCCTGTACCTCATGATCTCCTAAAATCGAAAACTCAAGCAGCACAACATCTGGTAAGTCATCAGAAAAAAAATATTTGAAAATCTCGAAACTCAAAAATAAAACGATGACTCACGACTTGCGAAAGACTTAAAAGGTCGCCGAGAGCGAATTCCGAATTGATAGACGAGCAGATTCGCATTTATAAATGTTATTCATAGCAATAGATCTTCCCTCGCCGGGATGAGCTAGTTCCGAAAGATGCCGCTCATTAATTTTGATTCCATTAATTATGGGGAGCAGCTTTCTAATCAAGATCGACATTGAATGGCAAGCAAAATCGACGTCAATGTTGCCGCTTTCAGGATCCTTTGTAGGATAAGCTTGACGAAGGGGGTCACCATGTAAAAAAATTTCGCGGCGCTTCATTACCTGGAAACAAAGGTTACCATTTTTTATTTTTGACACCGGCCTGGGATGCCCACTCTCCCCTTAGCTACGCCCCTGCTTCAATGAGCAATTCCGGCATCATGTCCATGATCATCTCCGGCTTCACGTCCGTAGTTGTAATGGCATTCATCGGCAGAGACACGGGCACTTTGACCTATGTATTTGAGGCTCTGTATTCGAAGCGAGACCAGTCGGATTCATTATAACGAATAGTAGACGATAGAAGACACAATTAGGGTTTATTGGCAAAGCACGAGAAAGACACAACCGCACACGAGAGGAGCGAGAAACACCGACTTCTGAGAATAGGGGAAATTGATCTTATGAAGACTTTGTCCTTTGATTCTATGCAAATTCGGGGGAAAGAATTGGCGGTTTCAGTGAAGTCGCCAACATTCATCCCCCTTGGCGAAGCCGTGCTTTCCCTTATGATCGTGTCTTTTACCTCTTTCCTGTCCATGAGCGCTGTCGCTGTCAAAATTGAAGAAAAAAAATTATGAATTCATCCTTTTCAAATACGGTCGATTTGAGAACCTGTTTCTAGTTGATGAATTGGCGGTGTTCTTTGGTAAAATATTGCATCAAGAACGCCTCTTCATTATTAAGTATGTTTCGAAAAATGTCAAAGCGTTTCGCCGTGAGAAGAATCCTTGAATTTTTGAACCGAGCGTTAGTCATGTTGGAAGGCAAACAAAGCACTATGGCCAACGCGCAAAGAGCCTTTGCATGTCGACCCTCAGCTACAATCTACCGCCAAAGAATCGGTTTCGAGTGGCAATTGGAAACAATCCGCCGGATGCCTTTGATCGATGCAATGGCGGATTCCCCAGGATGAAGCCGACGGTCAGCTGTCCTTATATCGGATTTACCTTGGAGGTAAGGAGAGTACTAGTCCCTTTGCAAAGCAGCTAGAGTAATTTTGCAGTCCGGTGACTTTCCAGAAGGACTAATATTATATAGATAAAAGTTACGGATGTTGGTTTTTACGGCAAATATTAGTTTTTTATATGTTACACTAAATCAGGGTAAAGAAAACGAACGTTATGAATAGCTAAAATTATAAAAAGTGGACATATGCAATGCCTTCGCAAAGTCTCCGCCGAGCGTCCGCCGACCATCCAACTTCTTTGCTACGCCTCGTAGGCACTTTTTACAACTTTTTGGGGTATCTACCTGCCCTGACTCGATCGATTTTGTATTGACCCGAACTGTCGTCGACCCCCGAAATGGGAGCGTGGTCGCTCGCGCCCTGACTTCTGCAAACGCCAAAATTTACTACAGCGACTTTGCGAACGGACTAACAAATCATTTCCATGGATGTCGAAAAAATTATATTCTTAACTGAATCATGATTTGTGTTGAAAATATTGATCCCCGATTCATTGTTTTAAAAAATTTTCGGAATATTCAGGATTCGGAAGCAACTGGTTTTGTTTCTTTCAAGTCGCATCTTTATGAAGTAATTGAAAGTGACATAAAAAAGAATGAATCTTCATATTCATCGGAGGAAAAGAATTTGAGAAAATTAGATTTAAATAGCTCAATAACAATATTGAGTTCAAAAATAAAAAAAAAACGTTACATACATTTAATATATACATGTACATTACAGGTAATTAAAATGCTAACGGACTGGTCTCACTTTTACTTGGAGCCGGTGGTCATCAAATCGGATGAGGGCCAAGTCAATTGGCATGGCGTGGTACGTTGAATTCGCTAGAAATGTGGTCGAGATGTGGAAAACGTCCCTCAAACGATCGTATAAAACGGTCCCCTCAAAAAACCGGCATCTCATTTTCGCAAAAAAAAACAAAAAATTTTTACCGTGGGACCTGATCCATGTGTCAAAAAATGTACCATATTGGATCCGGGAAGTATCAAAAATGTTGCAAAATGCTTCCCTCTCCAAGTGAAAAAATTTCGTTTTGATGGGCGCGCCCTTTTCCTCACAAAAAACGCGGGCGCGCTTTTTAAATCCGAGTTTTTTTTTCACTTGGAGAAGGAGGTATTTTGCCACATTTTTTATGCTTACTGGATGCAAAATGGTACGTTTTTTTGCCACTAGATCAGGCCCCCTACTGTAGAAGAAACACGGAAATTCTGCGGTCATGTTTTAAAATCAGCCAACATTTGCTTACAAAAGGTTCAGGGGGACCTTTTGTAAGCAAAATCCCTTGCCAACCCATAAACCAAGTTAAGATTCAGAAGAACGGCACAGCCACCGGAGTGCTCAGCATGATCGCCAAGTACAAGGTCGACACGGCGTGCATGTTATTCCAAAGCAACATGGAACGGGCGCACAACTTTGACCTCTCAGATGTTGTGACTTTTGCAAGTGGAACTTTGCACATAGCTTCATTATGATGGAGAAAAGCCATATGATTTTTTTCAGGTGAACATGGTGTACATCACTAGGCCGAAGAAGAAAAATGTGGCCATGGCGTTGTGGAATGCCTTCAAGCCCTATCAAATGAGCGTCTGGATGTACTTGGGGATCGGATTCGTCTCGCAATGCATCTTCGCGGTGCTGGTTGGGAAGTTGGAGTGTGTTTTGGGATGGTCGAAAAAGATTGGGGTCTTTGATGTAAGCGCTCTTTCAAGCTTTGTGTATTAGCTCACAAGGGAAGGCTTCCAAGCGCAACACTCCAATTTTTGTTAAGACGTCAAGATTTTTGTTGTTAAGACGTCAAGCATAGGCCAGATATTAATTACGGAGAGATTTAGCTTGCGCTTTCTAGAGGCAGCCAAGATATTCAACGATATTTGCCGCCAAAAGGCCTTGCAAAACGCCGAGCGCAGTCAGAAAGCAAAAGCAAAACACTCTTTGCTACAGCGCCGGACCTGATCCTGCGGCAAAAAATGTACCATTTTTCATCCGGGAAGTGTCAAAAAATGTGGCAAAATACCTCCCTCTCCAAGTAAAAGAACTCCAACTTCAAGAGCACTTTTTGTGGAGGGAAAGGGTCCTTTAAAGCTGTTTTTTTCGTTGGAGAGGGAGGCATTTTGTTACATTTTTTGATACTTCCAGGACAAATAACTTTATTTACCAACCGTGGGGGATCCAGTGGCAAAAACGTACCATTTTGCATCCGGGAAATATTTAAAAATGTGGCAAAATGCCTCCCTCTCCAAGTAAAACAGCTTCGTTTTGAAGGGCGCGCCTTTCCCTCCACAAACAAGAGCGGATGCGCTTTTGAAATCGGAGCCTTTTTACATGGAAAGGGAGGTATTTTGCAACATTTTTGATACTTCCAGGATGCAAAATGGTACGTTTTCTGCCACTGATCACGTCCGCCACTGTATTTCGAAAATAAATCAAAGCATATTGTTTTTGACACTTCCCGGATGCAAAATGTAACGTTATCTGCCACTGGATCAGGTCCGCCACTGTATTTCGAAAATAAATCAAAGCATTTTCTAACTCATACTTTCAGAAATGCTGGCAATACCTGCGTCTTCAAATCCGCCAATCGATGGATTTCCACGTCCCATTCAAGCTGAGTGCCGGGAATCTATCCTTCATTTTTTACTCCGTGATCCAAGCCACACTCCTCACGAACCTTTACTCCGGTATCATTTTGTCCGTCCTGATGAGAGGCGAGTCTCCGAGGCCATGGGAGACCTTTGAAGATATGGTGTCGCTCATCAAGTCCCAGGAATACAAGATCGTCATGGACAAGAACAGCTACGAGAACAGCTGGTTCTTCCACGAACTGCGTCATGGCGAGACGGACCACATGAAGAAGCTGCTCGGCGCTTTGAGCACAGCGCCAGTGAGCATTGTGGACAGTGTGGAGGATGTGTTAGACTTGATGGATCAGGGCGGTTATATTATGGCCGTGCCGGAGGACAGCTACGCATTGTTTGCATCGACCGAAAGATGCGGATACTATTATTACAAAGACGGTAGAGCCAGCTTCTCAAAGCTAATCTGCAGTGGGGACCTGATCCAGTGGCAATAAACATACCATTGTGCATCCGGGAAGTATCAAAAATGTGGCAAAATGCTTCCCTCTCCAAGTGAAAAAAACTCAGATTTAAAAAGCGCGCCCGCTCTTTTTGTGAGGGAAAGGGCGCGCCCTTCAAAACGAAGTTTTTCTTCACTTGGAGAGGGAAGCATTTCGCCACATTTTTGATACTTCCCGAATGCAAATTGGTACGTTTCTTTTCAATGGATCAGGTCCTCCACTATAAATCTGCATTTTCAGCGAGTATTTCGAAGCCAGCGTTCTTCCTTTTCGCCAAAAACAACCCTCTTCTCTCCCGATTCAATCGAGCTATCCGGATGAACCAGCAATTCATCGATCGAACATTCCGAAAGTACTTTGATGTCACCAAGAAAACTGGCAAAATCCCCAGATGTCCCTTGACTGATGAGGACATTCCCGAAGCCGCTAAACAGCTGGGTAAGCGAGGATTACCTTTTAACATACAATATTTTCAAACCCTTTTCTAAAGGGATCTTTGTCACACTTAGCTCCGTGAGATCTCTTTTCAGACATCATGGAGACCTTCGGAATCTTCTTCGTCATAATGATTGGCTGGTCCGCCTCAATTGTTGTCTGGGTGGCGGAAGTTTTCGTCTGGCTTCTCTGCGAATGCTACCTTCGAATACGCGACTCCCATCGCCGCCGCAAACTGTTCGTGGAGCCGTGGCAAACGTTGGCCGCCGCCAAGAGTTTCTACGTCGTGTTGGAGAAGCCGAAGAACGACCATGTTGTTGAAAACGGAAAAATTGCGCCCAGATTGTTAGTGAACTTGAAGAAAATAAATTGAATATGAGCTACCACCCTTAGGCAGGCCTATTTTACCACTGAATTGGTCTTTAGTCACCATTTCTTTGCGTGATGATTAATTTTAATTGTAATGTCCCTATTTTTTAGCCTATCATATATCTTACACATTCCACGACCGCTCAAATTACATGCTCATGGTCCCCGAAAACTGGCCAAACGAATCCGTCCAACTCTCCCTCCGAACTCGCTCTCGTCCATCTGTGGATTTATGCTATCATGCACACACTGCTCGATGATGGATGTTCGAGGCCCTGAAGCTTTATATATTGCATTCCCAATTTGGCCTCAGGGCAAGAGTGGTCATTGGGGACTTGTGGCGTCGCCCATCTTCGCGTCTGCACATAATGTTTGCTTGTCCTTGGATTTCGTTACGTTTTCGTTTTTCGAAGTTCTGATGGCCGCTTTTGTTATGGCTGTTTTCGTTTGCGGGTCTAGATGAATTGAAAGAAAGATAAATTGAGTCTTATGGAGATGGGATTGCGGTATATTATAACCTTATTTTGACCGGATATGGCAATATTTCAACAAAAGAATGATTTAGTTTTCAAATTGAACAAAAATATATTCTCCTGGCGCTCTCCGCATTTCACTTACACTCTCGTCTAAAAAGTGTAATATCTCGGCAGCCGCTGCAAAGGGCCAGCTAAGATTTTCAGCAATTGAGAAGTAGCCCATGACGGAACCGCATGCAAAACCTCAAGCATTTCTATGCTTCACACGACGAATACTTTCCACCTGAAAAACAGAAAAAAAATCTGCGCTTTTTTTCCAATTTTTCACCACGAATGTACTCGGTCGTATGTTGTGACACCTCATCATGCGGATACAGGCCTTTTCTTTTCTCCAGGGCCCGATTACATGAATCACGCTCTACATTTCTTGCCATTCTTTATGTGAGAAACGTACGCTTTTTTTCGGCACATGGGGTAAATCATGTGAAAATCTCTGCAAAAGTGGATGTCAGGGGCTTGCAAACTTGAACAGGGAAAACGTATTTTACAATAAAAAATTGTGTTTTTTGTATCCATAGTACGTTTCATGCCTTATTTTTGACTTCAAAGTGTTATTTTCAACTACTATCAAAACAACGATTTAAACTGACGCGTTTTGAAATTCCATCTGAAATTCAAATCCATCTTGTCCGGTTGAGCTTTTGGCACATTGGGAGTACTTTATGAATTCAGGCTATTTCAAAAATTCACACCTTCTTTTCTTCATGATTTGTTTACGAAAACCACGCACTCTTCTATCTAAACAGTCATATATTTTTAATGGACCTAATCTTTGATGTCAGTGGCCTACAGCTTTTTTCATGCCCATTAAATCTGGCTTTTCAGAAAGTCCCAAGTTTTCGGAACCAACTTGAATAACAAGTTTGGAAAGCACAGGAAGTTAGTCATGGACTTGCTGATGGGTTTTTGAGGGGGTCATTGAGACATCAATTTTTGAGATTTGAGATTTCACAGAGGATTGCCAATTCTTTGAGTTAGGGAACATGCTACCTCAGTTTTTCCAGAAACCGCCAATTTTTTTGGAAATCAAAAAATTTCTTTTTATGGGCAATTCTAAGACTTTAGGTGTGACATCTTATACGACGAAAGGTTTTTTTGCAAATTGAAAAGAGTAAGATGTGACTTGCCATACGATTTTTTTCAAAATTGAGAAGGATACGTTTTTTTCAAATTGAGAAAAATGAGGTGTGAAATGTTCAATTTGAAAAAAAAATTTCATCGTATAACACATCACACCTCGTTTTTTCAATTTTAAAAATTGGGGGGGGGGGTTTAAAAAAGGGGAGAGTTGTGATTTTTTTGGGGAAAATCAAAAAAAGGGGAGAATTACGCTTTTTACATCACAACCAAATTTTAAGCATCAACGCCTCAATGTGAACGGTTTCTCTGACAATCCACTTTTTACTAGTCACTCCAGCGACTTTACAAACAGACTAGTTAAAAAGAAGATCGTCAGAGAAAGCTTTCACATCGGGATGTTGATTACATAAAATTTTGTAGTCACATATATAACGAGCTAATCAATCCTTGATGATTTGGCTCGCAATTTTTATCGACAGCCGAGGTATAAAGGTGGTCATATAAGATCTCGGAATTTTTTTTCCCAAATCGCGATTTTCGGTGCACAAAAAAGTCGACGCCCAAATCGAAAAATTGGCGTCAACTTAATTTTTTCAGCACCGAATTCCGAAATGCGGTGCTGACTTAACCACTTAAGTCTTCGGTGCAGACTTAAGACTTTGTGCACTGATTTCGAAAAACTTAGAAAAATTTACCGAATTTCAGAATTCGGTGCCGAGAAGAAAATAAGTCGACGCCAATTTTACGATTTGGGCGTCGACTTTTTTGTGCACCGAAAATCGCGATTTGGGAAAAAAAAATTCCGAGATCTTATATGACCACCTTTATATATGCCTAATGCTTTATCTCAACCTTTGGCCAACATGCTCTTTAATTTCTGAAATCTCAAATTCCCGTACCCCGTTGTTCCTTCCTCCCTCTACTTCCTGAAGCCACTTTTTTCTCCCAGAGAAACGTGCAAAACTTGGCTGGAAAAATTTCTCCTTTATTCCCAACCATGGGCATCAAGGACAAATGGCCGGAAGGAGGACAATGTCGTTCGAAAAAAGCGAAACAGAAGAACATCTCCAGGCCGAACAGAAGGGATGCCCATTCTCGTTTCACAGACAGCCTTTTCCATGCCGAGAATTTTAAAAATCCCCATGGAAAGTCGTCGCAAATTTGTTGAAATGGTTTTGTTCTTATACTCGGAAGTACATAGTTTGTCTTTTTTTGCAAATTTTTTCCACAAAAGGGCCAGGGATAATTGCTGTTTCGAATTTAGTGTAACAAATGTTCAGTGAGTAAATCCTCGGTACAGAAAGGTAGTTATTTCTGTTCTTGACTCGTGCGAATTTGAAGGGAGAATGGGCTTTTAAAAGGTTGGAATTCTATCTGAAAATTTAATGGCGGAGTAGCCTTTCTTTACAAGAAATGTAATAGACGTGCGACTTGCCGGTTTTGATGGACTTTGGCACAAAATTAGGCTGAAGCCTTCAAATACATATGACAAAATCTCTAGCTCGCGCCTTGCAGAAACGCCGGAAATGCCTCACACAGTGGCAGACCAGATCCAGTGGCCGAAAACGTATCATTTTGCATCCGGGAAGTATCAAAAAATGTGGCAAAATACCTCCCTCTCCAAGCGAAAAAAATCCGATTTCAACAGCGCGCCCGATCTTTTTATGGAGGAAAAAGGGCGCGCTCTTCAAAACGGAGTTTTTTTAGTTGGAGAGGGAGGCATTTTGCTACACTTTTTGATACTTCCCGGATGCAAAATGGTACGTTTTTTGTCCCTGGATCAGTTCACGGTATGTACTAAAAGAACTTGAATCTCAATTTGTGCTACTAAATTTCTTGAAACCCCCACCTTCAAGTAGAGAACATAACCAAAACCTTTTCCTTTCAATCAACATTTCTCATCAAAAATTCGCCCTCCACACAAAACAGTTTTTCTCGGCCTTTCTTTGGCCATAATAGATTTATTTATCACCCATGGGATCTAAACGAATAATATAAAAACCTCATTTTCGTCTCCCCTTTCTCATCATAAACTCACTCAAGACCCCCCTCCGAAATTACTTTTGCTCCGCTCGCTCTTTCTTTTTTCGTGTGTTTTTATATCAGTTTTCGGGGCCGGATCCTCGAGGTCTGTTTTTTATTTTCGTTTTGGGGAACGGTTATCCCGAAAGCACTTTTAAATGAGGGCTATCCCGTTACGTATTTCTAGTCTTTGGCAGCGGAAATTGGGGGTATTAGAAGAAAATACCAGCAATTTTCACGGCCAAGGTGTCGAAGATGCGACGGGCAGATTTTCATGAAGTTCGGTACAGATTTAATTAGCACTTCTCGAAAACATACACAAGATTCTTAGCTCGCGTTTTACAAAACCACGAAGGTTTTGGGTTCTGGTAAAACGCGAGCTAAGAACCTTGTAGATGTTTGAGAGAAATGCTAAATAAATCTGTACGAAATTCATGAAAAAGCGTCGCAATTTCTCGAATTGCTTTGTCGATGTTACACCGACAAAAAGGACCTTTACTTAGTAAACAAAATCTTTTTCCTAGGCAAAATGCTGGACAAATATACATCCCACCACCCGCCAATACTTCGGCACCAAAAATTCCATTTCCTCACCTCAATGCATCAGGCCACCCTTTCCTTTCTAGCCACATCTTTCCCAATACCCCATCCCTCAGCGGGTTTCCGCGAGGAAAGCGATAGGCGTGTGATATTTTTGCGGATAAATCTCCAAAACAAACATTCGCTAAAATGTTCCCTTTGCTGGCCGAAAATTAATTTGTTTTCTTATATTTGTTTTCCGATACGATATTCGATATTGCCTCTGGGCATTTTTGTTTTTTTGAGATTTTGAAGGGTGACAAGTACGATTAAGAGTTCTTACGAGCTTCCGGGATCGGTCTAGCCAATGTTTTTTGTACCCCTAGGAAGAAAAAGCTGAGTATGCCATCATCCCGCTGTCCGTCCGGTGGACAGGTGGCGGACCTGATCCAGAAGCAAAAAACTGTACCATTTTGCATCCGGGAAGTACCAAAAAATGCTGCAAGACACCTCCCTTTCCAAGCGAAAAAACTCCTATTTCAAAAGCGCGCCAAGGGAAAGGCGCGCCTTCAAAACGGGTTTTTTGTTGGAGAGGGAGGCATTTTCCTAAATTTTTTATACTTCCCGGATGAAAAATGATACAGTTTTTGCCACCGAGTCAGGTCCGTCAATTTATTCTTTGTCTCCCCGCGACTTTTCGATATCAAATTTAAATTTCCTTTTACACATCCCTTAACACATTTTTTTCAAAATGTCGTGTAATCTCATTTCGTGGTCAAAGTTTTTGATTTTTGAGCCCTACCCTCGTTTGTGCCCTGCTACTTTCACCCCCACCATTATCGACATCTTTTTCCCTTTTCTTTCATATCTTACAATTAGTTCGTTTATCTAATTTCAGTCCCCTTTGTCGCCCTTCCATTCTATTCCATTCCACATTCTATTCCACGCCATCTTCATAAATTTTATGTATATTCTGTTTGCACCCCCGCCAAACGAAGTTCGCATTAATCAAAGTGCGATCTCAAGCAAACGAGCCGAACCGGAACAGAGCCCTCACCTGTTTCGCCTCGGGCCATGTTCACGCTTTCGTGCTTTTTCCATTATTCGCTTCCGCCCTTTTTTCGCCCTCTTCGCCCCGAGTTTTTTTTCGGCATGGAAAGCAAGGATTTCGGGCCGCTTTTCGGCCCCTCGCTCTCAAGACGCTTCAAGGGGACGCTGGCTTGGAAATTGGCTCTTTTTCGGAGTTATGAATGAGGAAATATATTACCAAAGTGTCTAAAAACTATTTTTCTCGCAATTTGGAGAATTAAAAAACCACTATAGCAAAATTTTTTTACAATATCTCGTTTCTTTTTTCCAATTTTTTTATATCCACACGATTTCCATGGCAAAATTTGAGTTTTCGAGAGTTTTTCGGCCGCTTCTAATCCAATTTTCCCAAAATAGAACTCGTTTCGACGAGAGAAAAGGGTTAGTTTGTGGTTGGGGATGTCGCTTTAGGCTTGGAAAATTGTCCCGAAACAGTTTTTTCGCAAAACTTTTTTCCGAGTTTTACCGTGAGTCACGTCTTTCGTCCCGAAAAATAACTTTCCCCGTCAAATCTCCAAGTTTTTTCTAACCCATCCCACTTTCAGGGCCTTTTTCAAAATTTTGGTGGCACCTGAATTCCCCATAATCCGGCATTCGCCGGGTGATAATTTATAAGCCCAAAAATGGACATTGATCCGTATGGATCGCCAACCAGCGCTTCTTTGAGCTTCAATCTTTGCCCACCGCCGAGGAAAAGTGATAACAATCGTGATGAGCCCATAAAATACGAAAGTATCAATTCACTGATGCCCAAGTTGGACGATAATTTGATTTCTACAAGTAAGGAGACGCTGATTTCTAAAAAGCGCTGATCTAAAGGCCAGAAGAGTGTTTGAAAAATAAAAATCGCATTTTTTCAGACCTCGACTTTTCATTCGTACCGTCAGCGCCGAAAAAGTACTATGAAGGCTGCAGGGAGATCCACGAAACGGATATCCGAAATTCCCTTTTGGTCGAAGCGAAACGTCGAAAATTTTGGGGCCACAAAGCGGTGGAGAAGATGCAATTTGAGGAGATCACACATTCATGTGTCTACCATGTAAGTTTTAGCCTCTAAAAACTTCTCCATTACAGCCAACAACGAATTCGAAAAATTCGTTGGATCGGTTGGTTGACCTGATCCAGCGGCAAAAAACATCCCATTTTGCATCCGGGACGTATCAAAAATGTAGCAAAATACCTCCCTCTCCAAGTGAAAAAACTTCAATTTCAAGGACGCGCCCTTCAAAACGAAGTTTTTTCACTTGTAGAGGGAAGCATTTTGCCACATTTTTGATGCTTCCCGGACGCAAAATAGCACGTTTTTTGCCACTGGTTCTTTCACTGTAATTTTACAACGTCTCAATTTTCAGTACATGCTCGAAAGTTTTACGGAAACTCGGAGCACTGCGGAAGCCTCCGAGCCTTACAATGCAAACCGCTATGCGGAACAACACGGGACTGATTCGATTGTCACTTCACTTAACCCAGTATCATCCAATGCCATAAATATGTTCGGGAATACGTCGTACGCACTTCAGAACCCTTGGGATTACGAGGTCTTGCCGCAGGGCGACTTTATTGGTCAGGTATGCAAAATCAAAAAAATGCGAATTTTACGACCATTACGTGGGATACTGCATATGTGACGACTAAATTGAGCATATTTCCCAACGGAATGTAGAGAGGGGGACCTGATCCGGTGTCAAAAAACGTACCATTTTGCATCCGGGAAGTATCAAAAATGTGGCAAAATGCTTCCCTCTCCAAGTGAAAAAACTTCGTTTTGATGGGCGCGCCCTTTCCTTCACAAAAAACGCGGGCGCGCTTTTGAAATCTGAGTTTTTTTCACTTGGGGAAGGAGGTATTTTGCCACATTTTTTGATGCTTCTTGGATGCAAAACGGTAGTTTATTGCGACTGGATCAGGTCCCCCACTGTACAATTTTCTGGGTGCCTAACAATAAGACCTCTTCATTTATAGCAAATCGTTAAATATACGTTTGACCTGTTTTTTCCAGACCAAAGTGCTTGAATTACCCTCAACTAGCAAGCTGGTGTCTTGCCAACATTGCAATGCAGAAGGAGTTGCCCATTGTTTCCATTGCCGAGGCTTTGGAACGGACAAATGTGGATATTGCCGGCAAGTCCATCCTTGGCACTTCTCAATTACTTTATTCTTATTTTAGAGGGACTGGGATGAAAGCCGGAGTTGCTCATCCAGCGCTATACACACATCCAATGGTCGGAACGTTCCCTAATGTAAGTTCAATTCAAATTGATCCTAGCTAAACTGAAACTACAGTGGGGGACCTGGTCCAGTGGCAAAAAACGTACCATTTTGTATCCAGGGAGCGAAAAATGTGGCAAAATACCTCCCTCTCCAAGTGAAAAAACTCAGATTTAAAAAGCGCGCCCCTCAAAACGAAGTTTTTTCACTTGGAGAGCGAAGCATTTTGCCACATTTTTGATGCTTCCCGGATGCAAAATGGTACGTGTTTTGCCACTGGATCAGGTTCCTCACTGTACACCAGTTGACTTCAAATTTATCCCAAACCAAACCTCATGATCTGTTTCATGATCCGCTTTCAGACCGACATGAGCCGAGGTTACCCCGGAGCGGGATCAGCGATTGTTCGTCCACCAAATTTCAGTGGAAACAAGCCTTACGCGGTGGGAACCCCAGTTCATTTCATGGCCAAAGCCGGCCTCCCACCCCCTGGAATTGGTCATCACGACCTTTGCCTGTTCTGCCAAGGACGGGGCATCAAGGACTGTCATCATTGCAAAGGCCAAGGCAAAAAGACCTGCAGCTCCTGCGGCGGTCACGGAAGTGTCCGGCAATATACAAAACTGAAGGTTTTCTTGTAAGTTACCGCTTTTAAGCAATAGAAAACTTGTCTAAGACCAAACTAGTGTATATATCTTTCATTATCAGCCCACTTTTGTCCCCGCTATGATCAAAAATTTAAACATAACACGATTCTTTTCAGTGCCGTTGAACGATCTGACTATTTCACGCACAGCGAGGTTCCAGAGATTCTGTTAGCACAGGCCAGCGGAGAAGTCAGTCTAATGGAAACCCAGAGCTATGTAAGTAACCTAATTTTTGTCAAAATCTACAATTTTTTCCGATCTTCGATATTATCCATGAGCAAGATATTTGACTATAAAATTCTTTCAGCTTATGCCGATAAAGAAGTTCCCAGTGAACGAAATCAACGAAGTTAGCAAGAAACTTCTTGCACAACACATGCAAAAGTCCCTGGGGGCTTGCCGAGTGATAAAACAACGTCAAACTGTCGAAGCAATTCCCGTGGCCAAAGTCCACTGGAAATTGGGCAAAAAGTCCGGAATTTTCTATGTGTTCGGCACGGAAAAGCTCTGCTACATCCCCAAGAGTCCCACTAAATGCTCTATCATGTAATTTCACCGTGAAAATCCCACATAATAACGTATTTTATCGTCAAATTGCCTAATCTTTCAAAATTCAGGTCGTCCGGTTTTTACCCCTTAGAATCCTCAAGTGTTTCACAACCAAACGCACGCATTATATTGTCTAGTCAATCAATTATCTATTTACAAGCTTTTTTAGTAATTAGACAGGTATCTGCCATCAAACTCTAGTCAAAACTTATATTATCCATGTGATTTTGATGTCTATTCTAGTTTTTTACCACTGTAAATAAATAAATCATGAAGTATAGATGGGATGTGGATAGTAAACAGTAAAATACAGCAGAAATCGGGGTTTACAAAAAAACCCAGAAAAAAATGTGAAAAATACATAAGAAAATGGAAAACATGACCCAGCGGAAGAGTTGACTCAATTTTTTATTTTTGATCTTCCACAAGTTTTGGCTAGTTTTAGGTGTTTTTATCGCGGTTTTGATCAGTTTTAGCTTTGAAAAAATTCCGGTTGACCACCTCAGCATTGCTTCAACCAGAAACATAATTTCAGATCAACAAATGCTGCTCAAATTGATCTTATTCTTGCTCTTGGACCTTTTTTACTCGATAACGACCTCAACATGTCCCAAATATGGACTGGATGTCGTGATCAATAAGCAGTGTCCACCGTTCAACCATCCTGCATGTTATTACGCTTTCGAACAGTGGGGAGAGGCGAAAGATTTCCATTTCCGATGTAATTCAGGTATGAATTTGTACTTTTCTTTTCTTTCCGCGTTTAGAAGATGTTGTATGGATGAAATAGTTTGTGAGGACGTGACGGGGGGAAATCCGAAAATTTTGTTGGTGGATTTCCTGCCTATTCTATCTCAGGATTATTTTTTATAACTAAATTTATATTCTCCTTGAAGGTTAATGAGAAAATGGCAAAATTGCGGTTTTTTCGGTTTCTTACTAGTGTGTTGTTGCATTATGAACTAGCAGGGCATGTCCAACTACTGTTGCTTTACTGAGATAATGCCTTTGTCTTATTTTAGTTGATCCATTTTCATCTCCAAGTTTCGGAGTTGTCGATCCCACAAAGCTCCGACAAACTCTTACAAAGACGGACGAATACGGTCGAAACAGATGTAATATGGTCCTGTTCTACACGCCTAGGTGTATTTACAGCCAACGGCTTATAATGAGCTATAGTTATTTGGCAGTTCTCTTCCCGAAGGTCGGCTTTTACTTACTTAATCTGGACGCGAAAGAAGGGCCAACGGAACACATTATCAACAAATATGGAATCGCAGCTACTCCAACTATGATTTTGTTTGCGAATGGGTCAACATAGTAAGGCTTTTCAAATATTTGTTTGATTTTTTATATTACACTAGGCAGCCTTTGTAAAATTTACTGTTCTCTTTTAGCGCGCGAGTGTACGACGGGCAGAAAAAGTTGAAAAAGATGATCCAAGGTATTTTGGATCTGACAGATCTAAAATTACCTGATGATGGAGTTACACTCCACGAATACGATGACTTTGAAGTTCAGCTAAAGGACCTAGAATACTATCGAGATCACTATGAAGGTGTCATTGAAGGGCTACATTTTGAAGATACAAAAACCTACTTGGATCGGTGAGTTGTTTCTTTTTTTGTTTTCGGGTTTTAGGCTTCACTAACTGGCAGGTTCTACTTGATGACATCATGAAATATTAAATTCTTCGTGTTTTAGAGGATTTCTCGTGGCTTTGGTTGTCATGATTGTCAACTTGGTATATTTTGCTCATTACTTTGGATACATCTCGCTGATTCACTTGTGATTCAACAAAAACTTCAATACCGGTGATCTTTATATTACACTAGACGCTTCTCTAAAATTTGTGTCTTTCTACTGAATTTAGCGCCAAAAAAGACAACGGAAGACTGCTGATTTTTCGTGCTGTTAGTTGTAAGATCTATTGTACAGTCTTAGGAAGGTTTCGTCCATGTCCTCATCAATTCTTACATGTGGTTTCAAACGGGTAAATTTTTATTTTGCATTATGAAATCGAGTCTTTAACCAGTTTATTTCAACGAATATGGCAGTAGAAGGGACGAAGTATATCGCGATTTAATAATACAAACTTTCTGCGCACAACTTTCGGAGCGAGGTCTTGAAATGTAGGGGTTGGAAGGGGTAACCAGCGCCTTCGTAGAACTTGCTTTGGAATTCAACCCTAAAAATGTTGTATTAAAAGGCTTAATAAGCCTTTTGCAAAGTGTACCTTGACCAGCGTATCGGTAAAATTTCCTAAACTGTAATTTTTGGACAAAAATCGGCCTAAATCACCATGGATAATATAAAAATTCCGAAATTTCTCAAAAAAATATATGGATACTTTCAGAAACTTGTACCGTATGAGAATAACACGCAATTTACTTACCAATGCAACCGAAGAGCGTGTAAAAATGCACTTAGACCCTCCATTAGGACCAACACCATTACTGTTAGGCAGAAGAAAATAAACCAGGTTATTGCCAGCATGAATGCACCAAGCACCCCATTGGTCTTCTCGAGCACGTAGCGCATCACAAACTCCCATAAAACCTCGGACAGCTCTGAAAATCAGCGATTTTTAGCGCTGAAAAGGTGTTTCTGCGACTGCGAAAACATATTTTACCCTATTTTTCACCGTTTTAGATCTGAAGCACAGTGGTGGACTTGATTCAGCGGCAAAAAACGTACCACTTTGCATCCAGGAAGTACCAAAAATGCAGCAAAATACAGTGAGGGACCTGATCCAGTGGCAAAAAACGTACCATTTTGCATCCGGGAGGTATAAAAAAGTGGCAAAATGCTTCCATCTCCAAGTGAAAAAAAACTCCGATTTCAAAAGCGCGCCCGGTCTTTTTGTGAGGGAAAAGCCGCGCCTTTCAAAACGAAGTTTTTTTCACTTGGAGGGGGAAGCATTTTGCCACATTTTTGATCCTTCCCGGATGCAAAATGGTACGTTTTTTGCCAATGGATCAGGTCGCCCACTATAGCTCCCTCTACAACTAAAAAACCATTTTGGAAGATCGGAGTTTTTTCACTTGGAGAGGGAGGTAGTTTGCTGCATTTTTGATACTTCCCGGATGCAAAATGGTACGTCTTTTGCCACTGAATCACGTCCCCCACTGTATACTTCAGATCTAAAACGGTGAAAAATAGGCTAAAATACGTTTTCCTCGTGGAAGCGTGCAAATTTCGAATACTGTTAGTAGCGAAATGGCTATATGAAGCATTGGACTCTCCAAATTAACCAACAACTTACGCGCATGCGCCAATGACAGCGCCCATAATCGGAGATACGAAGCAGTGTGTGATATACATCCAAGTACAAATTCAATTGTATGGATTGATTGATGCACCATGACATCGCCGAACTCCTATAGAAATACGCGTTATGACTGTGGGATTAGGGAGTAAAACGGTCATACCTTTTTCTCATGTTCGGAACGGCCAGCAGACGCACTTTCAGACTTGTGCCTCACTTTTGGGGTTTCTGGCAGATCGCTGATCAGTTCCGCTTCTTCTCCGGCTCCCATCTTGATTCGGACACTCTAGAAAAGGCGTTTACAAATTTTGGTAAAGGTTTAAACTATGAACCACCTTATTTTTGAGGAAAAATCATCACAACTCCATAAAATTGGCCATACACAATATAGATTTGGATCCAAAAAGGCGGACTTTAACTTCTGTTAAACAACCTTATGGCTATAAACCGCTGATTTAGCCATTTATTTCGGCATTTGAATCCCTTTCCGGCCATTAGTGCAGAATGCCAAAATTGGCGGGAAATTCTAGTTTTTGAAATTGAAAAGGCCAAATGTCTCGAACAAAGACTATTAGAAATTTAATAGAGTATTTTTAAGAGCTAAAATAAAAATTTGGCCTACCACATTGGTCGTTCTCCTTGTTTCCACATGGTTTCTGATATGCTTCTTGTGTGATAAAAGCCAAAAGATGGGCTTCCCAAACAGCATGATCGGTATCATACAAATGGCAACAATGACTAATGTTGTTTCAACGTCTCGCTAAAAATTTTAGGATTAATTTTTTGGAAATATTTTTTTGGATTTTATACCAACAGGGACGTTTCACAATGCTTTAGACCATAAATTGGCCTTTCAAGTCTCACACTATTGTGGCGGACTTGATCCAGTGGCAAAAAAGGTACCATTTCGCTTCTGGGAAGTATCAAAAATGTAGCAAAATACCTCCCTCTCCAAGTAAAAGTACTCCGATTTCAAAGGCCCGCTCTTTTTTTAAGGAAAGGGCGTGCATTTCAAAACGGAGTTTTCTAGTTGGAGAGAGAGGCATTTTGAAGTTTTTTGATACTTCCCGGATGCAAAATGGTACGTTTTTTGCCACTGGATAAGGTCCGCTACTGTAGTGTAAGACTTGAAAGGCCAATTTATGGTATAAAGCGTTGTGAAATATGCGCGAACAATAGTAAATTACCTGATTGGGATACCAGTAGACTATATGGCACGTTTTCCTTTCGGTTCCATCCGCGTCCAAAAACCCTACGGGCCGATCTCGAAACATAAACATGTTGATCAACCCCACCAACAGTGACGGCGCGCAATGCGAGCCGGGATACTGAAACCCGAACACTTCGGCCGGCTTCACCCAGTAGAACAGCCATTTCGCGCAGATCTGAACACATAAATAGACGAAAATTGAGCTGAGAAAGATGAGTTGAGGTATGCATTGAGTGAAAATGTCCACTTTGGACTTGAAGAAACTGAAATTTTGAGGGTCAAAAATGGATGTTAGAGTTAGATTTACTGATTTTATAGTCTTACCCAGCATTCATAAATCCCAAAATGACTCCGAAAGTCATTTGGATAATTCCAATGATCACGGAGGCCTTCATTTTCATTGAATTCAAGAAATTCAGGCGATTGTCGGCTAGAACCCAGATGGGATCAACTCCAATTGGATAGGGACCGTACTGAAAATACGTTTATTAGGTTGATTTGGGCATGAAAAAAAATTGAATTTGGACAAAATCACTGTAAAAATAGATTATATTAACGGTTTATTGGATAAATTTGACCAAAATAAGGTCGAACGGTCCTTTATAGCCGGATTTCTGATTGAATATTACAAAAAACGCTATAAAAGTCTCCAATAGCTAGAGCAGGTATTAAAGACCACAATAAAATTTCCAAAAAATACTAATAATCTTCACCTACCGCCTGATTGAACGCAGTCGCCGGATCCAGCTCCAATTTGCTCTCCAAACTCATATTCAGCAGCTGTCGTTCGGATTGCGTTGGTACCCAACGAGATCCGAACACATTTATGGCCCTCGCAAAACAATCGTTGTAGATTATACCCGCATACATTGAGAACAAGCCCATCAAGACGATGATAAACCGGCCGTCGTAAAAGGTGTTGAAAATCTGAAAAATTTTGCAAGCAAGTGAAAAATAATGGTGGACCACTACGCTTTCCAAAAGAAATTTGCAAAAATAGCCAAAACCATTTTTCCCCGACCGTCTCACGATTTTGCGCAATCTCTCGAAAAAAGATCACACCATATCTCAGCCACATCTGCAAAGTAGGAGCTAAAATTTTCAGGGATTGTTGTACGACCCACATTGGCGGTCCGGATCCAAGGGCAAAAAATGTATCATTTTGCATCCGGAAAGTATCAAAAATGTAGCAAATACCTCCCTCTCCAAGTGAAAAAACACCGATTTCAAAAGCGCGCTCGCTCTTTTTATTAGGTAAAAGGCTCGCTTCAAAACGGAGTTTTCTTTCACTTGGAGAGGAGGTATTTTGCTACATTTTTGATACCTCCCGGATGCGAAATGGTATGTCTTTCGCCATTGGATCAGGTCCGCCACTGTAGATTGTACATCACTCCCTGAAAATTTTAGCTCCTACTTTGCAGGTGTGGCTCAGATATTGTGTGATCTTTTTTCGAGAGATTTCGCAAAATGATGAGACGGTCGGGGAAAAATGGCTTTTGGCTATTTTCTTTGCAAATTTCGTTTGGAAAGCGTTCATTTTTCTGGAAATATTGTCTTCCTTCTCTCTAAAGGATAACACTGAAGGCTAGAAATCAAAAAAAATCTATTTTTTTTTTTTTTTTGATGATAAAAGAAACCAAAAGGTTTCCGCAAAAAATCTTCAATTTCGCTTACCTCGTCCTTAATTTTGGCGGCTTTGATTTTCTGCTCAAAGTAGATGAAGGTGAGTCCGGCCAACGCCATAATCAGCCCATGCCCAAAGTCTCCAAACATGATTCCAAACAAAAATGGGAAGGTGATGATCGTATATGGCGCTGGATTCACCTCCCGGTAGGATGCCACGCCATACGAATCGACAATATTTTGAAAAACTCGTGTGAATTTGTTGGTCCGATTGAAAGTCGGGGGTGTTTCGGCGCTCTCCACGACATTTATGATCGGCCGTATCGAGGATCCGGCGTGGTCCTGGAATTACAAGAATGCATGCGGGATTTGAACATGTTTCCAGGGAACTGGGACGTTTTTTTTGTTTTTGAGGGAAAATTTTTGTTTTTTAATCGAAAAATTGATAAAAAATTCAACAAAAACGTTAAGAATTGGTGGTAAAATTACGTTATCCATTGCGAAAATCGTCTCAAATATCAACTTCTTGGTCGTTGCCAACTCAAGGTTGATATTGTTACATAGCTGACTTACTACTCCTCGCTGTAGTGTCTGAAACACCGCGTCCAACTCGCGTTCCGGTACCCAACATTCAGCCACAAAAAAATTTCCACTCGTGTCGAAGGTGAACAAGTTCAAGGTGTGGTACACGCATTTCTGCAGATGTGCTGTCCTCACCCACTCGGGAAGCTCGAAAGCAGCGCCTCGAAGGAGCTAAAAGGATTAGAAATGGTTAGAAATTACCATGGGTAACATGAAAAAATTTTTGGGTCCCAACACGAAAACACAAAATTTTAAAAAAGCAAAAAAAATCACCTCCAGTTTGTGCTTTTCCGTCTTCTCGATGACTATCCGTAAATCGTGAAGTCGTATTGTCACATCGGCTTCCACTAATCGCCGTTCTTTGGAGCTTTTTGGACACGAATATAATTTGGCGTTGAATCCATCGCAGACCCGATTTACAATGTCTTGAAGCTTCTGACCGTTGAAGAAGATGATAAAGACTGATTTGGCATAGAGTTTTCCCTAAAAATATAATATTATAATAATTAAGTGGTGGTTTATAGTGCAAGCCCGCATAGTGCAAGCTAAAAGGGTCTCATACAGCGGTGAACCTGATTCGGTGGCAAAAAACGTGTCAGTTTGCATCCGGGAAGTATCAAAAAATGTTGCAAAATACCTCCCTCTGCAAGTGAAAAACTCCGATTTCAAAAGCGCGCCCTTCAAAACGGAGGTTTTTTTGTCAGAATGTGAGGCATTTTGCTACACTTTTCGATACTTCGCGGATGGAAAATGATATGTTTTTTGCCACTGGATCAGGTCCGTCACTGTAGAGTTATTTTGAACGCTTTGAAAAAAGAGTAAAATCACTGCTGCACAGTGCGGAGTTAAAACTTGCACTGTGAATTTTTCGCAAACTTGAGATCAATGAAATGTAAAATTGGAAAAAGAAAAGCTCTGTAAGACATGCTAAGACTGGGCTTGTAAAGTTTTCCAATTTTATTTCATTATATTTTGAGATTTTTTAAATATCTTTTTTCCGATTGCACTGTACAAAAGTAAATTTTAAAAATTTCAAAATAGTTTTCAACTTACAGTCCGTGGATCTTCGAACATGTCGTCAATCTCGGCTGTTCGGACAAATGCCGTTCTTCGGCATGCTCTCCATAAAACTCGCTCAAATGAGTGTCTTTTATGAGCCTCGACAATTCCAGCGATAAACCATGGGGTTTCATGTGTTCGCTCGAGAAGCGGGGTCAACGGAGTACCCTAAAATTGAAGTACGATGTAAATTCTATAAACAAAAACCACAAAAATTTAAGGAAAATTTGGAAAAAAGCCCATTTTAGCTTGAATAGCTGATTTTTTGCCATTTTAACCCAATTTCTCCCCAAAAAATCTCAAACGCCCTAAAAGCCCTTACTAAATCGTTGACTTTGTCATCAAGGCCCTCAATTTCCAGCTCAGTCTTGGCCATGTCCTCCAAATGCACGCTGAAAAAGCTCTCCACCTTCTGCAAGACGCATTGAAATTCCCGGAGGTCATTGTAGTTCTGTTTGAGCTGCTCTTCGTTCGACAAAAACTGCCGCAAATCCCTCTCCAATTCGTACAATTTCACCTCCAAATCGTAGATTTCACGTTGCTGTAGGACTTCGGTATTCGTACTGTCCAGTGGGGGGATGTGGTCTACAGCTCCGGCGTCGTTAATTTCCTCCTCAATATAGCCTAAAGGTCGAAATTTGGGAAAAGATAATTAGAGGGTTAGAACCTACGTATACAACGTTCCAACTCCGTGCATCGTCGCACCTCCCTGACGAAGGTCCGTTGGAAAAGACCAAGGTGTTGATTTAGCTGCAAAAATTATTATTTCTAAAAAAATTCCAAAAATGAAAGAATAAAGTTGACAAAGATTAGTTTTTTAGGACGCAAAACGATTATGTACATAGTTTTGTTGACACACTTTTTGTTATGTACCAATAAGCGCCTATGCGTTCCAAAAATTAATTTTCTTATTTCTACTCCTCAATCGGCGAAAAACGTACCATTTTGCACCCGGGAAGTATCAAAAATGTAGCAAAATACCTCCCTCTCCAAGCGAAAACTTCAAGTGAAAAACTCCGTTTTGAAAGGCACGGCCTTTCCTTCAAAAAAGAGCGGGCTTTTGAAACCGGAGTACTTTTACTTGGAGAGGGAGGTATTTTGCCACGTTTTTGATACTTCCCGGATGCAAAATGATCCGTGTTTTGTCACTTGATCAGGTCCGCCAATTTATCTCGGCTGTGCCTACAAAGCGAGAGCTAAAACTTTCAGGGATTGATCTATGGGTAGGGTAGAGAATGTATAATGGTGGACCTGACCCAGTGACAAAAAATATACCATTTTACATCCGGGGAGTATCAAAAAATGTGGCAAAATATCTCCCCTCTCCAAGTAAAAAGGCTCCGATTTCAGAAGCCCGCCCGCATTTCTGTAGAGGGAAAGCCCTTCAAAACGGAGTTTTTTAGTTGGAGAGGAGGTATTTTGCAACATTTTTGATACCTCCCAGATACAAAATGGTATGTTTTTTGCCACTGAATCAGGTCCGCGGCTGTAGCCAAAAATTTGTAAAAATTGGAAAACTCACATCCTTAAACTGCACCACTCCATGCTTCCCCAGCTCCACGACGCAGTGGAAGGCGGCGTCCTTCTGCACGATCATCTGGCAAAGTTTGAGCGGCTCGCTGCGAAACGACATTTTTTACCGGCGTCCAAGCGAATCCGACCTTCTCAACATGCAGACGAGGACAATTCGACGAGGATTGTCAAGTTTATTCCAATGTTTTCTTGGTATTCCTTCAAGAAAACGGGGGTTTTAGATGTCCAAACAACCGATGGGATGGAAATGTAAAATAGCAAAGAAATGAAAAATTCGAGAGGAAGTGTGTCGAAACTTTGGGAAAATGTACTTGCGTTGTACTAGGACGTTCGCAAAGTCGTTGGGGTGATTTTTGCATTGTGAGAAAAGAAAACTTCACTTTGAATTTTGGGATTTTTTGCATCGTGCAAAAATTTTGAGGTTTTTTTGGGCTGGCACCGTGACTTTTTCTGCACATTGCAGACGCCAAAAATCACTCCAGCGACTTTACGAGCAGACTAGAAATGACCATAAATTTGCATGATTTCCCTGCTTGTCCACATAAAAAATACTGAAGATTTCAACCAGCCCTTTGACGCAACTGCCGAGATATTCAGCGATATTTGAGGCCGGAGGAAACCCCTATATATTCAACGATGATTTGAGACAAGAGACTACGGAAAGTGAGGAGAGACGGTCAGAGAAAAATCTGTTTTTTACATGGCATTGGGCCCAAATTTTTTTGCGTCAAATGCCTGTAAACTTTTGAAATTTCGTAACGAGGAATTGGCGTTCTGTTCAAATCTACGAACAGTTAGAGCGAAAAGAAACTTTTATGCAAAAAGTTTCACTTTCCGACCGAAGAATCATAAATACAGGGTGCGCCAAAAATATTGGGACTCATATTTTTACTTGCCCCGCGGGCTGTAATGGTACAAGAGCAAAGTGGTCGCTTGTGCAAACGTGCAATGCTCCCAAGAATCTATCTTCAAAGTTTCAGACAGAGTAGTCGTATACGACACCTGTTCTGCCATTATAAGTGCTCACAACTAAGGCCCCTGAGACACGGACCCCAAAATGGATAAAAATTGGAAACACTAGTTTTACCGTTGCATGCTATGGCAGAAATTCACTTTATATGACAGAGTAGCGGTCGCTTTTTATACACTAAAAATGATTTTTACTTATAATGACTATTAAATCTTTTACAGCCCGTCAAAGTCGGCCTAAAAACGCGCCGTTTTCCAGAAAACTTCCGTAAGATCAAAGATTTTTATGTAGAAGTTTCCATGTAAGGTTCCCAGCGTATTAGGCATCAGAGATACTTTTATAAGGACAACGAGAGTCTGACTAGTCGTCTTTGAAAAATTATTTTTTTATCTTCTGCCTCTGGGGGATGAAATAGTGACTATAGCGGTAGAATTTACTCTAAGGTTGCTCGTCAAGTGAGCTTGGACTGAAGATCGCTAAAAGTAATTCAGTTGTGTCAGCATGTATCCCCAGTATAGCGTTACGTCGATTTTTACGCTCAAGTACTTTTCAACTTGTAGTAAACTGCCAAAATATATCAAGCTTCGAAGGACCGTGCCTCCAATCCGCACCATAAAGTTTTTTCCATACAGAAACTGTCCCCTTGTAGGTGTAGATTTTATTTTACGGTATGACAATTACCTATGTTCACACTCTATAACCACAAAATTTTAGAGCAACACGGGCGATACTGTGGTATTGAGATCGTTAAAAACATAAAAATCCGAACTTTCGGGATTTTTTTTTTGTTTTTTCGACCAGCGCCGCCATATCGGTAGTCAACCATGATTACATACGTTGTTACGAAGTGAATACCATGTGCTTTATACACAATAAATTTGAAGGATCTTACTTTCCCTTAGCGGAAATAATGGCCAAATTGATTTCCCGGTCATCCACTTGAAAAGAAAATTTTGGTCCCCCAAAAACTTTTGAATATTTTTTCAAGTTTGCAATAAGTCCCAACCCTGGCATTACCGTTGCCGTATAGCAAGACTGTTGCCCTTGCTAAAACGGCCAAAAGTTTTGATTCCAAGGCCAGCCGAAAAAAGCTACACGGAATTGATTTTTGTCCCAATATTTTTGGCGCACCCTGTATATGGTCGAAAATACGATTTATTTTGGCTCTCCTCACTTTCTATGGTCCCTCGCTCATAAAACCGATTGAATATCTCAGCTGTGCCTCAAAACGCGAGCTAATTTTTTGGTATTGATACCGAGCCTCGGAATAATTTTTTCAGACTAACAGGGTAAGTACCCCAAGTGCGACCCTCCGATTTTCTTTAAATTTTGAACACACGTTTGGCCTGAACTATATAACAATTCCTGAAAGTTTTAGCTCGCGCTTTTCAGACGCCGCCGAGATATTGAACGGTCTTTGCCGCCGAGATAGTGCGCTAAACACGGAGAGCGGACAGAGGGAAAACATCTTTTGGCCATAACTTTGCTTGTTTCGCGCGGAAAAAATTGATTTTTTGTGGAAACATTACCCTTTACGGTCGAAATAGCACGAAACTTTTCGTGCCGAAATTCGGCAAAAAGTGTCTAATTTTCGCCGACTTTCGATCCAAAAATATCGGTTGTTTCTGCAAAGCGCGAACTCGGATTCTCGCATATATTTTAGAAAAAATCGCTCTAAATTTGTGCCAAGTTTCATCAAAATCTGAGCGTCGCACTTGGGGTACCTCCCCTGTAAATAAAAATCTTACACCTACGTAAACCCTCGAGCCATAACCACTTTTTCTCAAAAATGAATGATTTCCCGTTGTCTCGGCCCCCATTGAAACTTTTGATTTATTCCGGCCCCAAAAACGTTTTAGATGGCCCACTGAACTTTACATTTTTCATGACTAATTTCAAAACAATAGCCTCATCGCTTTCGATTCTTCTTTGGAAGAAAAAAGAAGATTGGGAAAACGGAACAAATTGGATTCCGGTCAGATTCTCATTTGCAATCAATTGATCTGTTGAAAGAATTGTAATAATGTAATGAAAACAATTGCTGAAACCGCGAAAAAAGTTGCCAGTTAGTCATCGACATCAAAGAGTAGAGTCAAAAGAATGGGAACTCGAGAAAAAGTTTACAGGGGAAGTACTCCAAGTGCGACGCTCAGATTTTCTTTAAATTTTGGACACACGTCGGGTACGGATTAAGTATCAATTCCTGAGAGTTTTAGCTCGCGCTTTGCGGGCGCCGCCGAGATATCGACCGATCCTTGTCGTCAAGAGAGCACGCTAAACGTGGAGAGCGGTCAGAGAGAAAAGCGCTTTTTGGCCATAACTTTGGCAGTTTCGTGCGGAAAAAATTGATTTTTTGTAGAAACATTATTCTTTACGATAGAAATAGGCATGAAACTTTTCGTGCCGAAATTCGGCAAAAAGTCCTAAATTTTCGCCGACTTTCGATGTAAAAATCTCGGTTGTTTCTGCAAAGCGCGAGCTAGGATTCTCGCATATATCTTAGAAAAAATTATTCTAAATTTGTGCCAAGTTTCATCAAAATCTGAGCGTCGCACTTGGAGTAGCTGGAAAACTTCCCCTGTTAGCTGGAAAAGAGGTTAGTCGATGATTTTTTGATGGGTGCACAAGGAAAGTGCTATGCGTAGAATTGCTTTAAATTTTGCGGACATGTCGGGCCGGGACTACAAAATATTTTTCAAATAATTTTAGCCAGCGCTTCTCAAGGATAGCCGAAAAAAAATAAAAATATATTTAACAGCGTTTGCAGACAAGAAACTTCGAAGACTTTGAAGGGACCAGACAGAAATTAATGTTTTTCGAGGCCGTTGAATCATACTGTGTAGAATTTTTCTAAACACTTCAGTCTGTCGGGAAAATAATGGGCACTCCGCCGCATCGAAAATCGCATCGTCGCTGAGAAAATCAATTGTGTCGCGACAAAATCAAATTGCTTTTCAATTTAGCGATGCGACTTTGTGCTCGTTATTTTCTCGACAGACGGATAGAAAAAAAATTTTGGCTGCAAAAAATAGGAGAATCAAGAAAGCTATTAGCATTTACGCTAGTCAAAGTTCATAGCTTCCGTCAGTTTTTTTTTAATTAAAAATTTTTTGTCAACAGGGACCTCGAATTTCTTAAAAAAAAATTACAGGGGAAGTACCCCAAGTGCGACGTTCAGATTTTGATGAAACTTGGCGCAAATTTAGAACAATTTTTTCTAAGATATATGCGAGAATCCTAGCTCGCGCTTTGCAGAAACAACCGGGATTTTTAGATCGAAAATCGGCGAAAATTTGACACTTTTTGCCGTATTTTGTGACGAAAAGTTTCATGCCTATTTCTACCATAGAGGATAATGTTTCTACAAAAAATCAAATTTTTCCGCACGAAACTGCCAAGCTTATAGCCAAAAAGCGGGTTTCTCTATGACCGCTCTCCACGTTTAGCGTTCTCTCTCGGCGGCAAAAATCGCTCGATATCTCGGCGGCGGCCGCCAAGCCCGATCTAAAACTTTCAGGAATTGATATTTAGTCCATACCCGACGTGTGTGCAAAATTTAAAGAAAATCTGAGCGTCGCACTTGGAGTACTTCCCCTGTTAGGTTTTAATGAAGCTTGGCGCAAATTTATATCGGATTTCGGCAAAGCTGCGACACTTTTTTGACAAATTTCGGCGCAAAACAAATTTCACGCCTATTTCTACCGTAGACGGCAATATTTCTTTAAAAAATCTATTTTTTCAGCGCAAAACTGGCATAGACATGACCAAAAACTGTTTTTCCTTCTGACTGCTCTCCGCTTTTTGCGTACTCTCTCTGCAGCAAAGATCGTTCAATATCCCGGCGACAAAACTTTCAGGAATTGATATGTAGCCTATGCCAGATGGGTGTGAAAATTTTAAAGAAACTCTGAGCGTCGCACATGGGAATACATTCCTTGTAAAATTTTTCAAAACTTGATCAAAATCATCAAAATCTGAGTGTCACATTTTGACCAATTCTTCTATTACATTATAATCTTTCCTTAACGATTTCATAACGATTTTTCATTTTTGTGCATCCGGTGCAAAAAATCCCGAAAAATATGCAAAAACACGCAAAATACGCTATTTTTTGGATTTTGTAGTGGCCTAAGGGCCAGAATTTCCCTTATTTTTGGATATGTTATAGAAGAGGCGATTTGCTATCGAGTGGTACCATTTTTTTAAATTATGCCCTCATAAAGTGCATTTATCCATGAATAAACAAAAAAAATTGTAATTTTTGTAGGCGAAAAAGATCGTTGTGGGGAGAGAGTCAATAGGACCTATTTATATCATTGGATAGGTCTTTTTTCCCTCTATCTGGATATCAATTTTTACTCTTTTTAATTTTTGGGCTAGCTAGTTATCAGCCGAGGCGCGCAGCCCTGTTGTCATTTTGAGCGAAAATCGACACCGATCGGTGGCGGCAAAAAACCTCGGAATGCTGTGCATTACAACTTATCAAAGTGGAACTTTCTATTGACCATAAAGACCCCCTTTACTCTTTCCACACAGCCAAAAACGCTCGATTACGCGACAAGAATCCCTCGAGATTCCAGGAAAGTTCAAAAACCGAAAATTTCCGTCGATTAAACCCCAAGAAATTTCCTTCTCCCTTCAATTTGCTCTTGATGAAAGAAATCTTTGACGGTCTTCTTCTCAATTTTCAATCTCTCCGTTTTTTCCCCTAATAAAGCGACAAACTTTTTTTTGTTTTATTTTGATTCGAAAACGCGGGCTTCTTCCCCAACGATTTTTTTCGAATGAAGTAAATAAAAACGAGCAATTTTAAAACCCATCCGTTATGCGTTTACAATTAGTGCATGGGCGAGAAGTAGTGGACGTCTGGCGAGGGTAGACTAGGCAGTAGATTGGAAAAACAAGCATAGTAAAAAGTGTGGAAAGTAACTGGGAAGTGCATGTTTTGATGACAATTGGCAAAAATTCATGGGGAAAATGCTCAAAGTGCGATGCTCAGATTTTAAAAAATCTTTTCCAAAATTTAGAAACTAATTTTTCCGAAATTTTTTCAGACTTTTGAGTATGCGTTTTAGAGAAAAACTCGAGATTTTTTGCCCGAAAGTTGACGAAAATCCCAGTTTTTTCGATTTTTGCCATGAAAGGCTTCCAGTTTTTTGATTTCGACTAAAAAGCAAAACGTTTTCCCAGAAAATCAACACTTTCCATGCAAAATTCACAAAGATATAGCCAAAAAACGGGTTTTTTCTAACTGCTCTCTTCATTTCTCATAGTCTCTCTTCAATCGTTGAATATCTCGGCTAAGTTTGTGTACAATGAGCTTAAACTTTCATAAGCATGTAATTTCTGGCTTATAAAAAGCCAAGTATGCCTCGGGATTTCTAAATATTTTTGTGTCCAGAAAATGTGTCACGATGACACTAGTTTAAAATGTGTCAGGTGTATAAATAATGGCTGTATACGGCTTGAATAGCTCGCTAGAGAACGTTAAGAAATTTTTGGGCTTGCAATTCAAAAAATCCTGGAAAATTCAAAAAAAATCCAGAAAATCCGTCATCCAAATTGCGCATGGACCAGTTTTTGGGGCCTCAATTTTTTTGTGGGCACTCTAAGTAGTACTGCTGGCCATATAGAGCTGCTTTTTATTACACTGACGAATTTTAAAGGCTTGTCATCGTGACACATTTTCTGGACACACAAAAGTTTACAAGTCCTGGGCTTTGTGTACAAAAATTACAGAGATCACCCTTATTTGAAGATCTTAAAAAAACAAAAATTGTCACATTTGTATCCAACTGTCGTTTTTTTCAATATTATCCAAAAATAAAAAAATAAATACCTCCCGCCCTCATCGAATCATTAAAGGTTTTTGAACTACAACCTGCTCAACGTACCCCAAAATCCGCGTGGAGGAAGGGGTGAGAAAAAAAGAAAGAAACTCCTTGGCCCCATTCAAAAATTCCTCCAAAGTACAAGTTGTCTGCAGGCCGCGTAAAGTCGGGTAATCGGCTCGACGTAGCCTTGGGGTTGCAGCCGGCGGGCCAAACCGCGATCGCCGTGGGTCTATTTGCTTTTCGCATGGACACGACCTGGAAGTGAGAGCTCATGGGTCCCAGTAGCCGTTCGATCAAAAATGGTCAAAAACCCGGCGCGAGGAGGGGGGCCGAGTGATTCTGTCTTCCATAAAAAATTGCTTTTCGAATCCCCCACCAAAAAAGAGAAGCATTCATTACGCGGCGAAGACGATTCGAATTTTTAGGGGAGGCCTTTTGTGGAGCTCTTTTCGAAAAAGCGATCCTAGTCCGTCCGGAAAGTTGCTGAAGTGATTTTTGCGACATGCTTTTGCGACCATGAAAATCTGTTCTTTCTATACGAACTTGGCCGAGGTATGGCTAGATTTTTCCTCTGATTGCGCTCCACACTTTGAATGCTCCCTTGCAGGGAAATATCGTCGAGTATTTCAGCTCTCTCTGCAAAACGCTAGCTAGAACTTTCAGGCATTGATACGAAGGCCCAATGCTTGTGCAACAATTAAAGAACATGATAACGGTGCATTCTTCCTTTTATTTTATAATAATAATATGATACATATCCAAAGACGACTCGTTTTGAACGTTAGGTAAAGAACTATATTTCATCGTCTTATAGAGATGCGGAAAAAAAATTTATGTCGATGTAATCGACATAGAGCTCGACTAACCGAATGTCTCCATTCAACTTCATTTCCAAATCCGTCTGCGACTTCCATCACTTGCAGTTCGTAAAATTAAAAATTAGATCACTGTGGTCATCAGTCGTTTCGCTCATGATTCACAATTCATTTTATAAATTATAAGTGCAGAGAAATAACCAAACAGCAAGAATTTTCTCAAATTTGTTGTGATCAACAAACCTTCAACTAACTGTATCGTCGACGTTTTTCATAAATTACGCAAGGCAGTAAACCCTCCATTAGAAGTTTTTTTTTATTGTAAGAATATCTGGGCCGTTCCCGGAGGTAGGTGCAATACCGGGCCGACCCGTGCAGAGCGGAAGGCAAGCCTTCACGACTCCGCTGGTCCCAAAAATCTGTTAATCTCGAATGACTTCAATAGAAGTCGTACCGGAGATTAAACCGATAAGAACAGATACTACACTTTGATCTTAGCCAAAAGGCCGAGAAGCGATAACTAAAAGCCTTTTTCGAGGAAGGTCAGCCTTTTCGGGGTCGGAAAAGAAATGGGTTCATCGATGGGCGAGAGAAAAAGAGAAAAGGGGGAATTTTCAGAAAATTTACGTTGTTTTAGGGATAAAAAGGATAAGTTTTGGTAAAATACAGTATTAAAAAATGTTCTGGTCGGCTTTACTACTTCTAAAAATCTAAATTGTAAGACTTACGGGCAAAGGAAGGCCGTTTTTTGCCTTTCTCTCCATTCTTTTACGCGCTATTTCCTCTTTGGACATCCCGAAGGAGAAAAGAAGGACGCACAATCTGGGGAAGAGGCGAAACGCAAACGGAAAGCGAGCGGCTTTTACTCATAAAATCATCTTCTTTTCGTTTGAATGGCATATACGCACATACCACTATGAACAAGGTGAAAAAAAGCAAACAGAAGTTTTAAAATTGCGATTTTTCAGCTGAAAATTTAATTATTTATTTTATAAAATTTTAAAATACGTATGACACTCACCTTTAATTCAGCAAATTTAAGATTCATCAACAAAAAAAACCGAGAAAAACAAGGAAACTTCGGATATAAAAATGGTTTGTTCGGGTCACAGTTACAGTTGGTTGTTTGGAACAGTAAATCCATTGCAAACTATAGGTTGTCTTTTGTTGAACAGATATTGGAGAAGATTTGAGATGGTATATAAGTGGTTTGATTTTGCTGACAAAACCGTTTCTTTCAAATTATCCGTAGGCTGCTGATAAATAGTTGCTGAAATTTTGTATTACTGGCAGTTTTTGGAACTTCCTGCAAATTTCTAAGAAGGTCATTTTTTTGCCGGACCCACACTTGAGAGCAACCACTTTGCGGGCAGCTAGGAGAACCACGGAGATTCTGCGGGCATATTTGGAGCCAACATTTGCTTACAACAGGAAATTCTAACGATAAATTTGGCAGTAAGATGTTGCGAATTAAGTTTCCAGATGTATAGGTGGCTTGAATAGCTACCATAAGGTTATCCGGCATTTCTATAGGTTGAGAAACCATTTTTTGAAAACAAACTCTCATAACTTTGAAAGCAGTAGATGAATGTAATAGATTCCTGTGCTTATCTGTGTCAGGGAGCTCCCAATGCAAAATTTGCATCATACTGCGTATATAGATTACGGTAAAAAAATGGTACTTCTAATCGGTAAAGGTTTGCTGCCTGCAAAATGGTTTAACGCAAGAGTTGCGGCGCCCGCTGCGGCTACTATATTTTTCATTTCTGATTACGGTAGAGAAATGGTACTTCAAATCGGTAAAAGATGGCTGCCCGCAAAGTGGTTGCAATAGTCGCGACGATAAATTTTTTTATGTATTTTAAAAATTTCCTGCTTCAATTTGCACCAACTTCCTTCTGCATTCTCTCGTTCCGTCTTATGTAAAAATTGGTTCACTTTTAGGATGTCCAGCAAAGCCGCAATAACCTTTGCGGCCTCCGCCTCGGCCGTTGCAATCATTGCTTCTTTGGTCACTTGCGGCCTCATTCTGCGAGATATAAACTCTTTGTTCAGCGAAATCATGGAAGACATCAGTGATTTCCGCGTGACCAGCAACGACGCTTGGCAGAACATGTTATTTTACAGTCAACAGTCACTGCCATCTCCATCGTTCTCTCATCTCGTTGGCAGGAACAAACGTCAAGCCGAATGCGGCTGTGGTGCGCAGCCAGCGTGTCCCGCCGGCCCTCCAGGCCCTCCAGGAACTCCGGGGACTCCCGGAGAAGATGGAACGGACGGCGAGCCCGGGCAGGCCGGAACAGTTGGAGTGGAGCTTGCGGAGCACTTGGAAGCCGGCTGTGTTCAATGTCCTGCAGGCCCTCCGGGTCCAGCCGGACCTGACGGCCCCGTAGGACAGCCTGGAGATGACGGAGCACCGGGTGAAGCTGGTTTTCCTGGACAACCCGGATTGCCTGGAGAAGCCGGTCCAGCAGGCGATGCCGGAAACGATGGGGCTCCTGGCAATCCCGGAACACCCGGGCCGCCTGGGCAAGACGGCCAACGATCAAGTCCGCTTCCAGGCCCGAAGGGTCCAGCTGGCCCGGCCGGATCGCCAGGAACGCCAGGACAAAATGGCTCATCTCCTCCAGCGGGACCTCCAGGCCCTCCTGGACCTCCTGGTTTCCCTGGCGCTCCGGGCCAAGATGGTCAACCTGGACAACCGGGAACTGACGGGACACCGGGAGCACCCGGACAAGATGCTGCGTATTGCCCGTGCCCGGCGAGAACTGGTACCGCCGCCGCTGGGAATGGATATAGTGGAAATGCTGCGCCGCCATCTGGATTCAATAAACCAGCAGCAGCGGGGAACCAGGGATATAAGAAAAGAAGAAGAATAAGAAGAAGAAGAAAGTACCGAACTCAGGGATGAATGTTCTTTTGATTTTAGGATTTTTCAATGCCTTTCAGATTAAAATAAAGTTGCATGTCAGTATCCCCGGTTTCTGGGGTAAAACGGGTTCACTTCAAAAGGTCGCAGCAACATCGGTTTTGATTTTAAAATCTTGTTATCTTATAGAAAAAATTAGTGTCGCTTAGAGATACATATTCCAAAAACGAAGTCTTTGTGCCATCCCCGCCGGAAGTTATAGCAGAGATTGCCACTATCAAAATTTCCGCTCCCGGCTCCCGTGCAAAGTTTAAAAGGGTCTCCGGCTCCGAATCCCGGCTCCCGCGCGTTTTCCAGAAATAAAAGTTATTAGTGCCAGAGATCATACACCCAACGTTTTTGCAGCAAAGTCGTATGCCACACGTCCTTTCCAGTATTTTTCAAGCAATTTGGTTTAACAAGATCATGAAATTTTTACCGTTATGAACGCTGAGAAACCTCGCTCTGGCTCCCGGCTCGGAGCCGGAGCCGTGGCAACCTCTGGTTATAGGCTCCGACTTTCCTCCGCGTTTCTTGAAGGACTCTGTACTATCAGTCTGTCGGAAAAATAATGGTCACAATGTCGCGTCACCCATCGTATCGCTGAAGTTAAAAAATTAATTTTTCCGCGACACAATTCATTTTCTTGGCGGCGATGCGTTCTTCGACCCGGCAGAATGCTCATTATTTTCCCAACAGACTGATATTACTGTTTTCATTTTCATGAAAATACTAATATCTAGCGAGACTCTCCAAAGCATCACACCCCCATAAGACCTCATTTCTTGCAATGCACGTACAACTCCTCTTCCAATCGTAAAGTAAATCCCTTTGCAGCGGGAATAAATTAAATTGCATTGCGCATTAGTCAGGTTTATTGTCTCCGCGAAGGCCAAAGAACGCGGGCTTTGGCAATTATTTTTAGGGCAGTGCGGACCTTTTTTCTGTTTTTAATTAACTTCGAAATAGATATTGCGACCTAGTCGTCCTCATTTTGAAAGCGCCTTAGGGCTGGAAGTTTTCTAATTTTTACTTTTTTCAAAAAATTTTTTTTTCGAGTGATTTGTAAAATACGGGGCTCGGAGGTACTGTAGAGATACTTTGAGATGACTTGTGGCGTTTTAATCAACTTTTGCGAGATTTATCTCGCGACCAGATCTGCCGCGGATTAAATTTGACCTCCAAACAGAAGGGATGATGAATGAGCGCGGCCCAAAAGTCAAAATGGATGGCCTAGCTTTAATGAATGCTGTAAAGACGGAACACTTGTTAGTGAGTCCAGAAATAACCGAACATGTCGGGCTCCACAGGTTAAACAGCCATGCGTCATCATCCCAAAAAATACCAGGATGTCGGGGAAATAAATAATGAGGGCAATGTCGCTTCGCCGATCGAGTTTCTGAAGTGAAAAAAAATGGTTTTGTTGCAACACAATTCATTTTCTAGGCGATTTTCGATGCGATATTGTGCTCGATTATTTTCAAGGTAGTGATATTACATCTCGAGTATTTGATGTCATTTTTTGAAGCCTTGATCTCATTTTTTGTACCAGATTCCCCTCCCAATTCTCATCATTTCTCTTTCGGTTCATGTGCTTGGTAATGGCATCAAAACCGATTGCTTTCTTCAACCCTCCAGGCGGATAAAAAATCCTGCGATTGTGAGTAGGCTAAAATTTGGTCCCAAATCAGGTTGTCGAGAAAATAATCAATGTTGCTGCGCTAATCGGGTCGCTGAAGTGAAAAGCTATTTGATTTTGTCGCGACACAGTTCGTTCGCGGCGACAAAGCGATTTTTGATGCGACAGTGCTCGTGACTTTTTCTTGGCAACTTTTCCGACATCCATTCAAGCTTGTCGGAAAAGTCGCCAAAATGACGAAAATGACGGCAATCTGACGCATTTTTGCGTCATCTTGAAGCAACCGGTCCAATTAACAACCCTAGTACTTATTGTTAATCTATATTGCAATTGAGCCCGCGTGACATTTGCGCTATACTCTTTACATTATTACGTTTACCAAATCCAGTTTCATGTTTTCCTACAAACATGTTTGTCACGCTATAATCGAGTTTACTATGCTCTTGCTCTCTTCTCTCGCCTCTTCCGAGGGTCCCGGCCATTCTCTCGCCCCTTAAAAATCCCATTGGTCCGATTGGTCAGCGGGGAAATGGCACTTGAAACCGCCCGAGAACTTATTGTTATTCGCAATTTTTTTTGTTTAAAACGGCGTATAAACAAATCGCTTCCACTCGAAAAAATACTTGTTATTGCCAAGGAAAGAACGCGAATGTCACGAGCTGAAATTATTTTTTTTTGGAGCCGGATTTCATAACGATTAGCGGAGGGAGAAAGAATGCCCAGAAGGGGGAGAAAGTGGAGGAGTTTATAAAAAGAATTGGGCGAAACATTTATAATGCAGGTAGATGAAGCCTTTACTAAAAAAATTCAGGTACCTGAAGCCCTTGCTGACAAAAAAAGGCAAGTAGTTGAAGCCTTTGCTGACAAAATGCAGGTAGCTGAAGCCTTTACTGGCGATTGCAAACAGATTTTGCAACAAAAATTTTGCCGCCCTGGATACCACAGCACTTACAGCTCGAGAAACGTTGATTTTAAGTTACAAGGGAGGCCTTCCAAGTGCGACGCTCAGATTTTCTTTAAACTTTGCACACACGTCAATCGTAGACCACGTAGCAACTCCTGAAAGTTTTAGCTCGCGCTTTGCCGGCGCATATGAGATATCCAACGGTCTATGTGGCCGAGAGAGTATACGCCGAACACAGATAGCGCTCCGAGAGCGCAGGATTTTTTTGAGAGCCCGGCGAGATTCACGGTCCAAAAATCGGTTATCATTTTGTCGGGAAAATAATGAGCATGATGTCACTGCACCAATCACGTCGCAGAAATGAAAAGCAATTTTATTTTGCCGCGACAGAATTCGTTTTCTCTGCGGCGAAGCGATTTTCCAAGCTACAGAATGCTCATTATTTTCCCGACAGACTGATATTTCTTTGTGTTTGCAACTTGTGATCCGATTGGCTTCTTTCCAAACGAAAAACATCTGACTTTCAATCGTGACTCAAATATTGAACTTCCGGTGCAGAAATCCGCAAAAAGTGGACGCCTTAAAAATTCCTGGCCGGACAATTGGGGGCCAACATTTTAAGAAACAAGCCAATGTTTTCGGTATATGATTGATTACCGAGCCTTGCTCTAGCCCGGTGCCAGCTTTGCTCATTTTGCATTCTTCTCTTTGGCCGCCTTCCAAAAGGTCCTTGTCAAAATAAAAGTTATATGAGTTGGCATCTTTGTCATGATTTCGGCTAGAGAGGACAACTTACAGTTCTACAGGGCGCAAGTTTTTAGTTTCACCCCATTTTTTGATCATATCTCGGAGAGTTCTTTTCCAAATTTCATGAAATTTTCCACACGTGTTAATCAGTCGTCAAGAATAAGCCATGCAAATTTACATCCCATGTCGCTTCAATACTCGGACGTTATAACAGTTTTTTTTTTAAATTCCGGTGATCCAAATTTTTGATTCCACCTAGGGGCCTTACCAGTGGTAAATAACGTTCCATTTCGCATCCGAAAAGTATCAAAAATGTGGCAAAATATACCTCCCTCTCCAAGTGAAAAAAGTCCGGTTTGAAGAGCGAGCCCTTCCCCTTACAAAAACAACATGCGCGCTTTTGAAATTCCAGTTTTTTTCACTTAGTGAGGGAGGTATTTTGCTGCATTTTTGATACTTCCCGGATGCAAAATGGTACGTTTTCTGCCACTGGATCAGGTCCGTCACTGTAGCAGGCGAAACTTTTGTCTCGCGTCTACCACTTTCGTTCAGTCTGTAGGGGAAAATAATGGCTTACAATTTGTCAGTCGCAGCAAAATATTTCGTTTTTTCGAAAAAAGGGGTTGATTGCGCACCAAATTTCCAGCTGCCGCTAGTCGTCGCAAAGTGATGATGGACGATTCTGATGCCACTATTTTCCCGGCAGACTGATATTCGCTTACATTTTCCTCTGTAATTCGCTGTACTTTTCTCCTAATTGCCCTTTAATGAAAATTGAAAATGTATTCGTAGAATTGGACTCTAATAATACAAATGACCTCTATGTATCTCATTATAAACAGGATTAAAAATAGAGTAGGGGAGAAAAGGGGGTAGTTTTTTAAGCCTGGATAATTGTAGTGGCAGTAAAAGGGGGAGTAAAATTTTTGGGTTTAAATACACATACAATTTGAGGGACAAATATTTCTCTGCGGGTTTTAAACTCGATATAACTGCAGTAAAACCTCTGTACAACGAATTACAAGGGCACAAAATTAAATTTTTTATACATAGAAGAGCATTGTTATACGAGGTTAAAACTGGCCTTAGATTAAGCTATGGAACCTCCGAAAATGTTTGTTATAAGAAGGTTTTGTTGCTCAAAAGTTCACTGTACAGACGTTCCACTGTATTTTCGGTCATTTCGATATCGCTTTTTGCTTATTTCCCTTAATTTTCTCTTCAAAATCATCCCCTTCTGATGTCATTTCCTGCTCAAAAATTCGTCTTGAATAGGTGTTCGTTTTATGGAATGAATTTTGGATTATTTTCGCATGGAAATCCGTTTCCGGACCTTTCAGCTTCGTTTCCTCTCCGACATTTTTTCCGATGTAGAAGTTGACAACTTCAAAACACTTTTTTGTTACCTTAAATTTAAAACATTTCCCCATATTTTGTTGCGGCTTTCTTTTTATGAAAGACTTTATCGGATGTCAAGTTCCTCAAAATAGCGACAAAATTTGGTCGGAATCAAATCCCCCAAGGGCAGGGATTCGATTGTGGAAACAAATGAAAACTCCTCCCAGCTCTCCCAAAAGGCCAAAACAATCGGGAGGAATGCGCGGGGATTGGTGTCATTTTCGCGATTCTGAGAATTCAAAATGTTTATGAAACAGAGTGGGGCTGATGTTTACTTGAAAAACATTACTATGGCACGAGCTTTTTCAACCTCGTTGCCGCGACAGACACTGAACAGCACAGCAAGTCGCAAAAATGCACCGCTGCATTTTCGAAAAGGGTTTTTCAAAAAGTGCGTAGACTTTTTGTCGTGGGCCGAGCCGCGCAAAAAAACCCATTTTTGCGACGTGGATTAGAGCTTCTGCACCGTGCGGGTCCAATATCGCAGCGACGCAAGCCTTTCTCAGCGGAGCCGGGGCGAAGAAATTGCAGGGTGCAAAAAGTGTTGAAAAGGATTGCTTCGCGTGGGGAGCACAAAACTAGTACTAGTCGCGACATAAAGTCCGTAGAATTTTTTTCGCCGACGTCGCGGGTGCAAACGCCGAAAAGTGCATGTCGCTAGTGCAAAAACGGAGAATCGCCGCGGTGCGTGCGAAAAAAAGGGTTGAATGCACTGTGCAAATTTCTCAGGACTTTATGTCGCGACTAGTACCAGTGCATTTTGTTTTTCTTTCGGACCCGTCGCGGCAATTCCCCGTTTTTGCACTAGCTACATGCACTTTCCCGCGAGCTTGCCACTTTTTCGTCGCGACACCCGCGACAAAATGTGTCAGGACTTAATGGCGCGACTTTTACTGTGCGGTGCGAAAAAAGGCCGAAAAAATCTACGCACTTTCTTTTAATTCGTACTGCCTAAAATTACGAAACCCTTATATGGATAAAATCTCTAAAAGTTTTAGCATACGCTTTTCAGGGATAGCCAAGTCATCATTCTGTCGGGAAAATACAGTGAGGGACCTGATCCAATGGCCTTCCCTTCAAGGCGGGCTTTTCAAAACCGGGTTTTTTAGCTTAAAGAAGGGACGGGTTTGTAGACATTCTGGTCCCTTCCGGGATGAAAAATGAGACGTTTTTTGCCATTGGGTCCAGTCCCTCACTGTAAAAAGCACAACTGCGCCGATGGCGTCGCTGAAGTGAAAAGAAATTTGATTTTGCCGCGACACAATTCATTTTCTCGGCCACAATGCGATTTTCGATGCAACAGAATGCTCATTATTTTCCCGACAGACTGATATTGACAAGAAATCTTTATTCAGCAGCTGAACTTCAGCTGCTGAATCCTCCCGAAAAACGGTGACTAAAATATGAAGTTTTGGTAAAGTTTTTGAAGAGGGATACTTATCTTTAATAAAATTTCCCTGATATTTCCTCTTATACATAAAAAAATCTCCTGGGGCAGTTTTCCATTTATCTCGCGGATGACCTCAAAACTTTTTCCAGATCTCCAAAAGCAAAATAAAAATGGTCGTATGAAAGGAGAGAATAAACCCAGCGATATCCAACTGTTAGAATATAATAAATCGCCCGCAGTAAACGCGGCGCTTGCGCAATGCAAATTTCCCGAAAGACGAATGGCGATTTATGCTCGAATGCCATGACTTGGGGTGTAATGTGGACGTGACTTCCAGAACGTAGTCTTAGGACAGCTGTTGATTATGTTAGGGCTATGTAAATAGAGGGAATAAATCGAGATAAACAGCGGGGTTTATGGGGTTCGGGTTGTGTAAAGTCAATAAATTGGGCATAAAACTTGTTGTAAAAAGGTAATTGGAGATAAGTTGCACCTAGGGGTATCATATAGACTGGAAAGTCATTATTTATTTTCTACATGCTTTTAAGCAAATTACTAACTCTAATTTTTTTAAAGTTTATCTTTAAAAACAATTTATTTCAACAGTAAAACAGCCAAGGTCCAATTTACTATTCGGTTGATCCATTGGCTAATCTTTTTCCCAATTTTCCCCCGAAATATTCGTGAAATTTTTATTTACTCCAAGGCCATTTGGTATGCGAATTATGAAGGCCCAAGTATCTCTTCACCAAGTCATGGGGTCTCTCCAACAACACCTTTAATTTGTTTACATTCCCGTACACTTGAGTCAGTTTTTCTTTGACCTCCGCGGAGAATGGCACCTTTTATAGGCGCTCTTGTTGCTTTTTTGGGAGATTGCGTGGAGGAGGATGCTGGCTGGATCTTTGGACTATGTGATTAAAGAGTTGATAGGGTCAGGGAGGCGCAAAAAAACGCACAAGCTTCTTCATAGCACATCAGTCTAGAAACAACACTCTTTCAGCAGGAAGCTTGCAGTTTTATAGGGAAAAATTACGTAGCTAAAAATTTCTTCACTAACAGTAGTTGAAATTAGTTCATGTTGAAAGGTCTGGGCCTATGAACAACGAATTAATTTTTTTTGGTGGGATCTCATTGTTTTTTGAGCTGGGTAGACAATAAACCAAAAATTTTTGCCAAAAAGTGCATCAAGCCCCATGAAAAGGATTCACTGGTTTTATTTTGGCAGACTGTATTATATATATGTATGAATTAGTAAGTTGGGCCGTAGCTGACCGAAAATTCTGTGGGTCAGTGTATAAAAAATATATGCGGATTACCGTGGCCCCCTTACCATCGTTTTCTTCCACCACGGGCTGAAGAGGGGTCTCTCCTTGCCCTGCACTGTAGCTACGGCCTTGTTGGTCTTGTTGAGGTTTATGCTTCTCAACAGGGACGCCTATGCTTAGGATTAGTATGTTTTTCTGTTTTTTTTCTACAGATGTCTAGGTTATGATTAGTATGTTTTTCTGTTTTTTGTAGAAGATCTTCTGGTAGACATCTTTCGTCATCATGGTGGATGTGAAAACCCCCTCAAATTTCTTTTTATCTAATTTTTTTAGCACATTCTTTTAGCAACCTGACTTCATCTTCTGTGAAGTTCTACAGCCTGAAACTCCCAACACGCTTTCAAATCACTTTCCTCTCTATCTCCGCTCTTTCCCACAATCTGGCCTCAAATAGCAATATTGCGCCACCAGCAACTCTCTTCGCCCCCATTGTCCATCAAATGTGTATCTTGAGGTCATTGCGAGGTCCCCAAGCGAAGGGCGGGCTCTCCTGGGCAGCACCCAGCCGAATGCCTTGCCATAAAAACGACGCCATTCGCTCGAGAGCGTTGCCGAGGCGACCCCGGAGTCCGCGCATATGCACTGCTCCGCTGCAGCGGGTGGGGCATTCGCTCGCGTCTTTTTTTCGCCTCCTCGGTGTTTTGCCAATGGTCCAGTCGAATGGAGCGCTGTGGGGGTTTTTTGGCGGAGGTGATTCGGTTTGGGGAGAGGGATAATCTTGCACATGGCCAAGGATAAGATGATTAGTGTGGGAGATGGTGCTGGTTAGAGGTGTTGATGGGGGAAATGTGTGTAGTAGATGTGTGGCCCTAGAGTTTCTGGAATTTCGGTTGAATTTTGTCGTTTTGTTTGGTGCACAGTGCAGTAATCGTCTTGAAGGTTATAGCACAGTGCACGCTGATGATTGACAGTAAAAGGAATTGTATGAAATTGGAAGTCACAAGAATAATAGGGTTAAGTTTACAGAGCCTCTAAAACATATACGTTGTAAATTTTTGCGATTTCACAACTGCACAGTGCAATTTTTTAGATTGCCTATTTGCACTGTGCAGTTTAAAAGATCATCATGTTTTCACAGCGCAGTTGGGAAAAGGTTTATAAAATGGTTACGATATATATGTATATACCTTGTTGACTTCATAATATATGACTTAATTGTTTTCTGCCTCCGGGCCATGCGGTTTTTGGAGGTTCAAATTTTTGCACAGTGCAGTGACGAATTCATTTAGAATCTGCACTGTGCAGCTTCATAGCCGTTTCGCGTTTAAAATCTCGAAGTGTTCATCGTATTTCACCGTCAAATTTTCAGTTTTTCCTTGTTATCCCTTCCATCCAACCTCAGTAGCAATGGCCGAAGAGAAAGTGGAGCTCAGCGAACAGACCCCTCTGAAGCAGGAAGAGGAGAACAAGGAGGCCGAGAAATCGACCGAAGCCGGCGAAGAAGCCGCCACCGAGAAGAAGGAGGCCGAAAAGAAGAGATGGTTCTTCAACAAGAAGGTAGGCCACATCAATATATTGTACTAGGCAGAAATCGTCCGAGTTTTTCGTTTTTTATGCCCTACATTGGTTATTTATCAGCGCAGTAATGCAACTGTTGACCCCCATTCGAAAGAGTGTTGTCCATTGTGCGGCACTCCGCTTTGTCCCCAAAATAAAATAATTATAGTGACGGGTGCGCAGCTCTTTTTGTCGTGCCGCCGCAAAGAAACGAACTAGATAATAGCGGATCGCATTACACTAGTCGCGCAACATTCATAAAGAAAACATGTGTTTGGAGTTTGGGTTTACAGTACGAGTTATTGAGGGAATAATGGGGGTTTTGGAAAGAAAACTGGATTTTTTGGAGGTTTTGGCAAAAAAAGTGGAATTTTGATGAAATAGTCGGCCTTCATAGAAAACTAATAATGCATAGAGAAAGTGTAGGCATCATGAAGAATTTTTTCATTGTAAAATCAGGCTTATTAGTCGATTTACCATCAAAAAATTTAATTTTTGAGGCAAAATCTACCTTTTTAATAATTTTTCAACAAAAACCCAAGAAATTTTTCTAGAATTGGGCTTTTGAGGTGGTCTAAAAACATTGAGCTATCTTAAAATAGCTGTATAGAGACGTAATGACTGCATTTTTAATTTGAAAATCATAAAAAAACAAGTTTTTATTCCTATTTTGGTAAAAAATCAGCGAAAAAGAGGAAGAAATTGCAAATTTGAGGAAAAATCCCATCTAGAGGAAGAAAACTACTGTCTTCATCCCTTTTTATCACTTTACAATGCCAAATCACGGCAGTACCCCTCAATTTTGCACTGATTTTGCGCAAAAATCGCAAAAACCGCGCCCCTTTCGGCGGAAGAAAGCAAGAGAGGGCCGTGCCGGAGTAGCCGAGCGGCAGTGATCCTCAGTATCGACGCGTGAGCACGAAGGTTCGAACCCTCGAGGCGACCTCGATAGCCTGTAAGACGGAATGAACTGTAGAGAATGATGCACCAGGCAAAACGGTCACAACTCTGTTAACCAAAAATGCTTCGGCGTTCTGTGGGGGGTCGAATCTCTACAGTTTTGGGATTTTTTGATTTTGAAATTGAGATTTTTTGATTGAAATTGAGATTTTGGGATTTTTTGATTCCGAAATTAAGATTTTTTGGCTTCAAAATTCATTTTTTTGGATTTTTGTTTTGATTATCAGTCTGTCTGGAAAATAATGAGGACAATGTCGCTGCTCCGGTTGCATCGCTAAATTCAAAATGCAATTTGATTTTTACGCGACAAAATTCATTTTCTCGCTGCGATTTTCGCTGCGATAGAGTGCTCATTATTTTCCCGACAGACTGATATAAAACTACCGACAAGGACAGTTCTGTTGTCGTCTGCAAAACGGGCTAATTTTTCCACTAGCCTGCCCAAATCCGCCGCCGTCGGTGCATGCTGGGTTTAATGCGAACGCGCTGCCGATTGGGCCGGAAGAGAAACGGCAGCGAGGCGTTAATGCGAACGGAAGTCCGCGCAACGTCTCGCCATGGAAACAAGAGCAATTTGAGGGGCGATCTTAAGACGCGCGTTGGCTAATAAGACGGCAAATTGCGAAAATTGGGGTACTGTAATTTGGGATTATTACGGATTTTTTTGTATATTACGGATGATGGTAATGCAAAATTTAAGACTATGGAGGCATTTTAGAGCGTATAAAATTGCTTATATACGGTTTTTAGACCTTTTAGGCATGCTAGAACAGAATGCCAAATTTGGCGGGAAATTTAATTTTTAAAATTTTTCTCTTTGCACAGCGATTTTTGGCTTGAAAGTTGTTTTTTGTACATACAAATGACATATTTTGAGCACTGAAATTGTCTCATTATAGCTAAAATATCTTTTTTTGTCATCTAAATTTCCCCTCAAAAACCCCCCAAATCTCCCCCAATTTATGCGCAGCCCTCGAAACCAATACTATTCAGGCAAATCTGCGGATAATCCCCCACCACTCTCCATCTCTGCGGCACTCTTTTTTTTCATGCTTTCAGTGCGCTATTCAAATTACTTTAATTACAGAGTGGAAAGCGAGCTTGCATCCTCTCGTCCAATTTTGGGGTCGAAATTAATGAGCTGCGTCCGGGAGGGGGGAATGCAAAATTCGCGGAGTGCTAGCGGAGGGTTGAGTGATGAATGTGGAGGAAGGGGAATTTTGAAGTTGAAAAAAGCATAGGAACTAAAAAGTAAATAAAAAAAGTGGAAAAAATACAACAAAACTAAAATTAAAAGAGTCTCAAAATCGACCAGTAGATTTTTTTAAAATTGTCCGGGCAAATATATCTCCAATATGTATGGATCATATAGTGGCGGACCTGATCCCGCGGCAAAAAACGTACCATTTTGCATCCGGGAAGTATCAAAAAGGTCGCAAAATACCTCCCTGTCCAATCCCTCAAAGCGGAGTTTTTTTATTTGTAGAGGGAGGCATTTTGCTACATTTTTAATACTTCTTCAATGCAAAATGGTGCGTTTTTTACCACTGGATCAGGTCCGTTACTGTAACAAGGGCGTAGCTGACCAAAAATTCTAATGGAAAATTTTATGCATAGTCCTGATGGGCACAATGTAAAAAAAATTTACCTTCCTCCCCCCTTACCATATTTTTCTTCGACCCCAGGTTGAACCTCCTCTCCAGCTACGCCCCTGGATCATTAGTAAATTTCAGCCTGTCACACCGAGAGCTGAACTATTTACTAACCTTTTGTCATCGAGAGAGCGCAAATAATAAGGAGAGTCGGCCGGACAAAACTTGTTTTTCGGTCATAGCTTTTTCGGGGGCTTTCTGAGAAAAGAACAGCTTTGAGAGAGTGTAAAAATTCTCGCAATTTTCGCAGAGACCTGCATTGTGCAAATTATCAACCTGTCGGGAAAATAATGAGCGCCCTGTCGCAGCGAAAATGAATTGTGTCGCGGAGAAAATCAATTTTTTTTTCACTTAATTTTCTCATAATTTTCCCGACAGACTGATAAATAAACCGAATATATTGTAAAATACGGCGCCTTTCGTTGCTTGTAGTCATCAAAACTTTCTGATTTCCACTCTAAATCATGCATTTTGCAGGCCAAGAAGGAGGAGAAGCCAGCCGAAGAGAAGGCCGAGAAAGAGAAGAATGCCGAAGGCGGCGAAGTCCCTCCAGCCGAGAAGAAGAAGTGCTGGTGGCAGAAGAAGCCGTGCTGCAAGAAGGACGGCGAGCAGCCCACGTTCGGCATCGACTACGTGCACCGCGACGATCAGAACCTGCAGACCGCCATCGACCTGAACTTTGCCGACATCTTCGGCGAGCCGGACGCCCTGCACTCGTGGGAGGGCGTGTGGCGTCGGAGCCAGGCGGTCTTCAACGCGGTGCGCGGCTTCTTCTACAAGCTGTTCAGCCTGCTGCTGTTCATCCCCGCCACCGTCGTGTTCGGCGTCCTGTTCGCGTTGTTCTCGGCCCTGAACGTGTACGTGGTGACGCCGCTCGGCAAGCTGCTGTGGATCCCGTTCGGATGGGTGGCGGCGGTGTGGAAGGCCCTGAACGCCAACGTTTTGGGCCCCGTTTTTGGCGCCCTTGGCCAGGGATTGAGCAGCATTCGCGTCCACAGATACGGCCTCAACAACGACGCTACCGCCACGATTGCAGCCTAATTGATGAAAACATGAAATTTTGGATGCTAAGAGTACTGTAACATATTTTTTCGCTATTTTCAAAATTTTGGAATCCTTTAGCTTTTGTCTAAAATTATTGAAAATCTCGAAATTTTTGCGAGAAATTCAAAAAATCCCGAAATTTTCGACATCTCCAAACCCTCCCGAAAACGTTACAGCACCTCTTGGTATTCGTTTTGCAACGAACTCAGCCCTATTTTCCATCTAAATTTGAGGAGTCTCCGAAAAACTTCAATTTTTTGAAGAAAAACGTCAAATTTTATGGGAAATTGTACGTTTACCCGTATTGTAATTTTATTAATTTCAACAATAAACGCTTAACTTGATCTTCAACACATCTTTCGTCTGTTCCAAGCAAAAAGAATGGGGTTTGTAATCTTTTTTCATAGATAATATCGATGATTTGCTATCAACTTCACATTCCATGAGTACAATATTCGGCCGGATACGTTGAAAGTGCATAAAAACCCGAACGCAGCGCACCAAGCGGCCGCATATTTCATAAGCGTGTTGCTGTAGGGTCCGACAAACTTGTATAGGCTTGATTTTGGGATGATGTTGGTCGTGTTTGCTTCGCTCATAAAACGGCGTAAATGAAGAATATCGTCGGGTGGATCATCGACGTGCTGATCCAATTTAATTTGCAGTAGAATGGCAAAAGCGGCAATGAAAAAAGAGGTGGAAATGAGGTTCAGCACTGAAGGAATGTGTCATTAGAGGTGTGTAATAAACACTTTCAACATTTACCGATTAGAATTACAAATTTCCTACACTACTCTACGCAGTATGATATAAATTTTGCATTGACAACCCACAGGTATAGATAAGTACACGAATCTATTGAATTCATATGCCGATTTCAAAGTTACAGTGGGAGACCTGATCTAGTGGCAAAAAACGTACCATTTTGCATCCGGGAGGTATCAAAAATATAGCAAACTGCTTCCCTCTCCAAGTGAAAAAACGCTGATTTCAAAAGCGCGCCCGCTCTTTTTGTGTGGGAACTTTCAAAACGAAGTTTTTTTCACTTGGAGAGGGAAGCATTTTGCCACATTTCTGATACTTCCCGGATCCAAAAATGTACGTTTTTTGCCACTGGATCAGGTCCCCAACTGTATGGGTGCTCGTTTTGAAAAAATGGTTTCTGAACCTTTAAAAATGCCCGGATAACCTTACGGTAACCATCCAAACCATTTGTACAGCTGCAAACATAATTTGAAACGTTCGGCAAGGGCTCGGCGGAGACTTGGCGAAGGCTTGCAATCTGTCCAATTTTTCTAATTTTATGTATTACTAACATTAGTTTTATTTATCCCAAGTTATTGTAATATACAGGGTGCGGCAAAAAAATGGAAACTTTTTTTCATTGGGTCCTGACGCAAAAATTTTTTAATGCAGCACAATTATTTTCGTACCATTAAATTCTCCGTAGTTTTCTCTCCTGGACGTTACAATTTCATATCCATATCGATTTACTAACATTCTTTTTTTGAATGTCAAAGAAAGGGACCTCAATTTTGGACATGTTTTTTAAGCTGTTCGAAGTGCTAATTTGCCCGCTATAGAAACGACGTTGTGCCCAAAGTAATCACACAATGCAAGAAGCTTGTCAACAATTTTAAGCGTCCATTAAGTGAAAGAAAACGCACCGCCGTCACTTCTGCCAGCCGCGAGGTCATCAACAACGAAATCCGTCGATTTCCAGAAAAAATTGCCCGCGAGACCGGTACCAGCGACCGACCAGTCGGCCAAATAGCTAAAAATCAACCCAAGGTCTCCCCATACAAGGTCTAAAATGCACAACTCCTCACCGGCAAGATCAAGCCCGTACGCCTGAAAAAATGCCGAAAATTCAGACGTCGGGCCGCAGGTCCGCGATGGGAGCGCATTCCCTTCGCGGTGAAATGTTTGGCGGGTGCACAACCAACAGAACGTCAGAATCCAATCCGATGAGGCCCTCTGCACGTCGGCTAACGACGAACACCGTCAAAATCCGGGCCGTCATCGCATAATGCGGAATTTGTGCCAGCGGCAAGAATTCCGAGATTTTCGTGGATCAAGAGGGCAAAATTCTAGCGCCGCGTTAACCTCAATTTCTTCATGGTTCTGTTGGCTCAGAGGAACCTTGGCAACTCAAATTTGGCGTTCCAACTAGACTCAGCGCCGGCTCACATGGCAAAAGCGAGTCAAGACCAGTAATGGGACCGATTTTCCCGATTCCACCCCGTCTGCGAAATGTGCGCCTGCTCGCCGGATATGAATCCGATGGACTATATTTTTTTATCAATTGGGGACCAGCATCTGTACTACACCCCATAAAAGTTTGGAGTTGCAAAGTAATCGCTGCGCCAAGAACGGGACCGACTTCCTCGAAAAAAGCCGCGGCCAAAAGCCCAAAATTTTAAGTCACTTTTGGAGCTCTACATCGCCACCAAAAGCAGCCACTGCGAAACGGGTTGAATATGTTATAAACAATGCTCTATGTTATTGCTGGTGACCGTTACTTTTGCGGAATTTGGATTGCTAGGAAAAATAGAGCTTTAAAAATAAGTTTCCATTTTTTTGCCGCACCCTGTATAAAGGACCAAAAATTGAGGTAAAAAACGAAGATCCGTAACTTTTATCTAGATATTATTGATATAATTACATGTAAAATACCTCAAAATAGGTTATAAGCTATCCTAGGGCCCGCTCAATCTTATTATTTCTACTAACTAAGCGTTAATACATTATTCGCTCGAAAAAAATCAAAAAAACTCACATACAACAATCGCACAGCAAAATGGACGACTTGGTCGCACATACTTCACCGTGAACGTTAAAAGAAACATTAGTGCCGAATTCACATTTTGCGAGATGAATATTGCGCATCGAGCCGGGAAAATGAACTTCTCCAGCGACATTTCCTCTTTATTCAAATTCAAAAGCTGCACAATAGCGACAAAAAATAGGAAATTAGTGACAATTAGAAGTAAAAAATTATAGAAAAATAAAGAATATTGAAGATAGGTCAGTAAGCACCATCGCCTTTTCATAATACCCAGAATTAATTTTCAACTTGCTCATTTGGAGCGGTTAGAGCAGCGAAACGACGGCTTAAACCGTTGAGGGTGAGGTTTTGATAAGCGAAACTGATAAGAATCTGCTTCTTGTGGTGATTCATAGGCAAACTACGGCCCGGCATGGCCCCAGGGTCCGGCCCTGAGCATTTTTAGGCTCGGCCCGACCGCTAAAAATTTGAATTGCAGTTTTCCCGCCATTTTGGCAACATCTTGGCATTGTGTTTTATGGCTCGTTTTAAGGGTGTTTTTGTCGTTGCCAGCATTTTGAACCGCATAAAATGTGTATTTGACCCTTATGGAGCCATAAATATTACGTATCTCCTTGCAAAATGCCAAAAACCCAAAATTGGCATCCCAATTTTTCGTTTCATTACGAAAAGTTTTTTGGATGGCGCAAAATTTCCATTCTCGAGCCTCAAAAAACAAGGTCAAGATTTCCGAAGACCAGCTCTGGCTCTGCCATGTGTGGTTCCGGCCATGGACGATGTTTGTAATCATCAAAAACCTCGAAATTTCGTTGGAAAATCTAAAAGTCCCGTAATTTTCAATGTCTCCAAAACCTCTCAGAAACGTTATCGTATCTCAACGTGCTCGGTTTTGCAACGAATTCAGCCCTATTTTCCATCTAAATTTGAAAAATCTCCGAAAAACTTCCATTTTTTGAAAAAAACGTCAAATTTTATGGAAAATTGTACGTTTACCCGTATTGTAATTTTATTATGTTTAACAATAGACGCTTAATTTGATCTTTTTTCACAGATAATATTTATGATTTGGTATCAAGTTCACATTCCATGAGTATAATATCCTGCCAAACAAATTGAAAGCACATAAAAGCCCTGCGGCAACGAACCAAGCAGCGATGTACGTCATAAACGTGTCGGCGTAGTATCCGACAATCTTGTATAAGCTTGATCTCCTGATGATGTTGGTCGTATTTGGAACACTCTCAAAAGAACGAGGACTTAGAATATCGCCAAATTGATCGATGACGTCCTGATCCACCTCGTCTTGGAATTTAATGACCAGAGCGGTAATAAAGAATGAGGTGGACATGAGGCTCAGTACTGAAGAAATGTGTTATCAATTTTGTGAAAAATCGCGTACAACTTCTCGGGTCAGCGACAGTTCGGGTTAACGATACTATGAATCGCGCTGGTTCGTCGTTGTGTACATGGGAAAGGCCAGGAGAAGGCTTAGTTAGTAGAAATAATAAATGATCGGGTCCTTGGATAGCTATTTTGAGGTATTTTGCGTGTATCAATAATCAATAAAGTTAGATAAAAGTTACAGATCTTCGTTTTGTGCCGCACATTTCGGCATTTTATGTGGTACAATAACTCAGGGTCAAGAAAAATAAGGTTAGCAATAGCTAAGGTTGGAAAAAAAAGTCATACTGAAAGTCTTCGCCAAGTCTCCGCCGAGCCTTCGCAGATAAAGAAGTGTCTTTGCCAAAACTCGTAGACACCTCCTACAACCTTTTTTTACGTTCTCATGTGTATCCACCGCCCCGTATAGATCGGTTTTGTGCTGACCGAACTGTCGTCGTCCCGAAAAGTAGGGACACGGAAAAATAAAAATCCCAAGATTAGAACCAAGGGGATAGCTCAGAATTGAGAAACGAAATCTCCGAAAAACTATAATATTTACCCTATTGCACCAGTAATAGCAGAAAAAATATGATGACATCGCTACATAGGCACTGCAGTGCACTGTGACGCAAATTATTGGCCACCCGAACTCTCGGTGACCCAAAAACATGTAGCTTTTTTTCACAAAAGAAATTAAAAACTCACATCCAACAATTGAGAAGCAAATTGGCCGACTTGGCCTCACATACTTCACCGTGAACGTTAAACCAAACATTAATGCCGAATTCACATTTTGCGAGATGAATATTATGCATCGAAACGGAAAAATGTACTGTTCAATCCCCATTTCCCGTTGATTCAAATTCAGCAACTGCACAACAGCGATAAAAAATAGGAAATTGGTGCCAATTAGGAGTAGAAAATTAAAGAAAAATAAAGAATATTGAAGATAGGTCAGTAAACACCATCGTCTTTTCATAACACCCAAAATTATCCTTTAATTTGTCCATTTGCAGTAGCTAAAAGGCAGCAAAAAGAAGGCTTCAACCGTTGAGGGTGAGGTTTTGATGAGCGAAATTGATAAGAAACTGTTTTTCGGAGTGATTCATACGGACCCCAAAAAGCTTATCGCATGGTGCAAAAAACAACAAATTGCATATTGCAAAGTGAATTTTCGTTTTCGTACAGTGCATGTCGCAGAAATGACTCAAACGGCTTTGCAAATGGACTAGTACTGGGGCCAATGCGCTAACTGAAAGTCTGCTGAAAATCATAGGACGCAGCTCGGAGGACTTGGACGGGGCAGCTCGCGTCTTGGGCGCAGCTCGAAAACGAGCTGAAAGTTAGCTCCGGCGAGCTGCAGAAGCTTGTTTTCCGAGCTGCCCGCGAGATGCGAGCTGCGCCAGTGCTATTTTTCCAAGCTGCGCCCTACCATTTTCAGCTAACTTTCAGCAAACTTTCAGTTAGCGCATTGGCCCTTGCACGGCAATTCAAAGTGTTTCCTGGCTCTCTTCGACGCGTCGCCCATTTTGGACTTATTGAAATTACACGAAATGTCACAAAAGAATTTCAGCCGTGGCCGAAACCAGGCGACTTTCCGGCCGGTCAAGTATCCTATCAGTCTGTCGTAGACATGGCTGTGAACAATGCATTCATTACGAGATATAACACATTTTTTGGGGCTTTGGTAGTTCAGCCCCCAGGAAAGGTAAGTTCAAACCCCCACTGTTTTGTCCATTTTACACCCCCATAATGAAAAATTTAGAATATTACAAAAAATGCAAATTAGGGTAAAACGACCCCCGGCGTTTTAGCTCAAAACCCCAGTTGCCGTCCAAATTCGTTCTTGTAGTTCAGGCAACGCTGACCGTAGCCGAGAGAACCCAATTCCGAGTAGGAGCTTCAGATTGGATGAAGGGGTTTATGCTGGGTCCAGGGGGGCTGAATGAGCGAGTGCAGAGAGCGCAAGCTCTCTGCACCAATCTCGTCGCTGAAGTGGAAAGCAATTAGATTTTGTCGCGATACATTTCATTTTTCTCTGCAGCGATGCAAGCGACAGAGTTCTCATTACTTTCTCGAAGGACCGATATTCGAAGTGTTTCGTATATGAGCATATCAACTTTTTCATGTTCAATTATTCCTGGCACATTTTGTCAACGACACAATATTTCCTTTTTCGAACAATTCAATTCTCTGGTGTTTCTCCGCTCCTTCCACTCGAAGTTCTCGGCACACCGTCTGCCCGCTGCACATGTGATAGCTGAAACGGAATATTAGCGATAAGTTTAATTGAAATTTTGTTTAATCATCGAGACACTCCTTTTGCGTCAGAGCTACCGGCGTAAAATACGTAGTTACACGTAATTTTCTCAAAAAATGGGATTGGCCAACAGCAAGGATGTTATATATTAATACATAGTATATGCTCTTATCTATGGAAATGGCTGTGATTTTAGCTAATTTACGGCTCTTGCGGGACGATTGTTTTTTTGTAATCTTTTTCGTAGAAATTAGGCGAATATATATATGTATACTGTATCCGACAGTGACAATTGAGCTTAACGACAACTTACAAGATGACTAAGGGCTTGGAAATTAACCGAATGTATTTTTCCGATTCGATTCTGTACTGCCCTCTCATATTTGCCATTGCATTTCCAATTTCATCGGCCTGTGTAATAGGCTTGTCGGAGCTGACGTCTTCGACCATTACAATTTTCTGAAAAAAGCTGAGTATAATTCGTAAGGTGGATTTTTTTATCTGCTGATAAGGGAAGTGCCCCAAGTGCGACGCTCACTAGTCAGATTCATGTTAAATTTAAACTGTATAAAACATAATCGAGTAAGATGTAACCTAACACACTAAAATTACCTAAAACACTAAAACGTTACGTAAAAACACAAAATGTAACCCAAAACCCTAAACCTAAAAGCTATTACTATTATTTTGCTGACTCGCCTACACTACGTGGTTATTCATGTTAATTTTATACTGTATAAAACATAGTAGAATGAGTTGTTACTAAAACACTAAAATCTGCGATGACGACTGTCTTTACTTTTAGAAATTGGGTTTCAAGTTAGTTCTCCTAACGAAGGAACTACCCCTAAGTGCGACGCTCAGACATTCTTTAAAATTTGCCTGCGTTTCGAGCATAGACCACATATCAATTCCTGAAAGTCTTGGCTCGCGTTTTGCAGTTGCAGCCAAGATATTGAGCGATCATGGCGGCCGAGAGAGTACACCAAAGGTGGAGTGCGGCCAGAGAAAAAAAACACTCTTCCAGTTTCGCATGGAAAAAATTGGTTTCATGTGGGAACACTAACAAATCCACAAAAAATGGCGTTTTCTCATCTTTTGACCAAGAAAAATCGGTCAGTTATGCATATGTTTTATACCGCCTGCATAAATTTATGCAAAGTTTCATCAAAATTTGAGCATCGCAGTTGGGTACTTGCGAAGCGCCTGGCCGAAATTTGGCCCAGGAGCCGCACATCAACCACAAAAAAAAAGTTTCAAATCGGGAAATCGTAACGAAGCAATTGCCTAAATTCTTTTTTCTATGAGCATAATTAGAGTATTTTCAGAGAACAATAAGCAACCCTGTGTCATATACTAGCTTACTCACTCAAAATTCCAAAAAAAGTGATATTTAGGTGACTAAAATAATATTTTAAAAATCGGTAAATTTTGGCTCAGCTAGGTCCACTATGATCTAAAAAGACAATAAGAGCATAATTAGTGGCATTCGCACCAGTTTAGAAGCTGTTCTAAGAACCTTGTTTTAGGTGATATTGGCCATTTTTGAAATTGGCGCAGCGAAGTTGAAACCAACTCCAAAAGCTCAGTATAGCCTTAGAAAGCCATCTCAATTTACATAGATAATTTTAAAACTTTGACTTCAGTCATAAACTTTCATTATTTTTGGTATAAGATCAGGTATGCTACTATAAGGTAAAACTTTTTTTCGACCTAAGAGTTAAAATTTTTGCAGTTAATCTCCCTTAACAGGATGTTATGAGATAATATAGTTAATTAATTAGACTATTTAACGCTGTCGGACATTAAAATCTGCCCAAAGTAATATAATCCATAAGGTAAAAAAGCTTAAAATCGCATCTACTTTTTTATTATCTGTCCGATTTGCTTCAAACTTCGCATACTACCTTAGAATACAATATTCTGAAGATCGTTGCAATCACTTTCCGTGTTTCAATCGTTTTAGACAAGTTATTCAGCCGCAAAGTTTGCAAAAATTCGATTTTCTCCGGCAGTTTGTCGCTAACCTGGTGGCCGAAGAACGCCAAAATCCATTAATTTAAAAAATATGGGTCCTTGGCAATGTTTTAATCGCAGGTTCATGTTATTTTGTTCATTACCCACTGCACAGTAAGCTAAAACATTAGAGACCCTTAAAAAACCGAATGCCAAAAATCTTGGCATTCTGTTTGTGGTTGATGTGAGCCGTGCCTAGGCTAGACAAAAAAAATTATTCAACAACGCAAAATTATAGCGTCGCACCTATAAGCCGCCGTGTAAACCTACCACAGGCAAGTCTCGCATTTCAGTTTTCCCATCAGCAGTTGTTCCATTACAACTCAAAACACCCGTTCCCACATATCGTTTCGTTGTGAAGTAGCCAAAGATGGCAAAAGTCTCTGTAACTGTCAAGCAATAGTATATGGCAAAAGCAAACAACATCATCCTTTCCCAGATCAATCAAAAAAGAACTAACAGTTATTATTATGGGGAATGCATGTAGAACAATGAATATCAATCATGATGTGCTTTGCCTCTTTGAATTTTGTAATGTATTATGAGAAACATTTACATAAAAAACGCGCAAAAAAGTTTGATGAGAAGTTTGTAACAAGCCACAAGTTAGAAGAGGGATAAACGAAGGGGATTCATTGCTCCTTTGCTGAAATGACGCTTCTTACAATTATTTATGAAATACAAAAATATAGGACTTTTCTTTCACCCACGTCGGGCATACATAGATTGAATATCCATTCCGGAAAGTTTCAGCTCGCGCTTTGCAAGCGCCGTCCAGATATTCAACGACTATTTGCCGCCGAAACTACGCGAAACGAAGAGAGCGGTAAAAAAACACCTTTTGACCATGACTTTGCTAAAAACTGATTTTTTGCGGAAATCTTGCCCTTGATGGTGGAAATAGGCATGAAGCATTTAGTGCCGAAATTCGGCAAAAAATGTCAAATTTTCGCCGGTTTTTTGATATAAAAATCTCGGCTGTTTTTGCAAAGCGTGAGCTAGGATTTTTGCAGAAATTTTTTGCATAAATTTTAGAAGAATTTTCATAAAATTGTGCCAAGTTTCATCAAAATCTGAGTGTCGCATTTGGGGTACTTCCCCTGCGAATATAATATTAATTTTGCAAAAAATTGAATTTTCAAAAAATTTTGAAGAAATTGTGTCAAAAAAAATTTCATTTTCAAAACTAAAGACCCCTAAAATTTGATTATTCGATTTTCCCCGTATTTCCCTCGAAATTCTTTCATTCGAAAATCGTCGTCGACCCGAGTTCGGTTCGTTTTTGGCTGTGCGTTCGGCGGCTCCTCTCTGCGAACCAGATTCGATTGGATTGGACTTCCTTCGAGCGATTTCTACTGATCCAAACCAGTCTCGACCTCTTCGGTGGGTTCTTGAGTAAGTTTATGGGGGATAAATTTAAGTTTGAGCCGTCTAAATACTAGCCTTATATCTTTATATTATCCATGACATTTTTTGATGACTTAGCCGGAATTTGAGATGGTATACCATTTATTTTTTGCGCGAAAGAAACATTAGGGGCTACAATGATTAATTTGAAGCGCATTTTACCATTATGAGGTGGTATCTTTTTGCTTGAGATGAAATATTCCCATCTTACAAGGGCATCTTTCACTCCAAGTGAAACGCTCAGATTTTCTTTAAATTCTGGCCACACGTCAGGCATAGGCCAGTTATGAATTCCTGAAAATTTCAGCTCGCGCTTTGCAGGCGCCGCCGAGATATTCAACGATCTTTGCGGCCGAGAGAGCGCGCAAAAGACGGGCGCGGTCAAAGAGAAAAACACTTTTTGGCCACAAAATCTAAGCGTCACACTACATTCTCTTGATTTGCAATCCATTTTGTAGTCATGCTTATTGCTCACAGTTACTCAAAGAGTCAGTACTCAATCGAAAATGATCAAAGATTTCCTGAAATTTGACTAAATTTCCGAGAATTCGAGCAAACTTGGGTTTTTTCGACCGAAAATTGACATTTTTTGTGGGAGGCAGTATTATTATGGATGATTAAATGATAAATTGGGATGTTACAGACGGGTTGATACTGTAGCTCCAATTCTGATAAATAAAAAGTAATTTCTCCGATGAAAAATCACCAAATTTTTCGATTTTTTTAGATTTTTCGACAAAAAAATCAAGAATGAATGACCTAGGGGTATTTAATAGTCTCTAATATTATTTCAGATCCTCTTCCAACCTCTGATCTCTCCGCGTTTTTCTTCATTTTCCTTCCCAACTCGCTGTTTCGTCCCGCCAAACATGTCGGATGCGAATGAATTGCGCCGGAAGATGATGGCCGACAAGAAGGACACGGAAACAAAGCAAGGCTTCCGCCGCGAGAGCGCTCCCTCCCAGCGCGAACGCCGTCGCAAACGCTCCGCCATGGCGAAGGTGCACGCCCCGAAGCCCGAAGAGCCCAAGGACAAGGACAAGGAGAAGCCGGAAGAGAAGAAGGAGGCCAAGGAGGAACCGAAGGAAGAGAAGAAAGAAAAGGAGAATTGAGCCGGATTCAAGTTGTTTGTTTTTGAGGAATAAACTGGTATCGAGACTGGAACGTTTGGGCATTTTTAGGGCTTTAGAAGTTCCGCGGATTGGCCACCACGCGAAAAAATCAAGTCTTTGGAAGATGACAGGCACAGGGGCATTTTATACCATAAAAATCGGCAAGCCTAGACTGGGTCAAGCTCACAGTGAGGAACCTGATCCAGTGACAAAAAATGTAACATTTTGCATTGAGGAAGTGTCACAAAATGTAGCAAAATACCTCCCTCTCGAAGCGACAAACCACGATTTCAAAAGCGCGACGGTCTTTTTGTGGAGGAAAAGCGCGCGTCCTTCAAAACGTTATCTAGCTCCACGCTAAATAAAACCTGTGCCTCGCAACTGGAGCATCTACAGTGGCGGACCTGATCCATTGGCAAAAAACGTACCATTTTGGATCCGGGAAGTATCGAAAATGCAGCAAAATACCTCCCTCTCCAAGTGAAAAAGCTCCGATTTCAAAAGCGCACCCCCTCTTTTTTGTGAGGGAAAGGGCGCATCTTTCAAAACGGCTTTTTTTATTGTAGTAAGAGGTACTTTGCCACATTTTTGATACTTCCCGGATGCAAAATTATACGTTTTTTGCCAATGGAAAGTGGTGGTATAGCAAGTCTTCGCAAGCTTCCAGTGCGCCTTCGCCGTGCGTCCGCTGAGCATCCAACGGCTTTTTCAGGCCTCGTAGGCGCCTTCAACAACTGTTATTTGGATATCCACAAGTCCAACGCCCCGTACATATCGATTTTGTGTTGACACGACGTGTCCACAGATTCAAGGCTTTTAAACCAAAAATTAATCAGTAATTAAATAAAAATAACGGTGTAATGAACGAAACCCCCATTCAATTAGCATATAATTAACTACGCGGACGACTACGTTTGTCAAATCGAATTTCAAGCGAATTCAAAATGAAGCTAACTGCGACAATTTCACTATGCTATTTGCTTTTGGTCTGTGTCAATGCGCAACGAAAAGATGATTACAGAACAAGACTTGAGATGAGGGGGAAAGTGTTGTGCATGGGGAAGACCTGGGGACCAGACGATGTAATTGTAAGTGTGTGCTGTTAACATAGGCTACAGTGACGGACATGATCTAGTGACAAAGAACGTCTCATTTTACATCCGGGAAGGATAAAAAATGTAGCAAAATGCCTCCTTCTCCAACTAAGAAAACTCCGTTTTGAAGGAGTTTTCCCTCACAACAAGAGCGAGCGCGCTATTGAAATCGGTTTTTCACTTGTAGAGGGAGAGGTATTTTGCCACATTTTTTGATACACCCGGATGCAAAATGGTACGTTTTTTGCCATAGGATTAGGCCTGCAAGTGTAGATGCTCCGGTTGCGAGGCACAGGTTTCATTTACCGTGGGGCTACATACATAGCTGGCAAAAAATTTTGGTGGAGGAGGTCGATGTCACTATGCAAAATAACCTTGGTTCCCTACCACTTCTTTCTTCGACTGGTATCCCTCCCCTTACCCTAGCTACGCCCTACATACAATTTTACTTTACCCTGCGCAATCTGCGCCCAGACACTTTTGCGAACATCGCGTGAGAGAGAGAGCGCAAAAAAGAAGGGCCTCAGGGTGCATAAATTTTGTTTTCGAGGGAAGAAGAAATCACCTAGATTTTCCAGAACAAATGTTGCCGCAAAGGCGACTAATCTTTGTGTATCGATGGAAAATTGATGCAGTTAATCCTGTACTAAAAGTACTACCTAGAGAAACTAGGCGGCAACAAAGCCAAAAAAGTTTCGCTAAAGTTTCCAACGCCTACCTTTTTAGAAAGTGCAATTAATCGAGAAATACGAGGGCCGCGGAATGATGACCAAGTACTCTATTATTTCAAACCAGCCCCATTGGGACGGGAACAATTGGTTCCGACTGAGAGGGGCCCGCAACAACGACGCCAGGGCTATGATCAAGGTGTAAGAGGGTTTTTTAGCAGCTAAAGCTCGTTTCTTATAACCGCAAAAAAATTTTATTTCAAGCCAAAATGTATGTAATGTTTAGAACCCATCTTTGTGGAAGTCATGGGCCAGCCCGAAAATGTCGCGAAGCCCACATCTACAAGACTGAAACCGAAACAGAGCTGAATAACAATGGAGAAGAGAGACCGTGGGAGTACTGTGCTCAAGGAAATTAAAAGAAATTGTCGGACACTGCTTTTATTTCATGAACATGCCTGATTTAATAAGCAATAAAGTTTAAATTAAAATATTGAAATTTCACAATTCCATTAATGTCAAAACCTCGGTAAAACAGATCACAAGGACCAAAAAATAAACATCACCCATATCGAAACCCCCAAAAAAATCCAACATTTCCTGGTGATTTTCGACCGAAAAAGACCGTAATTTCTCGATCATTTTCAACTGAAAAAACCTGGTTTTCGGGGTAGAGATGCCTTTACTTCAGAAGGTCGTAGCGACCTCAGTTTGCACTTTAAAACACGATTTTTGAGTCACTGAATCAGCCGTGGACATAGAAAAAAATCGATTTTGAGTTTTTGATTTTAAAATGACCGCAGGCATCCAGTAAACATATTCCTGAAATATTTTTGCCGAGTTCTCTCATTAACCTACTGTAATTTACAATTTAATGTTTTTACAGTAATCGACTATTACAACATAACTACTCACTAGAAATGGCTGAAATTGAGAATACTGGTGTTTTCGGGCATGCTCGTCATTTTGAATCCAGAATTTCGGCGGTCGGGTTACTGTAACATACCGCAATGTGGGTTCGGCCGAGCAAAATCGGCCATAAAAAAGTTATTTCCCAAATGCCGCAGCTGATTTTTACATATGTTAATCAGCATAAAATTCTGCACTAGAAACATTTAAAAAAAGTGTAAAAAGTCATCACCACTTTTTCGTGGTGTAGTGGATTTTGGTCAAATTTAGTAATCCAAAGGTCGCGGAATTACGGTGCGAATTGAGTCTAGGAAATGGCTACAGTTGTTTAGAATTAGGTTTTTTAGCCTTCTGAATTCAATGGAGCAGGATTTTTGGCCATAGGATTACTGTAACATAGACAAAACGGATTTCGGCCGTTTAAAATCGGCCGTAAAACGGCTGTTTCTAAACACACGCAGCTAATTCTTCAATTTTTGGAATCAGCGTGAAATTTCACAAAATTTTCACCTAAACAATGGCTTATTGGTTGAATACTTTTTTTTCAGTGGTGACTTACTTGAAAACTTGGAAATTGTAAATAAAACTATATTAGCGAAAGAATTAGCCAAAAATATTTTGAGGGTAAGTTTCATCAACGTATGCGAACATTTCTAGACCAAAATCTCAGATTTTTTTTCTCGATTTCCACGGATGACTTTTTTTTACTGAAAATTTTCTAATCTGCTCGAAAAAAATCGTTGGAATTTGTGCGGCCAGTTAGGTTAATATATTTAATGATTCTAGAGCAGAATTTCACGCTGATTCCAAAAATTGAAGAATTAGCTGCGTATGTTTAGAAACAACCGTTTTACGGCCGATTTTAAGCGGCCGAAATCCGTTTTGTCTATGTTACAGTAATCCTATGGCCAAAAATCCTGCTCCATTGAATTCAGAAGGCTAAAAAACCTAATTATAAACAACTGTAGCCATTTCCTAGGCTCATTTCGCACCGTAATCCACGGAAACCAAAATCCAAGTTTCATCATCAAAAAAATGCTTTCAAGTTCGGAAATCAACTTTGATACAATTTTTCGTACTTCTGATATACATAATCAATCCATCTCAACCAATTTTTTGAGGTTTTGTACAGTTTTACGCATTTTCCTTCCACGGGGATCGAACCCGCGACCTTTGGATTACTAAATTTGACCAAAATCCACTACACCACGAAAAAGGGGTGATGACTTTTTACACTTTTTTTTAATGTTTCTAGTGCAGAATTTTATGCTGATTAACATATGTAAAAATCAGCTGCGGCATTTGGGAAATAACTTTTTTATGGCCGATTTTGTTCGGCCGAACCCACATTGCGGTATGTTACAGTAACCCGACGGCCCAAATTCAGCGTTTTTTATGACGGGCATAGCCTAAAACATAAGTATTGTCAATTTCAGCCATTTCTGACTTGTCGTTTTGTTGTTATAGTCGATTACTGTAAAAACAGTAAATTGTAAATTACAGTAGTGTTGTGGGTAGGTATTTACCCTAGACCCTGGTTCTCAGTCGCTTGAAAACCTTATACTATCCGAAGGCGTTTGTACTCAATACTTTATTGAGGAGACCCTCCGTATACGCGTCCGTATGCGGAGCCTACAATACAAGCCAACTGGGGGAAATCGGGGTGCGCATCTCTCTTATCCCGCCGCGCGGGGATATGATTGATTACGCGCCACGACAGTAGGTTAATGCGAGAATTAGACAAAAATATTTCAGCCATATGTTAACTGGATGCCTGCAGTCATTTTAAAACAAAAACCCCAAAATCGATTTTTTTCTATGTCCCGGCCTTGCACACGGCTGATTCAGTGAGTCAGAAATCGTGTTTTAAAAGCTTGTTATTTCTTAAACAAAAGCTAATGTCTTTTAAAAATACATATTTCAAATATGAAGTCCCTGCGCCACCTCCACCGGAAGTTATAGCCTTCCACTTTCCTTCACGTTTTTTGTAAGACCCTGCAATTATCGCAATGCCGTTATTGCATCGCTGAAGCGAGAAGCAATTTGAACTTGCTGCGGCACAATTCATTTTCCCGGCGGCGATGCGATTTTCAATGCGGCAGAGTGCCCATTATTTTCCCGGTGTACTGATAGAAAATTGCATTGCCAATAATCTATCAGCTTGTCGGGAAAATAATCTCGATTTTTTGCGTCTTGAAATCATCGCTTAACCGCCGCTGAAGACATGGTGCGCGGCTGCAACAAGGCAATACATTTTTCTGCGTCATATCCACATTATTCATTATTTTCCCGACAGATGAACAAGTGCTGTTCATAAAACAAAACCAAAAGCAAAACTGCAGCAGCTGTCTACAGAACACAGAGGTTTTTGATGCGCATTTGCACCGTTCGCCTTAAGACTGGCAGCGATCTCCAAATGAGCGAAATCGAATCCAACTTTACGCCGAAGCGTGGTGGCGGAAACGAACCCCTAAGCTCTCGCGAAGGGTCGAACATTACAAGGATACGCGAACCAATCAGCTACTCCGGCACGGCGGCGTTCCCTCTCTTTTTGCTTTTGATGAAAAATGCGGCTCTTTTTGCTGCTTTTCGCGGGGTTTTTTTGGCGAATTTGACTGATTTTCGTTCAAATTTTCAATTTTTGCTATGTAAAAGTTTTGCGAAATTTTACAACTGGTATTTTCAGTCTTCGTATTTTCCCTATGGTGCCAAATTAGGTCGAAAACAGCCTGTTTTAGCTTATTTCTCATCAAAAATTGGCAATAAACATCAAATTTTGAGTAAAATTGCTGCTAAAATCGTAGCAGTTTCACTTACCATCCCACTATTGAGGATGTGAGATGGAAAAAATCGCAAAAGTCTCAATAGCAACTTGTGGGGAAAATTGTGGCGGGTCTTGGCAGCAAAGACCCGCCACTATTGCGCGCTAGGTCTCTGGAGGAGTCATAGCGCAACAAATCTCTTCCAGCTGCGGGTAGCCGTCGCACAGCGATGATGGGCGATTCCGAGGCGCAACGGCTCGCCATTATTTTTCCGACAGATTGAGTGTCCGTTCACAAAGTTTTGCACTGTGCAATTTCCGACTTTTTGCGCAATGCAATTCTCTTTTGTTCGACTGTCGCTCTGACTTTCTTTGCTCGTCAAAAAATTTGTCCCAAGACTTTTGCGGGAGGCCTAGAGTATGGAAAATTGCCTTGACAATATTTTCGAGACAATCAGCCCGTCGGGAAAATAATGTGGCTTTGAAATCGCCGGTCATCGCTTTGCGACGACTAGGGGATTGATGCGCGACAGCGACGAGGCGAGACATTTTTCAAATCCACATTATTTTCCCGACAGACTGATAAAACTCGTGCAACACAATGGCTTCTCGACTATTACACTTCCGGATTAATTTTTCATGTTTATGGCACCATGTAATTTCCAGAGAGCATCTATTATTTTACCGTTTTATTACTTAAAACCCCATGCCTTTCCAGCTCATCTGTTAAGACATCGGCCATTACAAAGTCCCCAAACGGGGATTGATGAATATCATCGACGAGGAACGGGAGTTTCCGCTCACTGACAACTTGACAAATGTCCGTAATGTGGCTGCAGAAGCCGGACATGAAGTCAACTTTTATGCAGTTTGAACAATTGACCGCTTTAATGACGTCATCGTATTTTGCGGCTAGTTTGCGATGCTGCTGAAATTTGAAGGCTTAAAAGGTTGTCCAAGATGGCTCAGCGAACTTATATTGTACTTGCCTGAGGGCATATATAGACTTTAGTATATAAAAAACCTTGAGGGGTAAGGTAGAACACCCTACAGTCCAGTTCAGCCCCCCATGGCCCAGTACAACCCCCCTCTTCCATTCTGAACCCACAAAAGCAGTGGGGGTTTTAACTACCTTTCGTGGGGGGCTGAACTACCATAGCCCCAAAACCTGTATTTTTTGTTTAAAAAACATACCGTATAATTCAAGTTCAACCCACTCAGGTTGTTTGCGGCCAGAGCCTTGTTGAACTTTTGCGTGTTAAAGCCGGTTTCATACTCTGAGAATGAGATGACTACCGTCTTCGCTATTTTGCTGACGTTCCCGTAAAAGGCTTGTGCATCTTTTAGGAATTGGGTTTTGAGGTAGTCCTCCTAGAAAGGGAAGGAGTACAGTGAGGGACCTGATCCAGCGGCAAAAAACGTATCAGTTTGCATCCGGGAAGTGTCAAACATGTGACAAAATGCCTCCCTGTCCAACTGAAAGACTTCGCTTTGAAGTGCGCGCCCTTTCCCTCACAAAAAGAGCTTTTGAAATCGGAGTTTTTTCACTTGGAGAGGGAGGTATTTTGCTGCATTTTTGATATTTCCCGGATGCAGAATGGTACGTTTTTGGCCAATGTATCGGGTCAGTCTTGCAAACCTTCTGTTTACAAAACACGACCCTCATAAGGTTTATGTTTATGCTAAACTTACTGGCAATGGTGGACACAGGTTGATTGATGGCTTCCCTCCAATCTGATAATATCTAAATTACAGCTATAAATCTCAAAGCAAACTCTTCGGCGGCCCACGCGCGAGCAACCACTTTGCGGGCAGCGAAAAAGCGCGGAGATTCTGCGGGCATGTTTGGAAATCAACCAACATTTGCTTACAAAAGGAAATTCAAACGATGAAGTTGGCAGCTGGATGTTGCGAATTAAGTCTCCAGGTGAATAAATGGCTTGAGTAGTTATCATAAAGTAAGCAAGTGATTTTTAAGGGTGCAAAAATCATTTTTTTTGACAAACTCCCATAGCTTTAAAAGCAGTGGATGAATTCCATAAATTCGTGTACTTGTAAGAACTAAGGAGTTGTCGTTGCAAAATTTCTCTCATACTACGTAGATTACGGTTAAAAAATCGTAATCCTAATCGGTATATATCGGCTGCCCGCAAAGTGGTTACCCACAAGAGCCGTGACAACAACCCTCCAACTGCTTACGAGTGTCTAACCACCAAGATGTCGATTGGTCGGCCCCATGTCTTGATCGTTGTCACGAAATGATTTTCTGACGTCGCCGCTCCAAAGAAAGGGATGGCGCATGCAAGAGCATACAACGTTACACGTTTGTAGATGTGCTTCATTTTCGCCTCAATTCCCATGTAAATATCCTGTGCTAAGCTATTGCCGATGACCAGGATTTCCTTGCCACCCGAGCCCTACAAAATGAAAAGATTGGGGATTTTGTACATTGGAGTTCGCAATGAGTTGCATATTTTAGCCAAATCTCTACAGCAAAAAAAACTATTCCACAACAAACCTCCGTATGAAACCCCTTGCCTACCTCGGACTCGCATGCCATGTCAACGGCAGCGAAACGTTTAAAGCCATACTTCTTATCCAACTCAAATATGCATTCATTCCTGAAGTAATCTTTTAAAATGTCTGCCTCTGCTTGTAAAATAGCGGCTTCATCGTTAGTCAGATTCAAGTTCCTGCTTTCATAGAGCAACAAGTCCTTCTTCACTGTGTCCACCACGAACTTCCTTAATTTACTGGTCGAATTATCGTGTAGCTCCTCCGTGGAGTTGCTTCCAATGACGAAACGGCTGGTTAAAAAGCTGTCTTGACGCTTAAGATGCATGTTGAATGCAGCGGCATTAAGAAGCATGTATAATACGAATAGAAGGCAAGAGAGGTGGCGCCAAGATGTGACGCAGCTCTGAATCTTCTTAAAAGTGTTCTCCAAAAGAACACTGGACAAGAGTGCGGCTTCAAAGAGCAACACGCCTTCTGAAAACGGCGATTATAACATTTTGAGAGTCTTTATAAACGCCCTATTTCACTTCCTTACCAGGACTGGAAGGCCCGTCAAACCCCCATGACATAACGTATTTACTGATCAATATTGCAGGCCAATGAAGAAGATACAACGAATAGGAGACGTCACCAATGTAAACGTAAAAGTTGTTCTCCAAAAAATTCCTTTCCTTGATCATTATGAACAAAGCGGCCGTTAAGGTGCAAAGAAATCGGTCGACGCTGCCGACGGAGGTGATTGGACAATACAATTGAAGCAACAGGACAATGAAAAGCATGCATTTGATGGCGAATCCGACATTGAATGTCGTAACAAGAGGGGTGTCTTCTTCGTGCTGAGGCAGTTTTTGATACAAGCCTTCAGCCTGCTTCGGCTGTAGGGCGTTCGCCAAAAACCCGATGAGAAATTGCCAGATTCGAGAGAAGAGACTCATATGGGCAAGGTTGACATCTGGCAATTTAGTTAATTGATTGTAAGCCATGTTAATTACTTACTTTCCCGATAATGAACTTGATATCCAAGTGAGACCAATCCAATTGCCATTACAACACAAATCCCACCAAATCCACTAAAATTTCGTAGACGATGATACAAGTAATAGATACCAGGCACAATCAGATAGAATTGTAACTCCACTGACAACGACCATGTATGCGAGAACAAGGGAACCGCATTGTTTTTCGCGAAATACCCTTGAGCCGGCAAGTTGAATATGTTGGAGGTAAAGGAAGCGGCGGAAGAGAGCTCTCGAAGAATTGTCGGGTAATCGCTAGGGGCAAAGATGTAGATGGAGGCAAGTACGGTGAGAATTAATACTGCGATATACGTTGGGACTATCCGGCGGATCCTTCGGAAATAAAACGTAATCACATTTTGAGTTGTGAACTCTTTGGAGCTGAGGATTTGGTGCATCAAGTAGCCTGAGATGACGAAGAATCTGCAAAGCAAAGTCAGCGGTTAGGAGGCTGAACCAGCCATAGCAAGCGGGCCTGAATTTCGGACTTAATAATTTTTGCCGGGCCATGTCTACTTTTTACCGGGTTCTTCCTATTTTTTCGCAGGCCGTCCCACAGACTGAAGAATCTTTTTTTTTAACGTAGAAGGCTTTTATTTAAAGAAGATGACGTTTAAACAATTGACGTTAAGCTACCGGGCCAGGCGTAAAAATTTTTATCGTTTCCAGGGCCGGGCCGGTGTCAGATCCCACGGAACCTGGAGTTATCCACGATGTATCAATTTATGGAGAGAGAGAGAGATGTCCCCGTGTCAACTGTTTCCCCAGCTGTTTTCCCCCGATGTTCGAGAATGTTCGATGGAGATTTGTTCTATTCCGGTTTGCCGTGCACCGTAACCTTTCTAAATCTATCTGTTCGAGTTGATTATCGTTTATTCTCGTGTTGATTTTAAAGGGGAACGTAATCATTCGATTACCCGATTTCCACATCCGCAACCTTCCACTTGGAAGGCCAAGTATTTCCAGGTAGAAGGTGCTGAAGGTAATCAACTGCAGAGACAACCGCAAGACCACACGCCATCTCGTTATTTCTTTTCTATCCGAAGGTGGAATCGGACAGCTGGCCTCCAAAAATGTTAGAACGGGCCGGGCCAATTTTTTATCAGCTTCTCCACCGGGCCCCTAGGGCAAAAGGGGGAGGATGTAATTTCCCAAATTACCTTTCCCCTTCGCTGCCTTTTTTTCCGTTGACCCCGACTTGAGGTACCGTCCCCCCAATCTGCTACGAATCCACATTATCTTCCCGACAGTCCCTTCCCGTGGTTGCTAAACTCAGCAATTATAAAATAGCTTACATGTCGACGCCCAAGAACCCATTACGAAAAGTCGTCGGCCATAAATGGAAGAGCACTACGAAGACGACGGCTACGCAACGAAGCCCTTGAATATCCAACTCCATTTGACTTCACAACTTGACGAGATTCACGGACTAAAAAAATGGGTTATCAGTCAGTCGGGAAAATATTGAGCCGCTGCGCCAAACGCGTCGCTCAAGTGAACAACAATTTGATTTTGTCGCGACACAATTCATTTCCCGGGTGGCGATGTGATTCTTGACGCAACAAAGTGCTCTTTATTGTATTTTTAGACTGATAGATTACGGCAATCAGCTTGTACACCGGACGTCTTTTTTGTTTACCGCCCGTGTTTCGCGTCATCGTTAACAGCAGCTACGCAAACACTTCGACCTAAAATAGAAATTTATTCCGTATACAGCGAATATGTTTTGCCAGGGTTCGTTGCGGCCAATTCCTTATTTGAAAGTTTGATGAAAGTTTTACAACATATAGCAGACGAGAGGCTTGGGAGCAGGTCGGCTCCTAATGAAAAAAGTCCACGTTACAAAGAATCAGGATTTGTTAGACCTTGTTTTCCGAACTGTGTCCCACCATTTTTGGGATATTTTAGACAGGAAATTGTCACCCATCAATTTATCGGTATGTCGGGGAAATAATGAGTTATACGATTAAAAAACAAATCCACATTATTCATTATTTTCCCGACAGAAATGGTGCCAGGACCGCTCCGCTCCCCGGCCTGGGTCCCGCAACGCAACAAAGAGACAGGCTTTGGAACGATAGGGACAGGGGCCAGCCGGTATTGTACGACCTTCCTTTGGATAAACGGTTGATACAAGTCTTTGTGGGTGTTATTGGATTCCTTTGGATAGATTCCGCTGAAATACTTTGGGGATTTTGGTGTTTTTAGTTCAATTTTTTATTATTTTTTCAATGCAAAAGTTTTGTGAAATTTTACAACTGGTAATTTTAGATCTTCGAATAAAAAATTAGTTCGAAGACATCCAGTTTTAGCCTATTTCTAATCAAAAAATTTGCAATAAACACCAAATTTTGAGTGAAATTGGCTAAAGATCGTACCAATTTATTTACCATATCACAATTCAGGATATGAGATGGTAAAAAACCGTTTTCTCAATATCTCCCTGTAGGGAGAATCGTGGCGGATCTTGGCAGCAAACCTTCAAAAAAAGTGCCCAAAAGCGCAACAAATCTCCTTCAGCTGCGGCTAGCCGTCGCAAAGCGATGATGGACGGGACCCGACAGACTGAGTGTCCGTTCACAAAGCTTCGACTCTGCAATTTCTGACTTTTTGCACCATGCATTTTTTCTTCGGACGTCGCTCGCCCTGGCTTTTTTCGAAAAGTGCGTACGCCAAAAAAATTGCTCGGAGATTTCTGCGGGAGGTCTTGCGTCCGATTCCGGAAACTGGAGTTTCAATGGTATTTCAACTTGATGTAATTTATGGAGAGAGAAAGATGTCCCCGTGTGTCAACTGTTACCCCAGCTGTTTTCCCCCAATGTTCCCGAATGTTCGATGGAATTATCCTGAAGCAAAGCGCCTGAATCACGACACACGTCAAACTGAGGAGTCCGGTGGCCGGAATAGACTCTTCGCTATCGGGTTTTTTTACGCTTCGTCTTAATTTCGCAGAGAAAGAGAGAAAAAAGACACACAAAAGCGTACTCTCTCGCTCCAAAAATTCCCCATTTCTTCCTCGACAAAACGTTTTTTGGCGTCTTTTTTTAGCAAATTGCCAATCCATTCACCGGACTGTTTTAGCTTATCTCAGCTTGACGTACGACACCGTATTTTCTTATCCCTTTGATCCCAATCTATTATTATTATTGTGTGTTGAATTGTATATATGTTGTTGCTGAGTGTTGTTGTAGCGTTGTTTTGCTATTGTATTGAAGTGCTATTTTACTTTTATTGTAATTGTTAATATTTTTTGATAAGTCTATCTATTCGAGTTAATTATCATTTATTCTCGTGTTTATTTCAAAGGGGAACGATAACAATCGATCGTCCGCCTTCCACATCAGGAACTTTCCACTTGGAAGGCCGAGTATTTCCAGGTAGAACGTGTTGGAAGTAATCGACTGCAGAAACCACCAGACCACAAGCCATATCGTTTATTTCTTTTCTATTCGAAGGTGGAATTGGACATCTAGAGTATGGAAAGTTGTTTTGACAATAATTTCCAGACGATAAGCCGGTCGGGAAAATAATGTAGCCTTGAAATCGTTTGCGCCGTTCAGGAGACTTGTTGCGCGACAGTGACGAGGCAAGGCATTTTTCAAGTCACGTTATTTTCCCGACAGACTCATAAAACTCGTGCAACACAATGGCTTCTCGACTATTATACCTCCTGATTAATTTTTTATGTTGCATGGCACCATGTAATTTCCAGACAGTCTTTATTTTATCGTTTTATTACCCAAAACCCCATGCCTTTCCAGCTCGTCCGATAAGAGATCGGCCATTACAAAGTCCCCAAACGGGGATTGATGAATATTATCGACGAGGAAGGGGAGCTTCTGCTCGCTGACAACTTGACAAATGTCCGTAATGTAGCTGCAAAAGCCGGACATGAAGTCGACTTTTATGCAGTTTGAACAATCGACTGCTGTAATGACATCATCGTATTTTGCGGCAAGTTTGCGATGTTGCTGAAATTTAAAAAAAACTTAGGAGGTTGTCCAAGATAACTCAGCCGTGTTATATTGTACTTGCCTGAGGGCATACATAAACTTTGGTATATAAAAAAGTGGTTATTATTCAAAGACTGACCGTATAATTCAAATTCAACCCACTCAGGTTGTCTGCGGCCAGAGCCTTGTTGAATTTATGCGTGTCAAAGCCGGTTTCATACTCTGAGAATGAGATGACCACTGTCTTGGCCATTTTGCTGACGTTCCCGTAAAAGGCTTGTGCATCTTTTAGGAATTGCTTTTCAAGGTAGTTCTCCTAGAAAGGGAATGAGTATTTTTCTTGTAGCACATCTTATGCAAAACCCGATCCACACAAGATCCCTATGCTAAACTTACTGACAATGCTGAACACACGTTGATTGTCGGCTTCCCTCCAATCTGATAATATCTAAATCACAGCTATACATCTCAAAGCAAAGTCTTCGGCGCGCCCACCGCGAGCAACCACTTTGCGGGCAGCGAAAAAACCACGGAGATTCCGCGGGCATGTTTGGAACTCAACCAACATTTTCTTACAAAAGGAAATTCAAACGATGAAGTTGGCAGCTGGATGTTTTAAGTTTCCAGGTGAATAAATGACTTGAATAGTTATCGTAAAGTTAACGAGGCATTTTTAAGGGTTCAGAAACCGTTTTTTAAAAAAACTCCCATAACTGTGGTTGCCCGCGAGAGCCGCGGCACCAACTCTACAACTGCTTACGAGTGTCTAACCACCAAGATGTCGATTGGTCGGTCCCATGTCTTGATCGTTGTCATGAAATGGCTTTCTGACGTTGCTGCTTGAAAGAGAGGTATCGCGCATGAAAGAGCATACAGCGTTACTCGTTTGTAAATTTGCTTCATTTTCGCTTCAATTCCCATGTAAATATCCTGCGCTAAGCTGTTGCCGATGACCAGGATTTCTTTGTCACCGGAGCCCTACAAATGAAAAGATTGGGGATTTTGTACATTGGAGTTCGCAATGAGTCACATATTTTTGCCAAATCTCTACGTCTCATCGAGTGGCTGCGGCCGAAGAGGCCTCTAAAAATGGATTTTTTTCAAAATGAACAAGTAGAGTTGTGGCATGTTATACGTTGGAAAAAACTCAATATGAAAAGATAGGTTGTGATATTTAACAACAAACCGTCCGTACGAAAACCCTCGCCTACCTCGGACTCGCATGCCAAGTCAACGCCAGCGAAACGTTTATCGCCATACTTCTTTACCAACTCTAATTTGCATTCACTCTTGATGTAATCCCTTGACAGATCTGCCTCAATTTGTAAATTAGCGGCTTCATCGTTTGTCAGATTCAAGTTCCTGCTTTCATAGAGCAGCAAGTCTTTTTTCACTGTGTCCACCATGAACTTCCTTAATTGACTGGTCGAATTAGGGTGTGGCTGTTTGGTGGAGTTGCTTCCAATGACGAAATGGCTGGTTAAAAAGCTGTCTTGACGCTTAAGATGCATGTTGAGTGAAGCGGCATTAAGAAGCATGTATAATACGAATAGAAGGAAAGAGAGGTGGCGCCAAGTTGTGACGAAGCTCTGAATCTTCTTAAAAATGTTCTCCAAAAGAACACTGAGCAAAAGTGCGGCTTCAAAGAGCACCACGCCTTCTGAAAACGATGATGACAACATTTGAAAGCCTTTATAAACACCCTATACAGTCTTTATGAACTCTTCCTTACCAGGACTGGAAGGCCCGTCGAATTCCCATGATTCAACGTATTTACTGATCAATATCGCAGGCCAATGAAGAAGATACAACGAGTAGGAGACGTCACCAATGTAAACGTAAAAGTTGTTCTCCAAAAAATTCTTTTCCTTGATCATCATGAACAAAGCGGCCGTTAAGGTGCAAAGAAATCGGTCGACGCTGCCGACGGAGGTGATTGGATAATATAATTGGAGCAACAGAGCGATGACGAGCATGTATTTGATGATGAATTTGTAATTTAATGTTGTAACAGGAGGGGATTCTTCTTCGTGTTGAGGTAGTTTTTGATATAAGGTTTCAGCCTGCTTCGGCTGTAGAGCGTTCGCCAAAAACCCGATGAGAAATTGCCAGATCCGAGAGAAGAGGCTCATATGGGCAAGGTTGACATCTAACAATTTAGTTATTATAGATTGTAAGCCATGTTATTTACTTACTTCCCCGATTATGAACCTGATATCCAAGTGAGACCAATCCAATAGCCATTACAACTCCAATTCCAGCAAATCTACTGAAATTTCGTAGCCGATGATACAAGTAATAGATACCAGGCACAATCAGATAGAATTGTAGCTCCACTGACAACGACCACGTATGCAAAAACAGGGGAAACGCATTGTTTTTCGCAAAATACCCTTGCGCCGGCAAGTTGAATATGTTGGAAGTAAAGGAAGCCGCGGAGGAGAGCTCTCGAAGAATCGTCGGGTACTCGCTTGGGACAAAGAAGTAGGTGGCGGCTAGTACGGTGAGAATGAGTACTGTTATGTAAGTCGGGACTATCCGGCGGAGCCTTCGGAAGTAAAACGTAATCACATTTTGAGTAGTGAATTCCTTGGAGCTGAGGATTTGGTGCATTAAGTAGCCGGAGATGACGAAGAATCTGCAAAGCAAAAACAGCGGTTAGAAGGCTGAACCAGACATGGCGAGCGGGCCGGACTTTCGGAATCAATCATTTTTATGGGGCCGGGCCTATTTTTTACCGGGTCGAGGATACTCTCCGGGCCTTTTTCCTAACGGGCCAAGCCTAATTTTTATCGGGAGTGCTTTTTAGTCGACTACTTTTCGCCGGAACGGGCCTACTTTAATTGCGGTTTTCTAGGCCGGGCTTGGCTTCAAAATCTTAAATCATGCCAGGCCGGGCCTGTTTTCATCTTCTTCTTCTCCAGGCCTCTAGGACTGGGGTAGGGGGTCACAATGTATATTTTTTCTTTGACCCCATCCTGGGCCAATATTCCCCTCCCCCTATCTACACCCCTGCCCCAGTAGCAGAAAATCCCGGCCCGTTTGCCATGTCTGACCAAACACGTGCCTTGCAACCCCAAATAAATTAAAATGCTCCTACAAACAAGCAACTGTCAAATAGCTTACATGTCGACGCCCAAAAAGCCGTTACGAAAAGTCGTTGGCCATAGATGGAAGAGCACTACGAAGACGACGGCTACGCAACGAAGCCCTTGAATGTCCAATTCCATTTGATTTCACTGCTTGTCGAGATTCACGGGCTAAAAAAAATCGGTTATCAGTCTGTCGGGAAAATATTGAGCCGCTGCGCCAATCACGTCGCTGAACTAGAAAAAAATGTGATTTTGTCGCGGCACAAGTCATTTTCTCGGTGGCAATGCGATTCTCGACGTGAAAAAGTGCTCATTACTTTCCCGACAGACAGACAGATCACGGCAATGAACTTGTAAACCGCACGTCTTTTTTGTCTACTGGTCGTTTTTTCGCGTTATTGTTGAGAACAGCTAGGCAAACACTTCGGCCTCCAAAAGTGTAGCCGTTAGATTGTGTTGGTATAGGGCAAACTCTACGTGTTTTTAACGCGCCGCTTCTGAATGTCCATTAGGTTGGTAACAAAGTTTATCAAATTGTTTTCTCGGTTTTCCTGTAGCGTTCTTGAACGACCCTGGCTCGAAAATATCACACTATCTCTCCCGTTGTAGGGGGGTTAGAGTATCGCCAAATTCAGAGGCATTAGATTCGCAGCTCGCGTATTGGTGTAATGCTTTGAGATTGAAAAAGAGCCGTTTTCAGTGGTTATTCTGAAATGGCATAAAACGCGTCCCGACTTTCAGGTAGACGACAGTTTGGGTCAACACAAAATCAATCGATACGGGGCATAGGGCAGGTGGATGGTCAAACGAAGGTTGTAGGAAGTCTAAGAAGCCTGGCAAAGCCGTTGGATGGTCGGCGGACGCTCGGCGAAGGCTCGGCGGACACTTTTCATCATATTTTTTCTGCTGTTACTGGTACAATAGGGTAAATAGTTTTCAGAATATTTCGTTTCCAAATTGTGAGCTATTACCTTGGTTCTCATCTTGGAATTCTCTGTCCCGACTTTTCGGGTCGACAACAGTTCGGGTCAGCACAAAACCGATCTATATGGGGCCCAGGACAAGTGGATACCCAAAAAGGCTGTAAAGGAAAGTGCCTACAAGGCCTGGCAAACCCGTTGGACAGTCGGTGGACGCTCGGCGAAGGATCGGCAAAGACTTCGCAAAGGCTTACAATATAGACCAAAATTTTTGGCAAAAAACAAAGATCCGTAACTTTTAAATACCTATATATTATCGATAATACCTCAAAATAGGTGATAAGTTATCTTAGGACCCGATCAATCTTATTATTTCCGCAAACTAAGCCCTCTCCAAACCTCCCCGTTCATAAAACCCGGTGTCAAGAAAAAAAATATTTTGGAATAAATTTAGTTTCGGCTAACTGCTTTTACCAGAGTACAAGAACATGTTAGAGTTTAGTTCGTCACTCTTTCGGATTATGCAAATTTTGTTTCCTGGAAATTTCCAAGGATTTCATAAGAAATAGGGAAACAAAATTTGCATAATCCGAGGGAGGGGTGACTGCTCAATGACCTTAGTTCCCTACGAAATTTCCGGGTAACTAGCATGTTATTCTTCTTTAAAATGTAGCCTGGTGAAGTGCAGTTTTCCGAAGCTAAAAAGACTTTCAAATTTTTCACGCGAAACCGAAAAAGATACAGCCAAAAAGGGGTCTTAATTCTGCCCGCAATCCGGTGTTCGCCTACATTCTCGGCCGCAAAGATCGCTGAATACCTTGGCTGCGCCTGCGAAGGGCGGGCTCGAAATTTTAGGAATTGATACGTGACCTACTTCTAAAGTTTCAAAAAAAATTTGATACAAATCTTGGCGTCACTCGTGGGAGATGTTCCATGTAAAAACAAAGATATTGTCTGGCTCAACCTCCATGTTTTTTTGGAGAGTCGAGAAAACATTCGTGGACTGATGACCTAGTAACCTACATAGTATTTGAATCGGCCTCATCCGGACGCCCTAATCAAAAGTGGAACTGTAGCAGCTGTCTACAGAGATTTTTGATTGTGCATTTGCACCTTTCGTCGAAATACCAGCAGCGACCTCCAAATCAGCAACTCAAATATACCATGTTCCAAGAAAACTTGAGAAAACATTTTGCGGATATCCTTGTGCTCCTTGCAGCTATCCAAAAAGTTTTAGTTGTATTTAAAATTTGAAGTCAAGCATTTTTAGAATATGCAACAGATTTTTCGCTCACCCCGGCGGAGAGGCCATTTTTCGGCGGAGACATTTGACGCTTATTTTGAATACCATACCTTATTACAAATCCCAGGGGGTTGTGCTACATTTTTGCTGCGACAAATCCACATTATTTTCCCTACAACCTGTACCCTTCCCCGTGGCTGCCAAAAGAAGCATTTGTCAAATACATTGCATGCCGATGCCCAAAACGCCGTTACAAAAAGTCGTTGGCCACAAATACAGTGGGGGACCTGATCCAGTGACAAAAAACCTACCGTTTTGCATCCGGGAGGTATCAAAAATGTGGCAAAATGCTTCCCTCTCCAAGTGAAAAAACTTCGTTTTGAAGGGCGCGCCCTTTCCCTCACAAAAACAGAGGAAACGAATATTGACTACGGCAATCAACTTGTAGACCGCACATTTTTGTCTACTGCTCTTGTTTAGCATTAGCGTTGACAGCCGCTACGCAAACACTTCGATCTCCAAAAGTGCAGCCGTTAGATTGTGTTGGTATAGAGCAAACTCTAAGTGTTTTTAACGCACCACTTTTGAATTTATTCCATGCGGACGACTTTTAAAGGTCGTTTTTTTATTTTTCGTTTATTATTGTGATACTATTGCTTAGACATCTATTTAAACAATTGTCTGTGTTTTTTCACAGCATCCAGTAAGAGATCGGCGATGACAAAGTCCCCAAAGACGGTGAGATGGACATTGTCCACGAACATTGGGATTCGATGTTCAGTAACCGCGTAACAGGTGTCCGTTACGTGGCTGCAAAAGTCGGCCATGAAGTCGACTTTCATGCAGTTTGTGCAATTCACAGCTGCAATCACGTCATTGACCTTGGCGGCGTGTTGCTGACTTCTCTGAAAAAAACCTTTCAAGAGCCGGTAGTATCAGTCTGTCGGGGAAAATAGGAGGCATTTTGCCACATTTTTTGATACTTCTCGAATGCAAAATGATACGTTTTTCGCCACTGGATACACCACTTTATGTTGCATCGAGAGCAACGGAAGGGATATTGCCGGATGATGACTAAAATCACTTACCGTAAAATTAAAGTTCAGACTGCTGATTTTACCCTCAACCAACGCCTTGGCCAGCTTCTGCGGTTTAAAGCCACTTTCGTATTCCGCAAAGCCCATCACAACCAGTTTCGCCAGCCTGCTGGCTTGGTTGTAGAACTCTTGAGCCTGCTTCAACAGATGCTTTGCAACGTAGTCGTCCTGAAGATACGATGATCGAAAAATTAAATAGAACAAACGGCAAATTTCAAGGTTCTACATTTTTAGAGTCTTACATTCATCGGAACATTCTTACAATCGGGATGGATTTGAGAGAACTGGTAATACCTGCAATGATTTGGCAATGACAGCCGTTGACGGATTTCTGACTTACGAATGCCGCACAATCAACGTATCGATAGGTCGATCCCATTTCTCAACAAACGAAAGGAAATCTCCCTCAGGTTTTGTCGCGCCGTCCGGCGTGTAGATCGGGATCACACATAAGTCAGCATAGATCGAGAGGCGTTTGTAGAGATGCCTCCATCTTGTCCGCATTCCAACGAACAGATCGAGGGCAAGCGAGTTGCCGATTATCAGGATTTCCTTGTCGCCAGTTCCCTGAAAAATGACGGGACCTGAAGGCTACTCTCAAATTTTATTATGCAAATTTCCGGACATTGTTTTCCTCTCAACGAAACTTTGTAAACCCTATAAAATCGTGACCAAAAATCCCAAAACTGCAGCAGCTGTTCTACAGAACGCTAGGCGTTTTTCATGCGCATTTGCACCTTTCGTTGCCTTGGCAATAGGGTATTGCGCGCATAATGTGAGTGAACGCGGCCCTCTCATCCGACTCTAGGCGGACTTGAACCCCGAAGGGTACCGGACGCTCTATACGACGCCCGAACCACCAGGCTACGGAGGCACGGCCGCCCGCGCTCTCTTTTTGTTTTTCAAAGCGAAGAACGATGCACGTCAAACTGAGATAAGCTAAAACAGACCGGTGAATGGATTGGCAATTTGCGAAAAAAAGACGCGAAAAAACGTTTTGTCGGGGAAGAAATGGGGAATTTTTGGGGCGAGAGAGTACGCTTTTGCGTGTCTTTTTTCTCTCTTTCTCTGGGAATCAAGACGAAATGTAAAAAACCGATAGCGAAGGGTCTATCGGCGGGTGTCGCGCGAGAAAAGTGGTGAACTCGCGCGAAAGTGCATGTCGCTAGTGCAAAAACGGGGAATTGCCGCGACGAGTGCGAAAGGAAAACAAAACGCACATTGCAAATGTGTCAGGACTTTATGTCGCGACTAGTATCGAAACTGTTCATTTTCTCCGTCAAAAAAGTCATCCTCAGATCAAAATCAACCACCGTATAAAAAAACCTCTCAAGTATAACAAAATTTTTTGGTTGGCGTCTCGAAAAAATCCGTTAAATTACCAACCCAACTAAACATTTACTCGCCCCAAATTGCCTACCTCCACTTGGCACGCGATGAATTGATTGGAAAAGCTTGTATTTCCTAGCTTCATGATCAACTCCGCTCTGCATTGGCGTTGTCCCTCGTCTCGATGGATCTCTGAATCCGCAACCATCGCGATGGCCTCGTCGTTTGTCAGGGTAAGATTATTTCGATGTTCATACATTGTAATCGTTTTTTCAATCAAATTTCGGTTTCTCTCTGCCATTTCGGGCAAAAAGGGTTTTGCCATCGGGATTTTTGCCAACTCCGCTAGCGGAAATTGAGGAGCAGTTGTGTTGTTGGTCTCATTAAACTGCAGTTGTGAGCTTAGCAAATCTAACGACATTTGCGGCTCCAAACTTTCCATGAACAGAGCCGACGATCCGAGGGCAATGTACAGGACAAATAGGACAAATAAGAGCCGTGGCCAGTTTGTGATACATGCAGAAAGATCCTTAAACGCCTTTTCGACGAGAATGCTCGTAACAAAGACGCCCTGTATGAGGATAGTCCCCTCTAGAAGGAAAAGACAGCTGTAAAAGGACTTTAGAGGATCCCTAATCTACCTGGTATCCCGGGCCCATCCACTTCCCAATCGGCCACATATTTGGCAATGATAATTCCAGGCCAATGCAGAAGATATATCGAATACGAGACATCACCAACATAAACCACAACGCTGCTCTCGAGAAAAGTCTTCTCCTTGATCATGATGAACAAAGCGGATGTTAAAGTGCAAAGAAACCGATTGAAATAGGCAATGGAGCTGATTGGATAATATAATTGGGCCAACAGAGCGATGACAAGTATATATTTGATGACAAATTTGTAATTGAAAGTTGAAACAGGAAGAGATTCTTCTTCGTGTAGAGGTAGTTTTTGATACAAACCTTCAGCTTGCTTCGGTTGTAGAGCATTCACCAAAAAGCCAATGAGAAATTGCCAGACTCGAGAGAAGAGACCCATATGGGCAAGGTTGACGTCTGACAATTTAGATAATAAATTATCAGTCAAGTTATTACTCACCCTCTCGATTATAAACTTGATATCCAAGCGAGACCAATCCAATTGCCATTACAAATCCAATTCCTGCAATTTTATTGACCTCTTGCAGATGATGATACAAGTAATAGATGCCAGGCACAATAAGATAAAATTGCAACTCCACTGACAACGACCACGTGTGCAAGAACAAGGGGAACGCATTCTTTATCGCAAAATACCCTTGAGCCGGCAAGTTGAATATGTTGGAAGTAAAGGAAGCGGCGGAAGAGAGCTCTCGAAGAATCGTCGGGTACTCGCTTGGGACAAAGAAGTAGATGGAGGCAAATACGGTGAGTATTAGTACTGAGATGTAAGTTGGGACTATCCGGCGGACCCTTCGGAAATAAAAAGTTATCACATTTTGAGTTGTAAACTCCTTGGAACTGAGGATGTTGTGCATCAAGTAGCCGGAGATGACGAAGAATCTGCAAATCAAAAGCGGCGGTTAGAAGGCCGAATCAGACATGGCAACCAAAACAAAGTCCAAAATTTCAGCCCTAAACCTATTAATAAAGCTTATGAAAAAGAAGAAAGCCCTCCCTGACAATATTCAAACGTAAATAGAAATTACCAAAATTTAATTAAACTTACATATCAACTCCCAAAAATCCGTTTTTAAAGACTGTTGGCCATAAGTGAAATAGAACGACAAATAAAACAGCTATGCAGCGTAGCCCTTGAATATCCAACTCCATCTTCCAAGGCTTTTTACATAAGATAACTTTAGTATTTACAAATTTTTAAAGCAACCCTAATTTTCACTTTTCAAAAAAACCTTCCAAAAAAGAGAAAATTGAAATTGGAAAGAAATTTTATTAGATATGCGAAATTAATCTACATCTACTTCAGATAAACCTGCGATAACGCTCAACGAATGCACTGGAAGTATAACGCTTCCGTCTCAAATCTGATTTTTATCTATTCATTTGACCTGCAGGCTTTTTTTAGCGTATGTAATGACATTTTTTGCAACGTTTACCCACATTTTCGGCGTCGCGGCTTCTCGGGACAGCGACAGGTCAGGTCGACAGTACTTGGGGTGCCTCAACTTATCGTTGTATACATTAGGTTTGGAGAAGAATTTTTTAATAGAAAGAATTAGTTTTATTATGTCCTAGGATAGTTTAGTATCTATTTTGAGGTATTTACTGCAATAATACTCGCATAAAGCTTATGGATCCTCGGTTTTTGGAGTTGCCTCCTCGTTTGGCCCTCCGACAGCCCCATGCCTCCGTTGTTTCCATTCTGACGCAACCCTTGGCAGAAAAGTCGCTTAGGAAAAGAAATGCGCATATTTGAGATAACCTCTCATTCTGCTCTTATTCCCTGTGTTTTCTTCTCGCTTTTTGTATGCAATGGAGTTCAATTTACCATATGAGGTAAATAAATTTTCTAATATAATACGGTTGACTTGACTATTTTTAGGTCTGGGAAAAAATTCTTCAACGTTTATCTCGTAGCGAACTTTGTAGTCTGGCCAGCGTTAACTCCAGCCTGTATAAAATAGTTGGCATTGACTTCAAACGTCTTTGCATGCGAAATGACTTGTTCCGAATGAAAGATGAGCTGTGGCTGCGGCCTTTTCAACTGTATGTTTCAAAATATGTTATTAGAATTTATTCGATATCAATATTTTCTAGACTTCTTAAACCACAACTTTTATCAAAATTTCAGCGGAATAGAACGAAGACTGCATGCGGATCGTTTACTCTCTCAATCCGGCTACAAGACGGCATTTTATTGTAAGAAGAGTAATGTGATCGCAATCATAAGTTTGGACTTCAACGATAATGAAATCATCACTTTGCGTGGTTGGGCGGGCCAAGCACAGGGATTCCGACTGTTTAAAAATGGGACAGTCTTTATGTTTTATAAAGTAAGTTGATGCACAATATTATTAAGCGTAGTCAATGATTTTATAATAAGACCTGCGGGCAACCACCTTGCGAGCAGCTAAACAACCACGGAATTTTTGCGGGCATGTTTAAAAATCAGCCAACATTAGTTTAAATAGTTTCAGTACCCATGTATACAGGATGTTTTGAGGAACCGAACTGCCGTCGACCGAAAAGGTCGGGACGCACGGCAACCCAGGGAGTCGTTTCGCCTCGTTTCGGCGCTTCGCCCACCTAGTATCGGTTGAATTCAAACGAAATGTCAAAAATGAATTTTTCGTGTGGTTTTCCGACCGCGGTCGCGACCGCAAAATATTTTTCTCGTATTTATCTCATTTCTTTTGTGAATTCTGACACTTCGTTTGGACGAAGTTCAAAAGGGGGCGGGAGACATTTTTTTCTATTTTGGGTTGCCGTGGGACGCGTTTTCTCTCCTTTTGCTGGTACAACAGGCAAAATAAATTTTCGCCCATTTCGTTCCTAATTCTGGGCTATCATTTTTGTTCTGATCTCACAATTTTCATTTTTCAGCCGCGAAACGTGAACTCCAACACCTACTACTTCCGCGACCTAACAACCAATCGCACCATCTGCACGTTCAGAATGAGCAAAAAGGCGTCATTTCACAAGTTTTGCCTCTTTTGTCCGGTCAAGAGAAAAGTTTTCGACTGTATAACAATGAAAATGCACAAAATCAACGCTCCAGGTATTGCGTTCTCAGCCGACGCAGTTCCGGGAGTCGCGCATTACGCGGCTGTTCAGCAAAGTGGACAGGTCGTTGTCTACGAGCTGATGTCGGGTGCTTGCCGTGTATTTTCTTGCCATACAAAAATATTCACGGTGTGCGCACAACTGGAGGTTTTGATTGCGCGTGAAGGAGGTAAGCGAGAAGAGCTTTACGTTGCAGTTATATGAGAGGTATCAAAAAATATGGCAAAGTGCGTCCCCTTCCAACTAAAAACTCCGTTTTGTCGCAAAAAGAGCGGGTGCGCTTTTGAAATTGGAGTTTATTTTCACTTGGAGAGGGAGGTATTTTGCTGCACTTTTTGATACTTGCCGGATGCATAATGTAACGTTTTATGCCACTAAATCAACTCCGCCACTGTAGTGCCATAATCGAAATTGTTTTCAGAATGGATGCTATCAATATACGATATTTCGTGCGCCTACGCGACACCTGCGGTCAGCTCTTCCTTGGAGATACGTACGTCCCAATCTATTGCATTCTTAATCGACGAAAATACACTTTTCATCGATTTGTTCCGAATGGTAAGCGTTTCCGTGTAAGTGCCCTAATTAACTTTCAGTTTGGTACTTTTGACAAAAGCCAGAGGAATTGGCAGTTCCGCAAACGTCACCCATTATATTCAAAGGTCTGCGGGTATTTTCGACACGGCTATGGTGACCTGGTTCCAGCTTTGTCAATTTTTAAAGAAGAACAGCCAGACGTGTCGCTTAGTTCTTCAGTCAACGAGTTTCGACAGCATGTGAATAACATTGACGACGACATTGACAACAAAACGTCGTGGTGGAGAAGACTGCAAAGGCTTTTACTTAAATAGCAAATGTTGTAAATAAAGTTGAAGGAATACCCGCATGTATGTTAGTATAATATGTTCCTGGTATCTCTTATCACCAGACCGCATTCCAAACGGTCCTACCGACCTTCAGAACGATCCCAATGTGAGGAAAAAGTTCTTTATTCTGGCCATAACAAATGCACTTTGTGAGCTGCGTCCAAGCTTGCAAACTAGAGTTAGGAAATGGTTTCAACCTAGCTTTTTCTGACTTACTCTGCCATCTATATATATGATTATTAAGCTACCTCTAAAGAATCTCTTCAGCCCGCCCATGTCCCTTTCATTCCAATTGTCCACGTTCGATTACGCTGCCCGTTGTCGGTTGCCACGGCCGGCCGTACTAAATCTCGACTGCATCCGCGCAGCTCGAGCTAGATTTAGAAATTGATTTCGGCTTTGTACCCGACGTGTGAGCAAAATAAAAAATGCCTAAACTTTGTGCTTGCTACCCTCCCTTGTAGTAAAATCTTGCCCATAGTTTTTCCGGCGCTCTACAATAAATCTTCCTGGAACCATTAAATGACCGTAATTGCTATTAATTTCTATATCAGAAGCCAAAGTTACACGGAGTAAATTATTGACGTCACTTGATCAAGTTCCGAATTTCTACAGTCCAGCCGTAACGTTTACCTTTCATTTGTGACATCAGTTTGTAAAGGGGGTCGCGCGGAGTTTTTATTTTTTCTTCAGTAATCGTATATATTTACCGTCGGCTTTATTGCCCTCGAGGCATTTGGATATAAAACTTTTATTGGTTTTCACACGCCTTTCACGTGAAAATATTTTTGATTTAACTTCGGTTACGGTAAAATCTTGAAAAAATTGGGGCTTGATGCTTTTGGCAACCCTTCTGGGAAAATTTTAGTCTAGCCTCTCCGCATGTGCTTGGCTTCGTATTGATCGATGCTGTGTTGAACCGAACTGTCGTCGACCCGAAAAGTCGGTAGGCGACTAAAAAAATAAGTTGTAATATCAGTTTTAGAAATGAGCAGTGTCGCTCGTCAACCGCGTCGCTGAAGTGAAAAGCAATTTGATTTTGCCGCGATACAATTCATTTCCTCGACGGCGATGTGATTTTGGCTGCGACAGAGTGCTCATTACATTTTCGACAGACTGATAAAAGATTTCGGCCGCTCATGTACTTCTGGGACCTCTGTTGTGTTGATAAACAGGTTTAGTTGTAGAGTTCGTTGTAGAGAGAGGTTGCACTCTACTTTCATTCTCCTGATTTTTTGGTTGAATTGTCGAGTTGACGTCGGCGGTACGAGAGAAACCGCAATTCTCGAACAACCACAGGGCATTTAATTAGTCAATATACCGATTTTATCTCCTCTTTTACCTATGCGAAGCCCGGTGTTTTGGCGAAAAACTGGAAGTTTGCGGGTTGGTGATGGTAGGTCAAGGTGAAAAATTCAATTTTACGGCTACAGCTGATCCGGCGATTACTAAACGGTACAAAATTTTTATATTTATTGTTTTGGGTTGTATTATTTACAATGTTTTTTGACGTCCTGCTAAACATGCAACATTCATATCGACTTGTTTCACTTGTTTTCGTTCAAACACTTATTCGAAATACATTATCTGCGATCTGTAATACACTAGTGTACCTAGCTGTCAGAACGGGATTCTTTGATTATAATTTTTATCGAACTCTCTGCAATCTTTGTCCTCACCGGGTAAGCGAGTGGAGATGTTTTTGGAGATCCATAATCGATTAGACTCAAAGAACTTGCAAGAACACTGGGAAAACGTATAAATAGAAGTTCACATGGAACCGACCTTACCTTGCAGTGGCTTTATGGGCTTTTTGCTCGATATTCTTGATTATTTTTCTACTAAACATCCCAAAGAAGGCGTAGAAAACTCAAGGTTGTCGTAGATTTGTCGCTATGACTTTTTTTTGCATCAGCGACAGTTCTGGTCAACGATATTATGGATCGCTTCGGTTCGTTTTTGTATGCATGCGGAGGCAATCCGAATGGTTGAAATAATAGGGTTGCTTGGGTCCTAGGATATCATAGCACCTATTTTCAGGTATTTTACATGTTCTTTTTGCCGCAAATTTTTGTCTTTTACATTTTACAATAACTCTGGGTAAAGAAAACTAACGTTAGTGATAGCTAAAATTAGAAAAAGTGGACATATTGTAAGTCTTCTCCGACTCTCCGCCTTCGCCGAGCGTTCCCCGACCACCCAACCGCTTTGCCTTCTACCACCTTTGTTCCGGCTCTCCGCCTGTCATTTATCGGCAAAGCAGAGATATTTGGCGCTACAAACTTTCGGGTCAGAGTTAGTAATGGCTAAAATTAGAAAAAGCTGTGATATTGTAAGCCTTCGCCAAGTCTTCGCCGACCATTCAATGGCTTTGCCAGGCCTCCTAGGCACTTCCTACAACTTTTTTTTGGCTATCCCCCTGCCCTGCGCCCCATTCCGATCCTTTTTATGTTAACCCAGACTGTCGTCGACCCTAAAGGTCAAGAATGTCTCAGGTTTCGCCAGAATCTAACAGAGCTATTAGAGCGATCGTTTCTGCAAAGCGCGGGTTAAAATCTTAAATGTGCCTCGGAAAAAATTAATCCCAATATACGCCATGTTTCAATAAACTCTGAACTCCGAACTTTGAACCCTTTCCCTGCGAGACATGACAAGCCGAATTTTGACTTCTTACGTCCCTTTAACGTTGTGGTTTAACATCGGAACAGTTGAACTTTCGGTTCTCATGACGTGTGTTACATTGCTGTTAAGCAGCCCTGACATTAAAAGTGCGTAAAGGGGGTATTTTTCAACTTTTTTTCGCTCCCAATTTTTTGTAATAACGAGATCGGTGTTGGAGAACCTTCTCAATTATTCCAACTGGGGCTTGTTTGTTTTCTCATGGTTGTAGAAGTTTTGTTTTCATCGCAAATCTTTTTTCCCAGTACGATCGCTGCGGACGAGTTACAGTTTTTTCTCTAATTTTCTAAAGTTCAAAATTTGGGGTTTTTTTGGCTAGAACGCTTTACAACGAGTCAAATCGCAATGATGTGAAGAAAGCGGGAAATTCAAGTGATAGGAACAGTTTTTCTTCAAACGTTTCTCTGATTAGACTATACAAGGATCTCTGAAAGTTTTAGCTCGCGACTTGCAGCGTTTTCGCATGTTCAGCGAGAGTTTTTTGATTACAGATAACGCAAAATGCAGAGAGTGCCGAATTTTGTGCAAAAACATTACTTCTGGAAACCGTTTACAAGCATAGTCGTGAAAATTTAAGCGACTTTTTCCGAGTAGAGACTAGGCGAAATGCGGAGACGGTCAGAGGGAAATCCTGTTTTGTCATGCCTTTGCGAATTTTGGATTTTCTTGGATTTTATGCGGGAAGTACCCCAAGTGCGACGCTTAGAATTTCCTTAAATTTTGCATAAACGCTAAAGCACTTCATTCCACGACCTTCGTATTTCTCGATCAATTGCACTTGCTAAAAAGCATAGACATTGGAACTTTTGTCTTTTTCTTGCCGTCGAATTCCTCACCGAGCTTTGGAGACAGAAGTGAGGGGAGCAGAAAAGAGGAACAACGTACGAAGGAAGTACCCCAAGTGCGATGCTCAGATTTTCCTTAAATTTTGCGCACACTCCAGACATACTACACTTATCATTTTCTGAAAGTTTTAGCTCGCACTTTTCAAGGGCGGCCGAAATATTCAGCAAGCTTTGCGGGCGAGAGAGTACATGAACTGTGGAGAGCCGTCTCAAAAAGCCCTTTTTTGTCCATAACGTTGCCAGCTTTGCATTGATTTTTTGTGGAAGATGGATATTTTGTGGAAACACTAATACGGTAGAAGAAGACATGAAACTTTTCGTCTCGAAATTCATCAAAAAATCCCGCTGTTTTTGCCAGCTTAGAGTATAAAGCGAGGAGAAAAACACCTTTTGGTCATAAATTAGCCAGCTCGCACGGAAAAGGTATATTTTTTGGGGAAATATTACCCTTTACGGTAGAAATAAATAGACATGAAATTTTTCAAAAACCTGTAATTTTTGGCCAACTTTCGACCGAAAAATCTCGGTCATTTCGCGAAGCGCTAGCTAGGAGTCTGGCATATGCCCCAGAAAAAAACTGTTCTAAATTTGCGCCAAGTTTCATCCAAATCTAAGGGTCGCACTTGGCGTACGGCCCCTTCAGCCGATCAACAACACCACGAAAGATCAGTGTTTTATTTGTTTTTGGAACATCTTCTCCTTTACAATATAAGTCGGAAGTTTTTATTTCCCCCGTGGGTTTCGGCTAATTCAAAAAAAAACTTTTCATGAATTTCGCATTGATTGAAGTGACAGTCAAGGGGGTTTTACGTTATATATTCCATTTTAATGCTTGTTATTCCGCTATAAGGCGATTGGAAAATTGTTTTTTTTTTCGGCTTTTTTATTTTTTCGTTTTTTTTTTATTACAGTAACAAAGCGGAAGGTCACAAAAAAATGTTTGTTATAGAAGAGCTTTGTTGTAAAAAGTGTTTTTTTTAATAAATCAACTTTTATGAAAAAATTGTTTGTTATACACAGGTTTTGTAATATGCGATTTTTCGTTTTCTACAGTATCTTGGGCTATTTTTCTTACTTTTTTTCTCTCTCGAGTTAGGTCTTATGGTCCTTTTTAGTCACACAACTCTCTTTTTTTTGGTCATTGATCTTTGCGACACCACGGTTGTGTTTTATACGTAACCCGGGGAAAAGACCGAGTTTTCGAGGTTATACAAACACGGTCTTAAGGTGGTTTACATTAACAATAAATTCAACACAATGGTATGAAAATTCATTTTCAGACTTTTATTGCACTTTTGCGGTTTTTTTTGTTGTGACGATGATGTCATGTTTTTGATTTTTTTCCGACCGTTTGAACGCCTCTGTAAATTTTTAATGAACGCCTCTGTAAATTTTTAATATCTGTATTTTTTGTATTTTTTTTTGGCTGGAGCGGCCTAGATGTTGAACGATTTTTGCTGCCCAGACAGTGCGCGAAACGCAGAGAACGGTCAGAGGAGAAATTTTTTAACAGGGGTTTAATTTTTTTTAATTACTCCAATTGCGACGCTCAGATTTTCTTTAACTTTTGCACACACGTCGGACATGAACTAAGTATCAATTCTTGAAAGTTTCAGCTCGTACTTTTCAGGCGTCGCCGAGATATTGAAAGATCTTTGCTGCCGAGAGAGTACGCTAAACGCGGAGAGCGGTCAGAGAGAAAAACATTTTTTGATCATAACTTTGCTAGTTTTGTACGGAAAAAACTGGTTTTTTGTAGAAACATTACCCTCTATGGTAGAAATAGGCATAAAACTTTTTGTGCCGAAATTCGGCAAAAAATGTCAACTTTTCGCCTACTTTCGACCTAAAAATCTCGGTTGTTTCTGCAAAGCGCGAGCTAGGATTCTTTTATATATTTTGGAAAGAATCAGTTTAAATTTGTGCCAAGTTTCATCTAAATCTGAGCTTCGGACTTGGTGTACTTCCCCTGTAAGCCAAACTTCTAGAAAGTTTACTTTTTTCCGTCTTTCTGTGTAAAAACCTGTGCCCTTGCTGAAAGCAGGGGATGTTGATTTTGTTCAATATTTTTAAAATATTTTCGTCCAGCTTTATTTCGCGTTAATTTTTAAAATACCTTTCAATCAACGAGCCGTCTTTCTTGCAGCGCAAAAATGTCGCAGACCTCTCTAAACACCATCCAGTTCGACCCCATGTCGGTGACACAGACCTGGCCCAAAAGCCGCGTCACCAACGAGTTCTTTCATCAGGCCAATCAGCAGCTAAACCAGAAGAAAATGATCGACGAAGCGCGGGCATTCGTCGACGATAACAAGAATCAAAATGTGGACGGCGAAGCTAGACAAGCGACCGACATTATTCAACACTTATGCGATGTAATCGAAAAATTGGAGAAGAAATCGGAGAGTAATAGGAGGAAAAGTAAGCGTTTGACTTCAGTTGGTACTGGTGGCGCCACAGAGTTCCGGAACTTTTATACTGTGCGCTTTTTTTCTTTTACAATGGCGGACCTGATCCATTGGCAAAAAACGTGCCATTTTGCATCCGGGAAGCATCAATGCAGCAAAATACCTCCCTCTCCGGGTGAAAAAACTCCGATTTCAAAAGCGCTCTCGCTCTTTGTTTGAGAGAAATTCGAAATTGGCAATTCATCAAAAAAGACGCGGAAAAGCTTTTTGTCGGGAAAGAGACGGGGATTTTTTGGGGCGAGAGAGTGCGTTTTTCCACGTTTTTTCTCTGACTTCTCTGTGAAATCAAGGTGAAGTGTAAAAAACCGATAGAAGAGTCTATTCCGGTCACCGGACTCCCCAGATGGGCAGACAAGCGTCCCAGCCAAAAAAAGTTGGATTTGACTCGCGTTATGGATTTCTTATACCATACACCCACCAATTGAAGATAGCTACGGATTTTAAGACCATAAAAAAAGTTTACCGGCAAAACGTTCAGCTGCTTCTTTTGCTATTAGTTTTTTTTTGCTTATCTGCAAGTACAACCTTCCACCGAAAATCTTGGCCCGTCTCGTCGGCCGAAGCAGCCATGGCCCAGGGCTTTTCAAGTCAGGCCAAGCCACGTAGATCCCGATTGCCGCATCTAGGAAATGCTTAGTCCACAGGATATCTCGAATAACGCCACACATCAAACTGAGATAAGCTAATCCGGTGAATGGATTCGTACAGTGGACCCGATCCAATGGCAAAAAACGGCTCATTTTGGATCCCTGAAGGGACTAAAATGACTCCAAACCCTTTCCTTTTCTAAGCTAAAACACTCCGCTTTGAAAAGCGCACCCTTTCCTTCAAGGCGGGCTCTTCAAAGCGGGGTTTTTTAGCTTTGAGAAGGGAAGGGTTTGGAGACATTTTGATCCCTTCCGGGATGCAAAATGAGACGTTTTTTGCCATTGGATCCGGTCCCTCACTGTAATTTGCCAACAAAAGACGCGAAAAAACGTTTTGTCGGTGAAGAAATGGGGAATTTTTGGGGCGAGAGAGTACGCTTTTGCATGTCTTTTTTCTCTCTTTCTCTGCGAAATCAAGACGAAGTGTAAAAAACCTATAGCGAAGGGTCTATTCCGGTCACCGGACTCCTCAGTTTGACGTGCGCCATGCTGCATCAATCCCATCATTATTCAACTTTTAGGCCGGATCAGTATTGCCAGCCAACTGCAGCCAATGGGCGTAATCCGAGAGGAGCCGCATTTCGAGTCGATGATTTTCAGCAGCATCCAAGACATGAATCGTCGGCCCTCTTCGGTCCGCAGCTTCCGCGATCCCGAGGAAATGGAGAAGGCCGAGGAGGACGCGGATTTCAAGCAACTTTACAGCGAGACTGATCCTGTAAGAAGAGTTTTTCATCTTTCTATCTTACCATCATATCTCGCCGATTGTATTTTCCCTATATTTTCAGTATCTTGTCCGGTTCATCCCTTATGCCATAATCTTCGTGACGGCGGTGCTGTACATCTATGTTGGCGCCATTTGCTTTTCGTATATTGATCCGGCCATTGAGAAACTCCCTTATTATTTGCAAGTCCAGTTTACCTTCGAAGTGGTGACGACAATCGGTTGGGGAGATCTGACACCATCTTCGAATTGGGGAAAGATCGCCTGTGTTATTTATCAGGTACGTTGATGTAAAGGCTTTTCAAAAAACCGGGGTTTTACATACTACAGTGAGGGACCTGATCCAGTGGCAAAAAACGTTCCATTTTGCATCCGGGAAGTATCAAAAATGTGGCAAAATACGGTAAAAGTTCCTTATTTTGGCCACAACTTATAACTTTGCGGAAACTGGTCGGAATTAGCCCAAATTTTTGGCGTGCACGCTCAATTCATCGTTGTCAATGCCCGGACGGTGGATTTAGTTAGCAAGGTACCTTCTTTTTTACGTACCACCTTACTCTTCAAAAACGGCTGCAGGCTGTGATTTTACACTTTATACGATGAAACCTGTCCGGAACTAAACTTATTGCCTCCGTATGGAACTAAATGAGTCGTCACAGCCTTCGTAGATACCCTTAAAACTATAGATCTATGATGGTAATTCAGTTCCAGCTAGGTCGAAGCGTTTTTTTCCTAACTTTAGTGCCCAAGCTTGGGCGCAGTTCGCGGAGTACCTTTGTTGTGGCCAAAATAAGGAACTTTTTCCCAAAATACCTCCTTCTTCAAGTGAAAAGACTCCGATTTTAAAAGCGACCGCTCTTTTTGCGAGGGAAGGCCCTTCAAAACGCAGTTTTTTAGCTCGAAAAGGATGAATTTTGCTGCATTTTTAACACTTGCTTGGATGAAAAATTGTCCGTATTTTGACACAGGATCAAGTCCGCCACTGTATTTCCTTTGCAATTCGTTGGCCAACAAACGTTCTGAGCCTAGCCGTATTTTACCGTTTCAGATCGTCGGAGTCCCCATCGTCTTCGCCGCCCTCTCGAATTGCGGCCGATTGCTGACCGAGTTCTACACCGTCGACTTTCTTTATTTGACGGCCGTCGTGCGAGGCAAGAACCCCACCAAGAACTCGTTGGCCAACAAACTTCCGTTGGTGTCGTGCATCAACTTGATGGTGGTCCACCTGTTCCTCGGAATATTGCTGTTCTCCGGGCTCATCATGAATTTGAGCGTCATCGACTCGGTCTATTTTACGTAAGTTGAGGGTAATGTGGAAAACACGTCGTAGAATAGAGATCCGTAGCGCTGGAGTCCAACATAGAGGTCTATAGATAAGCGAGAATCATAGCGTGTGCATTCGTATGCATATTTGAGCCTAGTCCACTCATTTTTGTAACCGAAAATTTGAGATAACGCCCAAAATTTTAGGCATGGCTCCGGGCCGGGCTTTCCAAAATTTCCCGGCCCGGGCCGGGCCGACTAATTTCTCGGCCCGACCCCGGGCTTCGATTTTCAGGCCCGGCCCGGCCCGGGCCGGCCCGGTTTTTTATGAAATCTGAGTTTTGCCCGGAAAAAAAGGAAAAAATAAGCTTTTTCGATAAAATTTTTCATTTTTTCGAACACAATGCTGATAGCGAACGTAAAATGACCTTATTTACCACTCGCCCAAATGAAAAAATAATTTTCAAGTCAATTTGAAAAAAAAATCAGAAATTCTTAAGTGCGACCTCATAGTTAATTCGCTGGCAAAAAAAAACAAAAGGAAAAATTTTCAAAAATACGCAATACGCTTGTAGGTTTTTTCAAATTCAATAAAAGATCTGTGATAAAACATTTTTGCTAAAATTTGGGTGACTATACACAAAATTTTATGATTTTTTGTAACCAGATGGTAAGACAATTTATGGCGACTTAGTAATTTATAAAAATAGTCAAGCGGCAATTGAACTATGTATATGTTTTGCTAAATTATCTTTTACATTTTGCGAATTTTCCTTTCATTTCCTGCTTTGTTTCTTTCCAGCGTAGTACAAAAATTTTCCGGGCCGAACCGGGCCGGGCTTTCCAAATTTTACAAGCCCGGGCCCGGGCCGGGCTTGGAGATTTAGGCCCGGCCCGCAGGCCCGGGCCGGGCCGGGCCGGGCTGGCCCGGTTTGCAGCCATGCTTACAAAATTTCGCGCAGGCGTAGCGATACTTGCGGGAAATTGAGCGGCAGTTGAGATTTGCCGATTAGAATTGCTGTTTTTTATCGTAATACAGTGGGGACCTAATCCAGTGGCAAAAAACGTAGCATTTTACATCCAGGAAGCATAAAAAATGTGGCAAAATACCTCCCTCTCCAAATGAAAAAAACTCAGATTCCAAAAGCGCGCCCGCTTTTTTTTATGAGGAAAGAGGGCGCGCACGGCAACCCGAAATAGAAGAAAAATGTTTCCCGCCCACTTTTGAGTTTCGTCCAAACGAAGTGTCAAAATTGACAAAAGAAATAAAATAATTCCGAGAAAAATATTTTTCGGTCGCAAAATCCCACGAAAAATTCCTTTGTGACATTTTGTTTGATTTCAACCGATACAAAATGGGCGAAGTGTCGAAAGGAGCCAGGAAACACTTCGGGTTGCCGTGGCGCGCCCTTCAAAACGAAGTTTTTTCACTTGGAGAGGGAAGCATTTTGCCACATTTTTGATACCTCCCGGATGCAAAATGGTACGTCCTTTGCCACTGGATCAGGTCCCTCACTGTAAGGACAAAATATGATTTTTTCTCTGACCTCTCTCCGCGTTTTGCAAGCTCTATCGGCAGAAAAGGTCGTATTCTTGGCGACGTCTGCAAAGCTTTTTTGAAATCGGAGTTTTTCTCACTTGGAGAGGGAAGCATTTTGCCACATTTTTGATACCTTCCGAATGCAAAATGGTACGTTTTTTGCCACTGTATCAGCCCCCCCCTTTGTATACGCAGTGTGATAGAAATTTCGCTTTGGTAACTCCGTGGCGCAGATAGGTACACTAACCTGTTGAATTCACCCACCGCTTTCAAAGCTGTGGGATTTTGCTTTCAAAAAATGGTTTCTGGACCTTTAAAAATGCATGGTTAAACTTATGGTAACAATTCAAGCCACTTATCAGCAATAGACTTAATTCGCAACATCTAACAGCCAAATTCATCGTTAGAATTTCCTGTTGTAAGCAAATGTTGGCTGATTTCCAAAAACATGTCCGCAAAATCTCCATGGTTCTTCTGGCTGTCCGTAAAGTCGTTGGCCGCAAGTGTGCGCCCTCCCATTTTCTTCACCGTATATCTGAATTATCTCATTCCCTTTTCCAGCGTCATCACAATCACCACCGTGGGCTTTGGTGACATTGCGCCGAAGCCGCACAACATGTTCGAGACCGTCGTTTGCATGGTGTTCATCTCGTCCGGCATGATTGTAATGGCCGCTCTGCTCGTCACCCTCTCCTATTACTTCCAATTAATCTTCTACGGCTATCTGAACGACTGGATCTTCGACTTGTACGAGAAGCTGACGTCGAGACGGAAGGTTTCGCCTCCGGAGATCAAGACGAGTAAAGGGTTCAATCGAGTTTAGTTTTGTGGTTTTTCGATCGAATCTTGTCAGTTTTTGGTTCTAAAAAATACCGGTGCATTTTAGAGAAATTTACATATGAAATTTTTGTGAATAAATTATAGATTTTTCGGATTTTTTTTTTATTTTTTTTATTTTTTTTATTTGTATTAATCGTTTGTGTCGCATTTTATAAAAAAAATTAATTGTTCATTTATTCTTTTTGCGCACTAATTGAAATCTTTTTTTTCCGAGCTGCGCCCGAGCCTCAGCTTTAATGGTAACTTTAGTCATCTTTCAATTTTTAAAAAACTTTATGAGACTCTAATCAAGCCCTAAAAGCTATAAACTTCATCCATATTTTCGGCCAAATCCAAAAATATATATATATATTCCAAGCTGCGCCCGAGCTTTTTACAATTTTTTTTTTTTTTTTTTGTAAAAAAAGCTGAGGCAATCCAAGATTTCGTATTTTATCATACAAAATAAACAAAAAATAAAATCATTACTTATTTATCTTACCACAAAAAATGAATTGCAAAAACACATTAAAAAATCTGTATTTTACACTTGCATAATGGGACTTTTGGCGTCGAAGATGTCCTTGTATTCCGGGTAGGCCTGACTCAGCTGCCACGGCAACGCTTGGCAGTGGCAACCGCTTTCAGAACACTTGTACTCCATAAAATCGAACGGGCAATGGTCTGCACAGTCCCACAAGTCCCTACACTGAGGCCTCACTGAAAATATTTACAAAATAAAAATGCTTTGCAAAATTAGATTAATCTATGGCTGACAGAGCCGGATAAACGCTGGTTTTTTTTACGATCGGTCTGTCGGGAAAATACTGAGCACTCTGTCGCATTGAAAATCGCATCGCCGCCAAGAAAATGAATTGTGTCGCGGCAAAATCAAATTGCTTTTCAATTCAGCCACGAAACTGGCGCAGCGACGCTGTGCTCATTATTTTCCCGACAGACTGATACTCCCGGTTTTCATGGCTTCTGGATTTTTCAGTTTCGAAGTTTTTTGCCAATGACAAATGGCAACAAATTTGAAAACAACCCCACCATTTTCTGGCCCACTAACGTTCAATTTTAACCATTAAAATTTTTGTTTTGAAACCTTTTTTTTAACCATTAAGTCTCCCCCAAACTTACAGAGTATAATATATCCGGGTTGCACGTGCTTCTTGATATAATAAGGCCCTGGAGAAGCCGAGAGACCAATGAAGACAAGGGCAAGGAGGACCAAGATCGACCGCATCTTGAGCATTCCTTCAAAATGATTTTCTTTTTGATTTTTAGATCGTTTTGAGATTTTGAAATTTTTAAATTAGTGTTTGTTTTTTTGATTTTTGATTTTTCCAATTTTCACGTAAAAGAAAAATTTGTCAGTTGGGGATAAGATAAATCAGAAAAAATGAGGTAATTTTCTAGATCAGCGCCATTGAAAACCCCTGATGTGCAAAAAGCCGAAAAATTACTGCATTACAGTACTGCTTAAGAAAAAAGTGGCCATCAGAAAATCGAGGCTTACAGCGGCGGACCTGATCCAGCGCCAAAAACGTACCATTTTCCTTCCGGGACGTATAAAAAAATGCAGCAAAATACCTCAAAAAACTCCCTTTTGTGGAGCTCTTTCCGTCACAAAAAGAGCGGGTGCTTTTTGAAATCGAAATTTCTTCACTTGGAGAGGGAGGTATTTTGCAGCATTTATGATGCTTCCCGAATGCAAGATGGTACGTTCTTTGCCACAGGATCAGGTCGGTCACTGTAAGCTTCGATTTTCTGATGGTGTACATGCAAGAAACAACATTTCTTAGTCTCCCCAATTGACCTTTTCCCCAATTGTTGCTACTAGCATTCAAACGTATATTTTTCCGCAATCAAAATTTATTTCCAATTCAAAAATCATCAAGCAAAAGCGTTTTCATTTGTGTTTTACTCGGACCCGCCACAGAGAAAAACATGTACCTCTTCACCCGCAGGCAACACGAACCACTCCCCGGGCTGGCGGCCGTCGGTGCCGTGGGGATCGAGTGCGAAGTAAGCGGTGCCGTCGGGGATTTGAGTTCCTGCCGGAAGACCAGAAAAGTTGCTCGGGACGCTCTCGTCGAACCACTTGAGCTGTTGGTCTTGGGCGTATAATCCAAGTTGGAAGTAGGGGATCTTTGCATGCAATTTGGCTTCAGCAACGGGTGTAACCGCTACAATTAGTAAAGAGGTTAGAGAAGAAAAACCTTCATAATTCAAAGCTCGTGATAACTTCTCTACGGGTCCTGCCGCGATTTTTTTGACGTTTCCAGACCCGAAATTTTCCCATTCTTTTTACGATTTTGTCCAAAAGGAAAGTCACATTTTCCGATCCATACTGATGACCTAGTGGATGTTGAAGACCCCAGGCCGTGTGAAAAACTGGGGCCTGTTTCACTAACATAAAAATAAATAAAAGAGAAGTAGGGGGGAGCGAGAGAGCATCGAAAACGCGTTTGCGAGCGAGAGAAACCGGACGAAAAGCAGAAGTAGCCTACTTTTGCGGGAGTGACTTTTTACGTCCAAAACCGCGGTTGGCGGCAGTATTTTGGCCATAACTTTTTTCTCAGTTGGCCTAGGAACACCCTTCAAAATTTAGAATGAAGCTGACAGTTTCAGCTATCACCAAGATTATTTTCATTGCTGTGGTGCTAAAACCCGTCCTTAAAAAAATCGTAAAGTACGTGTGGTTTAATTTTTGAGAAAATCGACTAAATTTTAGCTTAAAATCCCCATAACTTGGGTAAAACTTTTCGGATTGAAACACTCCAAAAAACAACACATAGAATTTTTAAAGCAGTTTTAGACAATATGTGTTTTGAATTCCTTTTATATCCCGGTGGACCGCTAATTTTACAGTAGTACGGCCAACCATCTCGTTTTTTTCTTTTTCACGGAATAAAAACGAATTTTTCTCATCAATTTTTAAAAGAATAATTACAAATTTCATACCAGTGTGTAGAGCCGTTTCTTAGCTACATTATGTTTTTTGAGGGGTGTCGATATATCATAAACTGATAGAGTTCCGAGCAATTAAATCAAGGTAACCTCCATTTTTGACCATAAAAAGTCGTTCCGAAAGGGGCGAACTTTTCCTCTTCCTTTGATTTGAGGGGCTCTTTTTTATGACAAAAATGGAGGTAAATTAGCCATTACTCAGCCATAATAAGTCTTACAACTGGCCCTCTAAAAAAACCTCATGGGAAAAAAGATGGGCTATCGACTGGTATAAATTAGAGCTTCTAAATTTTGAAATTGACCGAGAAATAAAACATTTTGTATCTTCAGTGTAAATGTACTCTGTACTTTAAGCTATATAACTAATCTACTCTTGAAAATAAAACAACGAAATTTGGATATGTTGTAGTCTCAACCGTCTGCTTTATTTGGTTTTTTGAAGGATGTTCCTATAACAATTGAGAAAAAAGTTGTGGCCAAAATACTGCCGCCAACCCCGGTTTTGGACGTAAAAAGTCACTCCGAAAGAGAAGTAGGCTACTTCTGCTTTTCGTCCGGTTTCTCTCGCTCGCAAACGCGTTTTCGATGCTCTCTCGCTCCCCCCTACTTCTCTTTTATTTATTTTTATGTTAGTGAAACAGGCCCCTGCTTCCAAAAGGTGTTTACGGGCCCTAAGGGTGAAGTTATGGCTCATCAATACTCCTCATCACGAACACTTCTAGAAACCCGATGCATCTTAGCCTGCATCAATATCTACAAGGTCTGCAGTATAGATCCGACAGCGAAAAAAGAGACTTCCCTTGGAAGTTAATACCGGAAACTTACCAACAATCCTGTCGTTAGTAGCCTTGCTGTCTATCACTCCTGGCAATAAAGTAGGATCAAGATCCTTACAAGATTTGGCGATATCAGAAGGAGGGAACGGAACTTTTTCGTAACCAGCGTAAAGTTCGTACCCCTGCTTATTGAAACCGGCCCGAAACAACTTCACCTGCAATGCAGCGACCAGCGGAATCAGAACGGCAAACAAGAGAACCTTCATGGTTGACAATGTGTTGATATGTTCGCAAAAAGAGTGGCTTTATATAGTAGTTTCCTGCCGAACTTTGGTATTTAGTTTGCATGCAGAATCAAAGCCATAAAGTTCAAGAGCAAATTTGAATCCAAAGTGAACTTAAGAGAGTTGATTGCATCATTGTTGCATTAATACAAATAATTATAGAGGTCGCGTGGACTGACAGTCGAAAGGGTTACTAATGCAGTGATGCAACAAGGTTGGAACATTGCTAATTTATTCCATCCAAAAGATGAATGGAGATGCGCCGGAAGCCCCATTTCCAATCTGTCTTTGGACTCAAATTTGATTCTAAACTTCCATGCTATTTAATTTGTTTCGCAGACTACCAAATGTCAGAACTTGACCTGAGGCTATTATATAAACCATTTATTTGGACAGCACAGCATCACATTATCGGCAATGAAGTTCCTTATCCTCTCCATCTTGTGCTATCGCTTCGGGCTTGAAGTTGAATGCGCATCCCATGAACTATAACGCGTACGTGTTCTACCTAAAACCTCCTTTCTCACCATCCTACATTGAAGCTGCATGCGAGAAAAAAGATCCAAGCCAGGTGTGATCCAAAGCGAGCATATGAACAGATTGATTGTTGGTATGTCACCACTAAACTTGACCTTAATTAGGTTGCTGGTCGTGCCAAAGCTTTGAGGCCCAGAGTTAAAGCATAAAAGTTGTAGAGGCCCTAAAGTCCCGACTTGCAGAACATACTGCGAAGATTGAAGAGGACTTGGGAGTAAGCATACCCTATTATCAACTTGGACTGTTCGCAGATGACCAGGAACTCTCTCCTTTCGACGACATGGTCACATACCACTACACCAACTTCCCGCAGGATTCGAAATCCCACCCGGCCGCGTTTACTTCGGTATCGATCCTCACGGCACCGACGGTCGCCAGCCCGGAGAATGGCTCGTGTTGGACGAGGAACAGATAGTACACGGTGTCATATGTGGAAGGTTTTATGATATTAAGGGTTCATAATGCCCCGCATGGACTTTGGTTGAATTTCTAACGAATTTACTGCACACACACAATAATTTTTTTTGTCAATTCCGAGAAATAAAAAATTTCATAACTTTTGGATTGATTGAGATGATGGTCAACGGGTTCTCCATTGTGTTGTAGGAGGGCTTTACATGTGCATTTTTGATGCCTCCCGGATGCAAAACGGTACGTTTTTTGCCACTGGATCAGGCCACTGTACATGCGACAAAACAGCATTTCTCAGTCTCCTCAATTGACCTTTTCCCCTTTGTCACTCCCCGCACTCAAACATTCTTCTTTCCGCAAGCAAAATTTATTTCCAATTCAAAAATCATCAAGCAAAAACGGTTTTGTTTGTGTTTTACACGGACTTTCCACAGAACAAAGCATGTACCTTTTCACCCGCAGGCAACACGAACCATTCCCCGGGCTGGCGGCCGTCGGTGCCGTGGGGATCGAGTGCGAAGTAAGCGGTGCCGTCGGGGATTTGAGTTCCTGCCGGAAGACCAGAAAAGTTGCTCGGGACGCTCTCGTCGAACCACTTGAGCTGTTGGTCTTGGGCGTATAATCCAATTTGGAAGTAGGGGATCTTTACTTTCCAATTCTTTTCAACTACGGGTGTAGCCTCTGCAATTAGTAGGGAGGTTAGAGAACAAAAACCTTCATAATTCAAAGCTCCTGATAACTTCTCTACGGGTCCTGCCGCAAAATTTTTTGACGTTTCCCTACCCGAAAATGTTCTTATTCTTTTTACAATTTCATCCAAAAGGGAAGTCACGTTTTCCGATCCCTACTGACGGCCTAGTGGATGTTGAAGGCCCCAGGCAATGTGAACAGTGCCTGGCTTTCAAAGGTGTTTACGGGCCCGGGCGAAGTTATGGCTCATAGATACTCATCATCACGAACACTTCTGTAAGCCCGATGCTTCTTAGCCTGCGTCAACATCCACAGGGTCTCCAGTATATATCGGACCGCTGGAAGTCAATACCGGAAACTTACCAACAATCCAGTCGTTAAAACCTTTGCTGTCTACCACTCCTGGCAATAAATCATCATCTTCCTTACAATATTTGGCGATATCAGAAGGAGGGAACGCTTCTTTTGCGTAAGCAAGGGAATATTCGTACCCCCGCTTATTGAAACCGGCCCGAAACAACTTCACCTGCGTTGCAGCGACCAGCGGAATCAGAACGGCAAACAAGAGAACCTTCATGGTTGGCAATATGTGGATATGTTCGCAAAAAAGCGGCTTTTTATAGTAGTTTTGTGCCGAACCTTGGTATTTATTAGTTTGCATGCAGAATCAAAGCCATAAAGTTCAAGAGCAAATTTGAATCCAAAGTAAACTTAACAGAGTTGATTTCATCATTGTTTCATTAATGTTGCATAAGCAATGAATCAGTTTTTGGATTCAAATTGGATGTTGAACTTCCACGCTAATTTGTCTAACGGACTGCCAAATGTTGGAAGTTGACCTGAGGCTATTGAACATATAAACCATTCACTTCTGACAGCACAACATCACATTGTCGGCAATGAAGTTCCTTATCCCCTCCATCTTGTGCCCTCTTGCTATCGCTTCGCACTTGAAGTTGAATGCGCATCCCAGTTTCTATAACGTGTTCGTTTTCTACCTAAAACCTCCTTTCTCACCATCCTACATTGAAGCTGCATGCGAGAAACAAGATCCAGATCTTAAGCCAGGTGTCATCCAAAGCAAGCATATTAACAGATTTATTGTTGGTATGTCACCACTAAGCTTGACCCTAAATCAGGTTGCTGGTCGTGCCAAAGCTTTGGGGCCCAGAGTTGAAGCATAAAAGTTGTAGAGGCCCTAAAATCCCGATTTGCAGGAAATACTCCGAAGTTTGAAGAGGATGTCCGATTCCTCCTTCGACCAGACTGAAATACGAAAAGAAATAACGAGATGGCTGGTGGTCTTGCGGTGGTTTCTCTAGTCGACTACCTTCAACAACTTCTACCTGAAGTTACTTGACCTTCCAACTGGAAGGTTGCCGATGTGGAGGGCGGTTAATCGAGGTTTTCGTTCCCCCTTTGGATCAAGACGAAAATAAATGATAATTAACTCAAATAGACAAATTTATCAAGAAGGGGAAGAATTACAATAAATTTAGAATAACGCTTCAATACAATAATAACACACAACTCTACAAAAACATCCAACATACAACAACACCAGAACACTACACAACTACAACTGATCAATCAAGATGGGATAAAACCTGAGAGAAGGTAACGGTGCCGTGATTCAGGCGCTCCGCTTCGGTACCTCTGCATCGAACATTCTCGAACATCGGGGAAAAACAGCTGGGGAAACAGTTGACACCGGGGACATCTCTCTCTCCATAAATTGCATCGAGTTGACGTGGATAATTCCATGTTCCGTGGAATCTGACAGAGGAATTGGGAGTAATCATACCCTATTATCAAATTGGATTGTACGCAGAAGACCAGAAACTCAGACGTTTCGACGACATGGTCTCATAAAACTATACCAATTTCCAGCAGGGATTTGAAATCCCATCCGGATTTCTCGTTTACTTCGGTGTCGATCCTCACGGCACCGACGGTCGCCAGCCCGGAGAATGGTTCGTGTTGCCCGAGGAACAGATAGTCCAGTGTCATCTGTGGAAGGTTGTCTTAAGGGTTCATAAAGCCCTGAATGGACTTTGTTTGAATTTTTAACGAATTTACTGCATACACAATAAAAATTTTTTTGTCAATTCTCAGAATTAAAACATTTCATATCTCTTGGATTGATTGAAGTGACGGCCAACGGGTTCTTTATTGTGTTGTAGGAGGGTTTTATATGTGCATTTTTCATGCTTCCCGGATGCAAAACGGTACGTTTTTTGCCACTGGATCAGGTCGGCCACTGTACATGCAAGAAAACAACATTTCTCAGTCTCTCCTTGACTTTTTCCCCTTTGTCACTCCCCGCACTCAAACATTCTTCTTTCCGCAATCAAAATTTATTTCCAACTAAAAAATCATCAAGTAAAAGCCTTTTTTATTTGTGTTTTACACGGACCGTCCACAGACCAAAGCATGTACCTTTTCACCCGCAGGCAACACGAACCATTCCCCGGGCTGGCGGCCGTCGGTGCCGTGGGGATCGAGTGCGAAGTAAGCGGTGCCGTCGGGGATTTGAGTTCCTGCCGGAAGACCAGAAAAGTTGCTCGGGACGCTTTCGTCGAACCATTTGAGCTGTTGGTCTTGGGCGTATAATCCAATTTGGAAGTAGGGGATCTTTACATGCCATCTGGCTTCAACTACGGGTGTAGCCGCTACAATTAGTAAGGAGGTTAGAGAAGAAAAATTTTTATAATTCAAAGCTCGTGATAACTTCTCTACGGGTCCTGCCGCGATTTTTTTTTGTTTTTTTTTTGACGTTTTCCTACCCGAAAATTTTCCTATTAATTTTACAATTTCGTCCAAAAGGGACCTCACGTTTTCCGATCCCTACTGATGGTCTAGTAGATGCTAAAGACCCCAGGCAGTGGGAAAAGTGCCTGGCTTCCAAAGGTGCTTACGGGCCCTAATGGCGAAGTTATGGCTCAACAATACTCATCAGCACGAAAACTTCTGGAAGCCAGATGCTTCTTAGCCTGCATCAACATCCACAAAGTCTCCAGTATAGGTCAATACAAACTCACCAACAATCCAGTCGTTAGCACCCTTGTCGACTATCACTCCTGGCGATAAAGTAGGGTTAGCGTCCTTACAAGCTTTGGCGATATCAGAAGGAGGGAACGCTTCTTTTACGTAACCAACGCCAAAGTCGTACCCCCGCTTATTGAAACCGGCCCGAAATAACTTCACCTGCGATGCAGCGACCAGCGGAATCAGGACGGCAAACAGGAGAACCTTCATGGTTGACAATGCGTTGATATGTTCGCAAAAAAAGTGCCTTTTTATAGAAGTTTTGTGCCGAACTTTGGTATTTAATAGTTTGCATGCAGAATCAAAGCCATAAAGTTCAAGAGCAAATTTGAATCCAAAGTAAACTTAAGAGAGTTGATTGCATTATTGTTGGATTAATGATGCCTAAGCAATGAATCAGTTTTTGGATTCAAATTCGATCTTGAACTTCCACGCCGCTGATTTGTTTTCAAATGCCAGAACTTGACCTGAGGCTATTATGTAAACCACTTATTTTGGACAGCACAACCTCACATTATCGGCAATGAAGTTCCTTATCCTCTCCATCTTGTGCCCTTTTGCTATCGCTTCGGACTTGAAGTTGAATGCTCATCCCGGCTATGACCTATCCCTTCACTATCAAAGAGCTCCTTTCTTACCATCCGACATTGCTGATGTATGCGAGAAAAACGGAGGAAAGCCAGGCGTCATCCAAAGCGAGCACATTAACGGATTGATTGTTGGTATGTCACCACTAAGCTTGACTTAAATGTCGGTTGCTAGCCGCGCCAAAGTTTTCAGGCCCAGAGTTATGAAGGCATAAAAATTGTAGAGGGCTTAAAATCACGATTTGCAGCAGATACTCCGGAGCTTGAAGGTTTGGTGGGAGCACAGATCCCGTTTTTCCAAATCGGATTGTATGCCCAAGACCAGCAACTCAAATGGTTCGACGACAGAGTCTCATCCAACTACACCAACTTCCCGCAGGGATTCGAAATCCCGTCCGGCCGCGTTTACTTCGCGCTCGATCCCCACGGAACCGACGGTCGTCAGCCCGGAGAATGGTTCGCGTTGCCCGCTGAACAGGGAAGCACTGGTGCAATCTGTGGACATATTTATTGAAGGATAACTTCATTGGCAATGTTTCAATTTTTAACGAATTCACTGCTTACACAGCATATAAAAACTTTTGCTAAAATTGGAGTAAACCGTCCGTTTCAAGACCCTTAACACGTCTTGTTAATGTTTATTGACGCACAAAGCACCAGCAATTCTAACATTGCCATCCACCGGCAGCCATTCTCCGGCCTTTTGCTCTGCGGTGTCTTTGAAAGCGAGAACATAGTAGGTGGGGCCGTCCGGGATCTCAACGCCCTTGCGGATGTTATTAAAGTCGTAGGTGGTGTTGCTTCCAAGCCACTTGAATTTCTGGTGCTCCGAGTAGAGCCCAATTACAATTTTATCTGTGGCGTCGGAGCAGTAAATCGGGACGCCGGCGGCAATCTCTGAAATTGAGGGTAACAAATGCATAGCAATACACTATTTGGAAAAAACGGGGAAAACAAGATAAAAAATGTACGATTCCAAAAAAATTAGGTGCTATATGGCTCGTGACTTATAAACCATTGCGTGTCCAGAAAATATGTCACGATGACACCGATTTAAAATGTCCTAGTGATGTAAACAACAGAATACGAGCGCTCCTCGGAGTATGACAAAAAAATTTGGAACCTGCAAAGGTTCTCGCCGGAAAAAAAATCATCCAAGTTGAGCATTGCAAAAGTTTTCTGCTTAAATTGGTTTGTGTTCACTCAAGGAAGAACTCCTACCCATATACAGCCGTTTTTAATACCACTAACACATTTTAAACGGGTGTCATCGTAACACATCTTCTAAACATGAAGATTTGTTAGCCCGATCCATACAACACTAATAAAAAAACATACTCAAGGCTGCGTCGTTCTGAGCTTTGCTGTGAATGGTTGCCGGAACAAAGCCAAAGGGAACCCGGCAGCTGTTGACTATGTCTTTAACTGGAAGTGGAACACCGCAAACTACCTGCAAAGCATGGCAAAAAACATGTTGCTGACAAAAAACTGGAGTAATTAGAAAAACCACCGAAAACCCTCCTCAGACTTACATTAGCACCACTAGAGGCGTTTCCGACTATACGGAACGGAGTCAATGGAGCGGCAACGGCGCTGGAGAGGGCAAGGAGAAATACCGCAATTTTCATTGTCTGTAAAATTAAATTTTATGGCCTGTTGTCTTCTTCGAAACTTAGGCTGCTGTGTTAGCCCAAAAAAAGCACGTATGGCACAAAATCAATTGATACAGGCGGAGCCCTAAAAAAAGATTGCAGAAAGTACCTACGAGGCCTGAGATAGCCATTGGATGCCCGGCGGAGGCTCGGTGAAGACTTGCAATAAGGCCACTTTTCCTACTTCTAGCTAACCTTAGTCTTCTTGGCGCTGAGCTCTTGTAACGTATGTATAAAAGACCACAGTTTTTCCGAAAAAAGAAGAGCCGTAAATTTTGTCTAAATCTACTTGCAATAATGAATATGAAATATCTCAAAATAGGTCATAGCCTACCCTAGACATGATCAATCCTATTTTTATTAACTGAACTTTTTCATAACCTCTTTAATGAATGTAAATACGCATCGATTGAGGTATCGCCGACCCGACCTGTCGTTGATCCTAAAGGTTGTTAGTTTTATCTTTGTATACTTGCAGTAATACATATAATAAAATACTATAAACCATCCCAGGACCTGATAAATCATATTGTTTTTATTAACTCGGCCTTTTGCCAGCCTTCGCCATATATACAACGACAAATCGGTGCGACCAAAAGTATCGTCGACCCAAACTGTCGCTGACCAGCCCTAGCGCCAAAAAAGGAAGAAAAACTTTCTCATAGTCAGCATTTTTTTAAAAGGCCATGCAGAAAACCGCGATAAAAAATTCAAAATATTTGTGTGACAGCAAATACCACTTATAAAATGACAAAAACCAATCTGTAACGATCAATTTCTCGGTTGATATTTGCTACACTCCGTTCGCGGCGAAGGTCAAACCAACTGAAAAAAACAGTTTTGTTTCCGGCAGCAGCTCAAACGGAGCACTTCGTTGAATGAAACGGCATTTTATTTTTCTGCGGACGCTTGGAGATCGTAAAATAAATTGCATACCAATCTCTCTAAATATAAAAATGTCGATATACACATTGCTTGGTTTATTGTGTTAAAAGCGGGGCAAAAAACATTGCTTCAGGTAATCACAACAGTATTTCCATTACAGATTGCACAAAACAGCATTGATCTCGGCATTGCCGTCGACGGGAAGCCATTCTCCGGCCTTTTGGTCCGGAGTGTCTTCGTAGGCCATTACTTAAAAAGTGGGGCCATCCGGAATCTCGACTCCCGGTCTGATGTTGTTGTAATCGTATGGCTCCTCTGTTTCAAGCCACTTGAACTGCTTATTCTCGGAATAGAGCCCGAGCAAGATCTGTGTGACATTATCGATTGGTCCAAACTCTGAAATATCTTGAGTAAAGCGGACAAATTCGGTCGTTTTCAAGCGATTGGAGTTGGAGACAACAGACACTATTCTTATATATGGCCTGGGACTTAACCCTTTCCGGACGAGTCGGCACGTATATATTAAAATGAAAGAGGGTACCCTACTGAGTAACGGCATAATAGTGGTTCAGCCCATCGAAGCGTTATTTGGGACTTATGACAAAAAATGTCCTGAAAAGTACCCCCACTCGACATATCACTTTTAAAATTTTTGCGACAAGCTGTAAGTCGGAAACTACCCCTGAATTAAAGTCGAGGAGTCCTAGTATTGTTACATCCAAGAACTGTCCAAATCGGAGCACCATAGGATTTGTTATCGATTTTTGGAAATTGAATTTTTAATTTTGGTCAATTTTGGACCTAAAATCAAGTATATCTTCCGCCGGTATCAACCATTTCGGTCCAAATGTGGTTTTTCCGAATCTATTGTGATGTTAGCTTCTTACTAGAATATTTCCAGAAAAAACCTATGAGGCATATTTCTGTAAAACGCGGAAATGTTGAAAGTGTAAAGGTTTGATCGTATAAAATGTCGCCGCGAGCCGCGAAGGGACGGGCGCAGCTCGAAACGAGAAAATAATAAAAAAATTTTGAGAAATTTGATTTTAGTGTGAAACCAAATTAAAACCGATGGAAATTGCCTGAAAACAGAGTAAAAGTATAAAAATGACATTTAGGTAACGTTTGTGTGCTATTCCTGTCTGCATTTCGTGTTGAATCATCTTGTTGACACTAAAATAATATTTATCAAAGAAAAAATTATTATTTTCTTGTTTCGAGCTGCGCCCGTCCCTTCGCGGCTCGCGGCGACATTTTATACGATCAAACCTTTACACTTTCAACATTTCCGCGTTTTACAGAAATATGCCTCGTAGGTTTTTTCTGGAAATATTCTAGTAAGAAGCTAACATCACAATAGATTCGGAAAAACCACATTTGGACCGAAATGGTTGATACCGGCGGAAGATATACTTGATTTTAGGTCCAAAATTGACCAAAATTAAAAATTCAATTTCCAAAAATCGATAACAAATCCTATGGTGCTCCGATTTGGACAGTTCTTGGATGTAACAATACTAGGACTCCTCGACTTTAATTCAGGGGTAGTTTCCGACTTACAGCTTGTCGCAAAAATTTTAAAAGTGATATGTCAAGTGGGGGTACTTTTCAGGACATTTTTTGTCATAAGTCCCAAATAACGCTTCGATGGGCTGAACCACTATTATGCCGTTACTCAGTAGGGTACCCTCTTTCATTTTAATATATACGTGCCGACTCGTCCGGAAAGGGTTAAAAATCTTTGTGTATCCAGAAAATGTGTCACAATGACACTCGTTTAAAATGTGACAGTAGTATACACAACAGCTGTATATGTATAGGAGTCCTCCTGGAGCACCCATAAAAAATTTCGGTTAAAAACTTTTGCAATGCTCAAAATTGGATGACGGATTTTCTGGATTTTATTGGCCACAGCGCCCGAAATTTTTTGTCGTGCTCTAGGGAGTTTTCCTAGCCGTACCCAGCCGTTATTTATACCACTGGAACATTTTAAACCGTTGTCATCGTGACACATTTTCTGGACACTCAAAAATTTCCAAGTCCCGAGCCATGTAAGACGTTCTGCTTGGCCGACGGACTTACCAAGAATCTTTGAGATGTTCTTTGCACTGTGAATGGTCCCGGGAGTAAAATCGAGCTCATAGCACACTTTTATCGCTTCTTTTGCTGGTCCCAGGGAGTTGTCGTTGTCGTACGGTATCTAAAGACATAACTGATAACTGATAGTAAAAGTGCAGTGGAACTTCCAAAGGGTTTTCTACACTTAATTCATCTTTACTTTAGCCCACAAGAACCAACAATCTCCACTTACCGACCACGGTACCAGTCCGTTATGTTCTTGAATTTTAGACAACGGGCCACTCATAGCTGCAGAAAAAATGGACAACAAAAGAACCATTTTCAACATGCTGTGTTGCTGTGGTTTCTATGAAACGTCAGTAAGTTATTATATATTGTTTTTTGACCTTTATGTTCAAATGTTTCTCCTTTGCGGTGCAGGATCAAATGATCTGCAGTTAAGAAGTCAATCTCGGGTTAAGATAAGTCGGAAATTGTATTTTTCCACCATTATTTTTGAATGGCAAGAGTTCAGGGAGTTTCAAAAAGGATTCCCTTCAATCCAACTTTAATTAATCGTTTTATTGCTGTCATATTGCTTGATTAAAAGATGCTGTATTCTCGGTTAGAAATCTCCGCAAAAAAACGGCGCGGCCCGGTATGTCAGTCCGCAATGCAAACCACTCTCCTTGCTTCCGGTACCGACCTTCAATCTCAATGGCGAACTATGCGGGTATTTCGGGAATGAGGAATCCCCGCGGCAGATTTTAGTTGAATGGTAGCCGTCCGTCCAGCCACCAGATCTTCTTTCTGTTTGCGTAGAGTCCGATCTTAACGTAGTCAGTCTGTAGTCGACGTATTTTTGAAGGCGCAGAGCTTCGGCTAAAACAGATATTCTTGGTCTTCAAAGGAGGTCTTAGCTCAACATAGACTATGTAAAATTCAGAAAGAATTCGGAGCATTTTGCATACGTCTTTCACAGATGATGCGTGTCGGTTACCGACACGTTTCATTACCCAGACCTTCTCCTAACCTTCGCCATACAAATGTACATACAATGACAAATCGATGCGTATTTTTGAAGGCGCAGAGCTTCGGCTAAAAACAGGTATTCTTGGTCTTCAAAGGACCGACTCGTTTCATTACCCAGGCCTTCTCCTAACGTTCGCAATACAAGTCGTTGGGTCAAAAAAGGAAAAAAAACTTTCTTTTATCCAGCATTAAAAAAAGCCTTGCAGAAAAGTCCGATCAAAAATTCAAAATATTGTAGCTGGTTACACCATCTTGTTCAAGGGGTCTCAACGCGAAAACAAGAAGGACCAAAGCCATGTCAACAAGGCAAGAAAAGGGATTTGGCTTCAGTGTGAGTACTGGATTGGGGACGAGCTGTTGTTTTTCTTTGCCCCTTTATTTATTTATTAGATAGTATTATAGTTTAGGTTAGTTAGTAATTAGAATCTTGTTTTGTTTATTTAAACGTAGGTAGTGTTATTTAAGGTAATATAAAAGTAGTTAGTCTATTTTGTCTCCTTTGAGTTAGTCTGTTTTGTCTCCTTTTAGTTAGTCTTTGTCTCCTATAACATATTCCCCGACGTCTTATTGTACTTTTGTCTATTGCGTGTTAATTTGAAGGTAAACTGTCAATAAACAGTCATAATTGAAACTGTGGACCATTGAATTTGATTGAGAAAGTACAAGGTAAACCAATTAATTGGATGAGCCGCTGGAAAGGATAAGAGTTCTCGCGTTTAGCCCACAAAGGAGTCCTTGGATCCTACGATACACAGAAGGTTTAAACCCGATATCGTTTACAAATATATATTTATGCAACAGCAAATGCCACTTAAAAAAAAACAAAAACCAATTGTATTATAACGCTTTGAACAGATTGCACAAAACAGCATTGATCTCGGTGTTCCCGTCGACGGGAAGCCATTCTCCGGCCTTTTGGTCCGGAGTGTCTTCGTAGGCCATTACGTAAAAAGTGGGGCCATCCGGAATCTCGACTCCCGGTCTGATGTTGTTGTAATCGTATGGCTCCTCCGTTTCAAGCCACTTGAACTGCTTATTCTCTGAATAGAGCCCGAGCAAGATCTGTGTGACATTATCGATTGGTCCAAACTCTGAAATATCTTGGGTAAAGCGGACAAATTCGGTCGTTTTCAAGCGATTGGAGTTGGAGATGACGGACACTGGTCGGATATAAGGCCTTGGACTTTCCGTTTAAAGTGTGACAGTGATAGAAACAACAGCTGTATATGCATAGGAGGCCTCCCTAGAGCACCCATAAAAAATTTCAATTCAAAACTTTTGCAATGACCTAATTGGATGATGGATTTTCTGGATTTTTTCCACGACGAGAAACGTTCCACCGCCCGAAATTTTTTGGCATGCTCTAGGGAGTATTCCTAGCCATATACCGCCGTTATTTATACCACTGGAGCATTTTAAACCGTTGTCATTGTGTACACATCTTCTGGACACACAAAGATTTCCAAGTCCCGAGCCATTTATTCTGATGTTCTGTTTGGCTTACGGACTTACCAAGAATGTTTGAGATGTTCTTTGCACTGTGAATGGTCCCGGGAGTATAATCCCCGAGCTTATGGCACATTTTTATCGCTTCCTTTGCTGGTCCCAGGGATATGTCATTCGGTATCTGAAGACATAACCGATAGTTGACGGGTACAGCGGAACTTCCAATGCTTCTCTGCACTTTATGCAGCCTTTCTATAGCCCGGCGAAACATTAACAATCCCAACTTACCCACCATGGCACAAGTCCGTTTCGGGCTTGGAGTTTAGCCAACGGGCCGCACGTGACAGCGGAGAAAGTGGACAACAAAAGAACCGTTTTCAACATGCTGTATTACTATGCTGTTTGCCAACGAATTCGCTGTTATATACCGTTTTTTGACCTTTATATTCAAATGCCCTCCTTTGCGGTGCATGATCAAATGATCTGCAGTTAAGAAGTCAATCTCAGGTTAAGATAAATCGGAAATTGTATTTGTCCACCATTGTTTCGAATGGCAAGAGTTCAGGGAGTTTCAAAGAGTATTCTGTTCACTCCAACTTTAATTCCTTTTATTGCTGTCATATTGCGGCATTAAAAGATTCTGTATTCTTGATTAGAAATGCCCGCACAGAAAGACGCGGCCCCGTTTGTCAGGCCGCAATTGAAATCACTCTCCTTGCTTCCGGTACCGACCTTCAACCTCAATGGCGAAGAATGTGGATATTTGGGGAATGAGGAATCTCCGAAGCAGACTTGAGTAGTTTAATGGTTACCGGCCGTCCAGCCACCAGATTTTCTTTTATCCAGCATTAAAAAAAACCTTGCAGAAAAGTCCGATCAAAAATTTAAAATATTGTAGCTGGCTACACTATCTAGTTCAAGGGGTCTCAACGCGAAAACAAGAAGGACCAAAGCCAAGTCAACAAGGCAAGAAAAGGGATTTGGCTTCAGCGTGAGTATTGGATTGGGGACGAGCTGTTGTTTTTATTTGCCCCTTTATTTATTTATCAGATAGTAGTTTAGGTTAGTTAGTAATTAGAATCTTATTTTGTTTATTTAAACGTAGGTAGTGTTATTTAAGGTCGTATAAAGTAGTTAGTCTATTTTGTCTCCTTTTAGTAAGTCTTTGTGTCCTATAACATATTCCCCCACGTCTTATTGTATTTTTGTCTATTACGTGTTAATTTGAAGGTAAAGTGTCAATAAACAGCATAATTGAAACTGTGGAATATCGAATTTGATTGAGAAAGTATAAGGTGAACCAACTAATTGAATTACCCGCTGGAAAGGATAAGAGTTCTCGCGTTTAGCCCACAAAGGAGTCCTTAGATCTTACGATACACAGAAGGTTTAAACCCGATATTGTTTACAAATATATATATTTGTGTGACAGCAAATGCCACTAAAAAAACAAAACCCAAACTGCAACGATGAATTTCTCGGTTGATACTTGCTACATTCCGTTCGCAGCGAAGGTCAAACCACCCGAAAAATCGTAAATAAAATAAATTGCACACCAATCTGTCTAAGCATAAGAATGTCAATTTACACATTGCTTGGTTTATTGTGTTAAAAACGGGGCAAAAAACATTGCTTCACATAATCACAACAGTATTACCGTCACGCTTTGAATAGATTGCACAAAACAGCATCGATCTCGGTGTTACCGTCGACGGGAAGCCATTCTCCGGCCTTTTGGTCCGGAGTGTTTTCATAGGCCATTACGTAAAAAGTGGGGCCATCCGGAATCTCGACTCCTGGTCTGATGTTGTTGTAATCGTATGGCTCCTCCGTTTCAAGCCACTTGAACTGCTTATTCTCGGAATAGAGTCCGAGCAAGATCCGTGTGACATTGCCGAGTGGTCCAAAGTCTGAAATATCTTGGGTAAAGCGAAAAAATCGGTCGTTTTCAAGCGATTGAAGTTGGAGATGACAGACACTGGTCGGATATAAGGCCTTGGACTTATAAATTCGTTTCTCTAGAAAATGCGTCACGATGACACCCGTTTAAGATGTGACAGTGATATAAACAACAGCTGTATATGTATAGGAGTCCTCCCTGGAACACCCATAAAAAATCTCAATTCAAAACTTTTGCAATGCCCTAATTGGATGACGGATTTTCTGGATTTCTTCCGTGGCGAGAAACTTTCCTCTGACCGAAATTTTTTGACTTGCTTTAGGCAGTATTCCTAGCCATATACAGCCGTTATTTATACCACAGTCACATTTTAAACCGTTGTCATTGTGACACATTTTCTGGACACACAAAGATTTCCAAGTCGCGAGCCATGTATGATGTTCTGCTTGGCCGGCGGACTTACCAAGAATGTTTGAGACGTTTTTTGCACTGTGAATGGTCCCGGGAGTGAAATCGAGCTTATGGCACACTTTTATCGCTTCTTTTGCTGGTCCCAGGGGGGAGTCGCCATACGGTATCTAAAGACATAACCGATAATTGACGGGTACAGTGGAACTTCCAAAGGTTTCTCTGCACTTTATGCAGTCTTCCTATAGCCCGGAGAAACATTAACAATCTCAACTTACCGTCCATGGCATAAGTCCGTTTCGGGCTTGAAGTTTAGCCAACGGGCTGCACGTGGTAGCGGAGAAAATGGACAACAAAAGAAACGTTTTTAACATGCTGTGTTGCTGTGGTTTCTATGAAACGTCAGTAAGTTATTATATATTGTTTTTTGACCTTTCTATCAAATGCCCTCCTTTGCGGTGCAGGATCAAATGATCTGCAGTTAAAAAGTGATTTTCAGGTTAAGATAAATCGGAAATTGTATTTCTCCACCATTGTTTTGAATGGCAAAGTTCAGGAAGTTTCAAAAAGTATTCCCTTCACTCCAGCTTTAATTAATCGTTTTATTGCTGTCATATTGCGGCATTAAAAGATTCAATATTCTTGATTAGAAATGCCCGCACAGAAAGGCGCGGCCCCGTTTGTCATGCCGCAATGCAAACCACTCTCCTCGCTTCCGGCCCCGACCTTCAACCTCAATGGCGAAGTATGTGGGTATTTTGGGAAAGATGAATCCCGGCGGCAGATTTGAGTAGTTGAAAGGTAGCCGGGCGTCCAGCCACCAGATCTTCTCTACGTCTGCGTAGAGTCCGATCTGAACGTATTCGACCTTGTAGTCGACGTATTTTTGAATGCGCAGAGCTTCGGCTGAAAACAGATATTCGTGGTCTTCAATGGAGGGCTTACAAGGGAAGTCGTTCAGATCGCAAATGAGTTGAGCTATGGGACCGGTATATTCTGATTCTCCATATTCGAAAACGGTAAGAGCTAAAACAATTTTTTCCGTCTGGGCCCTGGTTTTCGAGAAAATCGACTGTAAAGTTTGACCGGAAAAAGCCCCGCTAAATAGTCCTCGCTCCGAAAGACCTTTGGAACAAGAGCCAAATGGCGGAGGGCGAGTGAAAACGCTCTCAAAATTCTTTTGTCCGGGATGCCGGGGAAGGTTCGAGTCTCGCTAGGAGCAATCCCTAATTCATAATGGTTGCAAAGCAAAAAAAATATTTTTCCTTTTGCTTACTTTGGAGAAAATATTGAAATGCATGTCAAATAGGCATATTTATGCGTTGAACTCAAAAATGAAGCGTTTATTCCTAAAAAACTATTTGATCTAAAATTATTGGGGTACACTTTGCCACAAAAAAATAAAAATTTTTTATTTTTTATCATTTTCAATATCAAAGCTCTTTGGAGCCTAGCGGGACTCGAACCTTCCCCGGCATCCCGGACAAAAGAATTTTGAGAGCGTTTTCACTCGCCCTCCGCCATTTGGCTCTTGATTCGAAAGCCTTTTGGAGCGAGGACTATTTAGCGGGGTTTCCGGGCAAACTTGACGGTCGATTTTCTCGAAAACCAGGGCCCAGACGGAAAAATTGTTTTAGCTCTTACCGTTTTCGAATATGGAGAATCAGAATATACCGGTCCCATAGCTCAACTCATTTGCGATCTGAACGACTTCCCTTGTTAGCTCAACATAGACTATGTAAAATTCAGAAAGAATGAGGAGCATTTTGCATTCTTTCACATATCATGCATGTGGGTTTCTAAGAACGTTAGCTTGTGCTTTTCAAAGGCATACTTAACGATCTCATTGCGCGGCATGAAGAAGAGCTCAAAGAGACCAAAGTTTTATGGTCATTCCATTCTTCAAGCCAAGAGATATTTTTGATTATACGTTACATGCGTTACGATATGGCCCATGCTTTTTCTCTGCCCCTCTCCGCATTTAGCGTGCTCTATCGGCCACAAAGGCCGTTGAATATTTCGCCTGCGATCGTAAAGCGCGATCTAAAACTTCCTAAAAATAATAAGTGGCCTATGTCTGACATGTGCGTAAAGTTTAAAGAAAAACCTGACTTTTAAAGCCTTCCCTTGTAGGAATAACAATAAGCTGCTATAGGGTCTGTAAGTCTAAGAAGCTCGAGAAATTAAGGACTCACCAACAATTTGTGCATTATCCTTGGCATCCAGGACAACTCCAGGCCTTTCATTTAGCCCGTAGCAATTCTCTATGATCCTGGATGGGAGGACAAGGTCGTATGCTACATTTACAGAGTGATTGTATCCCTGTTTCTCGATCGAGAAGACCGTCGCAACAGGGAAAATCAGACAAAAGAATATGAACTTCATTGCCAATATATACTTTTAAAATATACTTTAAAATAAAGGCTGTTTTTACTACGCACGTTTTTGTAGTAGCTTTTTGAGACGGCCAAAGCATTTTTGAATGTTTTATTGCTTTCTCACAATTAAAATTTATCTATTATAAGCCTGTTTTGGTAATCAGCATTTCATTTATTGACGGTAATAATGATGGTGATAAAGAAATGAGCAGCAATTTGGGATTTCAAATAGAGGCTATATCTGAATTCATCAAAAAATTAAGATTTTTGGCCAGGCTATTGCTCTGTGCTGCTACAACGGCTACAATTGTTGCCAACCTTGCGTTAAAACTCCTGCGAACCAAAAACTATGTACTATATAATCTCAGCAAATGATGATTTTTATCTGCACGTGATAAAAAGCATCAAGTTTCTTTCCAAAACATCATAGTAATGTTTTTTCCGCTTTTTGATTAAGCAGTGCATTCGGAATGAACCGTATCTGTAAGGGCTCGGGTACCTGCGCTGGCCAACGCCTACTACAGTCCCTATGCGACCATCTACAACTCGCCAATTTTCTGGAACTTCTACTCCTCTTCTACTGGCGGTATTCAGGCATGGTGAAGAGGATACTACTACAGGCAATACCCAGGTTGATCCATCGGTTTAAAAGCCAACAACGAACGTCCCAGCTGGCCGTTTAATCAACGCCCTCAGGGAAAATAAGAGCCTTGAAAGCAGTTGAGAAGTTCTTTGTTCAATCGCTTTTTCTTGAAAATTTTGCAAATATTATATAGTTTTTTGGTAGATAAAATGGATGATGCATCAAAAGATAGTTGAAACTTCAATCACAATCCATGAAGTACCTTATAAGAATAGAATCTGCAACTTTTAGCCCTCTAGAAAAAAACGATGACATATGTATTTAGAAGCATGTAAAAATCCTTTACCAGCAAGATACGACAACAAATCTTATCATCAAATTTATTGCGGCTACTCTTTATACACGTGCGAATACTTCTTCTCAAACACCAGACGATAAAACTTTTCGAACTCCGTAATGTCCGCGAACTTGGCCTTGCAACGGCACACCCGATTCGTACAGTGCGCATGGGCATAGCGAATGGGACATCGTGGAACACATTCGTCGGTGTTTTCGCAGGGAATGCTCCCATTTTTGGGGCCGATTTGGATCATTCCGACGTTTATGTGGCGGGCAATTCGATTTTCTCTGAGCTGAAAGAGAGATCAATTTCAGATGGTAAGTAGTCCCAGTCTGGTCGAAATCTTAGCCTCGCACCTCGACGATCTTTTTTTCAACAAAAAATTCTATCCGCCAAAAAAAAATAAAGGTAAAAGTTCCTTATTTTGGCCACAACTTATAACTTGGAAACTGGTCGGAATTAGCCCAAATTTAGCGTGCACGCTCAGTTTATCGTTGTCAATGCCCGGACAGTGGATTTAGTCAGTGAGGTACCTTCTTTTTTACGTGCCACCTTATCCTTCAAAAACGGCTGCAGCCTGTGATTTTACACTTTATACGATGAAACATGTCCGGAACTAAACTTACTGACTCCGTATGGAACTAAATGAGTCGTCACAGCCTTCGTAGGTACCCTTAAAACTATAGAGCTATTATAGTAATTCAGTGCCAGCTAGGTCGAAGCGTTTTTTCCTAACTTTAGTGCCCAAGCTTGGGCGCAGTTCGCGGAGTACCTTTGTTGTGGCAAAAATAAGGAACTTTTGCCAAAATAAAAAAATGATTACTTACGGATCCATCGCTTTCACACTTTGATTGGACAAGGAAACAGAGCATCAACAAAATCAACCGCATTCTTTGGAAAATAGGGCTGAGAAGAATGAAAAATTATTGAAAATCACTATTTGGTTTGGCGACATTCATGTGCGAGAATAAAAGTTTCGATCGCACGGAAATAGGCCCTTTCGGGGTCGCCATTTCGGGGTCGCCCTTCCGGGGTGGGCCCTTTCGTGCAATGTCTTACCTTTAGCACCGTGCAATAGGATTTTTTCGGCTTTTTTTCACAGTTCATACTGCCGAAACCGCTCCAGCGACTTTGCAAACTTGTACAGGGTGGGCCACTCGAAACGGGTAAGTTTTTTCTTTGAATTTCTCCGCGGAGAATCCGCCGATTTTCCCGAAATTTAGATTTTTCTGTAGCTGAGACCCGCAATTTTTAACTGATTGAATTTTAAAAAAATATATTTTGAATTGACCTTTCTATGCCTTCCAAAGTTCTGAAGAATTATTTTCGAGCCGAAACCGCTAAAACTTAGAAAATTTTTCAAACAATTCGTTATGGGCGAAGCTCGCGGGCAGAGATTGCTACGGGCCAAATTTGCGGCTCCTTCTCCCGTGCTGTTTCGGTTCTTTTTGACTATGTGTACAAATGTGTGCTATAGAGCTTTCGTGGTTCTATTAGAAAACGATGACACAATATTGGAAATAATCAATAAGTTTTTGAGCCAAGCCGTACGCAAACACATCCTTCCCAGTATTTTTCAAACAATAGGTTTAACAAGGTCACGAAATTTTTACTTTTCTGAACGCTGAGAAGCCCGGCTCCGACCTTGGGCTCGGGAGCCGGATTCATAATTTCCGGCTCCTAAGCCGGAAATATAAAATGGCAATCTCTGCTGGTGGTTTAACCTCAAATTCACAGAAATTTTAATCTACCGAGAACCCCCCTTATATTACTACACACATTATTACCTTATATTATCTATGTCTGAACTCTAAAGTCCCTACATTGTCGATGATCAAATGATTTTTCAAATTTCCTCTATTTCTCACTTGTATCCTTCCAAAATGCGGTTGATTTTCGTCCTCATCTTCATGAAGCTCATGTCAGCTCAAGGCAACAGCACCGGCAGCGAAACAAAAGGCCCAGGAGTCTATTCCAATATCAAATCAATTTCCGGACCATGGGAGAATGCGATTCAAATCAAACGGCATGTGGAACCGGGCTATATTATCCTAGGTGAGCTGTTAAATTTATTTTTGGTACAAGTTTTTGATGTTCTAGTGGATGAGTGCACCACGAGTCTCAAATGTTTCCACCTGTGCCCATTTCATTTCCCCGGCCATTACTGCGACTACAGCTATCAATCCGAATGCCATTGCTGGGCCGATCCCGTCGACTTGGAGAGGTATTCGACTTCATATTCGGAGATCTTTGACTTTGGGCCGGATGTGTTCTATGATAGCTCCATTTTTGAGTGAATAAAGCATGCAATTTACAAGGGAAGTACCCCAAGTGAGACGCTCAGATTTTCTTTAAATTTTGCACATATATCGAGCATGAAATACGGTTGTTTCTGCAAAACGCGGACTGGAATTCTGTCGTATATTTTAGAAAAAATCAAGCTACATGTATGTAGAAATAAGTCTGAAACTTTTCGTGCCGAAATTCGGCAAAAAGTGTCAAATTTTTGCCGACTTTGGATCCAAAAATCTCGGTTGTTTCTGCAAAGCGCGAACTAGGATTCAATATATTTTAGAAAAAAAAATATTCTAAATTGGTCCCAACTTTCATCAAACCCTGAGCGTCGCACTTGGAGTACTCCATGTCAGTTATTTTTTGAAAAAATGTTACTATATTATAGTTGAGTTTTGAGTTCGAAATTGGTCATAAATCAAAAAATCTTACCGAACCCGCGTCAAAAACACCCTCTAGAATCATTTGCCACCTTTTCCTTTTATAATACCTCTTTTAGCACCCACAAATCACAAAAAAATCGCACCAACCTTGATCAAACCCTAAAGCAATATAGAAATTTTATCATACAACAATAATATCACTGGAAATCAACAAAAACTCAACAGTAGCAATACAATCAAGCCTCAGCTCTCTTAAAAATCCACATTCGCCCCTCCGCAACCTCCTTCTCCACATCCATTTCCACATCCCACCTTATTATTGCGGTTCTCATCCAGGGCCAACCGTTCGATTTTATTTTTCGTGAACTCAGTCACCTCGGCATCAGTCAATTTCCCTTTTTTCGACACTCCCAGCGATACATTGCCCGTATCCAAGCCGTGCAACAACAGGCACGCCTTGCATATTGTCTGACTTGACATGAATCCACATCGATTGCACCTCCGTTCGACTGGTTGTTTAACGTCGTCCTTGGCCGCAATCTGGTGTCCCGAGGTTATTAGGTCCAATATGGCTTGAGGACGTTCTCTTTCCAGTTCTTTTACTAGGACTCTGGAAAAAATATTTTAGAGCAAAAAACCGGACTTTTTAATGTCTAGTATAATATCAGTATCAATGATACATTAAAAACGCTGTTTTCCGCCCCTGACAATCATATTGCAGCCTATTTCTACAACAGACTTCCAAATGGCCTAAAATACGGTCATGTGTCTTTGTGGCGCAACTGATAATGCGCTAGCCTAAGACTCGAAAGGTCCCGAGTTCGAATCCCACCTCATGTAAAACAATCGAGCACAATTTTACCCGCCTGACGTCTTTAAGAGCCGACCATAAGACTTTATTACGGCCATTACAACTAGAAACCAGTCATAAATCCCCATAGTTTATCGAATTTCGCAAGTTTTTTTATACCTAAAATCAGAGAAACTAAAATAAAACCTCACCTTGCATAGCCTCGATGAGCATTCGTGGCGTATTTGCAGTCCACGCAAAAATAAGGCAACTTCCGATGATACGCATACATTACAATATCCTTCTCATATGTGTATTTGAACGGCTTTACTCGCGGCAGTTGACCCTCTTGTCCCGTCATTGGCGCCGTACACCGCTGTAAACGTGGGACATCTCCTCTGAGCATATTCAATAGGACTGTTTCGGCCATGTCATCGGCATTATGACCGGTGACGAGCTTCACGGCTCCCACCAACATCGCTCCCCGATCCAATGCTTGTCGGCGGAAAACGCCGCAAAACGTGCAATTGTTCTTGTTGCCGATTTTCTTCACTATCTCGTCCATTGTCCAGCCATATATCCGCTTATAACTGAGGATCACCAGTTTTAGGCCAAGGTCCGACTCATTTTTGTGCACTTCTTCGATTGAACCATCTCGATAACCTAAAAATTAAAATTTGGAAAAACCGTCATAAATAAAATAAGTTTTCTTCGTTTAAAAGCTATCACAAGCAGCTCAGACACCGTCTTCAGCTATTCTACATCTTTTTCCGTCAAAACATCCATCAAAATCAAGTGAAAATATCAAAAACTTTAGACTACCCCATCTAGTATAATGTTTTCGAAAAAGGTCCCTATTTATGCCGAAAACCACATGCCATTGCTTCCGAAGCGACTTGAACAAAACATCTAAACACCAAAAAACAGATGTAAAATTAACCTACCAGCAATTCCCTCATCAATACAGACTAAAACAAGGTCCAGCCCAAGATCGTGCCTCTTATTCAACACATCCAATGTGTTCGCAAGAACAGTCGAATCTTTGCCTCCCGACACCCCAACAGCAACCTTGTCTCCTCGCTTGAAGATATTTGTTCGCTTTATCGTCTCATAAACGTCCTGAAATAAACAAAATTAAAAATAATGTTCTCCATGGCAAGTGAATTCAAAAATTCATCTCCTAAGCCACACACGAGGTGCTAACCATGCTTTTTGAAGGCATAAAGTAAGCTGTCGCCTAAATAAAAGAAGAAATAATATTATTTTAGCCACTTACTTCCTCAAACCAAAAAATAAAACACTCCGGACATGCCAATTTTTGCGTCTTGGCTATTTTGATCTTGGCCATGCGCTCGGAACATATTTCGCACTTCATTGTGTTCAAATCGAGTCTCCAGTATGATTCTCAACAACACGAAAAATAATTTTCTCGATTTTCTGAAATGTTGCGGAATGCCACAATTTTTTCGTCGTTTGTTTTCGCGGCGGGACGCACGGCTGTTGCAGGAAACGTTGCGACGTTCGAAACGCACAAAAAATTGTCGAAAAAATTTTGTTAAACATGAGTAACATGATCAAATATTTATTCTCCCTACGTTTTCTAACTTTTTTTTTTGACTTATTATACTCACAAAAAGGCAAACAAAGTAATCGTTCAAAAAGTAACAATGAACTGAAAACTGTATTTATTCGGGTTCACTTGCCCAAATTCTCATTGATTTCGTCTGTTTGAACGTTTGAATCATGAGATTTCCAACTGCACTTTTACTTTTTCTACTCCTAGTTATTACTGTAAATGGTTTGACCAGTAATCGAAGTGTTCGAAAAAGTTGTTCGGCAGTCAGTGAATGCCGAAGCTTCTGTTATGAACGGAGTGCGAAATGTTCGGCTCAAGGATACTGTAAATGTGGAAGATTGAATCGAAATGCCAGAGGCAATGGGAGCCCTAACGGACGGAGTTTTGGACCAAATTGAACAAATTTTTTGATGTATTTTTTTTTTGAAATTTTGCAAATAAAGACGTCTTATTTCGTGTTTAGAAGTGCAGATATTTTGATGAAACTTGGTCTAACGGGGAAGTACCCCAAGTGCGACGCTCAGATTTTGATGAAACTTGGCACAGAATTAGAATAATTTTTTCTAAGATATATGCGAGAATCCTAGCTCGCGCTTTGCAGAAACAACCGAGATTTTTTAGATCGAAAGTCGGCGAAAATTTAGAACTTTTTGCCGAATTTCGGCACAAAAAGTTGCATACCGATTTCTACCGTAAAGGGTAATCTTTCCACAAAAGATCAATTTTTTCCTCACGAAACTGCTAAAGTTATGGCCAAAAAGCGTTTTTCTCTCTGACCGCTCTCCGCGTTGGGCGTACTCTCTCCGAGGCAAAATTCAATATCTCGGTGGCGCTTGAAAAGCGCGAGCTAAAACTTTCAGGAATTGATATTTAGTTGATGCCCGACGTGTATGCAAAATTTAAAGAAAATCTGAGCGTCGCACTTGGGGTACTTCCCGTGCAAGAAATATGCAAGGATTCTGTCTTGCGGTTTGCAGAAACGACCGAGATTTTTAGATTGAAAGTCACCGAAAATTTGACACTTTTTGCCGAATTTTGGCACGAAAAATTTCATGCCCATTTCTACCCTAAAGGATAAGGTTTCCACAAAAAATCAATCTTTTCCGCACGAAGCTGGCAAAGTTATGCCCAAAAAATGTTTTTCTCTCTGAAAGGTCTCTGCGTTTTCGCGTTCCCTCTCGGCCGCAAAGATCGTCCAATAAGGCGGCGGCGCTTGCAAAGCGCTAGCTAAAACTTGCAGAAATTGATGTATAGTCTATGCCCGGCGTGTGTGCAAAGTTTAAAGAAAATCTGAGCACCGTAGACGGGGACTTCCTCTGTAGATTGATATGTGCCCTAGCTTTTTTGTAAACCTTTAAAAACGCCTGGTTAACCTTTTGATAACTATTCAAGCCATTTATACACCTGAAGAATTAATTTGCAACATCTAACTGCCAAATCCAGCGTTAAAATTCCCTTCGTTGGCCAATGTTGGCTGATTTCCGAGCATGCACGCGGAATCTCCGTGATTCTTCTGGCTGCCCGCAAAGTGGTTGTGGACTCCCAAATATTGTCAAATTCAAGCCCTGGCAATCGGACCGGGCTTCCTGCCCCTCGGTGTCGGCAGCCCGGCCCGATGATGACAATTCAATTTTCAATTCAATTTATTCACACTAATCACACGTAAAATCACGGAGCGTATCAGTCGGGATTCCACTGTCTGGTCAGTATAAGGTCTCTCCATCTCAGGCCATGGTGTGTTCGAAAAGCGTCGGTCCATCTGAGTTCGGGGCGTCCAAGTGGTCGTTTGTAGGGCGGCGTGCATTCCATCAGTCGTTGATCCCATCTTCCTTCCTCGCGTCTTAGCTGCATTTTCTCCATGTACTTCCATTGGCAGAAATTACAAAACCTCAAGCCGAACCCGTTAAAAAGCAGGCCTAGCCCGGCCGGGAAGCCATGCCTGTCAAATTTCCTTCATGCTCTTTTGCTTTTTCCAACGCTTCCATTATTTCTTTTTTAGCGATTTGAAAGGATCAAAAAGTTTGAATTCTAATTGATTATTCCATTTCGAATATTTATAAAACGCGGGCAGTTGAAAGAGCACTGAACATAGCAACGGCGCCGGCATTTTTGACACTTTGTGGACGTCAATTCCAAACTTTTAAATCTCTCCATTTTGAAGCCAGTGTGTCCTACTGTAAAGAAGACATATCACTTCAAATTTGAGCTACTGTACAAAAAAATATTTTCGTTTTTTCAAAGAGTATAATTTATTGTCTAATGTAGCAAAAATACCGTAATGGGAATAGTAATTTTCTCCAAGAATTGGATTTATTGGACCGGCAGCTTTGTTGGTAAGCCATGATGTTCAAAATTACCTACAAAAGCAGTCTAAACTCGGCCCAAATTATATTATGGTATGTTTCAGCGATTAGTCATGCTGCCGGGACCAAGAAAAACTACTGGCGGGCGTTTTGGATTCTGATTGGGCTGGTTATGATCGGACTATTTCTTTATCAATCGGTTCTACTGATCATCCAGTATCTCCAGTACGGAAAGAATACGAATATTCAGGTAAACGGGACTTCAAGCACTTTTCTTGTGGGTAATTTCTGGAAAAGCACATTAGATTTTTAACTATGAAAAATAAGGAAACCAGCCAAAAGAATTGACTATTGAGCGTAACTTTTATGCTATGACTATTGAGCGTAACTTTGTTGCTTTTGTGCCATGTATTTTCAATTTTTTTTGGGATTGCTGTCAGTCTGTCGGAAAAATAATAAGCGCTGCGTCAACCGCGTCGCTGAAGTGAACTTGATTTCGACGCGACACAATTCATTTTCCCGGCGGCGATGCGATTTTCGATGCGACAGAATGCTCGTTATTTTCCCGACAGACTAATATAAAGCAAAGTTTTCACGCTGAAAATGCCTGCAGCTAGCCTTAAACCCATTTTCAGCTTTACACAACAAACAACATGCCGTTCCCAGCCGTCACGTTTTGCAACTTGAATCCGTTCAAACGGAGTGAGGCCTCAAAGGTGCCATCACTGGATTTACTGGTAAGAAGCCGGACTCAAATTCCGAATCTCATATTCCTCTTTCAGTTGCGTGCCTACGACTACATTAACGACAAAAAAATGGCTTTATCCAACAGTAACACCAGCAGCACTAGTGGTACAACAACGGCGGCTAGCAACAACAATAACAGCTATATGTCTTCTACAAGCGGTACGGCATCAACGCCACTCAATCGGGACAAGCGCCAAGCGCCCCCAGCGCCTCCAGAATTCGACGAAACCACCACTGTCGCGGCATCGCTGACCACAACGGACTGGTCGTCGGATTGCCCGACGAAAACGAAGACAGCCCAAGATGGTAGTACAATGACGATTCATAACTGCACGGACAGCGCAAAAATCGATGTGGATTGTAGGTTATGAGAGTGTCGGCATAGCATTGTACTACGGTCAGCGTATCATAAAATGCAGCATCGCACTGTATATGATCAGCATAGCATCGCACTGTGATCCGCGTAGCGTTGCACTATAGTCAGCATATCATTGCACTGTGATCAACGAAGCATTGCACTATGACCCGTGTAGCATTGCTCTATGATCAGCGCACGTAAACTGAGATAAGCTAAAACGGTCCGGTGAATGGATTGACAATTCGCCAAAAAAGACGCGAAAAAAATTTTTGTCGGAGAAGAAATGGGGAGTTTTTAGGGAGAGAGAGTACGTTTTGCGCGTCTTTTCTCTGACTTCTCTGTGAAATCAAGACGAAGTGTAAAAAAAACGATAGCAAAGAGTCTATTCCGGTCACCCAACTCCCTAGTTTAACTTGCAGCATAGCGTCGCTTTATGAAATCTTTTTTAGGTGGCAATGGCAGCACACGAACAATTTCCATCATGAACACGTTAACGTCCACCTATCTGGACCTCTTTGACACCATGTACTCGAGTTGTGCCAAGTCCCTGATCTGTGGCAGTGCGAATAGCGTGTGCAAGTTCAAGAGAAAAGCATTGGGGATTTTGAAGCAAATTGGAAATTGCATGGTGAATGCCACATCCGGCTATCCGATATCCGACCCAAATGAGGCGGATCCTATTGATCCGATAACGAATTACGTCACGAACAAGTGCAAATACAATACCGGGAATAATTGCAATTTTTATTATCAGAAATCCACTGAGACTGGTGACAACTTTTGGTATCGGATCTGCAATAAACATCCGGGATATACGACGGTGATGCAAGTGCCGGGTGAGTGAATTTCTATAATATATGATCCGTTTGTCACCTTTTTTTGTCGACTTGAATGCTCTTACACGGCTTCTATAATAAGCAGTTTATGTTGAAAACTTCGAATTTCAGCCTGTTCCAAAGACGACAAAGACTATCAAGTCAAAGTCTCCTACTCAAAGTGTAACAACACTGACTATATAGCGAATATGAACACCAATATTTCCGATGCCTACTACAATTATTATTGTAAGGATGTTTGCGACTATACATGCCCTTTTACCAACGACGATGAGGATTGCGGCGACATGCATTATTACGATACTTTATGCGAGCTGTCAACTTGCCCTTCGACAACTCCGTATGAGAGCACTGAGCTGACTACGGAGATTAGTACAACGGAGCATTCGACTAGTACGGAAGTGACAAGTACTACGGAGGAAACGACTACTACTCATGTAACAACTACTACGGAAATAACGACTACTACCCTCGCTACAACTACTACGGTAGAAACTACAACAACTGAGGTAACAACTACTACTACATTGACTACTACAACCACTCCAACTACAACGACTATTACTTCCACAACAACTAGCACACCTACTACGACTTTGACCAGTACCACAACCCCTACTACTACTTCTACTACGAAGACCTCGAGTTCAACAAGAACTTCAAGTACAACAACTTCAACTTCTTCGCTTAGAACTACCACAACAACAGGAACTACAAGCTTCAGCACATCCACGAGCTCTAAAACACCGAGTACTTCGACGACAGGTAAAACTAGTACGTCTTCAACAACCACTACAACAACAAGCTCTTCCACGTCAACCACAACTTCCATTACTACGAAAGCAAGTTCATCAAGTTCGACTACAACGACTTCTACACCTTCCACGACATCAACTACGACGTCTACGACCACTTCGACCTCAACAAGCACATCTACTACTACAACTCCAACAACAACATCCACATCGACAAGTACTTCAACCAGCAGCTCAAGCACCCCAAAAACTTCAACATCAACTACAGCAACAACAACTAAAACAACGACTTCAACAAAGACCTCGACCAGCACAACCACACCGACATCTTCAACAACAACGTCAACTACCCCCAGCACCTCAACGAGCACAAGTACTAAACTTACTACAACTCCTATCCCTACAAGCACATCGACTTCTACGTCAACTACCACTACTACTACTACTACCACAACCACAACAAAGAAAAGTACGAAGACCTCAACCTCTACGAGTACGTCGACAACTTCAACTAGCAGTTCTTCTACGACGTCCACAACTCCAACAACAAGTACTACTACGAGTACTACCACAACTTCAACAACTACAAGTTCAAGTACTGCTAGTACCACTACTCCTACTTCAACAACAACTCCATCGTCAACGAGCACAACGACTTCTACAACTTCTACTACTACTACTACTACTACTGCTACTACTACTACTACTACTACTACTACTCCAAGCACGTCAACAAAAACAACTCTTACTTCTACGTCTACCACGACCACAACTACAACTACTACAACTACAAGCACTACTACTACTTCTTCAACAACTACAACCACAACTACTACTTCTACTTCTTCAACAACATCCTCAACGACTCCAACCACGACTAGCATTGCCCTTACAACCTTAGAAACAACAAAATCCTCACCTTCTTCGTCAACTTCTACTACTACTACTTCCACCAGCACTTCAATATCGACTTCAACAACTGCAACCACTACTACAACGTCAACAGCAGTGGCGACAACGGATTCCGATGATTATTTAAGACAAGTGGCTAATGCTTATGGTCTAAGCGTAAGTTTTCTTGACTGATACATAGAAAATGTCAAAATAATTTTGCCTTGTTGTTACTGTTGCAATGTCGTGTTGTAATTTTCGAAAGACATTTTCGTTTCACCGGTCGTAAGAAACGAGATCTAAGAGTAATAGCTGTACTGACCCAGTAAATTAATATTATTTGAGAGCATCGACTAACGCTTAATGTTGAAAGGAAACGCATGATTATAGCTCCAAATTCCCTTTCAGGAGTTTGACAATCAAGTGACGATCAACACGAATATGAGAGCCGCGTTGGTCACAGTCGCGGCGGGGCTGACAACCGAAGAAAGAGATCAAGTCTGTTACACTCTGCCCGAGCTTATCTCAACTTGCATGATTGATACCGTAGCGTGTGATATGACCAAGTATGTGATTTTCTCACCCTGTCATTATCTACCACTATTCAACCCATATTCTAAAATCTTTATTGTGCCATTTTCAGTGACTTCAAACAGGTCTATGACGTGGATTACGGATATTGTTATACGTTTAATCACTACACCCCTAGTGGACGCTATAACACGACTTCTTTCGACAATATTCATGGTAAATTTTGCTCTACACTGTCTTTCAATGTGATATTTCTTTAGGCCTGGTGGTAATCATGACGTTAAATGTCAGTGATTATCTTCAAAGTACGGAGTTTGAAGGCGGCAAAGTGGTTCTTCATGTTCAAACAGACTTCCCCTTTCCCAATGTTGATGGGTACTTTGTGCGGCCCGGCTACATGGTCGATCATGTAATTAGTCAGGTAATGGCAACATACGAACTCTTCATCGTGTTTTTTAGAGCCAATTTTCACGGCTTTCGCATCCATACGGCGACTGTGATGATTTGGATTCGTTGAAGAAGCGAGATCAACCGTTCTATTTCGACGGTGACTATTCGACGGAGGTAAGGGAAATGGTGAAAAAATAAGTCAACCATCGGCACAACTAGACATGTCAAAAAACAAAAGCCTTCCCCAGCCTGATTTCTTATGATTTTATCTAATCTATTACTATCATGTAAATAGATGAATACTGTATTCTGTCTTGCATTGATTTTGGTCTTTTATATGTTACAATAACACATACAGTGGCGGGTGGCAAAAAACGTATAATTTTGGATCCGGGAAGTATCAAAAATGCAGCAAAATACCCCCCCCCCCTCTCCAAGTGAAAAAACTCCGATTTCAAAAGCGCGCATTTCAAAACGGGGTTTTTTTATTGTAGTGGGAGGTATTTTACCGCATTTTTAATACTTCCCGGATGCAAAATTATACTTTTGCCAATGGATCAGGTACTGTAGTCTTTGCCAAGTCCCCGCCGACCCCTTGCCGAGCGTCCGCCGACCATCCCATGGCTTTGCCAGAAAAACTAAGACTTGTAGGCACCTCCTGCAACTTTTTTTTCGGTTATCCGTCTGCCCTACGCCTGGTATCGATCGATTATGTGTTGACCGGATCCGCCGCCGACCCGAAAAAGTCGGGACGCGAATCACCATAATCACCACGGACCGCTTTATACATTCTTGTTGTTTCTCTTTAGCCCACGCAAACAACCCACAATCTGTAACACTTCCCTCCATGAATTTTTGTATGCGATTCATTTACTATTGATGAATCCAAAAATATCGCAAAATTTTGACGTGATATCCTTTCACAAATGATCATTTTAGGGTTGTTTGCGTTCCTGTTTCCAACAAAAAGTTGTTGCTGCGTGTGGTTGCGCCGACTCAAGATTCCCCGTCGACAATAGCACCAGCAACGCGACATTCTGCGCTCCCTTGGAAACGTCTTCTTGTAGGTCGTTGAACTTTCATATAACGCAAAATTTTCATTTCTGTTTAGATGACTGCTACACCGACTACATTTCCGAGAATGGTGATTACTATAACGTCAGTTGTCAATGCGCGTTCCCTTGCGCGGACACGCAGGTAACGGCGGAGTTGAGGAATGCGGTTTGGCCGACCGGGAACTTCTTTTTCGACCAGGATTGCCGAGACAACATGGACTGTTTGCAGGTTTATCGGTAAGGGTAGAGAGTTATAGTGGAACACCTGTTCCATTGACGAAAAACGTACCATTTTGGACCCGGGAAGTATCAAAAATATGGCAAAATACCTCCCTCTCCAAGTGAAAGAAACTCAGATTGTAAAAGCGCGCCCGCTCTTTTTGTGAGGAAAAAGGACGCGTCCTTCAAAAACGAAGTTTTTTCACTTGGAGCGTGAAGAATTTTGCCATATTTTTGATACTTCCCAGACCCAAAATGGTACGTTTTTTGCCGGTGGATCAGGTCCCCACTGTATTGGTCTGTATGGAGCACTTGCCGAACAAGATTAGAGAATTGCAAACTGTGTAGACGCTGTAGCTTTTTTTGAACAAACGTCATCCACTTTACAGTGGCGGACCTGATCCAGTGGCAAGAAACACATCAATGCATCCGGGAGGTATTCAAAAATGTAGCAAAATGTCTCCCTCTCCAACTAAAAAACCTCGTTTTGAAGGCCCGCCCTTTCCCTCCATAAAAAGAGAAGGCGCGCTTTTGAAACCGGAGTTTTTTCACTTGCAATGGGAGGCATTTTGCTACATTTTTTGATTTTGGATGCAAGATGGTATGTTTTTTGCCATTGGATAAGGTGAGCCACTTTCTATACAGGTCTTTTTTTATATACGACTGTTATGTATCATCACACCTTTTTTAGTCACCATTATGATTTTAGGGAGAACAACGTCCGAGTCCGTGTGTATTACGTTGAACATGGCTACGATACCATTCAAGAATCGCCGGCTATGTCGGTAAGAGCTTCTTTGTCTACGATTATGATTTTATCTGACTGTAATTACCTTTTTGCAGTCTAACTTTTTGATGGCGAGAGATTTCGGTAAAAAACTCTAATTTCTATTTAAAAAATCAAGTTTTTATAGAAAACATAGTTTAAAAATCAAATTCTTAAGCCTTTTTCTACCTATTAAGCCCTATTTTGACTGCATTTCCACTTTATACTTTAATTTTCCTTCGTATTTTAGGCGTTCGACCTGATCAACAACCTCTACGGGAACACCGGGCTGTGGATTGGCTGGTGTGTCCTTTCAATCGCCGAATTCCTCCTCGTCTTCCTCCAACTGTTCACCTGTATCTGTCGGACGCGAAAAGAGGTCCCCGAGGTTCCCTCCTGCCGCAGGCGGAACTATCCCGAGGACGAGGAGGAACCGGAACAAGAAGACTTTTATCCCGCTCCCCATGATGTGTATGACATGTATTTCGGCAGCCATCTGCCGAACATGTTGAGGGGAGACTGTCCAAAACGCAAGAGATACCAGAATATGGCCCGAAATGCGATGGGACATCAGAATGTGGACTTGAAACCGTACTGCATCGATTATGAACAAGTCATCCACACCAGTGCTATTGTGAATCAAGCGGAGGGAAAATTGACGAAACGAAAGTCAAAGAATGATCTATACAGATGAGCAAAGAATTCCGAGTAATACCGTGTATTCGGGCAGTAATTTATCAATTTCAACAGTAAATATAATAAATTGTTTGTTTAAAATATATCTGATGTCTAAAGTAATATAAAAATAATTTTCTTTCCATCCTAAACTAGAAGATTTTATACAAAGAACCTTTTTAATCCGTATTTTAAAATTTCCTATAGTCGTTTGTCATCTTGACATTACGCAACAATTTTTCCAATAACACTGTAACGAAATGTCAAAATCCTCAAAATATATTTTTCGCTCGGAAAATTTTTGCGAAAATGGGTAGGAACAAGAAAAGAGGGTTCGGAGGGCATAATCAAGGTAATAGAGGTGATGGGAAAGGCCATAGACGAACGAAAGAAGAGCGCGACTTGGCGGAATGTTCTCAACAAGTGGAGCGGCTCGATATTACAGATGAAAGTGAGGAAGATGGAGATTCCGAGGTGGAAAACGAAACCTCAAGCGAGGAGGAGAATGAGGTAAGTTAGTTTGGTTTGATTTTGAGATTTAGATGCTTTTTTGGCAATATTTGAGGAGTTATACTCATGGATAATATAAGGCATGAAAACTGAGGAAGATGGTCAGTTCCATTATCTGGAATTTAGAAAATGTCTCCTATGTTTCCCGAAACGGTTTGAAGGCAATTTCTCGTTTTGAAAAGCCTTTTTAAATTCATCTCCATCTGCACCATGAAGAAAAACGTAATTTCAGATTCCAGAAATGCCCTGTCGAATAGCCATGTTCGACTTTAACCAGTGTGATCCTAAACGATGTTCTGGTCGTAAATTACAACGTCATGGATTGATGAGCACAATAAAAATGGGATCAAAGTTCCCCGGATTAGTCCTCTCGCCGACGGGAACCAGCACCCTTTCCCCCGCGGATCGCGAGTTTATCCTGGCGAATGGGTTAGCCGTGGTGGATTGCTCATGGAATCAGGTGGAAGGCACACCAATTCACAGAGTCAAAGTGGGTTTTATCGAGTTGTTTGTTTGGTTTTGAGTTTAGAGAGAAAGGAAGATGAGTAAGGCGAGGGAAGGACAGTTTTAGGACGGGAAGTTCTGTTTGATGTCTAAAATTTGAGACGTACAGGTGTTGCAGGCTTGTTAAGGCTTTTAGAAACGTTTTATGGATACCTCGGGGGTTTTCTTAGCCTTACTGGAAGCTGTGGAGGTTTTCGATCTTATACATGAAAATTTTAGGCAAACGAACACCGTCTCCTCCCATTTCTAATCGCCGCAAATCCTGTGAATTATGGGGCACCTTGCAAACTGACCTGTGCCGAGGCTTTGGCCGCTGGGCTTTGGATTATCAATGAGATTCCAGCTGCAGAAGTTCTCATGTCCAAGTTCAAGTGGGGTCCAAACTTCCTGACGTTGAATAAAGAAGTTCTGGAGGTCTACAGAGCTTGTAAAGATTCCAAAGACTTGATTGCGAAGCAAAATGAATATCTGAAAAGAATCGACGAAGAACATAAGAGGGAAAGGGACCGAGGAATGGATCTTCCACCATCAGAGTCTGAAAGTGAAGAAGAGGAAGAAACGGATGAAGATGAGAAGTAAAACAGTCACTTGTTCTTGGAATTGTTGCGATTACATGCCAAACACCCTTGTCTTGTTGGTTGTTACAATATTTTGTTGATTTACTCTTGTTTATGCAGGTTTTTTATAAATTATATTAGATTTGAGATGGTGAAGGTGGAATTTTTAGGGTTTGATATCCTAACTATTATTTTGGGGTGGATTATTGTGCTAGCGAGACTTAAAATTTATTTTAGATGGGTTCAGAAGTCAAATTGGACAAAAATGCCGAGATTTTCCCCGGGAAATCGTGCGAAAATGGTGTTGATGTAGATGATGAAGAAAGTGCCGAGCCAACAGGTAAAATTCGCCTTGCATTGTTGTTGTTTTTAGGGAATGATGTGAAAGGGAAGTTATAAAGACGATAGAAGTATCTTTCAGAACCCGATCAGTCCTATCCATACCGACAGAACGAAGAGATCCATTCACAAGGTGCGGAGGCCCGGTTGTATAAGTGCATTTTCCTCGGAAAGCCCGCGATTCAGAAGATCCGCTTCTCCAAGAAATATCGACATCCCGAACTGGACAAGAGGCTAACGCGAGAGCGTCTGAGGAACGAAATGAAATCGATTATCAGATGTAAGGAGATTGGAATTCAAGTGCCTTCCATCTACTTTTTGGACACCGAAAAGAATGCGATTATTTTTGAGGAAATCCCAGGATGCTCAATTAAGGATTTCCTCGCCGAAGCGGACGATTCCGAGGAGAGTAGGGTGAGTTATGAACGGTTTTTTATATTATCCATGAGCTGATTATATTGCACATGGCAAAATGGATAAAAATGGATACTTTTGATGTTTTTTTTGCAGAATTTGACTTGAAATGAAAGGATATGCATTTTCAGAGTCAGATACTCGAAATTGGAGAGGCAGTGGGCAAAGCGATCGCCAAATTACATCAAAATAATATTGCACATGGGGACCTGACAACCGGCAATTTAATGCTCCGAAATAGGGACCCCAAATCGGTTGTTCTGTTGGATTTTGGACTAGCTACCTTCAAGACAACCCCAGAAGACTTTGGAGTGGATCTGTATGTGCTGGAGCGGGCAATCCGCACAACTCATGTGCACATGGAGTACTTTACCGATAAAATCTTCGAAAGCTATCGAAATTCCGGATGGAAAGGTGCCAAATCAGCAATCGACAAACTCTCCGAAGTGCGAATGAGGGGAAGAAAGCGAGAGATGGTTGGATAAAGGAAGCGATTACAACTATATTGCACTAGACATCATGTGTAATATAATTGATATCCAATAGTGAAGAAACGGTGTTTTTTGTTGATTATTATGTTGTTTGTTGCAAATTGGAATAAAATACAGTACATTGGTTGATTTTGTGGCCAGTTGGCAGAGTTTTGAGCAGTCTTATGTCTGTCTGTCTACCTGTCTTTTTTTGTGTTTCGAGGGTTTTTCGCATTATTTTATATCGAAATTGAAGTTGGAATAGATGATTCGGGGTGTGATCGATGATTACCGAAAATTTTGTTGTAAAATACGTCGTGTTTTTGCCTAAGTTAGTATGAAACTTTTGTTCGGGGGGAGTGTGTTTTTGGGCAGGCCCCATTTACAGTGGGGGACCTGATCCAGTGGCAGAAAATGTACCATTTTGGATCCGGGAAGTATCAAAAATGTGGCAAAATACTTCCCGCTCCAAGTGAAAAAACTCAGATTTCAAATTCGCGCCCGCAATTTCAGCCCAAAATTATAGTAAATCACTCGATAATTTGGATACCCGTCATTTGGGGCAGATCGGGCCACTATCAGAGATTGCCACGGTCAAAATTTCGGCTCCGGCTCTTAGCTCCCAGAGCCGGAGCCGAGGCCAAATTTGCAGCTCCGGCTCCCGGCTCGGTACAAAATTTAAAAAGGTCTCCGGCTCCGAATCCCGGCTCCCGTGCAAAAAAAAATTTAAAAAGATGATTTTCCAAAAATAAAAGTTATCAGTGCCAGAGATCATACACCCAACGTTTTTGCAGCCAAGTCGTATGCAACACATCCTTTCCAGCATGTTTCAAGCAATTTGGTTTAACAAAATCATGAAATGTTTACTTTTCTGAATGCTGAGATGCCTGGCTCCGACTTTGGGCTCGGGAGCCGGAGCCGCACCCAAAATTTCCGGCTCCGCTCTGGCTCTCGGCTCGGAGCCGGAGCCGCTCAGAGCCGGCTCCGGAGCCGTGGCAATCTCTGGTCACTATTTATATCCAATGTTGTAAAATGGGTTGACCAGCTCGCCAAAGGGGTTATTCTGTGCAATGCTTGACTATCGGTCTGTCGGAAAAATAACGGCGGATCGTCGCAGCAAAATGTCTCGCCTCGCCGCTATCGCGCACGAAATCCCCAGCCGCGGCTTGCAGTCGGAAAGCGATGATGGGCGATTCCGAGGCGCGACGATCCGCCGTTATTTTCCCGACAGACTGATATGATGGTGGTCAAGACACTTTCTTGGGTCAGATCGTTGCCCAGCTCGCGACCTAGGTCTCAAGGTTGGTCATGAGCGACCTATCCTACGGTGTGAATGAACCGAAAAAAACGAGTAACCCCCTTGGCTAGCTTGTAAAATAATTTTGCAGCATTGGAATAAATATTGGCCCTATACCTGATCTGCCTCAAATGATTGCCCCGAGTGAAATGCGCCCCCAAATGAAGGGTTGCGGATAAATTCCCAGAACTAACCGGGCTTTCTGAGCCTCAGACTCCGTTCTTTTTTGTCTCTTATAATGAGTCAAACTGATACCGCTGCTGATAAGATAATCACGAATTCTTTTAGTCAAAGACGTTTTTTCATAGCGAAATAGAAAAGGCCCCCCGTTCTAATAGATTTTACCTTGTTTTAGATGGTTTAACTGGAGAATTTTTGATTTTTTTTAACTTTTTATTCCTTAATTCGGATAGTAATAGAATTTTTAGGTCTTTAGTATTATTAAAAAAGTTTCTAACGTCTATTTTTAAACCTTAAAAGGTAAAATACGGGGCATTTTTTCAGTTTTTTTTTTCTATTTCCTGCACTGTGCAATGACGAAATGAACTTTTTTTTTGAAAATTTAGTTTTAAAAATTTAATTTTTTTTCCAGCAAATGGCCCTAAACAGCTCGAATCCAGCGCATTGTGAGACGGTTCGTCTGCTTCTTCCCGATGATACCACGTCCTCTTTGGTGTCCACAACACCAAAAATCAAAAGCTACGGCGCGGCCACAGCAAAACCCCGAAGATTCAATGAAAATCCAACCGCTGTGAGGCTATCGTGGCACAACATTAATGTCATCCACACACAGACCGGCCGAAAGATTTTGCAGAATGTTAGCGGTAAGTGCTGGGCGCAGACTGCGAAGAGGAAACTGTTGTTTTTGGCTGGTTTTGAGTGGAATGTGTGGATTTTTGTGAGTGGGAGGATGTGAGAGCTAATTTAATGAAATCTGAGGTTCTTATAAATAGGATTTTAAGTTCCACTCGCTCTAAATTTACTTTAAAAATCATAAAGTTTATATTTATGTGGTCAGTAGACCGATTTTTTAGACTCTAAAAATTGGAGAAATGTTGGTAAATGATGACTATAATCCTAAAATTATATCCATCTTCCCTCAATATTGCCTGCTGAGATACCAAAAATTTTATATTATATTTATTAATAAGTAACTAACTAACAATAATTAACCGATACAGTAATAACAACTGGGAAAACAAATAAATTACTAAAATATTATTGAGATTAACTGGTCGAAGAAGAATCTTGCTCATCGGAATCGGGTCTAGGCTCCAGCTTGAGCTTCTTGGGCTGGACGGAGGCTTTGATCTCTTCGAATTTGGCCATAATCCTCGTGATTTCCTCGTTGATCAGCATCTTTTGTTTCTTGGTTCGGCAGCACAGCAGTTTGACCTTTACCACCTCGAATTCCCTCTCAATTTGGTCTAGACTGGCGTTGATGGAGCCGAGGTTCTCGATAGGCCGGCCACGCTTTCGGAGGACTTGTGGAAGCTGAAAAAATGGGATTAGTAGGGTTAATGCCGTGGATAAATTAAAAAGTAGTGTAAAATAGGATTAAAACTAGTCTAATAAAAGTAGAAGATCCTAAAAATCGACTTACTTTTCCCTCGACATGCTGAGGTTTGGACTTGTGGACTCCGGAGGAGTCGGAAGCGGAGGAATCACTGTTGACCGGAGAATTCAAAGGGGCTTCTGGTACCGACATCGAAGAAGAAGGTCGAGAGTCGGACGAAACATCGGTATGAACTGGACTGCTCTCCGTAGAAGACTTGGAAGAGGTCTCGGCTGAAGCACGGGTGGTCTGGGGGATATTGACCATGGCAGAGGACATGATTATCGATTGGTAGGAGAAGATAGGTTAAGGTCGGAAAATTAGGTCACAAAACCGAACTTGGTATGAGCTGTGAATGAAGTGGACCTCGAATATTTATAAAGTAGCGAATTTTCTGTTATCCGCAGAAAATTTGCGCAATAAGTTTGATTTTTTGCTGTGATGCAATCAAAAATTTGTATTTCTGCCGGAAGTGCAGAAAATTAAGTAAGGAGTGCATGAGAGACTATAGGAAAAGAAGAGAAGGGAGATAAAAACAGATAGGAATACCGTAACAGTTTTTGTGAATACCAGAGTAATCAAAAAATTGAGATTTTTTGAACGCAAACTTATCACGTCGTGGTTGTTGTAGAGGACGTTAGAGACAAGAAGATACCATGTTTTAGTGATTTTAAGGTATAAATGTGCGACAAATGGACTCTATTGGAGAAATGTTAGCAAACGGAGGGAGTCTGAATATGAAATTTGGTGGTTAATACCTAGGTTCCTTTAGGGACTCTTTTTGAAATTTTTACGACTTATAACACTTTTAGACGTTAGTGGTGTTGTTTTGGTGCCTAGTACTGCTGAAAAAACACATTTTTGACACTTGGTACTAAATAGTACTTCCTGGTACTATTTGGTACGAGGTGGAGATTTTCTCCGTAAGGCGGTGGTGGTGTTGGTTTGGTGCTTAGTACATCCCAAAAACACGTTTTTAACACTTGGTACTCAATAGTACCAGATGGTACAATCGTTGCTGATTTTTCTGCGTAATCATCTATTCCGCGGAAAATTTTTGATTTTCTGTTTATTTTCCCGTTTTGCAACACATTACTGCATAATATTTCTCGATTTTATATCGTAAAATGTTGTGTAATCTCATTCACTCTACTTTTTCCAAATTTCATTGAAATAGACCATAATTTGCCAAATTTCATATTCAGTCAGCAACACAGTTCATATTCAAACAGGGACATGTTAGCAAATGCTGAGTATAATCCTAAAATTAGGTCATTTCTCTCAATATTGATTTCCGAAAATTTTATATGATATTTATTAATAAGTAACTAACTAATAACAATAATGAACCGATGCAGTAATAACAAATGGGAAAACAAATAAATAACTAGAATATTATTGAGATTAACTAGTCGAGGAAGAATCTTGCTCATCGGAATCGGGTCTAGGCTCCAGCTTGATCTTCTTGGGTTGGACGGAGGCTTTGATCTCTTCGAATTTGGCCATAATCCTCGTAATTTCCTCGTTGATCAGCATCTTTTGTTTCTTGGTTCGACAGCACAGCAGTTTGACCTTGACCACCTCGAATTCCCTCTCAATTTGATCTAGACTGGCGTTGATTGAGCCGAGGTTCTCAATAGGTCGACCACGCTTTCGGAGGACTTGTGGAAGCTGAAAAAATGGGATTAGTAGGGTTAATATTATGGGTAAATTAAAAAGTAGTGTTAAACAGGATTAAAACTAGCCTAGTAGAAATAGATCAGTCTAAAAGTTCACTTACTTTTCCCTCGACATACTGAGCTTTGGTCTTGTGGACTTCGGAGGAACTGGAAGCGGAGGAATCACTGTTGACCGGTGAATTCAAAGGGGCTTCAGGTACCGACATCGAAGAAGAAGGCCGAGAGTCGGACGAAACATCGGTATGAACTGGACTGCTAGCCGTTGAAGACTTGGGAGAGGTCTCGGTTGAAGCACGGGTGGTCTGGGAGGTATTGACCATGGCAGAGGACATGATTATCGATTGGTAGGAGAAGATAGGTTAAGGTTGGAAAATTAGGTCACAAAACCGAACTTGGTATACTGTGAATGAAGTGGACCTCGAATATTTATAAAGTAGCGAATTTTCTGTTATCCGCAGAAAATTTGCGCAATAAATCTGATTTTTCGCTGTGATGCAATCAAAAACTTAAATTTCTGCCGGAAGAACAGAAAATTTAGGAAGGTGCGTGAGAGAGTGTGTGAAGTGAAGAGAAGGGAGATAAAAACAGATTTGAATATCGCAACAGTTATTATAAATACTAAAGTAATCAAAAATTGAGATTTTGTGAATTTTGATGAGGAACTGAAGGAAAATCGATAAGCGATGATAGAGGTTTGAGATCGAAGGACTTTTCTTCATGGATAAAGCAAGATTATGAAGTTTTGTTTGTTGTCGAGGACGTTAGAGGCAAGAAGAGATCGTGTTTTAGGGCGTAGAATTATTAAATCGGCCACAAATTGTAGGAAAAGGTTTAATCTAGCAAAATTTAGCAATGAAATTGCATAAAAATGATATTTATGGTTAGAATTGGATGCTGCTGGATCCGTCATATTGATATTAGGCGTAGAAGTATGATCGTGCCGTTTTCCGGCCCATAATTTCAATCAAAACAAAAAATTTTTACACTAAACCTTATCCAATTTTATATTCTATTATTCATTCCGAGGGGTTTGCACAATTTGGCCAACTTTCAAGTCCATCAAAGAAAATTTTTGGCTTTTTTGGAGCCATCTAAATATCAACCCAATTTTCGGCATCGTTGTATTCAACGAAGCGCTGCTGCCACAGATCGTGTTCCATCGGTCGAAACCAGTGATAATCTGAAAGTGCTGCGTCCGGAGAATGTCGCGGGTGGGGTAAAACGTCCGAACTCGGCGGTTCTAGGGTGCCCTTGACCAGTTTTTCAACATGGGGTTTCGCGTCGTCATGCAGCAAAATAAAAATTGGTCATACCGACCGCTTTTACCATATCTCTTGGTGGAGTGCATCAAGTCTTGTTGACAACGGATGCCAGTAACCGTTTTGTCGGGTTTCAAGACCTCATAGAAAAGAAGATCTTGTTTTTGTCATCATATACAGAGCAACACTTCCTTCCCGGTAATGTTGGACTGTGCGGTCGCTTGTGTTTCGGGTAGTCAAAGTCGATCCATTGTTCTTCTCTGGTCACTAGACAATGCAAAAATGACTTCCTTTCTGTATGTCCATCAAAATTTTGTATGTTATCTATGTTGAGTTAGGTCAATCCATATGACACCCAACTCCCTTCTCTCTGGATCCTTCCCAATTGTTCCAAACTGAGTGAAGCTCCTTTGTGCAAGACGTGTAACATCACAGCTAGCTTTTCTTGCGCACCGGCATCGTGTTGTTTGCAATAATCTCCATATTCAAATTTCTTATATGGGTTGGAAAATCACGGGATTAGAAACGATGAACCCTTTTCCGACGGAATTTTTTTTACAGAGCACAACCACAGTAAGCTTCTGTAAGCGTTCCATGCGTCGACGGCGGTTTTGCTCACATTACATGTATAGAGGAAAATTTCCCGCAAATGGCATTTTTCTGGGACGAAAGTTGGTCATCTTTGAAGCTTTATAAAACCCGTTATTCTAAACCTAACCACACGAAGCATATATCGATAGACAGTGTTTTCAACGTTCTTTCAGGCGATATCACGAGATGCACCAAAACTTTAACTCTACCTGTAAAAAAGGCGCAACTAAAAAACGGCACGGTCATACTTCTACGCCTAATATTTACTAAATTTTCTTAAAATTTTGATCGGATATCGACATAAATCAATTTTTTCAAAATTCAATTTTTTGACATAAAAATTACATTGTTTCAGGCCTGGCCGAACCTGGACAACTAGTCGCTTTGATGGGCGGATCGGGTGCCGGCAAAACAACCTTGATGAACACACTTCTTGGCCGAAATTTGAAGGGACTTGAAGTGGAAGGCGAAGTTTTGATAAATGGCGTGGAGATGGGAAGCAAAATCACGAACGTTGCGGGGTACGTTCAACAGGATGAGTTGTTTGTGGGAACGTTGACGGTCCAGGAGCATTTGGAAGCGCAGGCGGACCTGAGATTGGCCGATTTGAGCAAGAAGCAAAAGAAAAATAGGGTTGATGAGGTAAGTGGAACATGTGGAGGGAAGAACAGTTTTTTGGAGGTTTGTTTTGTGGATATACGACGGAATTAGATTGATTACTGTATGAAAAGTTTGTGTAAAAATTTTGAAACCGATTGTATTGAAAGATTTGACCGAAGCTTGGGCGCAGCCTGCGGGTCTCCCATTCGGCCAAATACGATCTATAAAGCCAGGGAAAGTAATGTAAATCGTTCAGTAAGAAAGGAAATGTAATTGTAAAATGACATCTTTTCGTTGGTCTGGCAATTTCGTAAAGGCAGGGCGCAGCTTGCGGAATATTTATTTTTTAATTTCTGCAAGCTGCGCTCTGGTTTATTACTGTAGAATTAGCCAATAGAAAGCTTTCTTAAAATGACCGTCTTTTACATACAAAAATATGTAAAAGACAAATATATCTGGTTTAAAAAAAGTTGAAAAGCTAGGGCGCAGGTTGCGGAAATTTTTCAAATTTTGATGATGTTTGGAATTGATTTTGTAATTGAAGCAGTAAAATTGACTTCTCAAAACGGATTTTAATTTGCTAACGTTAAGTTTTGCAGCTGATTTCCCAACTTGGCCTCACCAAATGCCGTTATTCGAGAATCGGCGTCCCCGGAATCACCAAAGGAATTTCAGGTAAAATACGAGAATAAATTTGCAGAAAATTGGTTTTTATACGACCTAATTTTGAGTTTAGGCGGAGAGGCCCGACGTCTGGCGTTTGCATCGGCCTTGATGAACCACCCACCCCTACTTTTCTGCGATGAACCGACCACCGGACTGGACTCGGCCATGGCCGAAAGTGTGGTAAATGTAATGGAAGACTTGGCCAAAAGAGGCTACACCGTGATCTGCACTATTCATCAGCCCTCATCCGAGATTTACATGAAGTTTAATCAGGTATGAGATTGAGTTTGTGGAGAGTGGGAACAAATGTCATGAATAATATAAATTTTGATTTATTTAACCAGAGAAACGATTTATAATGGATTTTACGGACTTTTTAGACTATTTATAGCTCAGATTTACTGCTTTTGAATTTTTTCGCCCATTGAGACAGAAAGCCAAAATAAAAAAAATTGGCGGGAATTTAAATTTTTGAAAATTTTTGGTCATAAAGTTTAGAGAGATGAATAGAAATCGTCTTTTTTGTGAGCTAGACGTTTAATTTTGCAGGTAATCTTCCTCGCTGCCGGCCGTTTGGCCTACTTTGGACCTCCCGGCCAATCCGTCGACTTCTTCGCACAGTGCGGATTCCCCTGCCCCAGGCATTACAATCCGGCCGACCTGATCATCGAAAAACTGGCCATAGAACCCTACAATGAGAACGAATCCCGCCAAAGAATGGACAGAGTGTGCAATGCGTTCGAGGAATCGGAAGGCGCGGTAAAATTCATGGAGAGGGTCGAGAAGTGCAGAGGAGTGGAGATGGATCAAGATATTCTCGACGAATACACACCGAGAATGGCGAGCTTTATGGAGCAGGTGAGGGTCTAGAGAATTTTTGTTTGTTCTGGAGGCATTGGGTTGAGGCAGGATTATTTTTGGAGATGTTTCCAACTTTTTTTGATTTTTTTGAGGTCAAGCTCAAGTATAAGGTGAAAAAATGGAGATTATTTGCTGGGATTGTTGTTTACTTGATTTGGAAGACGGAATATGAAATTATACGTGTTTTGAAAGTAGAATTGGAAGGTTGAGTTTAGTTTTTAGATGAATTAAAAGGTCTTTTGATAAGTTGGTCATGGATAAGATAATTGAAATTTAGAAAAAAATTATATGCGGTTTTGCACTGCTGATTGGCTTAGGTTGTTGGGTATATCTCTTGTCTTCTAGTAAGAAAAGAATGGGGTGTTTTCTCAGTTCTAAATATTGATTTTTTAAGTTTTTGGATTGCTGGGTCATGTATAATATAATTATGATTTTTTTCTAAACTTCTCAGTGTCGTTTTTTAAACGTACTTTTTTACAGCTTCTCTGTGACTAATAGGTTTTATTTCTAGCACTACTTTCTGAGTTTTGAATATATAAGGGCTTATATTGACCTTATTTTAGATATCAACCCTTCTGAAGCGGGATCTCCTCGACAATTGGCGAAACGCGTCGCTAACCCGCGCCAAACTCATCCAGAAAACCTTCATGGGCATCTTCGTTGGCCTGCTCTACTTCCAAACCCCGACCAACTCGAAAGTCGGCGTCTCGAACGTGAACGGCGCCCTCTTCTACGTGGTTTCGGAGCTGATTTACAACACGTTCTTCGGAGTCACCGCCTTTCTGCCCTTCGAGTTCCCCCTGTTGGTCCGCGAATACCATGATGGATTGTATTATGTGGCGTCTTATTTTTTCGCCAGAGCGCTCTCATATGCACCATTGTTCACCATCGACGGATTGGTGATGATGAGTCTGACCTACACGATGGCCGGGCTAATCCCAACTTGGTCGGCGTTTTTGTGGGGAATGGGTGAGTTTTGAGGTCTTTTTTTGGATTTTTGGCGAATTTCGAGGGGTTTTCAGTTTGAAAATTTGATTTCCCGCCAAAATTGGCATTGTGTTTTGAAGGTCGGATAGGGTGGAAAAATTTATAGAACTGCAAAATATGAGGGCAGACCTGATTCATTGGACAAAAACGTACCATTTTGCATCCGGGAAGTATCAAAAATGCAGCAAGATACCTCCCTCTCCAAGTGAAAAAACTCCGATTTCAAAAGCGCGCCCACTCTTTTTGTGAGTGAAAGGCCGCGCCCTTCAAATCGGGTTTTTCTGTAGTTGGAGAGGGAGGCATTTGGCCACACTTTTGATACTTCCCGGATGCAAAATGATACGTTTTTTGCCACTGGATGAGGTCCCTCGCTGTATGCGGCCGGTTGGACTTTTGGAAGCTGATTTTGTGATCGTATTTTACCCGGTTATTCTAAAATTACCAAAATTTTGCATGGTTTCAGCCGCCAGCATCCTAATTGAGCAATGTTCCGCCGCCGCCGGAATCATGATCTCCACAATCTGCCCGTCATATTCGGTCGCCGTGGCGGTTGCTGGCCCAATCCTCGGCCTCCTTTCGCTGACCGGAGGCCTCTACGCCAACGTCGGCTCCCTGCCTTTCTTCATCAGCTGGCTGCAGAACTTCAGCTGGTTCAAGTACGGCTTCGAAGTGCTGGCCATCAATGAATGGCAGAATGTGGAGGCGGAATCCGCCTCCGGCTGCATTTATGGAGGCGTCCGAAAGAACCAAAGTCATTGCATTCAAACCGAGGACATTTTGAATGGGTTCTCATTCAAGTCCGAGAACTTTTACCCCGATTTGCTGATCATGCTCGGGTTTATTGCCGGTTTTTATTTGGTGGGACTGCTGGGACTGTGGGTCAGGGTTAAGAGAGCTAGATGAGGGAGTCTGGGACTGAAATGTACGGGATAGGACAGTTTTTTAGCAAGTTTTAGGGCAATAATCAAGGATAATATAGGATTTTTGCAATTTTTTGAGATTTTTTTTGATTTTTTTGGAAAATTTGTCTAAAATTATGTTCTATTAGTATTCTAAGAATGTAAGTGGAATTTAAGAGGGGTGGTTTCAAGAAATTTTAGATTTTTTTTCAATTTCTGAGCTTTAATTATGGTTTTCAAGCACTTAAAGTAGATTATATTGTGATAACTGTTTTTTTAATATCTTATAATGGCTAATTAATAAATTTCAAAGCGTTTGAAATTGATTTTAACTGTGGAAAGCCATTTTTTCAATGAGTTTTGCCATGGATAATATAAATTTTGTTCAAAAATGGCAGAAAATGGATGAAATGTATTTCTAAATTTACTATTATTAATAAATGCAAAACATTAAAATCAAAAAAATATTACAATTTCCAACAAGATCAATATTAATTTGGACGATTTTAATTCACATTTTTCCTCTTCCGGCTGACCTCCTCTTGCATTTCTTGGCACTTCTCCAAAATCCTCTCCACTTGTGAATTTATCATCGCTCTTTGATGGGCACTTCGGCAACTCAACATCTTCACTTTGACGACTTCCAGTTCCCTTTCCATTTGGTCCAGAGAATTGTGGACTTTTTCGAATTCGGGCGACCTTCGCAGCCGTTTTCGATTGACTGGAATGCCGGAATAGGCCGTTGACGACTTCGATGAGCTTGTTGAAGCATCCGTTGAGGTCCCAGTTGAACAATTGGAATCCGTGCTGCCTTCCGAATCCGAGTACAAAGGCCGGAGTGAGGCCAGCTCGTCGAAAATTGGCTTCTTGGCGGTGGCGACGGAAGTGGTGCTGGAAGATGTAGATGGAGCTGACATCTTGGTAGTTTACAGCGGTAGAACAGCTGAGACAGGAGGTTTGCAAGTAGAATGAGCAAATTCCATGAGTTTCTTCTTTTTATACAGTCCTCTTTGATTGATTATTACGTAAACGAGTCAATTTTTCTGTCCTTTTTTAGTGGAAATCAAAATTTTGGTGATTTTTTGCTGTAGTTTGCCTTGATTTGTGTTGCGCAAGACTTGTCTTTTTGACAGAATTTCTTGCAGAAGAAATCTTGAACTCTTTTCGACGATTTACAATATTTTTATTCCCCTCATGGATGGCAGGTGGAGAGCCAAAAAAGGCGCAAAAAATCGGCTACAAAGCATCACAGAAACTCGGGAAATTATCATCTTAAAAAAAGAATAACTGCGAAACTAACGTCAGAAATAGCTAAAATTTGAAAAAGGTGAACATGTTTCAAGTCTTCACCGAGCGGTCGCCGTCCATCTAGTGGCTTTTCCAGGCCTTGTAGGCACCTATTACTACTTTTTTAAAAACTCCGCCTATACTAGGCCTCGCATCGATCGATTTTGTGTTTTCCCAAACTGTCGTTGACCCGAAATGTCGGGACATCTGGATTTAACAGAGAAGTCAGAGAAAAAACGCGCAAAAAACGCACTCTCTCGCCCCAAAAATTCCCCATTTCTTCCCCGACAAAACGTTTTTTCGCGTCTTTTTTTGGCAAATTGCCAATCCATTCACCGGACCGTTTTCGCTTATCTCAGTTTGACGTGCGCCTTTCCGCCATATGTTTGCAAATGTTTCATTGAAAAAGACTGTTTTTTTTGATACTAGTCCGTTCGCAACGTCGCTGGAGTGGTCTTAGCGGCACGCACTGTGGGAAAAGTAAAGGCTGCTTTGCACTGTGCAATTTAGCTTTCTGTACCGCGCATTAGGCTTTTTTGGTATGACTGGCGCCCTGAATTCTTCTGCACAATGCACACGCCAAAAATGATTTTAGCGACTTTATAGAAATACTGTATGTCAAATCGCAAAGAAATGCCAATTTTGCGGCCTTTGGTTCTCCCAGAACAGTCGATTTTCATTAATATTTCCCCCAAAAAATCTCGGGAATTCTGCAAAGCGCGAACTAAAAGTCCTAAAAATTTCTGACATTCTGTTCTCTCAGCGCGGTATGCAAATCAAAACACGTGTTTGGGCAATGTTTAGACGTCTAATCTTTGACTGAAAGAACGCCCTTCTGGTCAACAGCTGCGAATCCTCTCTCTTCTTTCGGCCTTTGTCCAGAACACTTTTCCTTAAATTTTTTGGCCAAAAATTTAAGGCGAGGGGTAAGGGCGAAAGGTGAAGAATATGGCCAAATGAATCAGATCGGCCCCGTTTTTCGGGAATTTTTGGATTATTATTTATTTTGCAATAGAAGATGCATGATTTGCGACATTAGGATTTTGTTGAAACTTGCAAAACGATAGATCAAGGTTTTTCAGGACATGAATGACAGTTTCACCAAACAATTTTAAAAAAAACCCCGAAATTTTGCAGTTGAATTTTGATAGAAAAATCAAAGAGTTTGGCAAACTAGTACGTAGGTAAAAAGCAGCATTCCTGTTCGTTTATCTACAGCGTTTTTGCCGAAAAAATTGCTTCGACGACACGGTTAAATATTGTCTTTTTTCTCTGATAACTCTCTGAATTTCCGGCATTCTCTTGCCGACAAAGCTAGTTGAATATCTCGACACCTCGTGCATGCCGTGAGCTAAAATTTTCGTGAATTGATTAAAGATAAATGTAGATCAGAGACACAAAACTTGAGGAAGATCTGACCGTCTCACTTCGAGAAATTTCCTTGCAAAGTCATCCTTCTCCCAATTTTGAGTTGAGCTATTCCAGGTTGATTTTCCATCAAGATGTCATCGCCAACTCTCACCAGATCCGTTGTTGTCATTTTGGCAGTCGTTTTATTGGTCACTGCAACTCCAGAAGACCCTACAATGACATTTGAAGCCCTTTACAAGTAAATTCAGCCATTTATTTCCACTCTTCCGTTTAGATATGGCAAAAACGAATACACGGCCGGGAATTGGTACGATTGCGTTGGATTTATGCGTCGCGCAATCGAGGACTTCAATTACTACAGAGACGACACGCTTTGGTGTCGGCAGAAGTGCGCAATGGTCGTGGAGCCGACCGACGAAAAGCTGGATTTGGCGCGCATGTTCAACACCGCTCAAATGGCATTGTGTTTGTTGCGTTGCAGAGAGGATAAATTTACAGAGAGAAGACCGCCGTTGCAGAATTATCAAATCTATGAGGAGTTTTTGGAGAGAAAGCCTTATCATTACATGCAACTGTGCTATTACAGGGTAAGAGATCACAAATTGTAGGAGTGTTTTTAATACTAGTCCGTTCGTAATGTGTATGGAGTGATTTTTGGTGTTTGCACTGTGCAGAAATGTTGGAATGCGGCAGCCCGAAAAAGCCTATTGCACTGTGCAAAAAAAATTTTGTTTTCGCACAGTGCATGTCTCAAAAATCACTTCAGAGACTTTGCGAATGGTCTAGTATTAGGAATAGATCTTGATGAAACTTATGGCAAGCGACAAACGGTCAGAGAAAAATTTTTTTACGCCATATATTTGCCAGTTTCATGCGGAAATTTTTTTTTGGAGCGATTGCCATCTTCTGTAGAAGTAGAGAAGAAACTTTTCATGATAAAATTCGCAAAAGAAGTGTTTCATTTTTTCCAACATGTGGCTTAAAAATTTCGGTAGTTTCTGGAAAGCACGAGCTAGGAGTCTCGCATAAGTCTGAGAAGAAGTTATTCTAAATTTGTGTCAAATTTCATCAAAATCTAAGCATCGCACTTGTGTCTTCCCCATCTATTTCTCTTTTAGCTGAATGAGCTCGAAAACGCGGTCAAAGCCGCGTACACTTACTTGGTTGCACATCCGGAAGACGAGGATGCTCTGGAGAATGTCAAGTTCTACATGGACCAGCCCGGCTTCAACGATGACATGTTGGTGGACCCACTGCAACGACCTTATGAGGTAAAATCAAACTTTCAGAAGATTAAAATCAATCTCTTTCCTCTAGAAATTCTACATTCTTGGCGTTGAAGCCTACACGAATGGGCAGTGGTCGCAATGCGTCGACAATTTCAAGCAGGGCTATCAGAACTTCCTCAAAGACGTCCGCGATTGCCGTTCGTTGTGCGAGGATCAGCTGGATTGGAGCTCGTTGAGCGGCGACAATCCGGAGATGTCGGTGGTGATCACCAGTATTCACACGTCCGTCGTCCGTTGTCAGCATCGGTGTCCGGAGCGGCTGAGCATTGTGAATGGGCAGCGGTTCAAAAATTTCTTGGCGCTGTTTTTCGAACATCTCCATGTCTGCGAGTTCAATTGTGAGTAGAGGCGCACAGTAAACGTCGTATTTTTCATTTTAGTGAATCAAGGAATCGCATCTGCCCAATCAGCCCAAACCGCACTGTTGTTGGACCCGACTAATGTGCTGATGCGAAGAAACAAGATGTTTTACATGGACAAGTATGGGAAAGCGGAGATTTTTGAGCCGTTGCCGGTAAGGAATGTATAAAATAGCGGTGGGAATTTATTTGTTACCTTTTGGGGCACTTGCAGTGGACCTGATCCAGTGGCAAAAAACGTGCCATTTTGCATCCGGGAACCCTCAAAAATGCAGCAAAATACCTCCCTCACCCAGTGAAAAAAATCTGATTTCAAAAGCGCGGCCGCTTTTTTGTGAGTGAGCCCTTCAAAACGAAATTTTTAACTTGGAGAGGGAGGCATTATGCCACATTTTTGATGCTTCCCGCGTGCAAAATGGTACGTTTTTTGCCACTGGATCAGGCCCGTCACTGTATAGAGAAAAAAAAACGGGGCCAATACAACAATTTGCAATTTCAAGTGTGATGTCAAGATGAATTCGTCTCGCGAAAAGCGTTGTAATGAAACATGAAAGGCAACTTTCAAAAATATAAAAAAAATTTGGAAAAATTTCTATTTCAAGTCAAAATTTCTTCGACTTCAAAGAGCGTTCTTTGAAGGTCTAAACTTCAAAGAACGCTCTTTTTGGCTAAGCCGAATTAGGGCCCAGTCCCATCTAAAATGGGGGACTTGATCCGGTTGCAAAAAACGGACCATTTTGCATCCGGGAAGTATCAAAAATGTGGCAAAATACCTCCCTCTCCAAGTATTTTTGGTATTCTTGATTCCATTCAAACTCTTCTAACGTGTTGTTTTTTTAGGAGATTGCTCAATACCACATCCGTCACCAACTCGAAGAGAGATTCCTCGACTTTGTGGACAGTCGATTCAAATACGAGAATGGAATGGTAATGATTTCCGCAACCTCGTTATACAACTTCACGATGTGTATCCTAAAGTCTGAATCCTTTTTGCAGCTGACTCCGGAGAATGTGATGGATCGAAAAGCGTTCGATGCCAATGTAGACATTGAAGATCATTTCGATTACAGCCGACTGGAAACGCCATTGCTGAATGACAGCGAGTGCAACGCGCTGGAGAAGGCGGCTCATATCCCGGCGGTAGGTGATGACTTTAGTTGCATTCTTCGGATTGGTTGGATCCGAAGAATGCACCAACAGTGGTGGATTTGATTCAGTGCCAAAAAACGTACTATTTTGCATCCGGGAAGTATCAAAAAATGTGGCGAAATACCTCCCACTCCAATAAAAAAAAAACTCTATTTTGAAGAGCGCGCCCTTTCATTCACAAAAAATAGCGGGCATGCTTTTGAAGTCGGAATCTTTTCACTTGAAGAGGGGGGTATTTTGCTGCATTTTTGATACTTCCCGGATACAAAATATTACGTTTTTGGCCGCTGGATCAGGTCCACCGCTGTGGGTGAAAAGGACACATAACTTTTTTTGAAAATAGCACATCGGCGAAGAGGGCACCTTGCTGAAAAAATGATATGGTAAAAAGGAACAGAGGAGTTTTTTCTTTTGATTTTTTTGGTTTGCCAAAAAATGATATGGTGAGGGAGGACCAAAGCGGATTGTGAACATGGGTAAAAACAATCCGTCCCCTTGGCAATTATTCTTTTTCGGTAGACTAAAAAAAAGTTCCGCAAAAAAATTCCTTTGGTCCCCCCTTACCATGTCATTTTTTTGACAAACCAAAAAAAAAATAAAAAAAAGTCCGCTTGTTCCCTCGTTGCCATATCATTTTTTTGGGAAAGTCAAAAAAATAATTCTATAAAATCCGTCTTGATTCCTCTTTGCCACGTCATTTTTTTTGGCAAATCAAAAGGATTATTCTTAAAAAAATCTGCCTTGGTCCCCCCTAGCTAGGGGCCCTAGCCATATAAATTTTTTGGCAAGTCAAAATAACCGGCTTTAGCTTCTTGAAACTTCATTTCCAGGTGGTTTCATATGCTCCAGCCTTGGCCAGCGAGCTGCTTGACCGGATCTCCGATACGTACGGGCAAGTGCCGACGCTGAAGATGATGGGATGCACCAAGGAGCCGATTGAGAGCGGCTGTACCAGACGCGCCTTTGTTGTTGGATTGGAGAAGGAGCGTTGCGGTGCGTTGTTGTCTGATACGTTTGATGGCTGTGCTATTGTTTTTTGTTTGGACGATTAAATTATTCCTGACCTAGTAGGATTAATCAGCGTATTTTACCCTCTTCTAAAGTATTTTTATTCACAAAAATAGGAAAATCGCATAGTTTTGCGGTCATAACGACAAATTCAAGTGGTATTTGGGCGGTATCAATATTTACATTACTTGTTTGGACTGTAGAAGGAGGCGCAGAAAGCCTGGCACATATTGGAGCAGAACTGCTGCTGCTCTTCGATCCGGCTGCCAACGCGGAAGCGGCGGAGCACCATGGAGCCGGTCCGTTTGTCCAACACCTTGCAATTGTAATTCCCGGCGTCGCTCTCCATGTACGACTTGATCTCCAGGATTTGGCCGCGGCGATGGAACTTGTAGCCGCGTTCCGAGCCTGAAAAAGGGAGAGTTGATAACGACGAAAAATTTTGGTTTTTTTTCTGTTATGGAAATTTGACTTGAGGAAAAATCGTGTGCTTTCAAAATTCAAGCTTTTAAAGCAAGTATCCCAATTGAAAAATCTCCGACTTCAAAAGTGCGCCCGCCCTTTTTGTGGGGGAAATGGCGCGCCCTTCAAAACGAAGTTTTTTCACTTGGAGAGGGAAGCATTTTGCGACATTTTTGATCCTTCCCGGATGCGGAATAGTACGTATTTTGCCACTGGATCAGGCCCCTCACTGTATGTAGGACTTTTTCCAAGATACATGCGGGATTCCCAACTTGCGCTTTGCAGAAGTGACCAAGATTTTTAGGTCAAAAGTTAGCAAAAATGCAGGCTTTTTTGGCTAGTCTTGGCATGAAAAGATTCATATATATCTATTTCTACTGTAGAAACTAATGTTTGCGCAAAAAATCGATTTTTTTCCCAATGAAACTATCAAAATTACGGCCAAAAGGTTTTTTCTCTGACCGCCCTCCACGTTTCGCGAACTCTCTCGGCCACAATGATCGTTGAGTATCTCCGTTGCTCCCGCAAAGCGCGAGCTAAAACTTTGAGAATTGATATATGGCCTATCTTTGACATGTGTGCAAAGTTACACCAAAATTTGGAGTGCTTCCCTTGTTAAGTTACGCCAAATTTCCGCCGTAACTGAACATCAATCTCCTTCTCTTTAGCCAATAAAACAAGCTCAAAGGCTATGAGTAAGACTTGCTTTCAGTGAGCGCCGTGATGTCCTTCTCCCACATTGTGATCAATTCATTATCGCTTGTGATGACCTCACATGATAGGATGATGCTAGTCCCTTCCTTCGGCTCGAAGAAATCGGTCTGAGTTTCGATTAGTTTGATCTCGGCTGAAATCACAAGACTTTAATTACCGTAAAAACAAAAAATCTGCCGGAAGAAGTTCCTTATTCTGGCCACAACAAAGGGTACTCTGCGAACTGCGCCCAAGCTTGGGAACTAAAGTTAGGAAAAAAAGGCTTTGACCTAGCTGGCACCGAATTACTATAATAGCTCCATAGTTTTAAGGATACCTAAGGCTATGACGACTCATTTAGTGTTATACGGAGGCAATAGGTTTAGTTCCGGACAGGTTTCATCGTATAAAGTGTAAAATCGCAGGCTGCAGCTGTTTTTGAAGGGTAAGGTGGTACGCGAAAAAGAAGGTAACTCACTAACTAAATCCACTCTCCGGGCATTGACAATGATGAATTAGCCTGCACGCTAAATTTGGACTAATTCTGACCAGATCCCCCAAGTTATAAGTTGTGGCCAGAATAAGGAACTTTTACCAAATAGCCTTGTTTACCGACGAGAAAAAGTTAGTAAATAAGGAAAAAAAGCTCACCGAAAAAGTTGATCTCCAATCGAACCTCTCGCCGTTCGCCGTGATACGTCACCGTGCACGTGTAGATTCCACTGTCCTCGACGGAGCTGTTCGGGATGACCAGGCTCAGCGCGAACTTGTCAATCTTGTTCAGCTGCACATTCCCGGTCCGGGAGATGGAGTCGGGATTCTTGGACCAGAAAATGCCGGGGGCGTCCGCATCCTCCGCAAGGCCTTCGACGGAGCAGAGGACGGCGAAGGGATCGCCGGCTTTGCGGTTGTAGATCGACTTCTCTCCCGGGTCCGGATCAACCTTGATCTCCCAGGAGGCGGCTGGAAATTGAACATGCAGTCACGGACTCAATCCAGTGGCAAAAAACGTCCCATTTTGCATCCGCGAAGCATCGAAAATGTGGCAAAATGGTTCCCTCTCCTAGTGAAAAAACTTCGTTTTGAAGGGCGCGCCCTTTCCCTCGCAACTTGGATAGGGAAGCATTTTGCCACATTTTTGATACTCCCTGGATGCAAAATGGTACGTTTTTTGCCACTCAAGTCCCCCAGTGTAGTGAGGAACAGTAATTAAGGTGATTTGGATCAAGTGTTTACCAAGAAAGTGCACGGCGTTCTCTGCTCTTAATTTTATGGGATTTGGCTTGCTATTGTCAGTAGGCTAAGCATTTGGTCCCAATTTTATGAGCTTGCACTTTGTCAGTGCAGGCAACAAAGTGCGCCGCGGTTAATTTCCCTAGATATGCTTGGCAAATCATGCATTCCCCTATACATCAAACTATCGTACTGCAAAAGCTCTTTATCCATCTGTCGGGAAAATAATGAGCAATACTAGTCGCGCCATAAAGTCCTGACACATTTTGCACCGTGCGAAAGTTCGGGATTTGGACGTCGCGCCCCCAAATTCGGGTTTGTCGCGCGCGAAAGTGCACGTCGCTAGCGCAAAAACGGGAAATCGCGGCGACAAATGCGAAATGAATGAAGAATGCACGGTGCGAAAGTTCGGGTTTTGCACGTCGCTAGTGCAAAAAGGGGAAATCGCGGCGACAAATGCGAAAAGATGCACAGTGCGGATGAAATGAAAGAAGAATGCACGGTGCAAAATGTGTCAGGACTTTATGTCGCGCCTAGTAATGTCGCTGAGCCAATCGGGTCGCTGAAGCGAAAAGCGATTAGCTTTTGTCGCGACAATTCATTTTCTCGGTAGCGATGTGATTTTCGCTGCGACAAAGTGGCCGTTATTTTCCCGACAGGCTGATATTCATTTTCAACGAGGTTTTCAAGTACTATAGGAGTAAAGATATTGAAAACAACAAGAGGGAATTGGACTTGACTTATACTTTTTCTTGGATTATATAATCTTGTCCTTGAAAAAATAGATTTTTTTTTGAAAAACCTTTTCTGTCCTTGCTATCTTGCCGGAAGAGCTCGTCAGAAATCTCGGCAGTGTCAGCAAAGCTCAAGGCGAAATTTTAACAATATTGACCCAGACTAGCTATCGGTTTGTCGGGAAAATTATGAGCAAAATGTCGCTGCGCCAATCGAGTCGCTGCGGTAAAAAGCAATATGATTTGGCCGCGACGCAATTCATTTTCCCGGTGGCGATGCGATTTGCGATGCGACAGATACCTCATTATTTTCCCGACAGACTAATAGATGAATCAAACAATCTTTCCACAAAATCAGACTTCTCCAGCAAATATAATATAATCCACCCAACTCACCAGCTCCAACAACAATCGTCACCAGCAAAATTGACAAGAACATTGCGGTAAAAGAAATCAAAATCTCCGGTGTGGATGGGCCGAGGACTGCCGGATCATAATGACCATCGGAGCGGCGGGTGCAGTTGGTTTTCGGCGGGGGATTAAAGCCCTCCGACCTTTATAAAAAACCCCTTTGACGAGGCCGCTTTCTTTCATCGCGGCCTCAGGTTGGGCCACGGGTTTTGTGATTGGGGAAGGGTGATTCTACCTGTGTAATGGGTCATAAACTTTAGTACGGGGAGCGATTGAAGGGTTTTCTGGGGTAGTCAGAAGTTACAGAGGAAGTGCTTTTTTGCCATCGATTTGTCATCGTGAACGAAACTCAAACTTTTCTTTGTTCCGATCACATTTTTTACAGGGAAGTGATGAAACTTGGAAGAAATTTAGAATAATTTTCCTAGGGTGATTTGAGAGACCCCAAGCATTCAGAAACCTTCAAGATTTTTTGGGTTAAAAGTTCGAATGTGCACTTTTTTGCGAATTTTGGCAAGAAAAAGTTTTCTGTCCATTTCTACCGTATAGGGTGATGTTTCCACAAAAAATCAATTTTTTGTGCGCAAAACTGCCAAAGATATGGCCAAAGAATTTTGTTGCTCTCCGCGCTTTGCGTTCTCTCCCTGCCGCAAAGATCGTTGAATATCTCGGCTTCGGCTGCAATGCGCGCTGAAAACTTTCAGGAATTGATATGGGACCGATGCTCAACTTGTGTGTAAAATTTACAGAAAATATGAGCGTCTTGTAAGCCACAGCTTGTCAGTTTTTCCGCAGTCAACAATACAAACTTTTTTATTTTTAGAAAATAAATATTTTTAAATATTGAAAAAAGTGAAACATCTTTGAGTCCGAATTTCGTACGCGGGGCTGTGGACAAGTGGAATGGACAGGACGGGAGATCAGCTAACGGTGTTTTCAGATCAGATTCATGGAGATGAACGGAAGGGAGAGGCGTTTTTGGAACTGCCTCCAGTCTTGCGTTGGACGTAGGATCACCAGCTTGGCTGGCTGGTCTAACTGAAAATATTTGAGATATATTTTAGATTAAGTCTTTTCGAGCTGCGTTAGAAGATTTTCAGCCAATTTCAAAGTGGAATACATGCGCTTACCTCGCGAATATCTGCCTGAAACACCGACGGGTCCACGTAATCATTCTGTTCGGGCTGAATTTGGGAGCGTTTGGACATTAGGAACTGAAAAAAGACGAATAGAAATAAAAAATTGATGGCTGATTTTGAAACAACACATGATGACAATTCACACTTACATCTTGAAGATCGTTGCCGGCAAAGCGCCAAGGCGGTAATCGTTTGTATTTGTGACTCTGAAAAAGATGGTAAAGAAGACTTTTTGACTGCTTTGTGGTTTTTTTGATTGTTTAGCGAAAACAATAAAGAAAAGTGCAGCGAGAGACCTGATCGAGGGGCCAATCCGTTGTCTGAAAGTTTGCTGAAAATCATAGGGCGCAGCTCGGAGATTTTGCACGGGCGCAGCTCGCGTCTTGGGCGCAGTTCGAAAACAAGCCGAAATTTAGCTCCGGCGAGCTGCGAATGCTTGTTTTCCGAGCTACGCCCTACCATTTTCAGCTAACTTTCAGCAAACTTTCAGATAGCGCATTGGCCCCAGTGTCCGAAAAAAACTTGCCATTTTGCATCCTTAAAGTATGAAAAAATATAGCAAACTGCCTCACTCACCAACTAAAAAAACGGCGTTTTGAAGGGCGCGCTTTTGAAATCGGAGTTTTTTCGCTTGGAGAGAGAGGCATTTTGCTACATTTTTTGATACTTCCCGGATGCAAAATGGTACGTTTTTTGCCACTAGCTCAGGTCCGCCATTGTACTGTCGAGATAAAAATGACCTGTCGCTGCACAAGGGCATAGCTGAGCAGATGTTTTTGGGTCACAAAGCATTGCTCGCAGCACTCTTTTTGCAACTCTTGCTGCGATGAAAACTGCAAAATTTATCAGGTCTTTTTTGCCTCGACTAGAAAGAAAAAAGTTTTTTTTTTATATTACAAAGTTCATGATAACAAAAAGGTTTTTTAAATACCAAAATAGTCGTATTCGTATTTACCTGTGCCGACGCCACCATTGCCATGCCCAAAAGTAGAAGAAGAACCCAACTGGCGAAGAAGCTCGACCTACTCGACATTCTTTCTCTGCTGGTTTCACTGACCCTGCAAAAGTGCCGTCAACAAAACTTATTTTGCTGTCACGCAAATCTCAATGTGATTTACAAGGTATTTTTAGTTGTAAACACGATGCAAATTCCGCAATGTAAAATGAATTAGTTGGAAATTGAGTAATGGATATTTGAAAAACATCCCACGTAAAACTACAAGTGTAAAATTTATGGTACAATGCGGTGAGTCAAAAGTTTTGCGAAAACAGCAAAATCAACAACATTACACTACAATGCAAGTGTAAGATACGATTTTAAATACCCTCTCGATTAGTTACAAAGAAAAAAAAAGAAATATAATAGCATGGGTCGGGCCTTGAAGCAATTTGATGCTCGGTGAAGGATTGGCGGAGACTTGGCGAAGACTGACAATACGGCCACTTTTTACTTTAACTTTAGCTGTTTTTTTATTTTTGGTTTCTTGTCTCTGAGCTACTGTAGAATAGAAAAAACCAAAATTTACTGCAAAAAATGATGACCCGTAGGTTTTATCTCAATTTTATTGCAGTAATACATGTAAAATACCTCAAAACATGTGGTGAATCCTAGGACCTGATAAATCTTACCGCTTCTACTAACTAAGCCTTCTCAGCCTTTCCCATGCTTAGAACAACAAACCGAGGCCACCAAAAGAATCGTTGATTCAAACTGTCGTTGAACCGAAAAGTTGTAGCGCCGAGGGTCGTACTAAATACCATGGCTTTTATCATCAATTTAGCGGAAATTAAAATAATATTAAACGCAATTTTTAGCCAAAAAATTAATGCTGATTAAAAAAAATAATTATTTTTATGTTACTTTTTACTCCACTACCGTATCCCACACACTTTCTTTTTATAAGAAATCCTCTTAAACATTGGCCAAAAAACTTCAATATTTCGAACCCCCTCATTTTGTAATAACTGCCCTCAAAAACTACGTCTTCAACGGCGAGTGGGGTTCAAATGGCCCAAAATAAAAAAAAAACCCACAACACGGTATGATATATCGTCGAATTGCTAATTGCAGTGGCATGAAACGAAGAGCCGAAAAATTTATTCTTTTCTGGAAGGGAATTTAATAATTTATTTGGCAAAAAAATGCGTTTTGCTGTTTGCTGGCAGAAAAAAGGAAATTGGAAGTAAAAGTGATGTAGAAAAATGTGTCCCGACTTTTCGTATCGACGACAGTTCGGGTCAGCGCAAAATCGGTCGATACGAGGGGTAGGGCAGGTGGAGACCCCAAAAAAGGTAGTAAGAGTTCCCTACGATGCACGGCAACCCAAAATAGAACAAAAATGTCTCCCGCCCACTTTTGAATTTCGTCCAAACGAAGTGTCAAAATTCACAAAAGAAATAAAATAATTTCGAGAAAAATATTTTTCGGTCGGAAAACCACACGAAAAATTCATTTTTGACATTTCGTTTGAATTCAACCGATACTAGGTGGGCGGAGTGCCGAAACGAAGCGGGAGACTCCTTGGGTTGCCGTGCGACGCCTGGAAAAGCCGTAGGATCCTAGCCGAACGGCCTGCGAAGGTTCGGTATAGGCTTTGCGAAGACTTACTGTACGACCACTTCTTCTAATTTTAGATATTTCCTAGTTTCTTTGACCTTGGCCTTTATGCTATCGCATATATGCTATAGCAAGGAAAAGACTAAAACTTGTAGATCAAAAGCAACACAAGATCGATCGATGGTCGATCTGGGGCGTAGGGCAGGCTGAGACCCCAAAAAAGTTTGTAAGAAGTGCCAACGACGCCTGGGAAAGCCGTCGGATAATTGGCTGACGCTCGGCAAAAGCTCGGCGGAGACTTGGCGAAGGCTTACCGTACGACCACGTCTTCTGATTTTAGCTATTCTTAACCTTAATTTTTTTACATTAAGCACGGTAACCCAGAATAGAACCAAAATATCTCCCGCCTACTTTTGAGTTTCGTCCAAACGAAGTGTCCAATAGACAAAATAAATAAAAAAATCGAAAAAAAAGTATTTTTTTGGTCTAAAAACCACATGACCAAAATTTGCGACAAAAGCGATCCGTAACTTTTATCTAGATCTTACTGATGTCAGTACATGTAAATACCTCAAAATAGGTGATAAGCTATCCTAGGACCCGAATAATCATATTATTTCTATTAACCAAGCCTTCTCCTAGCCTCCCCATGTCTACAACGACAAATCAAGACAACTCAAAGAATCGTCAACCCTAAAAATCGTAGTGAACAAAAACCCTCAATTTATATATAATATTAGTATTTTCCAATAACCAAGTAAGGTTTCGAGCTTAACAAGCTGGATAATCATAGGAAATTGAAGGAAATTAATGACCAATTTGAGGATTCCAAAGCCTTACTTTAACAAAGAAAACACTTATTTTTTAATATCAGGGAAAATGAAGACATTCAGGGGTGTTAAACTAGACTTGTAGTCCTTAAAGATTAGGATGGCCGGAAAAATACGGAGTTTTACATTGAAATCATGTTCGATGAACTTGAAAACCTACAGATAGATGAGTTAAAAAAACATTCCGGTCTGTTTAGAGCTTCGAAGAACCCCCGCTCTTTGAATTCGAAGCAACTCCGACTGGAAATAGAAACTTTTTCAAAATTTTTTAAAATATTTTTGGAAGTTGCCGCTCATGTTTCAACGATTTTCACGCCAAGGATTCATTTTGACATCACATTTTAAATTGCAAATTGTTCGATTGATGTCTATTTTTTATTGCAGGGAAGTAGTTCAAGTTCGACGCTCAGATTTTGTGAAACTTGCCACAAATTTAGAATAATTTTTTCTAAAATATATGCGAGAATCCTGGCTTGCGCTTTGCAGAAATTATCGAGATTTTTCAACCAAAAAGTTTGGCAAAAATGTGACATTTTTGTGAATTTTCGCACAAGAAGTTTTATGCTTATTTCTACCATAGAGGGTAATGTTTCCTCAAAAAATGATTTTTTTCCGCACAAAACTAGCAAAGTTATGGCCAAAAAATGTTTTTCCCTCTCTGACCGCTCTCCACGTTTAGTGTACTCTCTCGGCGGCAAAGATCGTTCAGTATCTCGGTGGCGCCTGTAAATAGCGCGTAAAAACTTTCAAGAAATGATATTTATTCTATGCCTGATATGTGTGCAAAATTTAGATAAAATCTGAGCGCCGAACTTGAGGTACTTCCACTGTAAATAAAACTTTGTTTTTACAGACTTAAAAAATAACTATGATAAAATTTAATTTTATCTCCTAATCCTTTCTGAACATTGAACATTTTGCAATTACGGAAGTGCAATTATGCGTGTTTCCCAGTCGGAACTTCCAAAAAATAAAACTGAAATGCGGAGGTGTCTTCTTCGGAAATCAAAAAACGTGGGGAGCTAATTTTAGGCATAAAAAAACAAAATAAATGACATCACTCTTCCAAAAATTTTATTTTAAATCTTGCAAGGAAAATAGTATTAGTAGTAATAAGAGGTAGTTTCTGGCACTAAATTTTGCATCCACTGGAAAAGGGGGGAGGAGCCGGCGCGGGGTGCCGTAAATGAGAGAGTGTGGGATTGGAGGAGAGTGGGGAGAGAGGTGAGGGAATTTTTATGGTATGGTAGTACTGTAAAGATGAGAGAGTGTGGGATTGGAGGAGAGTGGGGAGAGAGGTCAGGGGAATTTTGCGGTCAAATTTCAAAAAAGATGAGAGGGTGTCGTAATTGAAAGGACGCGATGAAATTGCGGTAAAAAATGAAAAAGATGAGAGAGTGTGGGATTGGAGGAGAGTGGGGAGAGAGGTCAGGGGAATTTTGCGGTCAAATTTCAAAAAAGATGAGAGGGTGTCGTAATTGAAAGGACGCGATGAAATTGTGGTAAAAAATGAAAAAGATGAGAGAGTGTGGGATTGGAGGAGAGTGGGGAGAGAGGTCAGGGGAATTTTGCGGTCAAATTTCAAAAAAGATGAGAGGGTGTCGTAATTGAAAGGACGCGATGAAATTGTGGTAAAAAATGAAAAAGATGAGAGAGTGTGGGATTGGAGGAGAGTGGGGAGAGAGGTCAGGGGAATTTTGCGGTCAAATTTCAAAAAAGATGAGAGGGTGTCGTAATTGAAAGGACGCGATGAAATTGCGGTAAAAAATGAAAAAGATGAGAGAGTGTGGGATTGGAGGAGAGTGGGGAGAGAGGTCAGGGGAATTTTGCGGTCAAATTTCAAAAAAGATGAGAGGGTGTCGTAATTGAAAGGACGCGATGAAATTGTGGTAAAAAATGAAAAAGGGGAGAGAGTGTGGGATTGGAGGAGAGTGGGGAGAGAGGTCAGGGGGATTTTGCGGTAAAAAAAAATTGAAAAAGGGTGAGAAAGTGGGGAAAAGAGGAGGATTGAGGGTTGTTGCGCAACCTAGAGGTTGCGGGAGGGCAAGAGGTTGCGGGGTGTTGCGCAACCGAGATGTTATGAATGTTGCGCAACCTAGAGGTTGCGGTAGGTTAAAGAGTTTATGATTTATGTCTGTGATTTTTTTCCGGAAAAAGCGGAAGGATCAAGAGTAAGTCTGGTCCATCAATAAAGGTTGATGACCCTTCAATAAACTTTTCGACTCAATGATGATGAAATAATTTTTACCCTTTTCAAAAGGATTAAGAATCCAATAACTTTTATTCGTTTATTCAAAAAAAAAATCTTTTAAATATTTGTATAAAAAATAAGATCAGATTGAGGGACTTCAGTGTGACGTTTGGTAACAGGTGTTAAATAAATTTGAATTTCATCTCCGTCAAAGAGACATCTAGTGTCGCTCTCACATCCATCATCTTTATCGTACAGCGAAAAGAACCACAGCTTCTCACCGCATTTGCTTTGAACAGGTTTCAGACGACAAATCTTACGCCCACGGAATTTCATGTAAAAATTCTAAAAAAAAAAAACATAAAATATATGATATTAAAAACTTACACTAAAATTTATTAACTTCAAAGTATTGATATCGACCCCATCAATGGACACGGCGTATGTCTTCCGGA